CGAAGCCTCGAGGCAGCGAAGCCCCGAAGCAGCGAAGCCTCGAGGCAGCGAAGCCCCGAAGCAGCAAAGCCTCGAGGCAGCGAAGCCCCGAAGCAGCGAAGCCTCGAAGCAGCGAAGCCTCGCAGCGAAGCAGCGAAGCCTCGAAGCAGCGAAGCCTCGAAGCAGCGAGGCCTCGAAGCAGCGAAGCCTCGAAGCAGCGAAGCCCCGAAGCAGCGAAGCCTCGAAGCAGCGAAGCCCCGAAGCAGCGAAGCCCCGAAGCCTCGAAGCAGCGGAGCCCCGAAGCAGCGAAGCCTCGAAGCAGCGGAGCCTCGAAGCAGCGAAGCCTCGAGGCAGCGAAGCCTCGAAGCCTCGAAGCAGCGAAGCCTCGAAGCAGCGAAGCCTCGAAACAGCGAAGCCTCGATGAAGCAGCGAAGCCTCGAAGCAGCGAAGCCTCGAAGCAGCGAAGGCTCGAAGCAGCACCTCGAAGCGGCGAAGCCTCGAAACAGCGAAGTTTCTGAGCAACGAAGCCTCGAAGCGGCGAAGCCTCGGAGCGGCGAAGCCTCGGAGCGGCGAAGCCTCGAAGCGGCGAAGCCTCGGAGCGGCGAAGACTCGAAGCGGCGAAGCCTCGAAGCGGCGAAGCCTCGAAGCCTCCCTCGACGGCGAAGCCTCGAAGCGGCGAAGCCTCGAAGCCTCGAAGCGGCGAAGCCTCGAAGCGGCGAAGCCTTGAGGCGGCGATGCCTCGAAGCGGCGAAGCCCCGAAGCCTCGCAGCACGCAGCGAAGTCTCGAAGCACGCAGCGAAGTCTCGAAGCACGGAGCGGCGAAGCCTCGAAGGAAGCGGCGAAGCGTCGAAGCCTCGAAGGAAGCGGCGAAGCCTCGAAGCGGCGAAGCCTCGAAGCGGCGAAGCCTCGAAGCGGCGAAGCCTCGAAGCGGCGAAGCCTCGAAGCGGCGAAGCCTCGCAGCACGCAGCGAAATCTCGAAGCACGCAGCGAAGTCTCGAAGCACGCAGCGAAGCCTCGGAGCACGCAGCGAAGCCTCGAAGCACGCAGCAAAGCCTCGAAGCACGCAGCGAAGCCTCGAAGCACGCAGCGAAGCACGCAACGAAGCCTCGAAGCACGCAGCGAAGCCTTGAGGCACACAGCGAAGCCTCGAAGCACGCAGCGAAGTCTCGAACCACGCAGCGAAGCCTCGAAGAACGCAGCGAAGCCTCGAAGCACGCAGCGAAGCCTCGAAGCACGCAGCGAAGCCTCGAAGCACACAGCCGGTGCCAGATCAGGGTCGGGCCGGTTCCACATCGTGGCCAAGCCTGCCCGTCCCAGATCATGGCCAAGCCGGTGCCGGGTCCATCATGGCCAAGCCTGCCAGCCGGCGCCAGATCACTGCCGAGCCGCCCGGTGCCAGATCTTGGCCAAGCCATCCAATGCCAGGCCGTGGCCAGGCCGGTGCCGGATCCTGGCGAAGCCTGCCGGTGCCAGGTCGTGGCCAGGCCGGTCTCTCGCTCGCTCGCTCGGTGCCACATCATGGCCACGCCAAGCCTGCCGATGCCAGATCATGGCCAGGCCTAGCCGGCCGGTGCCAGATCGGCACCAAGCCTGCCAGCCGGTGCCCGGCAGATGGACCATGGCCAAACCGGTGCCAGATCATGGACGAGCCCGCGCCACCCAGCTCATGGCTTGGCCAAGCCGACGCCAGGTTGTCCATGGCCAAGGAAGCCTGTCGGTGCGTGCCAGATCATGGCCCGGACCGCTGGCGCCAGGTCGTGGCCGAACCGCTGCAAAATCATGGCCAAGCAAGCCTGCCAGCGGGTGCCAGGCCGTGGCCAAACCGGTGCCAGATCATGGCCGCGCCTGCGAACGTCGGTCTGCGTGCCAACCTGCCCGCCGGTGCCAGATCATGGCCAGGCCGGCTCCGAGTGGTGCTGGTGGCCAGACCGGTGCCGGATCATGGCCAGCCCGATGCCAGATCATGGCCAAGCCGGTGCCAGGTCATGGCCAAACCAAGCCGGTTCCAGGTCGTTACCAGGCCAGCGCCAGATCATCGCCAAGCCGGTGCCAGGCAGGCCGTGTCCAAGCGAGCCGGTGCCAGATCATGGCCAAGCCGGTTCCAAATCATGGCCAGGCCGGTGCCAGGTCGTTACCACGCCTGCCGGTGCCAGATCATGGCCAAGCCGGTGCAAGGTCGTGGCCAAGCCGGTTCCGGGTCGCGACCAAGGCGGTGCCAGGCAGATGATGGCCAAGCCGGCGCCAGATCATGGCCAAGCCTGCTTGCTCCAGGTCGTCTGCGGCCGCGCCCGCCGGTGCCAGATCATGGCCAAGCCGGAGCCAGGTCGTGGCCAAGCCGGTGCCAGAGTATGGCCAAGCTGGTGCCAGGTCGTGGCCGGGCCGGTGCCCGATCATGGCCAAGCCTGCCGGCCTGCCGGTGCCAGATCGTGGCCCGGCCGGTTCCAGATCATGGCCAAGCCCGCGCGCCGGTGCCAGGTCGTGGCCAGGCCGGTCGGTGCCAGATCACAGCCAGGCCGGTGCTCGCTCATGCCCAAGCCGGTGCCAGATCATACATCCATGGCCAAGCCAAGCTGGTTCCGGGTCGTGGCCAAGCCGAAACCGGTGCCAAATCATGGCCACGCCAGCCAGCAAGCCGGTGCCAGATCATGGCAAAGCCGAGCCCTTGCGCCAGATCATGGCCAAGCCGGTGCCAGATGGATCATGGCCAAGCCCGCCTGCCGGTGCAAGAGCATCGCCAAGCCGGTGCGAGATCAAGGCCATGCCTGCCTGTGCCAGGTCGCGGCCAAGCCGGTGCCAAAGCATGGCCGTGCCGGTGCCAGATCATGGTCGTGCCGGTGCCCGATCATGCCCAAGCCGGTGCCGGACCCTGGCCACGCCGGTGTCAGGCCCTGGCTAAGCCGATACCAGACCCTGGCCAAGCCGGTGCCCGACCATGCCCGCCCCCCGCCGCCAGATGGATCGCGGCCCCGCCGGTGCCAGCATGCAAGATGGCGGCAACGGCCAACCTGCCAGCCGCGCCGGTGCCGGATCGTGGCCAAGCCATTCTGGCGCTTTGAAAATCGCAGGCAGATGGGCCTGCCTGTGCTGAAGCGCCGACGACGATTTTCCACAGAAAGACGCTGAGTGCTACTATTCATCTAGCGGAATACTATTAAGTCTGCACGTTACTGTACACGGGAAGCGGGATAAGGCTAGTAAGCACATAGATACTGTGAAGATGGGGCGGTCACGGGAACAACACGAAGCCCCTTCTACTAGCTGTCAGTGATTTGGATCTCGATTGTTATTTTTGTCCTTGAAGAAGTAGTTTCTGCTTTCATCGGAAGAAGGTCGCTACTAGAAGCTTGATGTGCAACTAATGTCCACCACAAGACACAATTTCTATTGCGTTCCTGGTCTGGGGGCCGCCTAAGATGTTCGTAGGGTTTTGATCTTACAGTTTTTCTTTTTGTTTTTATTTGGTTAATCAGAACCCAAACTGCAACCACCACATTCCGTCCGAAGCAAAGTACACCGGCTTTCGAAGTCGCTTGGCGATGGCCACGACCGCCATCGCGAGGCCGGGGTATTGCCACTGCAAATCGTGGCCGCAAAGCACCACCGGTCCCTCGGGCCTAAGTTTTGTTATCCAGGCGGTTACATCTTCTGCAACAGCTCGGTAGTCGTGGCGTGCGTCTAGAAAAATGAGGTCAAAGCCCTGCTCGGAATGCGCAGGTGGTGCGTGCTCCGCCTCTTCCTCTTCGGTTCCACCTGCAGTGCGTGACGAAATTTGTTCTGTCGTGCCTTTGCTGATGACATCGGCTCTGTTCTTGTCCTCTTCTGGTTCCATACCTGCTCGCGCATCGCTGGCAATCTTACCAAATATAGCCGCCGGGGCGGGGGTAGTGAGGTGGGTCGTGGGCGTTTTTTTGCCGACCACAGCCTTGGCCGCAGCGTTGCTTTTTATGGGCTCGCCATACCACCGCGAGTAACGTTATGCCGCACGGTATGGCGGCCACTTGGGAAACGTCGCAAATTTTGGCAAATTCCCGAAATTCCTTCCCGAAAGCCAGCCCCAATGCTATGGGGCCGATCCGGGTGCCACGGGGGGCGCCCAAAAAGCAAAGGAAAATCGGGCCCATAGCATGCGGATTGGCTTTGCGCGTGCGGGCCGCTTTTCCTTTTTCGCGTTTTTATTTTTCACGCCGGCGCTTTTTGCAAAGCTTCCCAGGCTCTGAAACCGGAGAAAAGGCGGCCGCTTTCGCGGCCGCCCAAAATGCTCCGGAATCGCGGCCGTGCCATGCTGTTTCGCTGTTCTGATTTTGGGCGCGTTTTTTGCGCGCCCCTTTTTGGACGTTCCAAATCGCCAGAAACTAAGGCGGTGAGCGCCTCAGAAGGGCGCCCCTTTTGCCAGCTCCCCTGCGTCGTTTTATCAAGTGCGAATCGATAGTTTTCGACCGGGCTTGTTTGACGGCAAAGCCCCGTCCGCTTGATAATTGCAAATTTTTTATGTCCAAAAACGCTTCCGCCCGCTTGGAAACTGCCGGCCGTTTTTCACGGGACATGGCAAAAAAACTCCCCGGTTAGAACCGTTCGGTGACCTCACTACATAATATGTCTGTTCTTGTCCTCTTCTGGTTCCATACCTGCTCGCGCATCGCTGGCAATCTTAATGGACGACCAAGGAATCAAGTTGCTCAAATTCTTGGAATCACGTTGGTGACTGGAATCAAGTTACATGGAATCAAGTTGGATCCTGGAATCAAGTTGACTGGAATCAAGTTGATTCCTGGAATCCCGTTACGTGGAATCAAGTTGATTCCTGGAATCCCGTTGCGCGGAATGAAGTCGGAATGGAGTCGAGTCATTGCCAGAACAACATCTGCGTGAGAACTTTAGGGAGAAGGCTCGACACTTCCAAAGTCTGTCAACGAACTTCCCATGGGGCCCATTGCCGCAGACGACAGACACAACTGAACCGCAAGCCGCGAACCCCCCGCCAAGAACCTCCATACGAGAAAGCGCCTCGCCCCCCCGGCGGGAACCGGGTCCGGGTCCCCCGACAGGGAGAAGGTCCGGGTCCCCCGACAGGAAACGTTGTTCCGGGCCTCCCGCACAGGAAAATTGTAGGCCTCTCTGAGCCGCGGAAAGTTTCGGGCCGAGAGGCCAGCTAAGGTGCATCCGGGACCCTTGCATGAGAAACGGCAGGCCCCCCGGGGCGTGGGAAACATAAGCCTCCCAGGGGGAGAAAATTGTGGCCCGGCCGGCAGGGGAATCCAATTGGTTCCTGGATTCCGGGAAGACAATGCCCCGGGCCTTCCGGAAGGGCAAATTCCGGGCCTCCCGGGCATGAATGCGACGGCGCCCCAGGACGCAAAAGCCTCGGGGCTCCCCGGCGCAAAGGCTGTAGACGTGCCCAACCCCTGTCTGCGGCAAAGTTGCGCGCTCCGAAACCGAATCCAAAACGCCTCGGCGAGCCCGGGCACAGAAAAATTCTGAAGAGCCCGCGCCGCGCAGGAGGTGTAAGTGAGCTCGCGCCAGTCGGCACGCGATGGCGAAAGCTCCGCGCCAGCCAGGAAATAAAAACAACTGCGACTTCCCCGAAAGGGAAGCAACGGACCTTCCGCAGGAAAAGATCCGCCAGAGCTTCCGAGACCGAGAGGTACAGGGCTGCCGAAGGTAAATAAGCTTCGGAGCCTCCGAAGGTCAAAGCTCCGGTGCTTCCGAAGGTAAGAACTCCGGATCATCTCCCGAAGGCGAAGATGCCGAAGTGGAATCCTCGAGACACCTGCGCAGGAAGGCGAAGTGGAAGTGGAATCGCGAGAGATATGGATCGTGATCTTCCGAGAGTGAGAAGGCGAAACGAGCATGGAACTCCGAGAGGGACGGACCTTCCGAGGGAAGGCGAAATGCAAAGGGAATCCCCCGAGACATACACCTTCCGAAGGAAGGACGCACAATGAAATGGAATCCCGGGAACTTCCGTCTAACGTTATTCGCCACGCCTCTATCGATCAGATACAGAAAACAAAGCCAGCAACCTGTGATAAACGTGGCCGCGTTTGAAACAAACCCAGCGAAGAACTTTAGGCACGAGGGTATGGCAGTCACAAAGCCTAGAAAGAGCGCCAGACTCTTCCAAGGTGAGGCAATACGAGGAGGAGGGCTGACGAGGATGAAGCTGTAATGGTTTATTTGATTCCATTCAACTTGATTCCAGGAAGTAACTTGATTCCATGTAACTTGGTTCTTGTCCTCTTCTGGTTCCATACCTGCTCGCGCATCGCTGGCAATCTTAATATCGTCAGTCCGGCTGATGGTGTCCTTGAACAGCTTCGCTGCTTCCAAGCTGGTGAGCCGAAGGAGGCGACTTCTCGGGGCAACCGCACCGAAACCAGACGGTCGAGCGGTGGAAACTACCTCGCTGTTAAAACGCGACAGCTTCTCCCGGACGTGCTCATGCATGAGGTCACCATTCCTCTCGTAGGGCAGTAGTTTTGGGTCCTTCTATCCCAAACAAAAGAACCATTGCCCCCGTCACTTTGTAAAGATAGAAAAAGAAAAACGTGTTGCCAAAAATGAAAGAAAGTATGTATTGCAATGCAACTCCAAGTAGAAATACTCTCATCTTGTCTTCTCCCTTCATGCAGCAGCAGCAGGTGCACTGAATTGTTATCGTGTGCGCATACATTACAACTAGCAGATCTTCGAGGGTGTTGATTTTCCCAAAAGTACGTTCATGTAGGGATCCACACCGACGTGCAGCTCCAGCTCCCTGGGGCTGTAGGTGTCTAGTAAGCGCTCCGTGCTATTTGCGGTGTCGATTCCCACCTCCACCATGCGGAGCGGGGTCCGGCGAAAAGCCAGCAGCGTGTCCAGGAGGTGGGTCAACACGTTCCAGCGCTTGGGCCCCACATCCACAAAGAGAAACGGTGTGTGCAGTGCCTCGTGCGTCCCGCCAATCAGGTCCACGAGCAAGCGCGCGTTGAAGTGCGTTTGTTGCTGCTCCTCCACCGAGGCAGCAGAGGCCGTGCCGAGGCTGGCCGTGGAGGACTCGAGGCGCCAGAGGTGAAAATTCACCAACACACTCATCGACCAGTTCTCAATGAGCAGGCTTGTGCGACGGTGTATCGCCTCGACCACCCCGGGCCACCCGAGTTGCTGCTCGCCTTCGTCAACCTCGCGCACCAGTGCCTCGAAGTGGCGGTGCGCCACCACGGTCGTGGTGTTGCAAAACCGAGGGGGCCGATCCAGCTTGACATAGCGTCCGGGTTCCTCCGGATGCGCCAAAATCACGAAACCCTTGGTCTCTGGGAATGAACTGTGTGTTATTTTTTCTGTGGCTGGTGACAGCCTGTTGGAATCTACCTCGTGAACTACATCCTGTCCTGCGCTAGTGGACGATTTTTTAGCTGCACGTCTTGGCTCGTCGCTTAAGGCTCTTAGAGGCGACCACGCTGTGCCTTGTTTTATCGTCTCGTCTATTGGTGCTGCGACCGCACTTCTTCGTGCACCAAGATCCGGGTTCAGGCCGGCGAAGATAATGCTGCGCTCATCGTCGTAGCTTTCTCCGGCAGCCGCAAGCATTGGAGATTGCGATGTTTGTTCATCATAGGGAAGAACATTTTCCGCTTTCGGAGGGGGCGATGCTGTGTCTACTCCCTGCTCCGCCGGCGCTGTCTCGCTACTTCCGCCCGCTGACTCGACGTCATCCTCGTCGGTCCATTCGTGGTAGGTGCGAGTGCGTCTCCGCATCGTCTCGAGAAAATCTTGCCATGTGGTGGATTCAGAAAAATTGGAGCTGGCGCTCGAAACTACTTCCGGCTCAGACTTGCTTTCGTCCCCTTCAACATAATGTCCTGAGGTCGCAGCTCCACTTCGCATCTTGGAAACGGTCGCGTCAAACGCCGTTTCAAACAGCGTCACAAAGTGCTGGCAAAGATCAAGACTCCACTTGTCAGCGTCGTACGTGAGGTAAAACGCGTTGTCGGGAGTAATAGCAGTGCAATCCAAGTCGCTCAGCATATTTGCTCGCAACGCGTCGAGGCATGTTAAAAAAGGTGCTGTCCCTGACTCGTCCCCAGCGCTGTGAGCCGTTCCATCCGCTGTGTCCGGTTTGCCGTCCGCCTTCGACATCGTACCAGACCGACAATCCTCCCACCGCAACGGCCATCGGACGTCGTAATATTCGTCAGGGAATCGAAGTACCGCAACCGCCACTGCCGACCTGACAAAGATTGCCCACGCTGCGGCACGGACTCCGCGGCAGAGCGAGCGCAAAGTCCCTGTGGTTGTGAGGCGGCGCAGGCCCCGCGACTCGACGGCCATGTTCAAACAATCACAATGTCTTCGATTCACTTTCACCTCCACGCGCAAGCCACTGGAGAGAGTTCTTTTGAGTCATGCGTGTTTACCGCCACAGCTGCACGGAACCGAGACGCCCCTATCCTCCGCCGGAGGACCCGAGCTTATCCTTATCTTTCCTTCGGCGAGAAAAAGACTTTGAATAAAAGTAGAATGATGCCAGGATAAATTTTCCAGGACAAGTTTTCCTGTCGCCTTCTTCAGCAACACAACAACAGCCGTCCTCTTACTTATCGAACATCATCGTCGCAAGTACTTCGACCTTGCTTATACCGGCGCCAAGGGTTACCGTCACTAAGTGACTCCATCTTGTACGGGCGAACTATGAATGTTTTGGTACGCGTTAACTACAAGATGTTGCGAAAAAAACAGTCATGCGGGGCGCAAGATTTTCAAGCTCAAGGCTGGAGGGGCGAGCCTCAACGTCCTCAAACCACATTGGAGTCAATGCGCCGGAGCGGCAGGATTATATACTTATCCACTTTTTATGTGCGTCGTATCACCGATCATACATTCATCAATATTGGAAGAAGCTTGGCTTTTCAGAAAAGATGCACATTATGAATCACGCATCCGTCAGCACGAAATGAAAACGAAACGTAGCGAAATATTAACAAATCACTGTGCATTTTGATTTTGTGTTAAAGATCACGCGATGTTCCTGGTGAAGGGGGTGTACAACCTCAAACATATGAATATCATCTTGAAAAGAGATCATCATGACCGCGATCTTTTTATACAATTACAAAGTCAGAAACTTAAACTCGTAAGCAACAAAGCTTTTCAATTTCGCCGATATCTTTACTGCAGCGCGTCGCTCGAGGTCCCTAATCCAAAAGGCGGAAGAGCGAATCATCTGAGGCTTCAATGGTATGAAACGGGTCCTCGTCCGCCGTTTGAAGTTGATCAGCGGCATTGTACTGACGCCCGTTATCCGGCCCATCCTCTACTTCTTCATTTTTTTGAGAACCCCTATTAGTCTGCCCGTCGAAGCGGCCACTGTCGCGGTCCGACCCCGGCCTGGTCGCTGCCTTCTTCTGAACAACTACCGCATTTTGATTTTTTCTCCGCGCTGGTATGAAGATTTTGTACTTTAGTTGCTCGGACCATGACATATCCGACTCTCCTAGAACATTGCCGGTTCCACCAAAAGCTCCATTTCGACGAAGAAGTGCACCCCGAAACAGCGGCAAGCGATACAGTACGCCACTGTCATCTCCTTGAGCTCGCTCGTCTCGGATGTGGTCGCTGCTCTGATCTTCTTGTTGTGCTACTTTTTCATCTTGTTCAGTAGGATCTTCGAGATCAAAAAGCGTCTTGCGTTCCTTTCTTGCAGTACTCTTCTCTGCAAGAATGATATGGGTATCTTCCTGCAATAGCGACCGCTCTAGTTCGTACTCAACCTCCGGATCCGCTCCCGTTTTCGCGGTGGATAAGGCAGTGCTATTTCTTTCGTTTCGACCTGTCTGTGCAGCTCCGCGATTTTTGTGATTGAATCCTTCTTGGCGCGCTGCTTTATTCCGTAGAAAGGTGCGCACATGGTTCTCGACCGCGTCCACGTCGGGGAGTGCGGGCTGAGATGCATCAACAGTCCTCGCGGGGACCACGAATTTTGCGACCTTGGTGCCGCTAAGGACATCGAGAAAATCCCTCGTCGTAAATGTTGTGTGCTGCCTTTGGACGGAACCGAAGATATCGCTCCCCGCGGATTTCTTCTCCTTGGCAACATATCCGGGCGGTGACACGAATGCGGCTTTAGCGAGAAAATCCAACACCGGCATGCTGCGCAGATCAAAACCTAGTAGCTCACGCAGATCTGCATTCATACGGTCACTGCAATCATCGATCAAGTCGACTAGAGATCTCGCGCTCGTTCGTTCGCCAGCGGCTCCCGCCCAAACAGCCGAACCAGAAGCAGCTAAGCTTAGCGGAGTAGAAGGATCCTGTTCATCTTCTTGCGGCGCACTGTAGAAGGTCTCATCCGCTGTGCAGCCGTTCCGGCGGAGGTACTGCCAAATTGTGTCGCTCGCCACACTGGAAGGGAGCTCGATTCCGGCCTCGAGATCCCCCGTCCCCGCGAGTGAGCGAGCGTTGACGTTCGCGCTGGACACCACCGATACGCCCGCCCTGCGCTCGGAATGATTTCTCAGGCTTGCCGTTTTGCTTCTTTGCAGGTTGCGTTCGTGGCGACCAGGCTCCCCGTGCGTCTCGCTCGCGGCAGACGGTTCTGCCACAAGAACTCCACTCTCATCAAAAAAAAACCCGTTCGTTGGTTTGATTTCTTCCGAAGGCGAAGTAGGCCCTCGGGGCTCAACATCGACTCCACTCTCGTCATCTTCTTCTACCACAAGCATTTTTGAATGGACGTACACTCCATGAAACTCCACCAGCCAGCGACCGTCGTTCGTTTTGGCAAGGAAGGCAGATGCCATGTGAAAGAAGCCTACTCGCCCGCAGGTGTGGTTCCTATACAACTCTTCTTCGTGCGGCCCCAGGTTCTGGTTCACGTGTTCTTGGCTATGTTGCGAGGTGGTGGACGGTTGGCCGTCTATTGCAGCTGGTTGTGGAGAAGTAGTCCACGCTGGGTCGCTCTTGTCGTGCAAAGCAACGGGAGCAGCCTCCTGATTGCTACCAGTACTGATTCTGCATGGTTTCAGGTAGTGCCGCAGCATCGGATCCGCCTCGAAGCGTTCTATCGTACGCCATGTCAGAGCAGTTTCAAGGGTATTTCCGCTGTTCACGTAGGGAACGGTAATCGCGAGGCTGTATTTCGTCCTCCGGTCGAGACTAACACTACTCCTTTTTACCTTCATCTGCTTCACCGTTTCGGCCGGCATAAAGACATGAGCGTGGTTTTTCTTTTCCACGTGTGAATCAGCAGCCTCGGGAGATGCCATTCCTTGTAGTGCTACGCTAGAGGTGGGGCGATTCTTGATGCTCTCACTGGTGGAATTGGATCGCGTACTTGCTGAAGCTGAAGCTGAACTAACGTCGGCTGCAGTGCTCTGCATAACCCTTTGTATCAGTAGACAGGGAAGCGGCACGACCGACACGCTTCCTTGCGCAGCTGGCCGCACTCCGTCACGCGCGAACGGGGGAGGACGTGTTCGAGAATCACGAGCCTCGTTGTTCTTGCGATCGTAGAAGTCGGCGCCGACGTCATGATCTCCTTGCTGTACAAACGCCGAAGACGATGAAGATGGGGCCGTGCAGGTTTCCCGCACACCAAGCTGAAAATATTGAGTTTCGAGGTAGACGAAGCCGGCTCCTGCACTGCACCGAACTGCGCGCTCGAGTGCCTCGGATAGCTGACGTCTCCCGAATGACTGGCGTGAAGACACTTCCTCACCAGCTGTGCCGTCCCTTGTCAGAATCCCGCCGTTCCAAAGAACTTCCAAAGAAGTAGTAGGAGCTTCATTTTTTTCACAACCCGCCGCGTCGCCCTCTTCCTCTTGTGGCATCTGCAGGAGATTTTGTTGTCCGCCCTCACCACGGTCCTCTGGTCCATTACCGTTATTTGAGGGTTCAGGCGTTGGCGCCGTTTTGAACCATCGCAGGAACCAAGGGAAAACCGAGGCAGCTGCCCCGGAAAAAGATACCCACGACCGCGGAAGCGTCGCCAGCGTTGTTATGATGTGTGACAGCTGGTTTCGCAGTGCACGCGTAACCTGGGGCGCGGCATTGCGGATCAGCACTGCCACATCCTGCCGCTCCTGTGTCACAAGGTCAATGTGGGGGCTGCTGGTGCCACTTGTCTGCTGCACCATGAGGTCGTGAGTGTCCGAGGCAAAACGGCCGCGGAAAGGATCGATACCGCCGACAATAAAGTGCTCGTCATCCACCATGTAGAGCTTCGCGTGGTTCAAGTTGCTCAAGCCATTGCGGCCACGGTAAAATGGCAACCAATGGACATCCCACCCATCTGCAGTTAGATTCTGTACAATTGCAGAGTCCCAGAACATGGTACCCACATCCGGATGGGGCGAGGTTAACAGAATCTTCTCCGACACCGAGCGGGCCATCCTGCTGGTTAGAACCTCGCGAAGTGTCGTGGTACCAAAGGTCGTTTTCTTGCTAACAGGATCAATTTTAGCCGTACTCGAACTAGAATCTGCCTCCTCGATGCGATCTGATTCTAGTATGATAGGGAAGTCGCCAGTAAGAAACGTGGAGACGAAAAAGACGCTCTTCTTCGCCTCTAACAGCAGTTTTCCAAGAGCTTGCGAAAAATCTGCACCGCTACGTAATAATTCGTAAGACGGCGTGTTGCACCCCGTGCTTCCCCGGGAAGCACCGAAGGAGCCAAAGGACGACGGCACAGTTGTTGCGCGCACGATCTTGCTTCCTCCGCCCTTGTTCTGGTCACTCGCCAGTCGACCGCCGGGCGTCCGCTCTCGCTCTGCAGCACTGATAGTGTCGCCTTCCGCGCTGACACGCTGGCTGTCGACAGCACGGCCACTCGCGGGGGCCACGACGAAGGGTACCAGTGCCAGAGCATGACTCACAATATGGAGCCGCCTGAGTCTTGAAGCCATATTCCTCAACTGCAACTAGGGACGCTAGGAAGTGGATTTCCTACACGGTAGTCGCGAACGGGAATGCCCCTGCGTGCCAGCTGCAGAGACGAACCACCGGGAAGGCGGATGACGATCTTCGATCTTGTCGTGCGCCCGCGATGCTCCTGCTAAACGACGCAGAAAGAAGGAACGCATGTTATCAAGTGGTTGAACTAAATCAAAACTGAGTTCACAATTCTTTAAGTACAACACAAACTGTTGCCTGTGCTGCTATGGAAAGACAACCGAATGCATCATCATGAATTGCCCTGTAGACCACGGAACAACGTAAAATAAACGTTCGATTTTTCCTAACAGAACGCAGCGATAGATATACCTAGAATCATGAGCAGAATGAGGAAGAACTGTTCACATAACGTATGGAGATATTTTTTGTGTGCGTTTTTCTGTGTTCATATTCAAGCGCCACGATAAATAAGCTCGGTAACCTCCCACGAATAGTTCCCTTTTGCACTCTACTCCCATGTTTGCCAAGCGACGGGGGGAGATGATAACGATGGCGATGGGATTCGGTGACTATAAAACTTAGCAAGCTTGAGTCATGACTGGACCACAGCAGCGTGGTCTGCACGCCAACCGAGGGAGACCAAGGCGACACTAGTCAAAGCGAATCAGCGATTACAAGGACGACAAGTACAATGAATGGAATGTCCTAGCCGCACTGAGTAGTTACTTTCTTTGGATACTGTCTGTGTGTTTGTCCGTGTGTATATGGCAGGTTTTAGACACGGATCACTGTTGGCGAGTCGATTCTTGGAATGACTTGAAGGATCTTTTGCGATGCAGCTGCAGCTGCTTCATGTCTCACATCACTTTTTTTCCTGCTCCATTCCCAAGCGATTCATTGCAAGTCCTAGTCCCCTAGTGCTGCTCTGGCCGATATGAGTACCACGAAGCAGCCGCGTTTCTCCTTTGCCGAATCTGCACATTTCACCGATTGATATTTCATCCGTACAAAAGCTGCGCCTTTTGATGAGAGCAATTCGTGCGAAGGTTTCCGAATTTGTTGCTCTTGCTTCTGCTTTGCGAATCCGTCAAGGGTAAGGGAACACGTTCTTTTTCTTTTGTGATTTCAACAACTAAAAAGACTCATACGGCTGCAAACGAGATGCACTTCGTTCTCGTGGGTATGCCAAGAAATTCTTATTGATTCACATGCTTTTTGTGAATTTTTCTTGTTTGACTTATATTTCTGAGTAGTGTCGCGACGAGGTGGGTAGAAGGGACACGGGAAGAAAAGTGGCTCCCGGGCCGTCAGTCAGTATGCTGACAAAGAAATAAAGCGGATGAAAGTGGATGGAAGTAGAAACGGGCCCTAGAAACGCTTTAGAGAACACCAAAGCCTTTGGCGACAGATGCACTGGAACCCGATCCGCCTTTCGCACGAGCATGCATGTCGAAGGTGCCTTGTCTCTGCCGTTTCCGGGCAGACGAGCTGATAATCCTAGTATTGCCGGCGGTAAATGGATTGTTGCCCACGGGGGGCATGGGCGGAGCTCCTGGTTGCAAACTGCTACTTGCTGTGCCTGTGCCCGTCGTCGTGGAAGTGGGATTCAATAAGTTGCGCAGTCCGTTGAATTGCATCTCTGTCTTGCTTGGTGGTCGTGGTGCTTTCTCCTTGCTACTGGAGGTTGCGATTTTTTTTTCTGCTGCACAATTCGCTTTCGGACGTTTCGACAGGTCGTCGCCGCGCGAAGGCGCTACACGGCCACTGCTCCTCGACGTCCCTGGTAATGGTTGTAGGTTTGATACGTATGTTGTCGCAAACGGATTGTTTTCCGTGTGCTTCATCAGGTCTGCCTGGCCTTTCGCAGGCATTCGGGGCGCTTTCACCCGATTCGATGAGGGGGCGCTTCCGTCAACCTCGGACATTCCTTGCCGCGAAGAACTTCGTGGCGCCTGCATTTTGACTTTTTTATTCGCAGGTCGAAGGAGCCGATCGTTAACAGGGGCGTGCCGTTTCGCGGAGGCAACGCCAGCTCTCCCGTGAATGGCATTTCTCCCATTCGGACGCCGCGATCTTCGTGACAAGCATGTTGATGTTGCGCCTTTATATGAGGATGTTGCGCGGTGTCCGTGACCACTCCTTGGAATCGCTAAAGCCTGACTGCATACGGGGCAAGACACCTTGGTCTTATTTTTGCCTTTGTTTCGCGCTGACTCCTCCTTGCCGTGATTGCTACGGGAGCTCTTTTTGCTGGTATCATTCTCCTCTGGCAGTCCTCGTCTTTGCCTTTTCCCCACAGCGGCGGTGTTGCCTTCCCGAAGGAGCTTCTCGATATCTACTTGTTGACCACACTTGTCGCAGTGTCCTGGCACAGGGTACGCCAGGTGGCGCAAGGCGTGACGAGCCAGGCCTGGCTCGGTCGCGGCGTAAATCTCCGCAATTTCTTGCAACAGCGCAATGCCGTCCCGAAACTGCATCTCCATCTGTTGTGCTTGTGCCGCGCCGAGGCTCATGGCTTCACTTTTGTGATACAACCGCCGGAATGAAGCTGCTCTACTATGTATTTACTGTTCATCTACTTTGTTTGCTGGTCGCAACTATAGGGATCCACATCCATACCTGAACAGAACCTGATGTGATCGACGTCCATGATGATCACGATAGGTTACAGTTTACATATACAAAAAACTCGAACTATACCTTCGACAGGTACGGAACTTTCGCGATCTTTTGTTTCGTCAGATCTTACTCTTTTTCTCTGGTTGCGGCTTGATCGCCACACATGTAGATGGACACATACGAACGGGAGACCATGATCATCATCGTGTTCCCCGTCGGGAGCGGGCCATCAAGAAGAACAATCGAGACAAAATCGATAAAATTTCCTTTTCCATCAGGGATTTTTATATGCGGTCGCGGTGTTTGATCGTATTTCGGACTTTTCATGGATTTTGTTTCCGACAGTTACAAGCAGCACTGCATTTGAAAGAAAGGGGCTTCGCATCATGCTCTCCCGTGGTAGAACCAGCTGTTGTCGTTGTCTGTATTTCCGTTCATCATTTGATTTCGACAAAGCGAGAGTTGGTCCAATCAGCGTTTTATTCCATTTTTGACAGCACTAATGCTCCAACGTGCTTCCGTGCTTTTCATGTCTAAACGATTCTATGGTGTTGCCCTGCTGCGTTGCAAACCGTAACACTTGAGGGAGCAGTAGTACGGCTTCCTTACAACTGCAGAAGAACTCCCGTTCCCTTCTGTGCGGTTTGTGATGCCACTCCCCCGGATTCTTTAAACGCGACCCACTTCTTATAGTGAGGGGTTTCCTTGTGAGCCGCGAGCCCGTCTGCATCCTTGTAGATCTCGTAGAAGTGAAATTTCAGCGGCGAGTCTGCAGACTGCAGCAAATCAAACCGCAAACAAGCGGGCTCTTTCCGGGACTCTGTTACATCCAAGTCCATCACTTCCCGAAACTCATCCAAGCGGTCCTCTAGGATTTCCACCGTTACAAAAATAGCGACGGACATTCTTCGTATGTGAAAAGAATACGAATACTTCGCGACACGATTCAGCACCACGCTTCACTATTTGCTCTAAAAGTTTCTGCACAGAAAAGATCACCTCTGATCCTTCGCTTCGATGATCATGGGTTCCGTCATTATTTTTTCTCGAACGACTGCTCGGGCAGCAAGACATGACAAAAAAACTCAAACAAAAACGAAGCAATGTACGCAAGCACGGGGCGTTCCCACGTCGCTCCAAAGAAATCAATATGAATGAGATCCTTGTTGGAAAATGCCGATGATGGCGTTGATAGCCAAAGCTTCAACTTTAATTCACCCAGCACCCGGCTATGAACCGAATCGCGACTGAAAAATGACGAAACACATACAAAACCTAAACGCCGAGGGAAAAATAACCTACACCTAGCGAAAGTTCATTTTCACAGCAACTTGCGCGTGTTAGCCCCACCCTTTGCTGTGCTCGTTCTAATCAGGCGGCAGAGAGAGCATCATACTTGCTGCAAATGTCGGCGAACACAATAAGGAGAACAGGACCAAAAGTCTTCTCTAGCACTTCGATATCAACAATCAGTATATTTCATAATTTTCCTCTCTGCAAGCAGAGAAAGATCGCCCGTCAATTGGTTCAATTTTCACAAAGAACAAGCAGCAAGATCCTTTCAAGCTCAAAGAGGTAAAAATTCTCAATCTACAAGGAACAAATCTATCTTTCTGCAACAGAGGTTGAAACAGCATGCATGCATTTGCAGGCACACGACCAAGGATTGAGTCGCGTGGGACAAGAAGTGGCTCGTTTCCCAAAAGAAGGAGGAGCCTCTCCTATAATCCTGCATCATTTTCGTTTCGAAATACTTTACTATCACCATCGAGAGCCGCTGCACTGGTGCAGGAACGGCACCATCTCAAGTACAGCACACAGTGCGACTTTAGTACTTGTATCCCCGCCGCTGCATTGCCGAAGTCCAGAGACCCAGCAAAAGGAGAAAGAACGTGGTCTGCAGTGCCGGGGCAGCCCCGAATTGGGCAGAGCTGGCGAGATAGTTGCCGTCCGTTTCCCATCGAAAGCCGCGATTTCCGTATAAGCTGTAGCACTTATTCATCTCCATCTGGTACCTCCGTCAGATTTGTTCAAAGCAATAAAGTCAGAGACTGTATTAGATATGTAGCAGTGGACACAACATTTTTGCATACGGAAGGAACGGAACCTCCACGTCGAGGGGCCAAGAGAATTATTTGTTACTGCACGGTCAGTGAAAAACAAAAACCAAATCGTACGTTCTGGTCGGGCCTTGGCAGCCTTCGACCGAAGAGCTGCCCTCGTAATCTCTTTCCGTGATATTCACGTACCCAGCGTCACTGCTGAAGTTCTGGGTGCCTGTGAACGAAAAAGGAAGCAAAGTGGCCGTTTGCAAGAATAGCCGATTTGGAGATGCATGTATCTTCAGCAGCGAGAAGGCGATGAGAATGTATGAGGATCTGCAAACGGACTAAAATGAATGTTTCCAGATCACAAGAAGGACTTAGCGGAATCAATGCACATTCTTATGCCTCTTTTCTTATCGGTAATACACAATTGCCGTGAATCAACCAAAATTTTCACAACAAGTACCGTTCGAGTATCGCAGGCATTCTTTCTGAATGGGGTACTTGTATGTCACCGTTGGGTTACCCGCGCAGGTTGACGTCGGATAAAACAGCTGCCGTGCCATCTTTAGCGTCGAGCACGCCTCTGTATTGCAAAATGTTGCGCAGGTTTGTCTTCTACTTGATGAGTAGACAGGACGGGAATCACAAGAAACTTCTCATAATAAACATCATCCTGATCGTGACGGCCTCGTGCTCATTTCAATGAAAGGGAATGGAAAAGAACGTAAATCCATATACAACATTTTGCCCTCCATCCAAACCATCTGTACCTCCTTCCGAACACCCGCCGGCACGCCGCGGCAGCAGGCTATAGACCGCATAGAAGGGGCCCAGAAAGTCGGCGCACTCCGACTCGTCCGCAAATGCTTGGATTGGTGCGAAACCTATTTGGACGCAGAGAGAGCAAGAATATATGATAAGCCATCCGGAGGGATACACTTACGGGAGCGATGCTCCTAGTCCTACCTTTAGCTGCTCTGCAGAAATCCATAGAAAATATCCATCTCGATACACGAACTCGGATTAAGATTTTTTATTTTTTGGTGCTTATCATAAAGATTGAATTTGCATTTAGCGGAGGTTTATCTTCAACTACGCAAAACTACGGACCTGCTCCGGCTCGGGTCCGGCAGTGATCCGTGTACTGACGGAGGTTTACGGTCTTCTTGTACTTTTCATTTTGGTCGTCGGGGTTTACTCCATTGTGGAAGCGGACAATAGCAAAATCAAAGGCAACCGCGTCCGTCGGGTTGGGCGGAAAGCTGTATAGAAATTGACGTACTTAGTCTTAGATGGGCATAAATAATTACCTTTGCTTTCCGGGGCCTCTTCGCATCATCTACTCGATCTTCTTCTGAGACAATGAATGGATAGAGGAACAAGAAGAGCGATGTACATGGATGTTGCTCGTACTAAAACCAATGGCAATGCTGTCCTCGTGGAAACAGATGCAAGCCAAAGTACTAGCCAAAGCCGTACTTTCAACTTTCTGATGCTGGGTAGGTGAAGATCCGACACAAAACAATTACGAGGTGGAGTGACTTAAGTTGGCTTACGTGTTTGCGTAGCATACGATGCCAGATGCGGCGACCTTCACATCGGTTTGCGTAAACGTGGTTGTGCGGACGTCGGAAGTCGAGGCGGCGAAGGTCCTGTAATTCATGTTCGCTTTCGAGTCTCCTTTTGTGTTTGAATGTCGGCCACACACAGGCATGGCATGCGAGTGGAGGTGGACCACGACTACATAATATAACGCAAACGCAGCAAACAGCGGCAAATAAGTGGAAAGGTCGTCGGGATGCCCTTATGAACATGATCCTGATCCAATCAAATTAACAAAATACATCAATACCTTGATCCTGTCTGCTCGAAGCAATTCGCATCCTGGTAAAGCTTCACGTGCACATCGTACGTCTCCTGGCCCTCATTGCTTGATGAGGAGGCGTACGCACCCGGCAGCAGTCCGCCTCCCGCCAGAGGTTCCGGTCGCGTCATGTCAACGCTGAACTGCCCTCCAGTCTCCGTATCAAATGCAAATGTGTCTTGGTCGAGAAAGAACAACAAAACTATTGCGCAAAAAAGAATTTTTGCTTTTCCATCATCTTTAACATCAGAAGTTTGCACCTTTCCCAGCAATCGTACCAGACCCAGACAAAGACATATTTGCAATGCATATTCCGGATCCACTAGAGATATCACGTCCGGAAAGTGCGGCCCCAGATCGATTTCCACCGCTTTGGTTGTGTTGTTGTTCGTGTTGCGTATTATTTTGTTTCCGTCAGATCCGGCTTTTGCTGCCCGCTTCTTCCTGAGCCTTCTCTGTTTCAGATCTTCGCGCTGGTCCGCGGACATTCTGTTCAGTGTCCTCCCGCCTTGTCGTGCTCCTGCGGATGATGTGTAGTAGTTGTCTGCTGCCGTACTGTTGTTCTTCGAATTTTTCCCGGATGAGGTCATCGCTCTACGATTTGCTGACGCCACGGTGCTCGCAGTGTAATCGCTCCAAGAGGCTGCGGCGTCCTCTGATGACGCAGTCGTGTATAGCGGTAGGTCTGGGTCCGGTCCGCCGCTCTTGTCGGCACGCCCGACCGCACGAAACCCAGCGGAGGAGCTTGACGAGGACGAGCTTGAGTGCGTCTGCGGCCTCACTGTTCTGCTCTTCGTGCCTGTGCATCGTTGGGTCACACCAGAGGAGGAGGAAGAAGACCGGTCGTTATTGAATCGCTTAATAACGCCGTCATCTGTGGTCTCATTTACATTTTCTGTTCTCACTTTCGCGCCAGAGCGATGGTTCGTGCTATCACTTGAAGATGCTGGTTCTGGGTCCGCTTCGCTGTAGGCAGTAGAATTCCTCGATGTAGTCGAAGCAGTTTCTCCATGATCATGTTGCTCTTCATCCTCGAGGACACAGTCCTCGCCACCTTCGACGTTCATTACATTTCGTCCGCTACTTCTGAGAATGTCCTCCTCGTCCTGCTGTAGGAGCATTTCGTCTTCAAACAGAGACCCTTCTTCGTCCGCGTCCAGATGTTCCTCGTCATCACCAGTCATGTCTTCTTGTGCGGAAGTCGGGCTACTTGAGTCGCGAAGAAACGAGCCTCCCAGATGCAGTCGCCATCGGTGGACAGCTTCGCGACAAACCTCCGGCAGCAACAGCAGAAGCAGGCAAATGGCCACCGGCCACTCCGCCGCCTTGCCCATTAGCCGGCGATCAAACATGTTGGCGGATTTTTTTCCTTGATTTCCAAGTAGAACCCCACTGCGTTGTCGAAGCAAGTACGAAACGTATCAAAAACTGTGCTGGAGTGGTGCAGCAGCGAGGGTTGCCCAGATGAAACTTGAGTGCTGGCAACCCCTCGAAAACAAACTACTAGATGAAGAAAACTTCAAGCTCATGCTCCATCCATCGCACCATACAGCGGCCGCGCATGAAAAGCATGCACTCATAAAGGTGTACCACATATTAAAAACACGGTGGTAATTTACAGTGAATCCAGGGCTAGAAGTCTAGAGGTGGTCGCTGGCGTTGTCTGTGATTCCTGTAAAAGGAGCACATTTAGTGGCCATCATCAGCAGTTACCCTGTGCCAAAGTTCTGCTCTCTTGCCTATGGCGATGGCCAATATGCAAAGAGGAAATTAAGAAGTTATATACCGATGATTATGTGACTCCGCTCATTCAACAACTCGAACTCACTCTTGGTACTAATATAATAAACAGGACCAGACGCCGAATGGGGAGAAAACATTGATGGTGCAGCTACGCTATCACTACTGTATTCCGTCAATGGCACTCGGTACATCGGTCTCTGCTCTCTCATGGTGTATCACTGCTCTCGTCAATTCGTTGGCCACTCTCCTGCTCCAAACTCAACTGTAGTACGTGCAAAGAGATGAAAAAGAAAAAAGTATGATGCGCTTCTCTTGTGGTTAGTACTTTGTTCGGCAACACGAACACCGGCGGCGAAATCGATGAGCGAGCGACTGTTGAGGTAATTCGAAAACGAATTTCCGATCGGAAAAAAGTCGCTGGCCGTATCTCGTCACTCACGATCCACTGCCAATTTTTCGGCAAAAAAATTGATGTAATTTATCAACGTATGCGTTTCTTGAAACTTCGGAACCATTTTCATCATACCTGTATACTCAGAGTTACAGTCTCTTGACGACTTTTGCAATCCATCAAGGTCCCTCTGGTCCTCCCGTGTACGTCTAGTGAAGGTAGTGAATATGAATAAAACATGCATATATACAACAGAGATAATAAAGAGCCACTGAGCCGCGAAACCGGTTGCATTCTCAGAGGCGGGTTCATTTGCGGGACAAGTAAAAAATACCCATCAAAGTTGTGACCGTTCATTTTGATACTTTTTCTTTTTGCTCTACGATGTAAAAATAACCACGACGATGCCCATCCATGGTACGAGAAGAATACCTGTGATGACTTGGTCCACACAAGGGATTCGAGTTCCATGGTGCTGGAAGCTTTTTGAAAAAACTGACACCCGTGGTCTCCATATGTACTTTGGTATTTCTACGCTTTCTTGCGTTCTCATGCGAAAATCAGTCTTGATCATCATCTAATGTTAAAATTAAAATCTAAAGCCGTAGTTCTTCGTGCTAAAAATATCCATTGCTCTAATTACCCGCCGTGTTTTCTTGCTGTTCGTGATGCAAATCAACATCGCATGATCTCTTTTTCTTTACAGAATGGGAATCTCCAACCCCTACTCGTCCGCATTCCCCTGCATTACCATGTCGAGACTCTTACCGAATCTCCGCGACAATCCATGGCTTTTGCCAGTCTGTTTTCATGACGTGCACACACTGTTGCTGCTCGTGTGAATGATCGGCGACCGCCGCGCCCAGCGTAATCGCGGCATGGCCTCCCAGGTTTTTCGCGTACGCGCCACTTGGCGCCGTTATCTTCTCTGCCATATTTCGCGACAGGAGTACGAGACTTCCACACATATAGCTCCAGCAGAGAGGATGTACTCGTCCAGGAGACAAATTTTTCACGGCGGATACCTGCAGAAGCAGATTGCAATTAGAAAATACTTTTCTTTCAGCCAATGTTTGTTCGTCTTTTGCTTCTGTAGTTCGGTAAAAACTGGAGTAACATAAACAACTACGGGTGTTAGACTTAGAACTACTTGCGCACGGTCGAATAAGCTTAAGCACGCTCGCTGCAAAGGAATGAAACTACAGGAGGCAGCTCACCGTATTCTGAATTTCCGAGACCGGATGCTTCTGCAGGAGGTACTTCCGCCACGATCGTGCCAGGTTCTGCGTCTTCTCGTTACCGAAAAGAGGACTCGCGGGACCAGTGGCGGACGCGGCGAAAGGCGGCGCTGGTGCCGGCGCGGGTGGTTGGTAAGACTCGTAGCGCCAAGGATCAAAGACCGGTTGGTCAAACATGTCCTGCAAGGGCGGATCCTTGGAAAACACGCGGTAGTTGGGGGGTGTGTAGCCGCTTGCCTCCTCGTCGGCCACGGGCACGTACGAGCCGCCCGGCAGCTGCGAGTCGGGGGACCCGTCAGCGGCCGGTGGTCGGTTGAGAAAATCGGGCTTCGGAGGGTTCTTTATGGTCTCTGGAGCTACATCGTAGACGAGTTTCGGACCCGTTTTCGGTGAGATTTCCAAAACGGGCTTGTGATCGTCGGTCTTTGTTCGGAGGAGTGTCGAAGGAGAAGAGGCCTTGTTCGCCACTTCTTCTTCGTTTTCCTCGTCCGCAACCACTTCACCATCTTCAGCTTCATCTTCCTCGACCGCGTCGTCTCCTGCACCTGTATTTTTTTGCTTCGCCAGCTTCGGCTCAACCTCTGCCAAAGATGCCGAGGCACCACTTTCCTCTGCACTCGGGGTGACACTCGCACCAGTGGATTCGGCCTCGGGTGACCCTGTCTGCGAAGGAGGTCCTGCTCTTTGCGCACTAGCAGAATTCGTAGACGACGTACTGCTTGAAGTAGAATCATCATCCCCAGTATTGAACGGCCAGAACCTAGAAGTTGTACCCCTGTGATTTCTCCGGAGAATTTGTAAGAAGGCCGGCGCTGCGGGTTCATCGCCAGCGCCGCCGCTCGTCCCAGGCGCCACACCAGTAGCAGCAACAGCTCCCGGTTCCTCCTCTGATGTTGCGCTGCCTTTTGCCGTCCTCGTGCTGGGCAACAATACGCTGAGCGAGAGCTGCTCTTCACGTTTTGCCTCTTTGATGTTGTCCATCGTCTTCTTGTGGTGGACTCCTTTTTCGACGCTGTGACGTTTAGGTGCGAAACCGACGGGTATTTCCCCATCTGCTCGCTCCGATTCTGCCACTGTCTTCGTACCGCCCCTTTGCACGTCTGGGTCCGTCGTGCTCAGCTGCGTCTGCTTCTCTCCTAATCTTGCAGAAGGTTTTCTTGCACCCTTCGCTTTTCTGCCGGAAAATTTCTGTAGTCGTGGTGCCAAGGAGGATTTCTCAACAACGCTCGTGGCCCGGTCTGTGCTAACAAGACTGGCAGTCTCGTCTTCAGCGTTCCCAGTTGCGTCACCGTCTTCCGCGTCCTGCGATGCTGGAAAGGTAGCCTCGTCGGCTTGTTTTTTCTCCTCTTCGATGGCTTTCGCCTTCGCGGCCAATTGGGTAAACTCGTCTGCCACAGTGGCAGCGTCGGACGATGTTGATCCATCCGCCACTGCGGCGGCGTGCTCGTCCGCGAGCGCCTTCTGATTCTCGAAATCCTGCAGCAGCTCCGTTTTCCTCTTTTCCTCGTCCGCCTTCAGTTTTGCAGCGGCCTTTGCCGCCTCGTCCGCCTTTCCGCGCAGGGCTTCGAGCTTTTCTTTTGCGGCCTGCACTTCGGCCTCCGCGAGTTTCACGTCTTCCTGCGCACTTTCGGCATCCGCTGCCTCCGCCAACCTTTCCACATTTAGTGCCACCTCCTTGCCACTGCTTTTCGCACCTGCAGTTCCTGTTCCGTTGGTCGTTGCATTATTCATCTTCGCAGGTGCGCCAGAACCGGGCTTGGCCGAGGTCATGTTTCCAACCGCGTAGGGTGCGTAGTTTCGGTGGTTCAGAGGTCCGTACGCCATCAGCTGGCGCCAGGCCTGCGCGAGCTGCTGGGACCGCTTCCCGAACGAAGCTTCCGCCTGCGACCGCTCTTGCAGCACGGCGTGCAGCTGCTGTTGGGCGTGCATCAGTTCGTAGCTCAGCTTTTCGTCCAGATCCCGCAGCGCGTTCGCCTTGTCCGTTATCGACGCCTGGAACACGCCCGCCACATAATCGCCGTCCCCGCCGGGGGGGCTGCTGCTCCCGGAGGCCTTCTGCTCGCGCGGAGCGTTGCTGAAGTGATCACGGTAGTCCATTTTTTCCCCGGCCTTGCCGTAGTGGTACTGCTGGCGCTCCAGAGCCTGCTTGTACAGGTTTGGCGACGCCGGGGGTCCGCCCGTGGGAGGGCCTTGCTGGTAATGCTGGTACTGGTCCCCCTTCCAGTACTCCGGGTAATTGTCGGAGCTGAGCTCCGGGTTGGGGTCATCGAAATCGCGCCCGACGCGGAAGATTCGGGAACTCTTCTTGTACTTGTCCGGATTCTTGTAAGTCGTGTAGGAGGGCTTCTCCGCGACGATGTTGGTTCGCCCGTCTGTCACCGTGGTGTGGCAGTCCTTGCCCACACAGTGCTCGAACGCCTTCGCGCCGTACTTGGTCGTGGTCGTGCCTCCGCCTCTCGCGCAGTCCTCAACGGGGCACGTCTGCATGCACGACTTTTCGCAATTTCCGCAGCCATGGTTTTTCAAGCAGCACTCGTGCCAGCAATTGCGGTAACACACAAACACGTTGTCGTAGGGGTTCATCTTGGTCTTGCCACCACCTCCACCGTCTTCCTCTCCACAGCTAGCCTTTATTCTCGCCAACTGCCGCTCCAAATCCTGAATCCGGGCCTGCTGCTGCGGAGATGAAGCTCCCCCTCCCGGTGGTCCATCTCCGGGATAGTTGTACATGGCGCCATCCGCTCGGTCCCCCCCGTATTGCCGGTAGTTTTTGAAAATCTCCTCCTGCCGGGCGCCCCCGTCCTTCGGGCCAAACGAGCCGGAGGCGGAGAAGCTTCGCGTCCACCACGCGTTGGGATCCGGCTTGGGGGCCTTGCAGCTGTTGGAGGTCGGGGGCGGCAGGTCGTCGCTGTATCAAAAGCAAAAATCCCCCCTCCCCATATCGAACAGGTATGTTTTCGAAAATTTGCATTGCTGATTTGAGGTCGCAAATCACATTTGTATTGCAAGAAGACAAGGGCAGAAGCTTCCGCCCCACTATGGAAGCGATTTGTCATGCTGTTGGCCCTAAAAGGGATCCGTTTGCCATGCTGAACAACTAGACCCTTACGCCCCTACCTAGCCTGGGGATCTGGCGCTGGCCGCAGTGCCTCTCTGCAATACAAACCTGATTTGTGTACACAAATCCAGCATCAGAAATTCCGTTTTGATATGGGGAGGGGGGATTTTTCCTTTCGATACGCTGGGCCGCTTGGTCACCACCAGGGAGATCAGCGTTTCGTCGTCCATGCTTTGGATGTCCTTGTCGCTGAGAAACTTGGTGTTGATTTCCCGCGTATGCATTGCAAAAGTATCGCAATAGCCTAAATTGCATCACAAACTTTTTCAAAGAGAAAAATGCAATGTGTAATGCTGCTTTACCTTAGGAGGAAGATTTGTCACGCATGTTTGCAACTAGTACGAGTACGATACTTTTGCACAGCATACCGCGGGCTGATCTCGGCCAGCGCGTGCGGTTGCTGCGCTGAACCCCCGTCGGGCTGCTGCTGCGAACCTGCGGGAAAGGGCGAATACTTCATGAAATCCTCTTCCACCGGGCACCCGCAGCCCTTCGGCGGGCAGAACGAAAAACTCCCGCACCGGCTGAAGTCGGCGCAGCTGCCAACGTAGCTCTCGCACCCGGTCGCCATCTCCTTTGACAGCAATTTGCTGACGTCCTCGAACAACTCTCCCGTCAACGGAAAGGTGGTCATCTCGATCTTACCGATGCGCCTATGCGACTAAAAAATGCTACCGTATAGCCAAACTTTCTCGCGTGCCGTCATGTCGATCTGTAAGTCGTCTATCCTATATCTACAACGACCTCACTCGGTCGTGTGCGTGTGCCTCCCCCCCGAGATGCAAACTGACATAATATTTCATGATGAAGTACGCAACATATATTCGTTTGTCACCTGCTCGCTCCCTCAGGACCACAGGCAGTCCCAGCAAATAAAATGCAGGAGCTGCACTCCGAGTTTGACTTGAGGCAAAAACTTTAGTGTTGAGTACTGCGTCGCCCAGCTGAATTCCCTCGGAGCGTGGTACATCCATAGAAAGAGCAGCGAGTTGCCCCGTTGCAACTGGCTTTTCTGCGGGCCGCTGAAGTCACTCTCCTCTCCGGCGGTCTGAGCGGTCGCGTTGCTTGCGTCAGTAGCATTCGTGCTCGAGCTCGGCTGCGTTGGTTCATCACCGTCATCCCGACGCGCTGTGTCCGCAGTGCCGTCACGAAAATGTTGTAGTTTGTTCGCAAGACTTGCTTGCTCGCGCTCCTCCTGATTCGCGGTCTTCTTCTTGCTTGCTCTCGTGCCGCCACGGTGCATCTTAGTCTCAATAGTCTTTGCCCGTTTCGTCTTGGCGCTCCTTCTCCCTCGTGTCATCTCCTTTTGGTGCACTTGCAAAAACGTGGCAGTCGTCGATGCAACGCCCAGGGTATGAAAACGGAGAACGCCCCCGCTACCACAAAACAGCAAAGAAACGAAAGAACGAAGGGCTTGCAGCGCTGAGGCCACAGCAACCTAATAAGCGCAAAGATAAAGATGAGAACAAACGCACAATTAGTATTTTGCGCGCAGCGCGGCTGTAGTATGGGCAAGATCTATCCATTGTACCAAAACAGCATGCTGCCGGGCGGCCGAAATTCTGCGACACGAATACCAAAAGACGTCGCGCAGGCGCACACACAGTTCCGGTTCCCCATTCCCGGAGCATACATGAACAGCACCTTTCGTTTTTACAAACTTTTATTAATTTTATATCTTTTATTTTCTTGTATGAAAAAATGCTAAATTTTCGCGCTTCTAGGAGCAGAGCACTTCTCGCATCAATACAGAATCCCGGTGCTGTTGCTCGCTTGTCCGCCGGGTGCCAATTCGATGCCGTCCAGCGACAGCTTCACGACGTCTGTTCCTTTGGCGAGGTCTGCCGCGGAGATCACCGAGCTGCCAGAAACAACGAACACAACGAAAACCTGTATCCTTCGCAAACACGCTAGGCTCACGCTCTTCTTATATTTTTCAGTGCAGTCGTGGGCCCTCGCTCCAGGCCAAAGGAAAAATAAAGCACAGCTTTATCATGCATAGTGTTGCTGAAGGGGAACCGAAGCAATCACAAGCACGAGAAACTTCGGAATAATCTGACCTAGCGATTTTCTGCAACGGATACCATCACATGCGTCACTTTCTCCGTCGGGGTAATCGTTTAAGAGGCAAACACCTGTCGTAGATTTTTCATGTGCATCCAAGAATATTAATTTCTCCTCGGTTCGTCGTTTTATCATCTTGCTTCGAAATTATTCGAGAACGAAGAACTTGACAATTGAGAAAGCCGGTTCAGAAGTAGAAGTACTAGACGAAAAACGTCGGCACTACCAACCTTCTTGCTTCATCCACGTGTCGCGCAGTACCGCCCGACGCGCCTGGTCTTGATTCGGTTCCGTGAAGATTCCCAGGATGATTTTGGCCGATTCTGCAGCCTTTGCGCGAAAGTCCACCGTGCTCTTCCCCGCGTATTTCCTCGTTAATTCGTGCCAGGCTTCGTCGAAAGCCGGGAGCGAGTCTGCGTCTGAGGGCTCGTCGCCCCGACGATTGCCACTCTGGATGAGATTCAAGTGGTGCGAATCCACATCTTCGCGCTCATCCACCCAAGCCCCGGTTTGGTCATCTTGTTCCGGGGAAGATATTCTAACACTCCTCGCTTCCACAACCTCGGCTGCTTTTGGGCCACCACCTCCACGACCTTGTTCTCCTTCATCTACTTCTACTTCGCCAGCTACCTTTTCGTCAACCCGCCGAAGTAGAGCGGCGTCTTTGATTTCGCTGCTCGTCCTAGAGGAGGACCCAAAAGCATTTGCTGCGCTGCTTGTCTTCACACGCGTTTCGCGTTCGGCACTTGTATCCTCATTGGCGGTGCCGGATATGGCCTGATTAACAACGGCACCTCTGCTCCTAATCTTGTGTCTTGCAACTGAGGCCGCCCTGCTGGAAGACGCTCGCAGCGCCAGCGTTCGATCCGGAAGTAAAAGTATCAAGACGGCAGCAAATGGAACGAAGGTAAAAAGCCGAAACCCGTCCGCAAACGATGGCATCATTTTTTTGGTAGCAGCCCGCGCCGATGAAGATTCAGACGGAATCCCAGGCCGTCGCAGGCCGCCGAGGCTCCGTCGTTCTACCATCACACAGTAACGCCATGCGCCATTACTTTCACGGGTTTTTTTTCACATGTGCCTTATTTTTTACCGAAGCTACGACGGAGCTGAGATCTATTAATTTGCCATTGTACATATAAAATCGTGCCTCTTCAACACTCGGATTCTCGACATTCAGCCGAGCATCAGCTACTGCAGCAGTACTTTGTATGTCACGCATGCACAAGCACTGCAGCCGCTGCCCAACTCGATACGGTCCCACTCAGGCAATCGGAGCTGCTGGAACCTTTGGGAAAACAAGGGCAAGCGCAAAGCGAATGTCACAGCAGTCGTAGTGAGAGTGCAGTACTTCACTCACTGGCCAGGTCACAATGAATTCGCGTGGCACGCGGTGCAGCACCTGCTGGGAACACAAATCTCCGTGTCTAGTACTAAAGTTGAAAAAGAAACACCGCAGCGAGCCGAGCTGTACAAAGTACATAACATCAAAGCCAGGTTGATTGCTGTTGTACTCATTTTCTGTCAAGTATTAAGTTGTCAGCGACAAAAATTCCGGTAAAAGCATCCCGTAGAGAGACAAGGACAACGCGCACTCAACAGACCGTCATAGTTTAGGAGTTTACTTTTGCTTCATTTTGAAACTGGTGCTATCATAAAAACTCCAGCGGCAACGCAAGAGTAAGTCAACGTAGCGACAGCGCAAAATGAAAATGTGTTGTGCGAGGGCTCACCCTGGTCCTGCTGCGTGCGGTATTTGCGCACTGTTCCTCCTTGACAACGAACTGGAGCTGGTGCGTCATATGTACTTACTTCCCTTTGACTTCCGCGCCCTCCTTCATTTCCGGGAGATACGATATGACAGCAATGCCGATCAGGTTCAGCATGGCGCCCCCGAGCGTCCCGGCAGCGGAACTGTAGGAGAACCTAAGGTACTCCTGGAAGAAGGTGACACCAATAAGCATCTGGAGTACCAGGCCTAGATCGTATCGTGAGAAAAAAGTGCTTCATTGCAATGATTTCCGAAGTTTATTGCTGATCTTCATTTGGCCTCGAGGCGAACCTTAATTTTTTGTCATTTTCAGCTGACAACAAAAAATAAATTGCTCTTCTGTAGAAATCGTCACAGTGAAGCAGTTTTTTCTGACGATAGACCGCAATCAAGCGTAATAGTGGTGGTCGAGGCAAAATACTTCATGCTCAAGGACACCGTCATGGTTGCCAGGATTGCGCAACTGATGACCAGCCCCGTGAGAAACAGCAGCAAGATAACCGACGCCGGCAGATTCCAGGCCGCGCCCAGGTTCGGCCTCCCCTCGCTGAAGGCCACCTGCTCGTACCTCAATAAGCCAAAGAGGCATTTGCTGAAGACGACGCTCAATGCCCCGCAGGCACAGGACAGCACCATCAGTGGCAGTTGGCGAAGGTTGGTGGTTCTCTTCAACAAGTGCGGCGCCGCATCCTCAGCATGTTGCCCCGGTTCCGTTCCGCATTCGTTGGCACGATTCATCTTTTCATGCCCCGCATCGTGCCCAACCTCTGTCCCCGTGTGCGACTGCTGATACTCGTTGTTTGCATTGCAAGCTCCTGGCGATTGCTCATCGACAAGGGTCCTACCTGGCGAGTGCGGCCGCTTTCCGTTCGAATCGTCCTCGCTGCACGAAGACCCAGATGCAAAGTCGCGCAGGGAGCTTGCTTCGATACGCGTCATGCTCGCACTTCCAGGTGCCAGCGTACTGGTTGTTGAGGTAGAAACACTCCTCATCTTTTGCGACGTCGGCACGGAACCGTAACAAGTGAGCGTGGTCGTTGCCTTGGTTGCAGATTCGTCAGCGGCTCGTCTCTCCTCCCCCGATAATTCCTGCCTGCGCTGCGAGTCTGGTCCGGGTTGTTCTTTGTGTCGCGGAGAAGTTCTGACAGATCCCGGCTGCGAGCAGCTTCTACCAGTCAGCAACGCATTTTTTTCAACTCTCCCGGAAGTAGATACAACATCAACCGACCTGGTGCTGAAGAGCCAGGGCAGGATGTACTCGCGGTAAATGGTCCGTCCCTCCGGCCACACCAGCACGAGCACGGTCCCCAGCACGCAGAGAAACAGCGGGCTGGTGAACTTGTGCGCAATGGCGACCGGGCCCATGTCCCTCACGTTTTCTTCCTGGCGGCGGCCGCACAGCACCCCGACCAGACAACCGCAGAAAATCAAAAGCCCGCTAACGACGTGCAACCGCGTAAAGTGTTCCCCTAGCAGCAGTGGTGACAAAAAGCTGGAGATCACCAGGGACGACGGCAGAAGACATGCCAGCAGCGAAATTGGGGCCAGGACAAGGGCAACGGGCATCAAAAGCTGACCGATCACCCACAGCGCCATACCGAAATACCAAATCCAGGGCCTCGCCCGCAACAGCGACAGCTTCTGGCAGATCAGCCCCAGGGTGCAGAGAAACGACGAAGCGATCGACAAAACCACACCGCACAACCAGGGATATCAAATGTAATAAACACGTCCGGGCTCTGCCAAATGAAAAGAATATAGAAGCATCATATGACTTTATTTATATATTTGTTCGGAAGAATTTCTAGATCGGCCTTCACGTGAGTATTCCTCAAAGAAAATCTTCAGAGGAAGAGCTCCATGTTGACGATGCTCGTCGCATATAAGCATATTCACATGCCTGTCAAGTACTTTTATCAGCACAGAGACCAGAGCTGCAAAGAAATACTACGGAGTTCTGCGCAAAAACGGCTCGAGTGATAGTCCTCAGCATTGCCTTTTTTCACGAGCATGCCCAGACTGCAAATTAACGAAGCATAGGTGCCACGAGGTGGTGGTTGCAGAATCAGTGCCGCGCGTTATGGGAGTGTACGATTCCCCCACCGTCTCATTTGGAAGGGAGGACTAGCAAGTAAGAAGAAGTTTAGCAGGAAAAGAAATGCTTGCACGCTCTGCATTGCAAGTCTGCGCTTGCGCATGGATCTTAGTACTATTCTGAATGCTGCAAATGCACTTTTTCAACATAACACGCGAGATAGTGCTAAGTACAAGGCAACGGCAGGCAGAGGAGTTGCGTTTGTCCATGACAAATGAGGCGGAGGGGCAGTTCTTCGTGTGCACTCACTTTCATAACTTCCATGCTCGTTGGTCCCGGAGAAAGTGGTACCGCCTGCACGGGCCTGCTGGTTGCCGACTGCTCGTCATCTGGCTCGTGTAGGCGCGCCTTGGCTTTGCTTAGGTTTACTCTCCTTTACATTGCAAAAGTATCGTTTTCGTTTTTATCGTAATCCTCGTAGTCGTATTGCATTAGTAGAAATCGCATGACAAATGTTTGCAAATAGAAAAATCATGCAGATTCAAATAAGAGAGCGAACCCCAACCCGTCGTGTAGTATTGCGATTAGAACGACGAGTGCGATACTTTCGCAGTGGATATCTCCTTTCTCGCAGCAAAAGGTCGGATTTCAGGAGATCCGGTGCTCGTTCGTGTGCCGGAGCCGCGATCCGAGAGGACGACAGAGCCGAGGACCAGTCCGCTGGCGTAAATTGTCGGTCTTGCCCAAAGTCCTGGGTGAAACGCAGGTCCCTCTGACCTTTTGAACCTCTCGTCCCCACCATGCTGCCCTCTCCGTCACCAACGCCGGTGGCTTCATGATGCCCGTGGGCAGGCCCCTGTTCACCTTGGGCAAAGGTAGACACCAAGGTGGACGTGGCACCACCCGGCAAAAAACGACCTCCTCGACTGGTGCCGCCGCCGCGTGCAGAAACAAATTCTTCGCTAGTACGTTGATCATCGTTTCGCAAATCACCTTCACCTCCAGGGACTTGGCCTTCAGGTTCATGTTCATTATCAATGACACTCACAATACGGCGAGTTGCGCCTCCATTCTTGGTACCGCCCACCCTCCCCCCGCCGCTTGCGGCACTGGGCCTCACGTCGTCATCTGTTTCCACATGTCCGCCGCGATCGGCCTCGTCGGCATCACCGATGTTTACTGTAGTAGCAGGCGCAACAATTGCCCCGCTATTTGCTATCCGGATCTCCTCATGGCAAGGGCAACCCCATGACGATAGCAAAGTAAAGAAAAAATACTCGATCACGCCTCTGCCAAAAGAAGAAAGCAGGCCTCGCCGTCGGATTGATCTAATACCAATTTTCATTTTGATTTTCATTTCACAGAAAATAAACACTTACAATCGAGCTGCCCTGCGAAAGCTTACTTCAAGAAAACAACAATATCTTCGACAGAGAGAAACACATCCATGCGCCTATGGAGCGTAAAAATGAGAATGAGGTTCTTGTCTTTTACTGTATATGCCCTGTTTGTTCCGGAGGGACAGAGAGACAAAAAGATTTGCCGTTCGCCTCAAAATCTGCACGTGTTTTTACGAGCCCCGATATACATGGCTCGTGCACACTAAACACGTACCGGATAGAGTCCTCGACGCTGCTGACAATCAATACTAAATCGACACGAGGATGAGAGATGTGCTACGACAAGGAAGATTCCCTTGTGGTTGCGGTCGTCCATTTGCCCGAATCATTTTCACGATTTTTGTACCAATACTGCACCGATTTTCGTACTAGAAAGTTCGTTCGCAGTGGAGCATCGATGTAAAACGGACAGATGAGTATAGGCGCGTCTGGCGAGGGCGAACCGATATCGAAATAGTTTCGAGCACGAAGAAATGAAAACCGACACAAAAGGGTGAGTTAAATGCATACCAAACCGATGCACGGCTATTTTAGATGGGTAACGCAAGCATCAGTTAAAGAATTTGTGCAATTTTTTGCTTTTGTAGCTTTAGCGGAAGTCAAACTTGTATTTTTTGGTACAAAGCAAGCGCGAAACAAAGTTTCACGGTTGTCTCGGACAGTTCATTCTACTGCATGAATTCAATGATATCGACGCGGTGCATTTACAAGTATGATTGCGACAGAGCGCACGTCGTTGGCGTGTTCTCCTATTTGCATTTGATATCATAAAGTACTGAATTTTCGATCCGACTGCGATCAAAAAACGTACTGCGCCATACAAAGACATGTGTCAAAGTCAGACGTGTCCTCATTAAGTTCAATAAATTCCAGGGCTAGAGATTCGGTACTTACGGTGAAATTCTTTCCAGTTCTTCTTCTTATTGCTTTTTTATATGAGTGAATGAGAAATTTCCATCGGACTAGTGAAGTCGGGTGAAGGCGAAGGGCGCAGGGCGCTCCCGCAAAAATACAAGTATAGGAAACATCTTTGCCGGGGCATCACCAGCGACGCTCTACCGGAGGCAGCAAAGCTCCTTGTTCACGATTTCCACTCGTGCAGCGATTTTATGTAGTAGTCGGGAAAGATGCGATACTGGGCTGGCTCCACAGCGGCGTGGGGGAGATACATATCGACCTCAACTGTATCCTCCGCCAGGGCACGTTCCCTTTCAAGCTGTGCACGCCGTTCCTCTGCTTCGTCTTCATCCTCGCCAGTATGCAGAGAAGAGAAAGTGTCTGATCACCGGGTGTACATATCAGTTTCTTCTGCAACCAAGTACAACAAAAATAGATGAAGTAGCACTTTGCTCTGCCTGTGGCGTTGCACGGCGTTCCTGTCCCGAGAGTGCCAGCGACGACCCGTACGCCCTTCGCTTGGGACAAAGAAAAAGAGACAGCACATCAGCCGTAATACTCGTAAAACAAATGAAATTCTTGAAATTATGCCTGTGACAAATCATGATGAATGCAGAAGCTGATACCATTTACCGTGAACGCAGACACATGATTTTTCTGATGTCGTAAATCTTTTCCTGCGTAAGATTTTATTTGTGCTCAGTTCTTCGTTTTCCGCAGGAGCAGACAGAGGCAGAAACATACATGCAAAAATGAACAAGCATTCAAATTCATAAATGCTCGGAGACGGAGCCAATCGCATCACATCTCTGTTTGAAACGAGGTCGGAGTGGCCAGTTCAAAACGAGAAGATCGGGATTGATTCTGCCACAACCACACAAGACCTTGTCCTCTCCCAGGATGCGGATGCCTAAGCTGATGGTGGTCACGGTTACTATACTGCATGCCTAAGCTGATGGTGGTCACGGTTACTATACTGCTCATCCTACTTACTTCTACATTATTTTCTCGGTCAATAAGAATGAAATTGCAGGAGGCGGATGTATCAGAAATTCAAATTGCCATGCAAACCTCTCCGTCCTCGTCGCCGTCCTCTTCTGCTTCTTCCTCCTTCTTCTCGCCGTCCTCCTCGCCGTCTTCGTCGCCGTCGTCTGCGTTGCCCTCGTTGGGATCGGCGTCGGGCACCACTGGTGGGGGCGTCGGGTCCACATATGGTGACTCTGTGCTGGGCAGAAAAACCCACTTCACAAAGGCGTCAAATTTGTCCTCCTGGAAGACCCCGTTCAGGATGTCGGTACCGTCGGGGTTGCGGCACCCCTGTATCGAGTACTCCTTCAGAAACAACAGGAATTCCGAGAAATTTATCTCCGTTTCCAGAAAATCCGCTATCCCGATATCTGCACGTTGGTCGGTTTTATTCATGGTTGCAGTGTTGAGCTTCTGAATATCTTATCATTCTTTTTCGTTTGGCGCGTCTACACCGAGAAAGCGAAATGAACATCAAATAATCTTTGTTCTACAGTCTCCCGCCGTCGAGGCATGCCACCGGAGAGCCGCTACCGTCCCCGGGTGCATTGAATCCATCATGCACTCCAGCATGGGAGCCAACGACATAATCCAATTTATGTCCGTCGCCATCTGTTGGGTGCACTCCACGCCTTCACCTCGATCCGCGCGAGTGTATTCCGGCTTGAGTTATGCAAAGAAACAATGAAGCTAGTAGGGGTCACTACATTTGTTTGTGTTTCTTCTTTCCTGCTACCCTTTTCAATCAATATGAGACAGACTCACTTTCGTCCATTTTCTGATTCTTCATCATCATTTGTGGTGCGCCCGAGACGTGTGCGCTTCCGCCAATGCAAGTGCTGGCGGATGCACAAGCATGCTTGCTTTGTCCAGGGGGAGAACTCCCGCTTTTGTTCCATCCTCTTCCTTTAATAGGAAGCATTAGCCATCTATTAAGCCAATAAAGTATTGTCGTTTTGACGAGCAGCACACAGTAAAAAAGTACATACAAAAGAGCCCGCTCGCTCACTACTCTTAAGGCGGGCCTAGAAAGTGAAACTGTGAGCCCCAACCTTGTTGACTTACATTTCTTACAGCACCCGTGGCGTTCGCAAAGAGGGCGTTTAACCTGAAAGTGGAAATGTTTCTTTGCCAACTTTAGCTTTCCATGTTTTTTGTCACAGCACGCGCCTGATGCTGCGGCGTCTGATTAAGAAGAGTACAAAAGAACTAGTAGAATGAAGAAAACAAAAAACCTGCTACCGAGATCTCCTTCAATGGTATTTGTCTTCAAGATCAAGAACTAACAATCACGTAATTCTTCCGTACCCTTGCTTTTTTTCCTCCTTGTAGTTGAGGGAGCCCCGGTTCAGTTGCGTTCGGGTGATGCTTTGCTTCAGAATACCCAGGTCGTCGTCGCCTTCTACATCGTCCAAGAGCGCGGGAATGACCGCCGAATTCAGGTCTACCACGAGGTTTAGCCTCGATTTCAAGAGGCCCAATCGCTTCCACAGCTGCAAGACCTTTTTGAAGGTCGTCGTCACGATCTGCCGTCCATTAATGTGCGCGCGACGACTGTTACTGACGAACTTCGAGGTGCCGGCGGGGTCGAACAGCCCTCCTGCCGTAACGGTGTCGCTTCGTGGGCGGCTGGAACTTGAACTGCTGCTACTACCGCCGAAGGCGCCCGTGCCGTTGCACATCGTCCCGCAAAACAAGTCCCACAGCTGCGGGCGGTGCTGGTCCAGCACCACCTTCCATTCTGGCGCCCGAAGCATGTCGAAAGTCGCAAAGGACGTAGAGGGTACCAGCAGGAGCGGTTTGATGTTCTCTTTGAACAGCTTCTCTAGTTGCTTCTCCAGATCGCACAGGTAGGGATACCGCGCAATCGCAACCCGTGTCAGCCCTTCCAGAAAGTGTCGAAATAACATCGTGACGTTGTATTCGTGCGCGTCTTGTATCTGTAGTGTTTGTTTTCAACCGCCCAATTTTCATGTGACAAACCGCGTGCTGGTTAAAAGAGATAGCCAAATAAGGCAAAGGCAAAGCCCCAGGCATGATAATTTATTATGCATTAACTTCTTGTCATACATCAGCTCACCCTGTGTCAATAGGTATGGGAGATAATTCAAATTTTACAAAATTTTACGGGAAATTCAGGCTCAGTGGTAAATACCTGATAACTATCTCCAATTTTTCGTGCGTATCCAAGCTCCTTGTCAATAAGGTCGCCCGGATGCTCCAGAACGTTGAAATCAGTTGGACACTTTTCTTTGTGCCACCTTGGACCCCCGACGAGCCACCGTGTGAGCCTCGCTAGACTGCAAACAGGAGAAAGCTGGAATATTAATTTTTGGGTGCGAATGTCGAACTTTTATTTTGGCGTGAAAAAAAAGGATACGGCTGAGCCTCGGATGGGAAAGTCGATCTTGATCTATCAGATAATGACATGCTCATCACACTATCGCAAGCAGATAGAGCAATGAGCAAAGTAGAAGTACCGAGTACAGGGCAATGAAAACATTAAAACTCAGATTGACGAAAAATAACTAGCCTACCAATCTAAAATCCTTGGCGAAGCACCAGAACTGCAAAAGTGTTAGCACGTAGGGATCGTCGTCGTCGGACTTGAGGACTTTTCGGTACCGCAGGTACATCTGCTTCGTCTCCGACATGTAGCGGAGAAGCAAGTTGTAGCTGCCGGTGAGGGGATCCTTCACGACGCGTGTGGGGTCCTCCTTAATGAAGACCACAAGGTCCTGTATGCTGATGCACAGCCGCACGGGGTTGTCCTCACCCCCGATGTTCAAAGTTGTTTTTGCTACGGCTTTCCCCCGTGGCGGATTGACCTAATTCGGTGTCAAGAAGATAGTTGGCATTTCGACTACAAAATTCTGTCTCTACTACCGCTGCGTAGTACCTATTACCATGGCGTACCACTTTAACTTTTCTGCGTTGGTACTAGCGTGGTTGTAGTGATCGAATTTTATGTGTTGTCAATTCAGAAAGTAAATATTGGAAACTCGGAACCTCATCATCAGAAATTTAATTTCACTGCAGATTGGAGTATACCATCGTGTCATTCCTGAAGGCGCCACAGTAGACTGAACCGTCTTCGAAGGTAAATCGCCCGTTGTCATCCTGTTTGAGATTCTCCACCCAGTGGCCTTCGTATTTTGCTCCGTTTGCATAATGAAAAACCCCAAAGCTGTATGGTTATTATTTCGTAGATTAGACTAACCTCGACAGGGCAGTGGGCAGAGCGTTAAAAGGGCAGTGGAAGTGCGCAACATTGAATATCAATCGCAATCGGAAACGAAAACATCATGAACAAGTACACGAAATATAAGAGCCAAAATGTCGTCATGCTCTTTTTGCAGCAGGAACAGAAACTTTTCTACCCGTGCCGCTTTCCTGCCTTCCATTGTCCTTCATAGCGATTGTTCATTTGCTGCGAGGTGTGCTTGTCGACTTCGTTCTTGGCGTTGTTGAGTGCCTCCCACATGTGGCAGCCCTCTCCATCGGGTAGATTGCTTGACCACTGTCCGGTGTAGCTCTCGTTGACCCGCCCGTCCTCTTTCCATGTCATGCTGCCGCTTCCTTTCATGTACCCCTCCGCCCAATACCCGTCATATACGACTCCCTTGCGCCACTGCTGCATCCCCTTACTGTATTGAAGTTGAAAAACATTCACAAACCCACGCAGGCAGAGGCACTGCATCAATTAAGTATCCGCGCGTGCAGTCAAAAATAAAGAAAAAAGTGCGTACAAAATACAAGTGTCAAACTCAAAACGGCTCACTCCAGAATAAATAAAACATCATGGTTAGCTGGAGTTGTATTAGCAATGTTTCAAAGTAGAAGCTCTCGATTTTTTGATTCGAGCGCAGCGAGACCAACAGCAGACTTGTCAAATGGATTTTCGCAAGGACAAAACGCAACCGCGACGAGGACGAGCCGTGTCCTGCCACATCTACAAGCGCACAAGGAGAAGCATATTACGATAAATCATACAAAATAAATTCACTACCCGTGTTTGAGTCCGCCCTCCCACTGTCCAATGTACCAGGACTGGTACTCGGCGCAATCGAAGGCTTTGTCATACTGCTCGGAGTCCACTTCGTCCTTCTTTTTTGGTGCGGGGGTCTGGAGGTCCTCGGGAGCGGGTCCTCCTGATGCCGTGGAGGGTTGGGGGTCCAGCTGCGTGGTGGACGACGAGGAGGACTTTCGGGGCTTTAACTTGGGGAGGCTGGGGTGGAATTCCGAGTCCTTCGCGTAGACCATCACCCCGTACCCGTGCCGCTTGCCCTTCAGCCACGAACCCTTGTAGCGGCAATTGCCGTCGGCCGCAAAAAAGAGGCCATCACCGGTACGGTAGCCCTCCACGAAGTCTCCGTCGTACCATCGCCCGTCGATCCACCGGCAGGTCCCGTGGCCCTGGATCTGGCTATTGCGAAAGGGACCTTCGTAGTAGATGCCCGCTCCCTCCCAGTGGTAGCTGCCAGTGCCAAACTATGCATCGCACAAGTATCGCGCTACAGCACGTGACTTTTCTCCAAGTTGCGTCACGAACTCGATGAACTGCTGGTTGTATCCATGCTGGGTCAATAAAAAGTTGACTTTTTGTTATTTCTTACGACGACGTGCCATGCAAAAACAAAGCTCCAACTCTCCTCGATCTTGTACACGGCCTACGATACTTTTGCAGAGAATACCTCCAGCACCTGCTCCCCGATTGACGACACTTTCACCGGCCCAGTGTACATCCGGTCGGGCATCATCTGCACTTGCCGGATCTCATACTTCTTCTTCTTTTTTTTCGGTGACGTCTTCTCCCCCGTCGCTATCTCGCTATACCGACTCGCTGTCGCGGACATTTCCGATCTATGCAAGTAGAAACCTCCGCTGGTACAATCTCAACTGGAGGAACAAGAAGTTGAAGATGCAAAATCAACTCGGATTGGCTGACTGGGACTAGGTCTATCTGAGCTATTGTATTGCTCGACAACTCTATGCAGCTCCGAAATGCACGTATACACGGACAGAGATAAATATGATGTAAAGCTGTAGTAAATAGACTTTTCTTTTGGTTTGTTTTCCTTTACGGACGGTCTTTGCATTTTTGAGATTGTTACAGCTGAGGGGTTCATACGATTGAGTTTCCGCTTTGGCTCTGCGTTCGGCTTCCGCTTTTCAGGCTCTGGACCGAGCCTTTACCTCGGATTGGTTGTGTATTTCCAAATTCTTCGTCGTAAAATCCTTGACCTTGTCGATGCTGGTGGCGCTCTTGCTCTCGTGGGAGGTCCTCGTGCTCTTCCCGTACTTTCAGTGCGGAGATTATTCTAGTGTAGTTGACTATGTATGTACCCCCAAACCTCAGCGAGAGCTCCAGCTCTTTGGCGCACCGTCAGGGTGGCTTTCGCTTTCTTTAGGCCCTTGCTGGTTGTACTTGCAACGTCGGTCGTATACGCGCTGGTCGCTTGTCTAAGCGGTGTATTTCATCAGTAGCTGCAACAGATTGTAATTGGTCCAGCCCCAAATCGATGACACTTCGTCATTGCGAGACCGCGCATCCACAACTGTCACGGCGATCTCGTGCTCTTCTCCACTTGATGCGAATCTTGTCGCTCCTCTGCTATTCTCGGAGGAAGTTTCACCCGCTAGGCAGCAGGTTTCACTGAGTCTGGAAGGGGCCGCGGATGCTCCCCAGAACGGAGGGGGCCGTGTGTAATGCGGGGTAGCATCAAAGATAGAACATCTGCGCAGCGACCGGACAAATTGCGCTACCGAAACCAAGAGGGAAAAACTACAAAGCTTCCATATTTATCTCCCATTTATTGACTTTCTGTTTACAACAGCCTTTTGCCGCTTTCACGAAGATTCTTCGTATAGAAGACGCCACACCGAGTGAGGCCGAGATTGCTTTGTTTCCACTCATAAACGAAATACTTCATGGAACCCTCGTATCGACTAGCGGATTCAAGAAGAGAAATATAATTTTCTCTTGATTATCCGCGATGAAGAGGGAGCAAGAAACGGTGACCTGCAGCTGGTCACACCGAACTACAAATTCCTCTTCGACTTTCTCGACACTCTTTCTATGATTGCCTCTCACTCTCGTCCACCCAAGTACGATATGAAGATTTCGTATTCCAGGACATCCACGACAACGAACGACCTTCACAACTTCACGGCTTCCACTCAAGAACGTAGCTGTGAAAAAGCTCCCCGCGATACCAGTGGCGGCAACGCGTCGCTGTACAATGCCAGAGAGAGGTCTCAATTGGGCTGGTAACAAAGAGGATGTACACCCTGCCAGCACGATTGCGATTTCAACGAAACAGGACGACCGGAACTCCGAATGACAGTGTCTTTGTGGTCCCAGTCGCTCCAGAAACCAGACGGCTTTGCCATATTCGCGAACAATGCCATCTGGCAGGCTTATACCCTCCCACCAGGGTCAAGTCGGCGCGTGTCGCGACCTTTCTTTGTTGATGTCGCCACCATCAACAAATTTCTGAGATGAGTGTAATATGTTTTCTGACAAGAAGGGATCTGAAAATTGTAGCTGCTTCCTACATGCACAGATGCAGTTGCTGTTCCTGGTTCTGTAGGGTACAACGCACAATGCAAATCCGATCTTTTTCTTTGTTATGGTCGTTTGACGACTTTCAATGTCTTTGAATACCATGAGTTTTTTTCCCGAGTCAGAATGCTATGAACATGATTACGACGTTGCCGCACAACAAAAAGCATGCGTGACGCGTCTATGTGAAAGAAAATGAAATAAGGCAGTCACACATGTATGCATCGGTCTCCACGTGACTGTGCCTCGAGCTCGACTTTCCTCCCCATATTACACAAATGATGCACATGATCTTCCAAAAGATTAAGTACACGCTCAATGCATTCTGAGCAGGTGGCAACGGAGTACTTAGTCGGCCACCTTCAAGAAAGTTCAAGAAGCAAGATAGACGCGATGTAAGTAGTAGAGTTCCAAAAATAAAAGAGCTTGCTTCTTGCTCCTACCTACAGCTACTTCCGCACCCAAATGCTTCGTACTGTGGTTCTCGTTCTCGAAGCGGAAACAAAGAATCGATACATTTCTCATGTAAAAAAACGCTGCAAAAGAAGTTTCCCTGCACAAAGCGAATCACGGTTCTGACCAAGGATAAAGAAACATTTATGTTTCTGTACTATGAGTATGTTGGTTAGAAGTCTATCTAAGTACAAAAGTAAAACACCAAAAAAAGGTTCGCAAACGGGAAGAAGTAGGAACATATCAACTGTAAAAGTGTCTGGGTCTGGAAGAATTCATGTTTGTCATGCTTGTCTGGCATGGCTCTTAAATCTGTCATGCACGTTACCCAAGCGCTCCGTTTTTCTGTGATGCAGGAGCGCAGTTTGTCATGCAGAATAGGCAACACCTAGGAGCTCAGAAACTTGTCATGCTGAGCCAGCATTTGTAGCCTCATCATGAGACGCCACCCAGCATCACAAGTTTCCAGACCCAGACATTTTTACATTTGATAGAACAATAGCAGTAGCAACTCAGGGTAAAGAAGCTGCTGCATGTTACCCACCGCAAACCGCACCCGATAAAGCATTTCATTTCGTAAAAAGTCTCCCTGGGCAAAAACAAATACAAATAGAACAACTAAACACCAATTACCGGACTAGGAAAATTACACACGAAAGAAAATACATTCAACATCGGACCAAAAACAAAATATAGGAAAAAGCTCACGAAAATGGATAATCTTACTTAAATCAATTATCTGTTGTAGCACGTTAACCCGCGGTGGCTGCAGTAGCTGCATTGACCGAAGGTCTTTTTTAGAAGTAGCTGTGCATTTGTTTGTCGTTGTCCCATACCTAATCAACATTCATAGGGAACGGAAAGCGTCAAACTGTTGATGTGGACATCTTCGTCAGCGCCAGTTCTTGTAGAGGCAAATAGCTTGTAAGCACAACTAGGTTCTTGGGAGCATCCTCTCCACTACAAGTCGTGCTAGTGCTCCCCGACACCAGCAACGACAATCGTATGGATTAGAATTTCTCGTGGCCTCATCGTATTAGAAAGACCATTATAAATAGAGTACTGCTTATGTTCATGCTCCTTAAAAGAAATGATCTTCTCGGAAGATGGATGAAACATATGATATATGCTATTGCTAATCACGACAACTCATACAAAAACTCACTCGTAGTTCCTTCGTGGAAAATAGCGGACAATAGCTCCTTCTTGCCGATGCGGACACAGGTTCGAATCGTGACGATGAGGCATAGTAATAGTTTAGTACTATGTGGAGGAAGATATCATTTTCCACATCAGCCGCTCGGAATTTGGTAGCTCGAAATTTCTACTTCATAGACAACTTCGTTAAACTAAATACTTAAACACGCTGTCTATCAAATTCTTTCCAGCGGAGCATGCATGTTTAGTCGATCTTCGTCCGGGTCATCTCCAAAGCCTCCTGCGCAACTTCATCCAGATTCTTCAGCGTAATGCGGATCGCCTCCCAGTACGGCAAGCTTTTGTACTCCTTCCCGTGCTTTTCGAATACGGCACGCACACGCGGCGAAATCTTCGGGAAGCGAAACTGTGGCATTTGCGGCCACAGGTGATGTTCGATCTGTATATTATTGAATTTCATTTTGCAAAAGTAGTAGCACAGGAACTTGGAATCAGTTGCTTTGCCTGATACTTTATGTGTTCTGATTCTTCGTGATCCTGTCTTAGGATAGTGGTACTCAACATCGGAGATGCTTCTAAATGCCAGCGACGTAGCTGTTAGACACAAGCGCAACTACAGGTGTAGGAAGAGAAATACACAAAACTGCTTTATACTTCTGCTGCTACGCATTATTTACAGATACAGACGCAATAAAAATTGTAAGTATGAATATACGAAAACCATGCGAACCTGAAAGTTGAGGAAGCTCATCCACCAGTTGGTAAGAAAGTGGCTGTCGCAGTTCATGGTGTGGTCGGAGGCGTATTCCGCCCAGTTCCGGTGGTCGTCCTCGGGGACGACGTCCAGATGCGTGTGGGAGACAGTGCGTATCGAAACAAATTTCGAGTCGAATCCAATGCAGAAGATGAAGATTTTTGAAGTGTCCATGAAAATAAAGTGTCGTTCTCGCACATCAGATGGTTGCGTTTTTAGTTTTACCTCTTTTTCTTTTGATGCGGCCCCTAAGCTGCAGAGAAGAAATTGAAAGCGTGTGCCGCGTTTGTGTGTGCATTGTCCTTTTTATTGTGCCGTTCTTTGCATTAACTTTAACTCGAAATTGTTTCGCTTGAGTAACGAAATTGGTGAAGATGTAGCTCGCGCCAAGCTGGACGTAGACAACGTAAAACATGACGCTTCCTAGAACGGACCACTGCAGCGACCCGACCAGGAACGCGAACAAGGCGACGTAGCGACAGGTCATCCAGAGCAGCTCTACGTAGTTCTGCGTGCGCATCGAGTGGCGGGGGTGCAGGTAGAGTTGCCAGAACAGCGCAACCAACAGACAGATCAACGGAGAGAACAGGTACGCTTGGTTTTTCAGCCAGTAGTTCGCCCACAGAGTGAGTTGTTTCTGCTTCGGGCCGGCAACCAGCTTCTGGCCCGCCCGTGTGTCTGTCACGGCTCCGGTGTGGAACGCGACCAGCGGTAAAGTGTTCAGGTCCACGTCATGTCCCACCTTTTGGGGGGTGGCGTGGTGTTTGTTGTGCTGGTTCGACCACCAGGAGGCTGCCATGCCGCACCCGAACCCGTAAATGAACTGCTGCAGACGCTTGTCCAACTTCATCCAACCGGTCAACGAATAGTGACCGCCCTCGTGCTGGAGCCAGCCGCAGCGCCCCTGCGCGATTCCGAGGGTGATCAGACCGAGAAGCACGAACGTCGCGGAAAGTACGGAGTCCACAAAATGATCGCCGGCCGTGCCCCGGCTGGTGCCGGTGGTCCTCGTGCCCGCGTAGTACAAAAACCCGAGCCCGATGACGTGCATACACACGATCTCGGTCACGCGATACAGTGCGTGCAGGGGAGAGGGCTTAAAGTACCCCTCCGCGTCCAGTTCCGCCTCCAGTGCGCGGATGTCCGCAAGCAGCGCCTGGTTACCGACGTTCACGAATTCCGCTTTCTCCTTCGCACTCACGGGCTCGCGCTTTGGCAACTTTGCCAAAATCTTCGCTGCCTTGGCGGACCGGTGGTGGAACTGCGCGAACGCGTCCGTCCCATCGGTCCCCGCCATGAACTCCAAAATCCGTCCACCGGGATGCTTCTTCGTGTAGCTGGTCACGTCGACAATCTTCCCGTCAATGAAGATCTCGATTTTCTTCGATCCCTCCGCAGCTTCCTTCTTCGCCTCGTGGTCAGGTTTAGCATCAAGACCAACGACCAGTTGTGTCGCTTCCTCCGGCTTCTTCATCTTCGACCCCTCCTGCTCCTCCTGTCCCTTCAGGAGAGTGACAGCGGAAGTAGAAGACATGATCACGTTTTTGGTGTCGACAGCGTTACTAGTGCAGCTATCGTCGGTGCTTAATATCAACGCAGCAGCGGCCGGGAACTCTACCGGATGCAGCATGCCTGTCGTCGGCGAACGGATCATCTTTTTCACCGTGGTTCCATCCTCCACCTCATCAGCACACTTCTTCTTGGGGGTCGCCGCTGATGAAATAGATGACGTGCTGGCGTAGTGGCTCGTAGTCGTACCAGACTTCGACAACTGTTTCATGGAGTTGGCGATTCCGCCGGTTTTGGACGTGGACTGGTAGAACTGCACCCCGTGCACACCATTGACGTGCTCACACGTCTTGATCACGTTGCAGAGCACCTCGGAAAACACCGGGCGGGGGTCGAAGCGATACAGGGACCCCAGAAGCGGCTTTACGCACTCCGTGGCCTCCGCGGCGTGGTAGTGCGGAATTTTGAAGTTCAAGTGATGCATGACGTGGGTGGACCCGATCTTGTGGTGCAGGTGGTCGATCCACTTCGGATACGGCCGATCGATCGTGCACAGTGCCCCGCGAAGCCAGCTGAAGGACTCAGGACCGAAGTGGGGCACCTCTTCGTCCGTGTGCTGCAGCCAGGTGTACAACACCAGCCACATGTTGGTGACAAGGTAGGGGCCAAAGTAGTACACCAGCACGGTTTCCACCCCCGCCCGCTGCGCCCACGCGGCCAGGAGTCCGGCCATGAGCACCAGTCCGACGGCGGACAGGTTCACGCGCAGGTGCCAACTGGGCGGAAAAATTTCGGAGGACGCGCCCGCATAGAAATGCGTGACGTTCTTTTTCTTGTTCAGCTTTTGGCCCCTCCAGTTGACGCGACCCCCGGTGAGGTTGAAAACCAGGTACATGGGCCAACCCAGCACCAAGTGCAGCACTAGGTCAAGCAGGACAACGAAATTCTCCGAGAAAACCGGCACGTGCTTTAGCGAGTCGGACAGCTTGTGCAGCCACGTCGGTTTCGCGGGCGGCACGTGCGTTTCGCCCAGGGTCAGGTGGTTGGTGTACTTGTGGTGCTTGGCGTGGGTGAACTGCCACGCGAAATAGGGGACGAGCAACACCGTGTGCGTGACAAACCCCACCACGTCGTTCAGCAAGGAAGACTCAGAGAAGGCGCCGTGGCCGCACTCGTGTCCCACCACCCAAACGCCGGTGGCGGCCGTGCCCATTAAGGCCGCGTACACAACGTTCAGTAGCAACCGGGGCGCGCCGAGAACGTCCGCTCCGAACGGAATGACGTGGAAGCGAAATGCGTAGTAGATCCCCGCACAGTAGACGCAGTCCCGAAAGAGATAACTTGCGGACCAGAAAGCGCTACGCTTCTTCAGCCGGGCGGGAATGGCAGCCATCACTTTTTCCTTGGTCAGGTAGTTCGTTGCGGCTTCCCACTCCTTGATGTCTTCGATCAAGTCCAGGGCACCCGCGGACACCGAGGATGGAGTTTTCATTTTCGTCAAGCAGGCCGCCCCTTCAGCCGAAGCGTTTTTAGTGGGCGCAAAGTCGTCCTCACGCTCCGACTTGGCAGAAAAGTTCGCCAAGGTCGGCTCTTTGCCCTCCTGCAGCCGGAGCTGCCCACCCTCGGCCATATCTGCACCAACGGAAGCGACTTTTGTGGGCTCTGCTTGTTCTCGCGGCAGCTGCTTCACGACGGGCTCGAATTTCAAGTTGCGCACCTTGCAGAGCGGCGGGCCGGAGAGCGACTCGATCATCACTTCGCCTCGGTCGGCAGCCTTCTTCTGCATCCGGTTTTTCCGTTCCGTCCACATCCGGGTGCCCCGCTTCCGGTTCTTCACGAGCCCGAAGGCGGCCAGAAGGTCGATGAAGAGCTTCGTGGGGTTCCACTGCTGCAGGCAGCCCAGCTCCGCAGTGGCGTAGTCGAACGCGAAGGCGTGGTGCCAGCTGTGCCAGCCTTCCCCCATGGCGAGGAAGGAGACCAAGCGGGACTCGGACGGCGGGTGCTCGGGATCGTAGGGGGACGGCCCGAAGTCCGTGTGCACGATGCTGTTCACAGCCCAGGTGCAGTGCAACACGTACACGTACCGCAGCACCCCGGCGTACAAGAACCCGTTCCACAGGGTCTCGTCCCACGCGAACACCGCCACGAACGCGGGCACCGCGAAGCACCACGCGAAGTTCCACCACGGGTCCGTCTTCTTCTGGAACTGCACGAACGCGTCCGCCTGCAGGTCCGTCACGTCCACCTTGCGGCCCGCCAACCGCACCGGCTCCGGCTTCTCGACTAGCAACCAGCCCATGTGCGAGTAGAACCACCCGCGGTTGCTGTCGTGCGGGTCGCTGCCGGTGTCCGAGTGTAGGTGGTGCGTTCGGTGGTCGCGCGCCCAGTGGAAGATGCTGCCCTGGTTCGCGATGGAGTTGAACAGCATCAGGAGGCAGCGGGCCACAGACCCGGCCTCATAGCTCTTGTGCGCCCACAACCGGTGCGCTCCGGCAGTGATCCCCAGCCCCGAAATGGGCCACAGCGCCAGGGACAACGCCAGCGTTTGCCACTTCACCGGCGCCGCCAGGTCGGTTGGGGAGAGGATGGCATCTTCGGACAGAATGCCCGCGTGCACCAGCACCACTCGGATGCCGGTGTCCAAAAGTTGCAGTACCAAGTCCTTCCCGCCCATGCAAAGCAACACAACGCAAGCGTGCAACGCAAGCAAGTGGTTGATGCCGAGGTAAAAGCACATGAACACATTTAGCCGGTGCCCGAACGCGAAGATACCCGCCGTCTTCGTCTTGCTCCGGGCCCCTGCAGTGGCCGACGCGTCGCCGCCGTGCTCCTGCGCCGCTTTGTTGTACTTGTACTCCGACTCGTCCTGCTCCATAATGGCCTGCTCCAACTTGAGAAATTGCCGCTCCAGGAACTTGGGACCGGCGGTGCGGGGACCCAGCAGGCCCATGACGATGCAAACAGGCGTGTACGCAAAGTAGAAACTCCCCACATAGACCATCAGCAGGTACACAGAAATCACCAGGTAGAACTCGAAATCGCCGGAGAAGAAAATCTTCTCAAAGCCCAGCTGTACCGGAGCCAGCAGCAAACGCAAAAAGAAGCTAACCAGGTCCCCGACGGTTGTGCGGCGTTCCGCTGCCTCGTCCTCCTCCTCCTCGTCCCCAGACCAGAGGTCCTCTTGTGACGACGCAGATGTGGAGCAAGTGAGACTGCGCGGCAGAGGCAGCTGCATCACCAGGTCCTCGCCGGCACTATCGGAGGACAGATCCACGGTCTTGTCCTCCGCACCAAGCAGCTTCTCATGGTCGCAGCTGCCGTTTGAAGAGGAACGGGCCAGCGGGACCACATCGCTGTCGGCTTCAAAATCCGAACAGTCTCCCGAGCTTGCAGAACTGGTCGCGATGGATACGTCGGAGGCCGGCTTCTTCAACAAGCTCGCAGGATTGATGTGTTTCATCTTCGAGGTGGAGTCCTCTGCGGCGTCGACGTCCCTCGCGGCACCGAAAGCCGCACCACGCCGTTGCTTTCGGCTGATGTTGGCAAAGGCCGGACTCAGGTCGCCAAGGACCTCCAGTCCGCGGATGGTGCACGAAGGAGCTGCATGGCCGTGCGCACTGGCCCGAAGAAACTGGTCCGCTGACAGATCCACGACCTGCTGCTCCTGCTCGACGAGGAAATTGTTGTAGCAGGATTCCAGATCCTTCTCCACAGCGCGCATCCAATTCTTCACACGGTACATGGGAATTTGGGCCAAGCGGTTTTTGGCGAATGGCAGCCCATGATGCAACGCGCTACGATTGCCGCTGCCTGCCGGTGAAGTGGTGCCACTTCTCAGCAGGTTTCGCGACTGCCCCCCGAGAAGATCCGTGGCGCGCGGGCGCGTCGCCTTCTCGAGCACCCTGGCCCATTTCTGCAGCTTCTTGGTGAGCCCGGGAGCGAGCTTGTCCACCGAAGCGGTCCGCGACAGGTGGTGCTCCTCCTCTTCGTCCGAAGAAGAGGAAGAACTCGTCCCGCTGGCGCTGTGCGAGAAGCCGGCGCGTTTCTTCTCGGCGCGAGACCACTGGTTCAGCCGCATCAACACCAGCGGAACTACGAAGTAATTCATTGAGAACAGCACCGTCTCCCAAGTTGGGAGCACGAACAGACAGGAGAGCAGATGAGGCTCACCGGCGACGGCGTGACGATGCAGCAACCCCATGGCCGCGACGGTGCCAATGCAGGTCAGTGCGAAGACGTTGCGCCGCTCCAGCAGTGCGCCCAGGATCCGGTTCTGCAGCGAGCTCGGGGAAAACACGTTCTGGGCGCAGTCTCCCCGCACGCAGTCTATTCCCGCGAAGGCCACGCAGGAGAGAAAGACGCCGCACAGGATCCCGACGGGAGAAGAGAAGGACGTCGTGAATAAAAAGCCCAACACCAGCAACAAAAACGCCTTCATCAGTGTGCTCGTGGACTGCCGGAAAGACGCCTCGGTGTGCACACTTTTGCTCAGTTTGGTCGACGTCGTCAAGGAGCGCTCCGCCGAACAAAGCTGCGTCTCGCCACAGTCACTCTCTTCTACTTCGACGGGAACTCCCGTACTATCGTTCGGCTTTCCAAAAATCTTTCCACTTGTTCCCGTTGTGACAGGTGTTGTGGTCGAGGTGGAAAACATGTGCAGCCGACACATGTTCCGCTGCACGTTCTCCTTCAACAGGCGGAAGCAGATCGACACACAGTCTTTCAAATTGTCCTCCGCAAATCGAATCTGGTGCTCGCCGCACACCTCTTTCACCAGCGAGGTCATCTGGCGCAGGTTGCACCGCGGCATCAAAGGAAACAGGTGGTGCTCAAACTGCGTGTTCAGGCCGCCCGTGAGCCAAAACCACGCGTCCTCCTCCACTTTCGTCCGCGAAAAGGAGCGAATGTTGCGCACCGTCCGCGCAGTTTCCTCCAGCAATCCAATGCGCCGAATCTTGAGAAACTCGGAAGCTGGAGGTTCTTCTTGCGGTGCCTCTTGCTCGCCTACTTGTTCCTCGTTGCTTTCTTTTCTGAGACCGTGCGCAGTAGACGAGTTGCAGTTGCTCGTCGCGGTCCTCTTCACGAGAAAGGTCTCGAAATCCTCCACCGAGAGACGTTCCTCGCCATAGTGCGACGCAAATACAACGACGCCGCTCGCAAGTCCGGAGAGGTAGTAAGCCCCCGCCAGCCCGGCAAAGGTGAAGAGGGTGCAGCCGCAGCAGTAAAAAATCGGCGCCACGATGCACGCATAGTGGAGCAGCAACGCCAACACGTCCCACCGCGCGTGCGCCCGAGTTACCTTGTTCTTCGAGCTCCAGTGGTGGGTGGAAGCGATCCACGACTCCACGTGCCAAAACAACAGGGGGACCAGCCCCACCAGTGGGAGGAAATACAGGTGCTGCAGTTTCGTCACCAGACCAGGCGTGAAATCCTCGAAGAAGTGGAGCACCGGCGAGAGCTTGATGTCCGGGTCGTTGTCGATCTCATTGGTGACCGCTATGGTGATGCCAAACGTGTTTCTGTGGACATCTGTTGCATGATCTTTTGTCAATTCGTAACGCAAGAACACAAAGGTCGGAGCGTGCTGTGTGTGAGTGTACGATTCTTGCGTTACAAATTTGGCACGGGTTTCGTTGCTGTTCAGTGCATCGCAAACTTGTCCTGCAAAGTAGCTATCAATCTATGTTGACTATGACTAGGCGACGGCCGACCCAATGAATGGAGCTTCATCTGGTGCATGAACAAACCAAGAAAATAAAAACATATTTAGATATATAAGATGTCGATCTCCACACAACGTTCGAGAAAGCCATAACCGCATGGTGGGTGTTGTGCCGCAGCTTCCAGGACAGCACGCTGGTTGGGCGCACGATGGTCAACGCCCAGGCCATCCAGTCATTGACCCTACAGAACTGGGTGGTGCTCTTCACCAGCATGGTGTGGTGCGACCAGTCGTGCCCAAGCCACCCGAGCTGGTACCAGCCAAAGGCCATCGACAACAGTCCGCCGAAAAACCGCGGCTCCGCCCCGCCCGCGGACGCACACACGAAGTACATGCCCACAAAGACGAAGCCGAAGCTGTAGAAGGCCTTCCACATCTCCGAGCCAACCTGGGCCCGGAACAGCCCGCGTTTCTGGGCAGTTTCCCAGAGCTGTTCGTACAGACTAGGTTCGTGCGGGATCTTGGCGAGCTCCGGTTCGGGAGAGGACACTTTCGCCATGGTCTCAATGAGGCGCCGGGCTTGGTCCGAGTGCATTGCCAGCATCACGTCGGTTGCATCCCGCAGGTGAAAAATCCGCAGTACCTTCACCCCGCCCGGGTGCTTCCTCTGCCATTCTTCTGTGATGCGGATGGGCTGACCCTTGTAGTAGATCACGAGGTCCTTGCCTTTGATGCTCGAGTCCTTTTTCTCCGCGACCTCCTGCGTCGCGACAGAAGAACCTGTGCAGCTGGCGTTGCCCTTGTTGTTCATCGTGGTCTGCGACTGCAGCTCCAAGGGTCCGTTGCCGTTTTTACCCAACAGCGCGGCTCCGTGTTGTTCGTCCTTGCCTTTTTGTTTGTGCTGGTTCGCTTTCTTCTTCAGCAAGTAGGTCTGCCGGTAGAAGTTGATAAACATGGTCAGGTTCATGAGCACGTAGCCGTAGTTGAACAGGAAAGCGGTCCGCTTCGCGTCGTCTTCCCAGAATCCCGGCACGAACAGGTACGGCAACACGACACACAACCCAGACACAAACTGCAACAACTGGAGTTTGTTGTGGCATAGTTTTATTCAAAATCTTTTTGCGCATATTGAAGAGACGCATGATGTACACATCTTCGTTCATATACTTTTACTCACATACTCATAAATATACTTCTTTCGAAAAGCGTGGTACCTGCAAGTTGGTAATCATCTGCTTCCAGGGAAACGGCCACTTCATGATGCAGCACGCGTAGTAGTAGTACATGACGGTGTGGATGAATCCGTTGAAGACTACGTAGATCCACGTGCGTTTATCCAGAACAAATTTCGAGTCAAGTCACAGAAAGCAAAATAATGAAAAATACAACTGCTGCAAATCGAGTTTTCCCCTGTTCGTGCGATTGCTCGAGGCCATATCTCCTTCGTTGTGTAAGAATCGAAGAAGTTCACATTTTGCATTCGCTATCAATATTATCAACGCCGTACCGCTCCTTTCAACATGCAAAACGACCGAGAGCGGACGAGTAAATGGGCAGAGCCAGAAGAGTAGGTCGCAAGCATCTTTTGCGACTTCTGTAGCAGGTACAAGAATATGATCACTTTTGACGCAAGATTTGGTGGTTGGATAGCCCTCAACCTGGTTGTTGTGCCAGACTCCAACGTCCAATGGCGCGCCGATGTGGTGCAGGAACTGCAGCCAGATCACGGGGCGGTTGCAGAGAATCAGGAAGTAGGTGTCCAGGTATTCGAAATACTTGGAGAGGTAAAAGTAGTTGGAAATCCGCGCGTACGTTTCTGATTCGTAGTGCCCCAGCCCGTAAACGCCGGCCGGAAGCTCCGTGCACATGGCGTAGACCATCACCACACAGGCGTACAAGGAAAAGGCAGCCATGGCGAGGTTGTACACGCACATGATCATCTTGCACTATGCGGATCAACAACTACCCCTCCATCTTTTACAAGTGTCATTCTTGTTCCAAAGGACATTGAAATTAAAAATTCTGATGCTGCATGACCACTAGCCGCAGTCCTTCAACGCCGGACTGTGTCGATCACAGCACATCTTCGTACGACTACTGCCTCTTTTTATCTTTTCCCGCAAGACCACGAGCGATACATATTTACCAGTACCTCTCGTTCCAGTCAGTGCTTTCGTTACAACTGTAGCGCCAGTCTCCTTTCATTATGACACGGCGAGGATGGAGGGCGTTCTTTTCGATTTGGGTAAGCAAAACTTCTTGTTCTTTTCGTACACGTCGGTCGTCTGCACAAACCGCCGAAACAGCTATCAAAGGAAGAAAATGAACTGTCCGTTAGGGTTAGGTCAAAATAAAAATTTGCTGACAGGAGCGTAACAGTTAGTGCAATGCATAGCCCAGCTATCTTCAAAGTGTGGTGCAGTATACTCGGAGAAAAATTTGGGATTCAACCACCGGTCCTTGTCAAGTGCCCGGATGAAAAGCGACACTGCACAACTTATTTTGTCTCGCTTTCTATTCTTTGGACATGCTTCTTGATTCAGGCACTGGAAGTCAACGACATGCCTGACCACGAGCCTAGTGAGAGTAGGGCTCAATACCGCACGCTCACACTTTCGGCTTCACTTCATGACATTTCATCAGTGCATTTGATAGCAGCGGCTGTCCCACAATGTAGGGAATCGTGAGCAAGTACAAAGGGTCGAGAAAGTGCTGCACAACCGCAGTTTCCTGCAAGGAACTCAGGAACCCAGCGTCCTCGATTTTCATCTTCGCACCGTCCAACTGCACAGTGGACGGATTCGCGATAATCTCCGACACCAGGTCGGAAACCGATGAAGAAGCCATGACTCGCGCTGACTTTTCTGCTCTAGCAGTTAGCAGGAGAGCAATCTTCTATTGCAGTGCTGGCTGCTTTATGAACTTGTGCCGAGTACAACAACTGTGCGGGGAGACACAGTTTACTGCTGCCCTCTTTACGCCTATTAAGCACAAAATGAAAGATATTTAGCGACTCATCGATGGTAGAAGTGATAAGCGGCCTTTGTTCCAGAAAGGAAAGCTGAAGCAGAAAGGAGAGCTGAAGCAGATTCGCTTTTTGATTTTCACGACATGTCACTCGCTCCGTCCGTTTTTCAACAATTTGGGCCTAATATTGATCATTTAGATTCCTTTTTGGCTTTGTTACAAGATCAGCAGCGGATTCTGGTTTGATAAATACTACATCGCCATCGTGCTGCGCAGTTAGAAATACTGCACACACTTCGCTAGTGTTCACTACAACTCTATCAATTTTGCGTGTACCCTGGTGTCGAAGTGCGAGTGCTACACACTTCGTGAACAGTTCTTGATACCTCGACAAGGTTCGGTTGGACCAGCATCGCAGCGAGCTTGAGCAAAAATGTGATAAATATCGTTCTGTGAACATAAACAAAAACCACCTCGGACGATATACTTTTAATCCACTTTGGCACTACTTCTAGCTCTACCGCGGGTACAAGGCCTATATATGAAAATTGGTTCATTATCCTTTGCTACATGGTAAGGCCGGATCCGGATGTAAGCGAAACTACAAGGAGCCTCGCTGTACGTCAGGACGCGGGCGACATAAAAAAGATTGTGCAATTCCCGTGTTGCCATGAATCACGCTAGGCCGCGCATTTGCTCTTTACCGAGTCCACCGAGACTTCCAAGCAATACATCTTGGATGTGCAGCAGCAGCACGACGTGTGCAAGACTTTGCATTCACACGCACCTGGTTCCACGCGGGCGTCCGCGTGGCATGGATATGGAACGAGTGGCGGCACACGACAGCGGAGCCTCTTACCTCAACCCGCGACGCACAGCCTGGAACTCCTTCGCTGTGGTTCTAGTCCGCGAATCACGTTCAATTGCTTTATCTTCAAGGTGTGACATGGGTCTACGCAGCGGCATGACAATGGAAATGGCTTTATTGGCAATACTATTCTATGAAAATTCGAATTCCTTTGGCTGATTTCCAAAAAATGCATGCCATCACTGTAGCCGTTCTGCGAGCCGTGAGCCCAGCCTATACCGACCGCGCGGCTGTCACAACAGATTACGCGTCAAGGCCTAGAAACGTCAGATATATCTTTATTTACATACTTACTTGAATCAAGCTTCGTTTTTCTTGGAAATCCGTGGTTGGCGCGCAGTTTCAGTTTCAATGAGCAGCATTATTACAAAAAAAAACTTCGATTGATAAGCCTTCCAAATACAAGAAAGCACTGCGATTATTCGTAGCATACGTAGATAAAAACGAGAATTCGCGAAAGGAACAAATGGACGTTTGGTTGACGTCAGCGTGACACTCAAAATTCAACTTAACAGAAATAGACCAAGTAGACCTACAAGAGCGCGACGGTACGTACCTAAATTTCATCTGACCTGCTAAGTTAGAAGTAGTACAGCAGCGATCGCCAGTGCGACAACTGGTGGCTTGAGGGTGTGTCACAATTTTCCGCCAGCAATCTCAGATCGATAGTTCAAAAAAACACTTTTTTGTTCGCAACTACAGAATGCGATGGTGTGCGAGCACGTGTGATTATTTTAAATCGTTTCGGTAAGTACAGCTAGGAATTGAAAGGATGCCTTGTAGTTATCTAATCAGTTGCAAAAGCAAATTTCTCAACAGCCCCTCGAGCAGGTCATTATGTATAAAAATATTGAATTATACGCAAACTTGTTTCTTGTGCTTCGAGGAAATAATTCGAATTTCCTCAATCCGAATTTTACCATTATCATACTCGACGGAAACAGAGTGAGAAAGTAGAAGTCACCTGCGTGCACCAAAATTATATTGTTACCGTCTAAACATCAACGAACTAGGACAAAGGTCTATACCTACGGGCTCGGAGCTGGAGAAGGAGCGGGGGTGTCGCTCTTATCCTTGTTTTTTCTCCAACATTCCATCCCCTCTATACCGCCATCGTAGGCGGAATGGACCTGTATCATCGGCACATCCTGAGGAGCCCCTCCCTCTTTGTCTTGTGGTATGTGCCTCGAAATTACGTGGTAGTTGATAAGGTTATAGGGGTGTACAAGAATGTATTCACGGTCGGGACGGGTATCCTCGGGGCCAATGACGGTCGGCCCCTTAGTCTCGTCGATATGCACGCCAAGAAGCTTGCACGTCGGACCCTTATGGAAGTTTCAGCATCGAAATCGACAAAATCGAAAAACTTGTGATGCATAAAATCGATACCAGTCGGAGCCTAATTTTGCAAGTGGCGCATGACAAATTTCGGGAGCACCCAAATCCAGTCTGTCATGCTGTTTGGGCAAAGTAAGAAGACTGCTCCCGTCATGCTACTCTGGCAGCACATTGCATACCCCTACACAGGCTTACAATCGGTCTCATTTGCCTGCTCCCCAATACAGGCCTCCGGTGCCCTACATCTTACGCGTCGCAAATTTTTCGATTTTGTCGATTTCGATCCTGACACATCCATAACCCTGCGCAGTGACGTAGTATTTCTCGAAGCCGAGGCAGTCCGCTATGGGATTCTCAGCCGTTACATTCTCAGCTGTTACATGATTTGTCATGTTGGGAGACTAAGGGCAGGGCGTCCCTGTTTAAACCACAAGACTACAAACTTAAACCGTTGTCGTCGTCGTAGGCAGCCGTGCGCGCACGAATGCGGGCGGAATAGTGACGACCAGAAGGGTCAGGAGACTCACCTTTTGCGAAGGAAGAAAGACTGCTGAACCCGCACGCAAAGCTTCGGCGGGCCGACACAAGTGCCGGTCTTGTAATGTAGAGCAATCGAAAATCCGACGTCCTTATGTTCGCTGTTGTTAAGCTCCTGCCGGTGATCGCAGCACCTGGAGCCCGCACGAACTGAAAGAGTAGCGCGCAGCTAAGGACTAACTAGACTCGAACGCCTCTGGCCACCACAAGCGGTGACCGTTTAAATAATTACTCCCCGAGCGGGTAAACTCTAAGATAGAAACTTGATTTGTCATGCAAAATTACCATGAGCCAGCAGACGATCTCGATCAAGCTACCTTGCATGACAAATCCCCGATGGGCTAAACAGCGCCTAAATCTGTGCCGAATTTGTGATGCGAGAGTTGCGAGCTTGCTCCTTTCACTGTTGCGGCTCTTGCGTCACAAACTCATCCCATGTAACAGTTGAGAGTGTAACGTTTGAGAACACCATATCCGCAAACTCGTCGCACAAAGCCCCGCATTGCTGCCACGTGGGCGCGTTCGACAATTCTATCTCTTCCGACTCGAGATAAAAGGTTGTCACGGCCCAAGGCCGGTAGCCCCCACTCGCTGCCACGCAAAGACCGTCCCCCAAGTTCTCGTAAGCCTTCTCGACAAGCACGCACTCGTGGTAGCCCATTGCTGTGAACTCCTCGAGGGCAACGTGATGACACTCGACTGGGTCCTCCGCATAATTTTTCATGCAGCAAGCGCCCTTGTGGTGGTGCGCTTCGCTCGCCAGCCCGTCGCAGCTCGTGCAAAAACCGGGCTCGCAGTGACTGCTGCAGTCCCGTTGCCGGGGCCCACAGCCATCGCACACCGGTGCTCCAAAATCGGGCGTCGCAATCACGGGCACCGCATTCGGATCATTTTCGAACAGCCAGAAACCGCAGAAACCGAGCGCATACCCTTTCTTCTCAATCCTTATCGAAGATATTTCTTGGTCGACTGCAATCCAGGTTCCGAATATTGAAAGTGAAGTTGGGAGCACGATGTCCGGCTGCGTCTGCGAGTTTTCGTTGAGATAAACGTCTGCGCCTTCAACTCCATCTTCGGATATATTATCCTCTATATCGCGTTTGAAGATAACAAATCCTGTCACGTTGCGTGGTTGGTCCAGCTTAATTTTCCACCAGTGCAGCGTATTTTCCTCATACTTCGAAAAAAAGCACTCTTCGCAAAGGTTTTCTTTTTTGCACTCGCTTTTCTTGAAAGTGCCTCCTCTAAGATCGTCCAGAAACAGATGTCTGTTAGGAAACTTGTGGTTAAACACGCTTTCAGGCAGCCAGTTGGCCCAGGTGAAAGTGGTTGGATATGTACTTGAAGCCGTCGCATTAAACTTATTCGCTACTGGATCAAGAAACCGACCCGTAATTTCCTCCGGAGCATATATGTTTGTCGTACCCGCACGCCCCAGCTTCCGCTTCTGCAACAAGCTACTCGCCTCGCGGTCCCATACGGGGGTTCGCGCACCTCGGTCGTCCGGATCCTGCTGTCCCGCTTCTGCTGGCATGTCCTCCAGATGAAAAGGATCAACACGCTTAGTTGTAGAAGATGACCCCGTGTCGTGGGCCTTTTCACGTGACCGGGCCACTGGGCCATGCCCCGTGGCAGCACGGGCGAGGGGCTGTAGTTGCAGCAACAGCGACTCGTCTCCGGTTGTTTGCTTCTCCTCTGCGTTGTCTGGGAGCACCTGAACCGGAATCACACACACGTGGTAGTCCGTCACTCCAAAAAATTCGTTTGCAGCCACACTTGCGCACTCCCGGCTAGTGGACGTATCCTTTTGGCAGCAAGCGCCGAAGCTCGTTCCGTCCTTCGAATCGCACGCACTGCACCAGCCACCACCCTTTGTGATGTCGCACACATGGGCACACTCCATCTGCCTCGGCCCCAGCCTGCTGTCGTCCTTGATGAGATCCTTGGTTTCCCTTCCCGGCATTTTCTCCGGCGTGTACAGCACGCACTGGTGGTAGTCGTAGTAGACCCCCGGGTCTCGGGGTGGGTTCATGTTGTTTTGCCGGCGAATCTCCCCAGGTGTATTCATGCCGAAGTGACTGAAGGGAATCTGTTTGCATTCCGGCGGATCAGTGGCGCGGTTCGCATAGCAACACGCCCCCTTTGCACTCCCATCTGCTGCGTCGCATCCGTCGCAGTCGCCAGCGCCGCCGCACATGGTTGAGCATTCTTTCATTCTCGGCCCACAGCTCTTAGGTCCATCGGCGCACTTGGGTGTCGCGCCAGATGAAAGAAATGCCACGTTGCCGCCGTATTTGATATTGTCAGTACTCCACGAACCTTCACCTTTAAAAGGGTCAAGGAGTGCGGTCTCAATCTCTAGTAAGTGAAGGACGGCCCCATCTTTTCCCGGAACCACGGTGATCTTATGAACCGACCCGACGCCGCAAGAAACCCCTCCCCCCAAGCAGAAACTTGAGGCATCGCGCGCGTCGAATTCTTGTTCATCGTTGTTGCTGTCTACCGGGTAACCGTTAGCGTACAAGTTGGTTTCAGAGGTCGCACCGTTTTTCGTGAACGCCTCACTTCGGATTTTGTACCACGGTCCTTCGTCCATTCTGAGCCAGATCAGGTCGCCATTAGCTGCGTTGACCGATGTTGGATATTGGTCCGCTGGGATACCGGAACCGTCCAAAGACCTTGCCAAATCAATGTTCGTTGGCGGAGTTCCACGAACGCGGGCAGAAAACTTGAACAAGTCACTCGGATTCGGGCACCCCTGCTGTGGATCGTGTATCTGCAGGCATTTGGCCTCCCCCAGCGCCATGAAATAGAATACCGCTTCGCTCTGGCTCAGGTCGTCGTCGCACGTCCCATCTCCAGGTCCATCGCTGCATGTCCTTTCCTCGCCGCCCGCGGGATTGTCGGGACACCAGATCGCGTCTGGGTACGAGCTGCCATCGTGCTTCCTATAGAGCGGCTGCCAACACCCAGACAAAGTGCCTTGTTGTCCCCGGATGTGCTTATTTTGGCCTGACCGGCCGAAAAACCAGCCATATCCAGAGTGGTCGGCGTAAACCCACGTTTTCTCATTGGCTCCAATCTGTGAAGCTATCTGAGTGTTTACAATCTTCGCTCCGAGATCGGCCTCGGCAAGAGACGTATCCGCGGTGGCACTATAGATGTGTGCTGTGGCTGGAGGTGGAATGAGCCCGAAAAATTGCCACTCAGCCCTCGACCTCCCCCGCAGATTCCTTGGCACACGGGTTTTATCTAATGAATTTTCCGTCCTGGTGTTCCGGGGCCGTCTATTGCTCCACAGCATGCAACAGGCATGCTCCATCTTGCCTGCTGCCACTCCGCCACCCAAAACTGGCGGCTTCATAAGCGATGCCATGCTGTAGTCCCGGTATGCGTATACGCGGTCCTCTGTTGCTACACTGCCAGAATTGCTGTCCTCAATCTTGCCCTTGTACACGCTGAAAGAAGTGCAGCCGACGGTCGTCCGGCATCTGTCCGCGCAGTCCTGCGGGTGTCCGCTGAATGTAGACCCGCGTCTATCGCATCTAAAAACCTCCACCCCAGAACGTCAATGATCAAAGCAAGCGTATGCGTATCTATACTCGTGGTCTTACATTCGTATAAAAGAAAACCATGCGAGCGGCTCAGACCCGAGTTTTTTCGCTGCCTGTCGCGCACCATGACAGGAAAGCATAATGCGACTGCGCAAACGACCCCACGTCTGTGACTGATTATATTCATTTTTCGACTTTGTACGTCATGTTTCCGCCCGGAGAACGGTCACCGGCGTGAGTGTGTTGACCGGTGGATGAAAAAACACGACACATGATGAAGACGAGAACAAGACGCCTCGCAGCATCTCCAATCAATCGCACGCGGCCTAACCATGGTAACGCGATGGAGGAAACAAGATTGCTACCAAACAAGGACAAAGGCCACTCCCCCCAAAGAAAGCCAGACTCTACCTCCATCGGCTTTGCCCTGCGAGATCCAAATCCAATCGCGAATATTGGCATTGAGATTTATGTAAATATAATAAATATGGAACGGTATCACTCGTCGCTGCCTACAGTTAGTGAGCAACAACGGAAACGACGGACGAGTGATGAGACAGCCCTGGCCTCGGTTCGTGCCTCATGATTGAAGAGTGCGGCCTCCCAGTAATATGGGAATGCTGAAGAGCCTTGGTCTCATCGTGGCCAATCACAATAACAATATGCAATATCATCAAACAATTATGTGAGGCGCATTCATTATACGCAAGTGCACCACTTTGCGTTTATCTCCTTCTGCAGTCAGACTGTTACGGTTTAAATGAGTCACTTCTCATGCCCGTACCGTGCGGAGGTTCTTACACAGCATATTCTCCGACTCCAAGAGAAGGAAGGTATTCCTCGGATTCGAATAGTTGGAACCCGCAGAAGCCCCAGCCTTTCGGACCACTCTGCTTAATCTGTATTCCGCTAATTCTTTCGTCAATATGAACCCAGGTCCCATACGGCGAAAGAAAACCAGGAAGCGACATATCGGGCGAAGACGAATATGATCCGGCGCCCCGCTTTAGATGCACGTCCGCACCTTGGATCCTGTCGTCCCATTCTCCACCGCGATCGATGTCTCTTCGGTAAATAAGAAACCCAGCAACGCGCCGCTCTGCGAATTCAACCTGCCAATAATGAGTAATATAAGCGTCGACCTTTGTCCAAAAGCAAGAATCTCCGTACTCCCAGCTCCAATCCCGTTCGCCTGCTCCTTCTCTCTTCAAGCTCGCATCATAAAAAGCCAGATCAAGCGAAGACACGTGGTCCGGCGGGTCTGTGCGTAGATACTTCATGTGAAGCCTTTCGTCGCACCCGGGGGGTGATGTAGTGCACGCATCTTCTGCCGGATTTATATCAACGAGCTCGTTCGGGAATCTGCGCGCGAGCACTTGTGCCGGGTAGTAGTAAATTTTGAGACCTGGTTCCGCACTTGTATCTCTCGTGTCGCCGGTGGCTGTCAACTCAGGACTCCCATCTTGATAGGGGTGTACATAGTGACCCACGACTGGGGCACCGGTGGCCTTCTCAAACAGCCAAAACCCGCAGAAAACCAGATGGTGATACCCACCTTGAGCCTTGTTGGAACTCTCGATCTTTATCGCGGAAATCGTTGCGTCCACGTTTACCCAAGTCCCGTACAGATCTACGACGCTCGGAAGCGTTGCTTGCGCTACTTCTGTACCTCCGTTCTGCAGGGTGTAATTAGCTTCATTAATATTTACGTCTATAGAAGATTGGACATCCCGACGGAAAACTACAAAACCCGCCACGTGGCGGGCCTGGAAATCTGTCTGCCACCAGTTCGTGCCAGCACTCCCGGTTGAAGCGAAGCACTGCTCACAACGGTCTTTGATGCAGTTTTGAGTAGGATCGCTTCCGGCAGCGTGTCCACCAAGGCCAAAAAGCTCATTGGGCATCCTCCGTAAGAAGACATTACCTGGGAAGTAGCCAGGATTGGCAAAGTCGTCGTCTTTGGAAAAGTATGTTGAGCCGGCCGTTGCCGTTTGTTCGGAGGGGTCCACAAGCTGACCCCAGCATCCGCTCGGAAGGGTGCGCTTCGGCATATAGGCCTCCATTGACTGCCCCGAACAAGTGCCATACATACCCCAGGCGTCTGCGTTCCTGTTGTGGTTCCCAGGCGATTCGTCCCAAGAAAAGGGTGTCGGGTCCGTGTATGCAGCGAAAAAATCCAAAGTACACCGACCACCCCCAGATTTGAACGATTTCCTTAGCCCGGCACAGAACCTACTTTACATTTTGATTTTCATTTACTATACGGCAGAAAACTATATCGGACACGGGCACCCGGTAAAATTTCGTGCCGGCAAAATCCATTGCGTACTTGCCTTCCAAGGGGCACGAGTTGTAACGGTGCTTGACGTGTATGCATGAAAAACTATTATACCTGTACTTACCACTGTAACAACATGCCAAAGAAATGAAAAGCGAGCGTGGTTGCATGAGGATGGAAGTGTGCACTTCAACTTCTACTTTTCTCTCGAATAAATTGCTTGACCACTTTCCTTGCAAGGCCCCAAAACCACTACGAAGACTTCGCCGGTACTCGTCCACAATGCTGAGAACGGTCCTGCGACAACTTCCGGTCATAATGGTCGAGTCGCTGTTGGGTTTTGCTTGTAGCTGCTCTTCAAAGTCCTCACCGCGGAGCAGCATCAGGGTGCACAACTCCGCCTCCCCCTCATCCGTTGTGTATCTACCTACAGTGACACAGACGAGACAAGCTCCAGTCAATGATGCAGTTTCATCAGAAACACAACTCTGTTACCGAGGATTTGTTTTTTCCTTATCTCGGCTTGCTTCTGAAAGTGTCTGTCATGCACAAAAAATGGCGAAGCAGAAAGTAAAAGTAAGAAGCGTCATCGTCATGATGTAGTGGACACCCGTACCCAGCGCCACAGGTCAAGGATCCCCTTCCCGGGGGGTGGGCGAGGAAGCACTTATTTCGGCGACCTCATCAGACAATTTCGAATAGAAAGGATTGGGTAATACAATTTTGAATGACAAATGAGATGGAGAGGCAGCTGTGCGTTTTCATAAACAAGCGACAGCTGTCAAACATGTCTCCATATCAAGTGCAAATATGCCTGGGTCGGGAAGAATGCAACTTGTGATGCTGTACTTGGATTTGCGTGACGAGCAAGAAAAGTCCAGTTTGTGCTGCGCGGGGCGGGCATTTCTCATGCGGAATAAGCATCAGAGAGCTCTCGAAAAGTGTCTGATGCTAGGTCATGCATTACAGGCATCACGGGTCACGCAGAATATGCATGATGACAAACTCTCCCAAGAAGCTTCCAGACCGCCCAGACATATTTGCATTTGATACTCCAGAATCTGAAACGAATCGAAGTCCCGTGCATTCGACAAGCTCGGCACAGTACGTAAGGCATTCGTAGTAGGTGCGCAATCCGCTAGCGCGATCGTACAGACCAATCGTATCGATTGCAGCGGCTGTACTATGCACGTTCACGTGAATTGGGCAGTCTTCATACAGCGACAACTCCTTCGGCAAAGACGAAGTCGCCCCGGCGCCTCTGCGCAGCTTTGTAGTTGCATCGCTTAACCCAGCCGCGGCGACAACACGCTGTCCGCGGCGCTTCCGCTTGTCTTCACCTTCTCTCGCCTCATTTATCAACAGAAGTCCCCCCTCCCCATATCAAAACGAAATTTCTGATGCTAGATTTGGATACACAAATCAAATTTGTGTTGCAGTACAGGACTGCACGCAGATCGCAAGCCTCAGCAGGGGCCTTTTGGTGTAGGCGCCTAGCATGGTAGACGGCTTCCCTCTAGTAGGCCTTAATACAACACAAGAAATCGTCTGCATGACGTGGCGGACGGCCTGGACCTGCTTTCTTGCAAGACAGACGCGATTTGTGGCGACAAATCTGCATAACAAATTTTCGGACAATACGGGGAGCGGGGATTTTTCCTTGCAATACCATTATTTGCTTCTTCTACTTCGTACAGCTCATGCTTTTGCAGTAGAGCTGCGGCAACGTCCGTCGAAAACCCATCCGCAGGAGGAGATGGCGCAGGAGTGTCCTCTCGCAGCGCTGGCGTAACGGATCCGGGAGCGAGTCGAGGTGCAGGTCGTGCCGGTTCTTCTACTAATACTTCAGCGCGACCGGTTGTTGATATAGGCTCAAAAGGCTGTCGCTCACGATCGAGTTGTACTTTCAGCACCTTATCACTTTCCTGCTTGCGGTGGCCCGACCCACCAGCATTGCTGCGACCTCTTGCGGCTCTGTTTGATTTCGGACGTGCTTGTCCGTGAACCCCGAAAGGACCTCTTTCATTCACCGGGAGAGATTCGTCGCGTTTTGATGCTGTGTTGCTTTGGTTGCGCTGACGCTGCTCCCTTTTTCGCACGAAAGGCGTGAAAACACTTACACCGCTCCCATTTGATAGAATCTTGCCGGACACCAGTGCTGCTTGGTCTGAAAAAGAAAACCGTTAATTATCCCCTCCTCCATGTATCAGAAAAATCATGCTTGGCAGACTGCTCTCCCTAACTGGGATCACCGGCGAGGGACAAGGCCGCGGCAGGGCACCTTGTCGGGACCAAATAAACACACAGCGCCAGCTATAAAGCTTGGGCCCCGTCGATCGCAGTCTCTCGCTCACAACGTCAAATAAATGCCTCGATCAACAAGATCGCTGTCCTTTACCACGGTAGATTTCACATTGCACAAGAATCGAAATGGAACGCTCTGCCTTGTTGTGTAAAGTGCATGCGACATGATGAATTTATTCTGTTCGGCGTTTTCGCCTTAGAATTCCCTTCTACGACCTCTCAGTCTCATCATCTGTATATCCGTGGTGGCGGAATGCAGCCTTTCCATAGCGCATCCCGATTTCGCCCCAGGTGCGCGAGAATAGGATGAATACCGCAGCACAGACTCGCACTATGCTGCATGAAAAATTTGCATGAGTGCTTGTGCTTGTACAGCCTGCACAGCTCATCTCCAATAGTTCGTTGCTCCGTGATTGCATCTGAACAAGCTCCATCGTTATCAATTTAGTTTTTCATGCCGGACAAAATAGCTCAAAAAATCATGATTTTTTTGTCTGGAGAGGTGACCGCATTTCCTTTTTTGATACTCGAGCTGCGTTCTCTTTGGGCGGTGCTACGTGAAAACCAGGCACCAGAACACCACACGCTGTTGAAAGAGCAACAACTGAAACGAGTGCTCGCGAAATCTTCTTCCCGCCACGTTCCATGTCCACGAACGGACCAGATACCAAAGCAAAACCTTGAATCGAGTCACGAGAAACTTGTTGAAACCTCTCGCGCTTGGCGAAGCGCGCTTTTATCGCTGTGCGCTTGGGTTGTACAAGCGTGCTAGACCGAAACGCAACACGCGTTTTTTAGACAAAAATAGCCTTGATCTCGAATATGCATGCTGCACCCCACACCGCAAACACTCAGTACTTCTACTTACACTATCTTCAACTCCAACATGCAGTTTACCACATAAAATGAAAAATCAAAATGCCCAGGCTCGCATTACAGATTTCGCTTTGATACCAAGCCACGTAGCATGAGCAAACGTGCTGTGGCAATCCCTGGCCCTTCTCTCGCTACTGGCACCCGAGGACAACGAATACAGCTAGCGAGGTAAAAGTATTTGTTCATGGAGAAAATACGAAACTTTCAACATGCATGGTTTAAGCATGGCAATTGGCAAATAGAAATACCTCGCATATCTATCTAGTAGTATTGCAGCCTCATTCCGGTCGATGGTGCTACACCATCTGGTTCTATTTAGGACCGAAAAGATGCCGCCCACACTACAGGGCGCGACTGTGTTTACAAAAGTTGTCTTTCAAAGTTGACCATGACGACCACGAAGCTAAATTCAATATATATTCTGCCTCGCCTTCAACGAATGTCCCATGCATTTACCACGTTGAAGTTGATTTCCTACAGTGGCTACATTTATACACAGGCCCACGCGGATGTGAAACTCCAAGCGCCCTGGGCGGCTACGCCGCTCATCTTTTCTGGTTCCTGGTTGAGCATCGATATCGACGGAAAGCTCTACGCGCCACCAGCTCGCCCAGACCTTTCAAGTCATTATTAGACTACCCAAATTCAAGGCCAGCCTCAAAATCAATACGTCTCTTGTTTGCTATTGATGACAGACTCAATACTTGCAGGCCTTTGTTCGCTAGTGATGTTGAACTGGTTCTCAGCAAACAAAGGAACTAGGCCTTGCACAGGAAACTCCTATATCGCTCAACTGTGCATCAAAGAGCCCGACAACTCAATCGCACGCATGCGCTGCTTCTGCGAGAAATTTGTATCCCTGTCGGGCGATTTTAGGCGAGGTGCCTTCATATCTCACGTGCAGGACGCCGCCGCCGTTTTGTATTTAGCCCCGACGAAATGAACGAGAGAGTAAAGAGTGAAAACACAAGGCGTGCCTGTGGCGCTGCACACTGATTTTTCATTCTGTCTGAGGCGATTTGTTCGCTCAACTTAGGAGGAAGGATAAATTTCTTACGCTGTGAGTGGCCATGTAACTCAACAGTCGGACGTCCGGCCGTCACGCTGAATGGCCGCGTACGAAACCCCTGTCTCGAAAAATCGAATCCCCGCAGGTTTGATTTTGAACGGGAGGAGACACCAAAGCTAGCTGCGGTGCAAAAATACTTCCGGGGGGGGCGCTAGACTCGCATAAAAAAATTATCGAGCGCGGATACTTTATGTCAGTGATTGAGAGGCCGAGATCTTGAATGCAGCGCCCCAAATTTCAAAGAAACAGTGTTAGTGCCAGTGAGCGCCGCTCCTTACTGTTACTAATTTGCAGCGGCTGACAAGAAAAAAAGCGAATGGACAACCCGCCCTCTTTGCCATGCGCGACCATCATAACACACACTTCGCGGCCCGCCGACGTCTAAGCAAAGCAATACTTGACCCCTCGACAACATGACCCAACGAGATGACCAACGAGATGATCTGCTATCTACTTTGCGAGCTGCCTAATGCTAGAAGTCATCTTCGAGCCTTCCCCTTGGCGGGCTACTCCGCCACGGGGACGCCGACGCCAACATCTTGGGCATAGTTTAGTTACCCCGCCTTCAAGACTGCTCTTGTAAGCCGTCTATCACTTCCAGATTTTCGAGGACGCAGGAGGGAGCTAGTAGACCTCTACGCGCCACTAGCTCGTCCAGCCCTCCAAAATATCGTCCCTACGGAAAAACAGAGGGCGCAATACCGAGCACCATTGCCACAATAACAGTCGGAGCTCCGCCATTGCGATCATCAAATTTCTTCCAGTTCCAAGACTGCGACTTTATGTGTCACTAGTATCGTCGATCTTCTGAGAAAGTTCCTGTGGGGTGCTATCGATCCTGACGATGGATTGATAAAGGCCGCACTCAATACTCTCTGCGGAGTCGTAACCTCCCTCAACTTCTAACTAGGTACACACTGGCTGCTCGGCCTACACATTCATATCCGGAAGATGAGACACGCAACAGCGTCATAAATTCTCTTCTTGATCTCAACAAACGACAAACGGAAACGCGCTCGGATGCTTCGCTTTTCATAAACGCGCCGCATTAGCATATTAGTGACAATCTGTTCCTCGCATCTATCATGTTCCAGCTGTCTGCTGGGATTCCAGCAACAAATCTATTCGATTTTCATCAGCTGTAAAAGTTCGGCATGTCATGCTAGCTCACTGGGATATATGGAAAGAGAAACGCTCATGGCATTCGCAGCTAGAATCAGAAAGAAGTGAAACCTACAACGACTTCATCTATTTTTTTGCCAAGTGAGAGCTCCTGCTCCGGCCCCTGCCTTGTTAGATAGTTACTTATGCTGCGAAACATTCACTGGTGGTCTTGATGTAGGCTTCCTGACGAAGAACTACAACCACACCGAATATCTGCAGAGATCAATTCCAATGGAATCCATTGTTTTTCGTAAAATTATAAAAATGAAAATTAATTTTGTTGTTCGTACAATAAAAACAATTAGCGGCGTACTCGAGAGAGAAGCCGAGTTAGAAACCGCAGGATGCTGGGGTGAGAAAAGAGGGCTGTCTCGCGCCTCGGCGGTGGGAAAGGAAAAGGTTCTCGGGTAGGTCTGTTTATCATCTCTCGATAACGCCGAAGAGCTAGCTGCACGGTGAAATTCTTATGAAATGAACATGATGCTCCTGGGTAGGATTGATTAGGATATCTGGGACTTGTTTTTTAAACATGTTGCGACAAATAATCTTTAAATCGTACACTTGCTGCTATAGTCGTGAACCGGTGCAGTGTCATAGGAAGACAATAAATCATATGCGATACAGCTAGTACTGCAGGAATCCGTCAAATTTTCAGCTTCGAAAAAGTCATCACGCTGAAGAATCGATAGCTACCCCGTCAAGCGCGCTAAGCGTCCGCCGGAATACCGTGTAAAGATGTCAGGGTTCAACTCCGCAGAGGACGAAGCGACACAGTCTTCCCCTTGATGCATGCAGCAAACCAAGAAAGACTGACTAAGATTTTGTTGCGAGGCTCAATCGGCCTGCCATCTGAAGAACAAACTGATCCTTACAAATCATATAAGTGAGAAAATCAAATCCAGTGTCCTCGCTCGACATGAATCCGGCCATTATACACGACACAGTTCATTGCCAATCTGATGTCTTTTGGCATTGACTTCGAGTCTGACTTTAAGTTTGACCCTGACATGATGCTTCCAGTGCATAACGAGCGTCACTTCATCAAGGCCATGGGGCTCCCCCTTTTCCAAGCGCTGTTCGGCCGCTACGAAGGCCGCACAGGATATCCAGGAAAAAAAATGCATACAGATCACACTATGGCAATTTCTATTCTTCTCCGCAGGCACAATGTCCATGATGTCCATGACAAAAAGACATATCTGCATGAAGAACGAATGCGCTGCTGCCACACTCACTGCAAGCCAGATTTATTTCCACCGTCTGTCATAGCATTTGGTTGACTAAATTTTTTTGAAATTGCAAACCTGCGACAGTGATGCATGGCTTCTCTGCATAAAGCCGCGATATGAAAGGTTCGGCCGGAAATTCTTCCGAATGGAAGCACATAAAATACTATTTTCTTTTGAAGCCCCTGGTACCTGTCTCCAAAAACTGCGCACGTACGCAATCAATGAATGTACACTCCTGAATCCTTCCGACAAGGAGTCTTTTGCTTCTCATGCTGCTTCTCTTTACCTTAGCGCAAAGCTGCAAGCAACTCGTTGTCGTTGAGCAGCACTTGCAGCTTGTAGAGAAATCACGAAGACAAACACAAAAGATATGATCCGGAGGAAATAAAACAGACCCACCCTATTATACTTGTTGTATATGCAAATCTGGGATGTGCGAGAGTTCCGCTTCTGTTCTGTAATGTGGAGAGAAGCGCTGGGCTGAACGAGGCCAATCGCGATTATGGCTTCATACAACATGCAAAGCTATTCTTCCATTTTACCCGAATCCCCTGTCAAGCTATCATACCCGAATCATGTTGTTGACGAGGTCCACCTATCAGAATGAAAAAATCCTCCCACACAGCAAAGATAGATTTGTGTTGCTCGATTCGATGAGATGCAACGAACAAGAACAAGATTATTTTGGCATGCGCAATACCTTAATCAACGACTCACCAACAAGCACCATTTTGCCAGCCACTACCTCGGGTAATGACATCGGAAGGTCTGGCCTGACATTTTGATTGTCAGCCCAGCTATGTGTAGTCATACGGCTTTCTCCATTTTTTTCACCCGTCATCTATACTCATGCCCACACATTGAGCAACACGAATTCGACTCACTACCCAGCATTCGAGTAAGAATCTATTAATCTTCAATGTGGGGATCGGGATGGCATTTTTCCGCACGATACCACCTCGGACTTGCCTAAACGATCGGAATTCGATATCACATGGGAAAGTGTCCCTACTAGTCCAGAATGTTCAAAATCTTTTCTCGTCTTCGTCATTCTGATTGGGAACGAATATATAAGAATCACCACATTTAGCCATGCATAGGAGGACGCTTCTGGTGCTTCTACCAGCGTCAGCGCGTGCAAGTGGAGAGACCGACGGCGACGCAAAACGCTGGCATGACAATTGCAACAAAGCAACTTTATTTGCAGTTGCGGACCTTAAAACGTACAAAATTTTGCATTCGATCATTTACTTCTTCAACTTTGCGATAATTCCTCGAAGACTTTTATTTCCGGTGGTGCATTGACACCGCGGGCGTTCAGGTTTCCAATCAGAATGAGGCTTTCCTGTACATTTCTGGTTACCAGGGCATGCTTTTTATTTCCATATTCGAAATGTCCCAGACGCCCCCACTGCTGTCGCTATCCACACCGGCGCCACCTGTTGAGTTTTGATCTTGGTCAACACCTTTCGAGGCTCTTTCATATTCGAGGCAAACCATGGATTCTCTGTACTAATGTGAAGTAACTAGTATTTGCCTGCATTTTTATCGTCGAACAACTGCCAGACGAAGGATGGTGCATCGATTCATCTATCTGGGCTTGAGTACCGGGGGCGTTGCTAACCGCCCAAACCAACATAAACATATGAAGAAGCATTGGGATCATGCTCACAGGATTGGCACTTGGAAGCCTTCCGTTTATCACTATCATTCCAACTACATTCAGGTAGAGTCCTCTTTTGTATTTGTACCTAGAACGAAGTACTCACAACAGCAAAAAAGGGACAACGAAGTAGCAATGTTCCCCAGTCTAGGCCTAGGGAAAAAGCTGTCTGTGCACCGAAGAAACAGTACCTCGCGGTTGCAGGCTGAACTTTTTGCAGACTGCCTTGAAGTCGGGCAGTGCCGACAGAAGCGGGATCTTTACCATTACGCTGGCACGCAGGCCTGTTCCGAGATTTGACGGGCAGACGAGCACGTATCCCAGATGGTCGTTGTGCATGAAGTCGTAGTATCGTCTGGAAAAAACTGTTCCCTACCCGTACTCAAACGGAAACTTTGTTTCACGCACGATTTAAGTGCAGCAGAAGTCGAGCCGTATTGTTAGAAACCAAAGCGCCAAACAAACTTGAAGATGCGGACTGGTTTGCAGGCTGCAATTTGGTGTGCTACAACTACTTCCGGCAGTGCAGTTGCTCTCTGTCAAGCTGAACACACAGCGTAGTCTTTCCCTCGTCCCGGACAGCAATTGTACACATCGCGTTTCTACTTCCGCCCCTCGTCTGCCGTGACAACTACGTGCCTTGTGATCAGAAATCATACTACATTGCAAAAACAATCCCAGTTCGAGTAGTTAGTATGGGAAGGGATAATTTTTCCTTTTGGTACATAGCCCTCGGCCTTAACGACGTCTTGCACAGCGTTGCACCCTGTTGCAAACCGCGAAAATACCTCCTTGATGTCGGCGCCCATCTGCATGGATATGATCCGGGTGTGGTCCTCCTCGTTCACCCAGACCTATCCTGTGTAAAACAACCGTCGTCCCCACCCCAAAACCAAGATGGCGGTTTTTCTACACGACAAGCCGAGAAGTTTCGGGCTCGGGCTCGGCTGTTGCGGACTACAAGTTCGCTCTATGTATTGGTGATAAGCGCTAGCGCCGCACTGGCATCACAAGTCGATCATCTTAAACTTACAAATATTTCCTGAAGAAGATTGATTACATCACAAAGAAATTCCACAATAGCATTTAGAAAAAAAATCCTGATGGGGCCGGGCTGCGGCTGCGCATCCGAAATATCGTCTAAGTACTACGCATACAGATATTTATTGTGAGACATATCTATACTTATGGGGTGGCGGGGGCGACGTTTCTACTGAGCATAAGACCAGGAAGTTCTTCTTGTCGTTGAAGAAAATTCCGTATCAGTGTGCAAAACTCACCGCTCTCTGTATCATAGCAAAAATAGCATCAGAAACGACAGCAGAGGCGCAGCTTCTGTGTGACAGGAGATCCCGGCACATAGTTGGAGTCGAGTGCTACAACAGCTTGTCATCACCATGCAAGTCAGTGCTCAAAGGCAACGGCATGGGTTGCAATTTAAATTTTGCCTGTCAAAGAAGCGGGAGGGGGGGTTGTGCACTGTCATATTCCGCGCGCGTCCGGCCAGTGTCGACCCATGCCCCCCGAAAGTAGCAGTGTGGAGTCCGGCTCTTGAAAGAGGAAGTGGTCGTTTCGGAGTTTCTCCTCCTCTTCGTAAGTGATCCCGTTAGGCTTGGGTTCGTACGACTTGCTGCCCACGTATGAAAGTGCAGAACTCCCGCTCCGCCTGCTTGCACTTGCTTCTAGAAGGGCATGATGAAGATGAACAAGAGCAAAATACAAATAGTAGCAGACGCAACACCAGTATATTAACAGAGTAGTTGTAGTTGACAAACGAACCTTCATTCGAGACGGACAATCTGCGGCTATTTCCGCTCCAGGAGCTCGTCACGCAGGCAGCGTACAATTGCCAAAAAGCTGAGCATGGAAATCGAAATCCTAATCCAACCGGTGCTGCACCTCATCGCACTATTGGTATTGCTCTCAATTTCGCATCACAAGTGTAAATGAAAACTAGGGGGAGCTGTGCAGGGTCGCTTCATACCGCGAGCGGATAGTAGTCGCCTTTCAGATCCCCTTCCAAGGTCATCAGTGCCTTCACCACTACTCGTTCAAGCTCCCGCCATCATCGCAGCGTAAAGCACACTCATACCAGAAATCAACCGGATCAATTTCACGTAGGTGTGTTTCCGGGACAGAAAGTTTTGCGATGCTGATCTGCAGCAGGGGCAGGGTTCTGTCATGCATCCTGGAGCATGGAAGTAATGCAGACCAGCGTGACAAAGGTTTGTCATGCTCAACAAACAGCCTGATTTCTGGCTCCTGACCTGAAAAATGAAAAAAGCATTACAACTACGAAACTCATTTTTTTCTGGCATGGGTGTAGTTCTTTCCTGTTGGGTAGGCGGTCCTCCTTGGTGCATGCCGGCGGGAGCCGCAGGCCGCGAACGCTTCGCCCGGTCCGCACGCGGGAAGATATCACGTACTGCCCCGTCGGATCAATGTCAGTGGAGTCCAGCTATCCGCTGAAAATCTTTCAGGGTCAGGAACGAAAGAGCCGAAAATTGCTATTTCTATGTTGAAATGTGGCGGCTCCTTCCGGGCAACATCTCCACCAAGTAAAGGTGGCGGGAGCGGTCTAGTCTCGTTTTACGTCAATACATTTGAATAGGAGAAACAGCTAGAGTTTATGACTTACAACAGAGGACATCATAACGTCAATGTCAACCGACGAGCAGCATGACAGCACACTGCGCGTTGCATTCGTTTTCCTTTTCGCTCTTTTCACCTTGCTGACATGAGTGCTTGCAAGCATACCAGCTTCGAGATGTCCATATCTGTGGGGTGGACTGCGTCTGCCGCATAGCCGCCGTATCAAATGTAAAAGTGTCTGGGTCTGGAAGAATGCAACTTGTGATGCTGCATTTGGATTCCAAAAAAATTTGTATTGCATGAGTACCAAAGGAAAGGCAATTTTTGCTACGCTGAGAAGGCATTTGTCATGCGGAATACGCATCAAGAAGCCCTCAAAAAATCTGTATTGCTATGGGGTGCATCACAGATATCATGGCTCATGCAAAACGTGCACGACAAGTGTCAGATTCTTCCAGACCCAGACACTTTTACAGTTGATACGCCGTGTCGGATGTCAATGATCGGGTCAAACAATTTCGCAAAAACCTGCCAAAATGCACGTACAGTTCACCTTCTCCTTCACATTATCAACAAACTCTTAAATATAAAATATTCTCTTTTGCGATGCGCGATATGAGGCTGGGACGAAGCAACTACGAGGAAAAAAAAAAGTTGCCGTACGTTGTAGCTCTCCTCATCCCCGGCGACGATACCGCAAGTCTTGATCATCGGGTGGCCCTTGTTGTCCATGCCCGTTTTGATGCAGCGCGCGAGGCCGACGCCCATCTCCGTTTTGAGGTCCTTGAGTTCGGCGTACAGGTCGGGATTCGCCTTGAGCACATCCGTCATAATGCTGTTGTGGTGGGACAAGTCGGGGCACTCGTCCGGGCACACGTCGTGGGGGAAGCCGGGATACTCCTCATCCCCGAGGCCGGGCATGAATTCGTAGATAAACTCGCCCTTCTCCAGCGCTTGTTCCATCTTGATCAACTTCGCACAGCCCTCGATCATGTTGTTCACGAGAGCCACCTCAGACACGCCTAACCGGTCCGAGTTCGAGATGTCAAAAATCCCTCCCACGGCGCCGGAATCCACTCCCGCACCCCCGCGGGCCTGCAAACGCATCCCCTTGCAGATGTCACGGAAGTCGTGTCGGGCGGACAACTTGGGCAGCTATTTGAACAATTTGGGACTTGTTCGAGGGTGGTTCCAGCTTTGGAACATTGAAAACAAAAAGCACAACTGAAAAGGACGAACAAAACGCGTATGATCAGTTCGAGCTGTATGTGTAGCTGTATCTCTATCTTCACCACCGAAGCTACCACATTTACCCGAAGTGGATAGTTAATATGGGCGTGCGGGACTGCAAACCAGAACAAGGAGGAGCAGTAGAAAATCTATGCACAGGTAAAATAAAAAAATACGAACACGATCAACCCAGTAAGAAAGCACTACCTTGACCATGACACTTGCTCGCAATCCAGTTCCGAGGTTGGACGGGCAGACGAGGACGTATCCCAAATGGTCATTGTGCATGAAGTCGTATCCCTCCGCTTTTACGACGTCCTGCACGGCGTTGCAGCCACTGACGAAGCGCTCGAAGACCTCTTTGATGTCGGCTCCCATCTGCATGGAGATGATCCTATCCCATCGAGAAAAAGCTAGAACCGAGACCGATCATGTACATGCGGCGCTGTTTCAGATGCAATTAAAAAAAAAGCTTAATATGTTGAGTTCGAGAAAGTAGTAATTGTAATTCCGCGATGATCCCATCAACCTGGGCCGCCGCGGGGAGCCCATAGCACTAAGCCGCCGTCCAAACCATGCAAAAACGACATTTGTTTCCGATAATTTTTCCGCTGTCCAGCTTCCTTTTTTAGTTACCCAGCGGATGTTGGAGTGGATCCTCGTTCCGCTTTTTTCATCTCTGGGATACATTCGGGTGTGGTCCTCCTCGTTGACCCAGACCAGGAAGTTCTTTTTGTCGTTGAAGAAAATACCGCGGGCGTCCGGCCAGTGCCGACCCATGCCCCCGGAGAGCAGCAGCGTGGAGTCCGGCTCCTGAAAGAGGAAATGCTCTTTGCGCAAGGTTTCCTCCTCCTCGTAGGTGATCCCGTTCGGCTTGGGTTCGTAGGACTTGCTGCCCGCGAGCGGGTAGTAGTCGCCCTTCAGGTCCCCGTCCAGCGTCATCAGCGCCTTGACCACGACGCGCTCCAGCTCGCGGCGGCCCTCCTTCGTGCACGCCGGCGGCAGCAGGATACCCCGGATGCTGCGGCCGGTCCGCACGCGAGTCGAAATCACGTACTCGCCGGTGGGATCGATGGAGGTCGTGGACAATTTAGAAACATCCATGTCAGTCGGATGCTTTGCGGTTTTGGCATACCTGTATTCACGTTGGTTCTTTCTCGTCGTGACCCGATGCTGTCTGTCATCTTCATCCGCGAGGCAAAAGCTGGAAACTTGTTGTATACAATGCTGCGTGGTATCAGACTATCTGTACTACTTATGTGCAGATCATACAGTAGACAACTTCCAGACAGGAGCCGTGGCACTTTTCTGCAACTGACGTATGTAGTAGTCTTTACTCTGTGGCAGCACTTGCACTAGCGCCACAAAGTGCTTCATATAAATTGGCCGCCGCCGCGCCACAAATCGACAAAACATTTGAGTTGTACAGCTCCCTTTGCACAACTGAAACTGATGAACTGCACGAAGGAGCAGAATAAAGTGAGAAGTTGCTCACCGAGAAGATCGCGCCCTTATTCAATGTCAATCTTTCTTTTGGATGAAACTGTGATGAATAAAGTTGCGGCGTCAACATCAATGCTGTACCCTCCGTGGCGAATGTCGATAACGGGATCGAAGTATGAGATTGCAAAACTCGCCCTCCCCCTCACTTGAGTGGCATGAACAGCAACACAAGCATTGGCAGAAGTGTGGCCTCCGCATGACAAATTGCAGTGCGGTTTGGATGAAACTTGTCATGCTAAACAGAAGTGCGGCACACTTTGCCTCCCCCTTTGCAAACGGCCGCAGATGGCTGTCACGCAGGGAAGGTAGGTCAGGCGGACACCGAAGTGCACAACAAGGTCAGGCGGACACCGAAGGATGAAACTTGTCATGCACAACAGACCTAAGAGGGAACGAGTGGACATGGTATTTTCCATGACAAATGAGGGAAAGGGGAAGTTGTGCAGTCTCATACGAAGAGGTCGGCAAACACAGTCCAGGACTCCTCGTCTCCGGCCACGCAACCGCAAGTCTTGATCATCGGGTGTCCTTTGTTGTCCATGCCGGTCTTGATGCACCGCGCGAACGTCACCCCTCCGGCAGTATGGAGTTCTCGAGCGTTACAGTGTCCTCTGTTGGCTACACACACTTGCGGTGCAATAACAAAATGAACAATGAAACCCCTAATTAATAGCTCGTAGAGCCGTGTCATCTTCCACCATGAAAGAGTGAAAGGGGGAGCTTGCTCCTCTCGCATCAAAACTTACTTCGGCACAGAGAGACATCAATCCTGTTTGGACATGCGAAGTAGCTTGATTGCGTGGGCGTGGTGCTGGCGGCTGATGGCGATTTTGGATGAAACAGCAAGCAACCAGCTAGCAATGTAACGTTATTTGAGAATCTCATGCATAGCTAGTAACTTTGTCCTTTAGATTTGCATAAAGCGTCGGGTCCTTCTTCAGTACGTCGGTCATGATGCTGTGAGAGTCGAGTAGTTATTTGAGGACTTACAAGCGAAAGACCGCACCTGTGGCTTTGGATGGCAGCGAGTTTTGCATTTTTTATTGCAAGCTGGTTGCACTTCGTTCATATGCGGCTGATGCTACGTACTGGGAAAGAGAAAAAGAAAAAGTGGGCAGCGGCAAGAATACGTAGGAACAAATTTAGACGTACCTATTGTGGTTTGAGAGGTCCGGGCACTCGTCCGGGCACACGTCGTGGGGGAAGCCGGGATACTCCTCATCCCCGAGGCCGGGCATGAATTCGTAGATAAACTCGCCCTTTTCCAGTGCCTGCTCCATCTGCACAATCTTCGCGCAACCACTGATCATGTTGTTCACCAGCGTCACCTCGGATTTTCCGAGGCGGTCCGAGTTAGAGATGTCGAAGATGCCGCCAACAGCCGCACTGTCGACGCCCGCACCACCCCGCGCCTGCAGACCCATGCCCTTGCAGATATCCTTGAAATCGTGTCGCGCGGAGAGGAGCGGAATCTTAACCATCACGCTGGCGCGCAACCCGGTTCCGAGGTTAGACGGGCAGACGAGGACGTATCCCAAATGGTCGTTGTGCATGAAGTCGTACCCCTCCGCCTTGACGACATCCTGCACGGCGTTGCAACCCGTCGCAAACCGGGTGAACACTTCCTTGATGTCGCATCCTGTGCAAAAACGATCATGTTCCAGAAGTAGCAAAGTGGGCATTTCAGGAAGTACCTACACCGAGAAGCTTTGGCTGTTCGTCGTGCAGGACATAAACAGGCTGCGCGGCTGCACAGAAGGATCTTTCACACTTGCGGGCAATTTGAGGCTGCTGCGCGTGACAAGTTTGGTTTCGCCATGCAGCAAGCGTCTGTAGCTAGTGCAGCTGCATCGCATTCGCAGATTTATACTCATATAAATGATCCTAGTATAACAAACTGCCAGACAGCATCAGAAACAGAGAATGCTCCTCATTGGGCTGCGCATGAGAAAAATCCTGAGCATCAGCCTCAGCATGCAAACTTGCATGACAAATCTGAGGTGGGGGACCTCCAGACCACGTTTTTACAAGGATATGTCGGCGCCCATCTGCATGGAAATAATCCTGGTGTGGTCCTCCTCGTTCACCCAGACGAGGAAGTTCTTCTTGTCGTTGTGAAAGATACCTCAACTATGCAAAGCAAAATTTCCTTCTTGACAGTTTCACATCAGGTTCGTTCCTGGAGCCGCAACCTTGTTCAGATCAGCTGTCTGCCACACGTAAAATTAATGCGCAGGAGCACACACGTTCGGTGACCTCACTACATACGATCTCATCGTGGTCCTCGTAGATGATAATAGATTTGTCAAGTCAGTGTTAGTTGCTGAATCAATCAGGAAAAATGTGTAACTGTAAATAGGCTTTTCTGGTGGGATACCGACCCTCGGGCCAGTGTCGGCCCATACCGCCCGACAGCAATAGAGTGGAATCAGGTTCCTGTTCCATTGATTTTCATCAATTTTGCGTTTTGTGCTCGAAGTTCTATGTATACACCCGTCGTTTCTTGTCATCAACAGCATCACCACTGTTAGTAAAACTAGAATCGCCCTGGCAAGAACAGTGATAAACATATAACTCAAACAGATGTATCAGGGTGCTTCAAAAACTAGACGGCTGGGAAGAGGGCTACTTACATATCTTCACTGTGGAGAGGTGGACCATAAAACCTATAGAAAAGTGAAGTACTTGGAAGAGGAAATGGTCTTCGCGCTTCCGTTATGAAATGCAAAGTTGTCTGGATCGGAAAAATTATGCTAATATTTGGATAACGAGAAAACTCCGATACGGAACTCCTCGGCATGACAAGTTTTTCCGCGACAGCGTCTTGGGTAGATCGCATGGCATGAGCATGACATTGACACGCACAGGCACACGCTCACCCTCACGCCCCGCTTTTGCATGACAAATGAATGACTGACACCGCGTCGCATCAACATGGAATATAGAGTTTTGACTCGTGTTGTCAGAAATATTTATGGCATTTCGAGTCACACAAGCTTGCAGACCCAGACCGGTATAGTTGATTTGATATCTGCTCCTCCTCTTCCATCGTCATGCCCGTTGGCTTCGGGGCGTAGGACGTCGACCCTGCGAGCGGATAGTAGTCGCCCTTGAGTTCGTATGGAGGGTCACTCAATTGTACTATCACTGTTTTCCAACTTTCGCATCCAAAATACTTAAGTAAATGTGCCCACCATGTCGCGTTTGCAGAAAGACAACAGATGAAATCTCCGTGTGCCAAGAATTGAATGTTGCTTCTTGTCTTTTAAGGATTTTGTAGTAATGCTTGAAATGCGAAACTGTATGTAGTGACGGTCATTCTCATTTCTTCTTACATAGTTCGCCCTCCAGCGACATCAGCGCTTTGATTCTTGCAGAGAAATGTGCCCCACCTTCCGAAAAAAAAATGCAGAAAGCCTCGCCATGACATCCAATTTCTCATGTTCGACAGATGAAAGAGCGAGCTCGCTGTCCCAACTTCTGGAACTGGTGAAAATTTTAACTTGTCTCTATCTGACAATTATCTCCCCGGGAAGGGTTTTTTCTCAACGTGATACTCACCACGACGCGCTCCAGCTCCTTCCTGGAGTCCCGGGTGTGGCTTGGAGGCAAAACGATGCCACGAATGCTGCGGCCGGTCCGGACGCGGGTAGAGATAACGTAGTTTGTATCGAGGTAAAAATCTCTGAGTGACAACTCATTTACAGAGTCGCAACAACGCTCGCCGGGCGCGCAAAAAAAATCACGGTTATCGTGCTTCGCAGACACTCCTTTTGCAGCATTTTTTGCCCGGCAGGCTGTAAAATGTAAATGTCATTCTTGTTTCCCTTCATTGCGTTTTGCACGAGACCAGTGTCGTCCGAAGGATGAAGAGGAGAACCAACGGCCCCTCGGGCAGAAGTACTAATTTAAATATAAGTACTTATTTCTGCAGCTGGTCAAAAATGCACAGGAGCTACAGAAAGCCCGTCACAGTAGTAAACGAATGTCACACATCACTCCTTTCTCGTCAGTAACTTTATCAAATGTAAAAATGTCTGGGTCTGGAAACTTGTGATGCTGAGTGGCGTCTCATGATGAGGCCACAAATGCAAATGCTGGCTCAGCATGACAAGTTTCTGAGCTTCTATCTAGGTGTTGCCTATTCTGCATGACAAACTGCGTTCCTGCATCACAGAACAGTGGAGCTCTTGGGTGACGTGCATGACAGATTTAAGAGTCATGCCAGACAAGCATGACAAACATGCATTCTTCCAGACCCAGACATATTTGCATTTGATAAACTTCCCGTCGGGTCAATTTCTGTGTCCAGCAGTTTGGACACGTCCATGTCGGTTGGGTGTTTTGCGCTCGCAGGGTAGCTATCAAATGTAAAAATGTCCAGGTCTGGAAGAATGCAACTTGTGATGCTGCGTCTGCATTATGCAAAAATCTGTATTGCATGAACAGCAAAAGAGGTCTGGTTTTGGCCCCGGCGAGAGGGCATCTCTCATGCGGTATAGGCATCAGAAAGCCCTCACAAGATCTGTGATGCTAGGGCATGCATCGCAGACATCAGGAGTCATGCAAAATGTGCATGACAAACTTTGCATCCTTCCCGACCCAGACATTTTTACATTTGATAGTAGCCGCCATGCCGAATATCAATCACCGGATCGAACAACTCGGCAAACATGCTGAACGACTCTTCATCACCTGCGACGCAGCCGCACGTTTTCACCATCGGGTGCCCCTTGTTGTCCATTCCTGTATTTGCTTGTTTTGATTTCGTCGTGTTCATGATGAATCAGCACTTCTCACACGGCTGCCACCATAACTGCCCGCTTCATTCTTTGATTCTGTGCACTAAGTTGTAACAGTGACCATGTCGCGCGGCACGCTTCACTCTCATGTAGAAAACAAATGCACACGCAAATCTAGGACCAGCACACCACGCACAGGCATCACGGACAGACCTTTGCGAATTCGGGTCCGATTTATTTTCGGCTTGTTTGATGTAACAAGAAAGTTCTCAACATGACAAAGCCGGAAACGCACCAAATTCCACCTGCCCCTCTCTTTTATAATAATTTCACGAAACTGCACCGCAATATGCTCCTAGTGCAACAAAATTCTTTTTGTTTTTAGTGATGCCACTATATAATTTACATCTACAGTACCTGTTTTGATGATTCTGGCAAATCCCACACCCATGGCGGTACGCTTCTCCTTCAGGGTCGCGTAGATACTCGGGTCCTTTTTGAGGACATCGGCCACCTTCATCACATTGCAAATCGTTCCTGGTCTGTTCGTGTACTTGTCTTCTTTCTGCGATTTTGCAAAAAGAACGAAATCTTGCGCGCGTGTTTTATTGGCCTGAAAAGTAACGCTAACGTCATGCTCAGCCGCAGGGTAAGGGGCCCAAGAGAGAAATAGTTTTGCTGCCGTATCGATCATGGGAAATTGATTGGGGAAAGACAAGCAGGAATGCAATTTTTGTTTCTGACGTTTCATTCCGGCTTCATGTTCATCCAAACGCACGACAAATACGACGTCCTAGACGGTGGATTTTCACAAATCATACTGATGGAGGCGTGCTTGCTGAGGTCTGGCATTTCGTCCGGGCAAACGTCTGCCGGAAAGCCGGGGTACTCCTCGTCGATTGTATGAAATCAAAAACCGCTGCAGCTAACGTTTATAATTACGCTGTGCCCTCCGAATACGACTTTTTGCAGTTGCATTTGAAACTCTTCGAATTTCAATCAACTTGTTGATTCACGACCACCTGCAATGATCTTCAATGCCTCATATCGATTTCTGATTCTGTCTCGTCGCAGCCGACACACTACAACATTCTTAGGATGACTCACGTTATTAACGCAGACTAGGTACAGCACTGTTACTGTTGTGATACCCCAGACCCGGCATCGAAGCGTAGTCCGGTACGTTGCTCGGCACAATGGCAATGGATTCCTCTGCCGGCGCCTCTGCAGGTGCATCCGGATCCGCAGCCGCTGCGCGGGCCGAGGGGGATCCGGCGGGGGAGTCTTGTCCTTTTTGCTGCGACAGGTACGAAATCATAAATGCCAACGGATCGCCAGGCTGTTTCGCCAAAAGACCGTGAATCATGCTTTGCAACGTCCCTTGCACCTACAGTTTGAGAAATCACATCAATTCAAAAGAGCACTTGGCGCATGAGCATGTTCTTGTACGCGACAGGAAAATAACCGTCATCATCATAATCATCTTCATCATCAGGAACAGGATTATCAAAATTGGTGCTAACGTTTGGAGGGTGCCCCTGACCGCCCCCGCGCGGCCGCCCGCAGGCATAGCTATAAATTCTCATGCAAGTATATGATCTAGAATGCTAAAAAGGAATGCCGTTTCTGAGTACGATCGACGGCTGCACCGGCTCGGTCGCTGAAAAATGTGCACAGGTCCTCATGGAGTACGTTTTCTACTTCGTACAACCAAGAAAAATCGCTAGTAGTTGCGTAATATGCGACAACAACAGCGATGGAGAAGAGAATCATTGACGCATTGGCATTTGGGCTTGGGGCATCTTCAAAAATAAGTACAACGTTTTCACTTCTACTCATCCAGCAGAAACAGAAAAGCAAAAACAGGGATAGAACATATAGTATCATACCGCGTGTTCGTCCAGATATTTTGTGGCCTTCAGAGCCGATTCATGCCGGCTAGAGCGGGACTTGTTCACATCCTGTTTCTGGCTGTCCGACGTACAGCCCAGCGTGAGCTTGATGCCGCTCTCCATCTCCACGAGCTCGTGGAATTTATCACGGAGAAAAGTCATAAAAAGCTGGCATACAATATATATTTTTATCTCAACGAAGCTTTCATGCAAAAATGGTTCTGATTCTGAAGCTGCCGCGCATAAGTATGTATGTACCTCTGCACACTTGATGCCCATGACCAATTCGTTCGTGTTTTGAATAGCATAATATTACACAGTAGTTTTGGTTGTAAGCTAGCTTTTGTTTGCAGTGTCGTAGAACTGCGGGTCTGCTTTCATGGAGCTGAGCGGAACGATTTTTGATGCCACCTTCTGAAACACGTCCACCTTCATGGTGGCGTGGTTGGACGTCGGAAATGGAAAGGGGGTCGCATCCGCACGAAACGGGGCCTGTCGCCGTTGTTCCCCGATCCGAAGAGTGTCAATCGGAAAACTAGTACGACCCTCAGCCAAGGAAGGCAACTACACGCTTGCGCGGCAAGACAATCTTACTACAGCACGACCTGCCCTTTTTTCTACATCTTCAAACACGTCGAGCCTCCCTAGTAACCCAGTAGATTAGCACATAGCCAAATCGGTCTTGCACACATCACACACTAGCACCATCATGTGGGTAATATCTGTTAGTCTGCTATATTATACTTCAGCACGATGGAAGTGCACGATCAGTGTCCTCAGTTCTGCAACAGGAGGCGTCGCGAACTTCATCTCTTGGTTTTTTGTAGAAATCTTACGCAAAACAATCCTTTGCCTTTCCTGGCGGTCCACCGAGAGTGGCACCGGTTCTTTCCACGTCCATAAATAGACACGTAGGCCTTGTCCGGAAGCCCCTCGCCAGACACCACACTGACGTTCATGCTTCGGATTTTTCTGTCTTGTGATGTTACTAGGCGGTAGCTCACGATCTAAGAAGGAGCGGTTTGTTCTGTCTTTTTTTTAAAAGAGTATTTTTATTTTCGTTACTGAGCGATCGCAGCACGCAAAGGCAAACCATAACCAACCAAGCCGTTTGGTATTTCTAACAAATGCGCCGTGCAGCTGCGCCAATGCGACTGCAGAAGAATTGTATCCCCGTTTTTTCTTCAGAACAGTGGCTGAAAACTACCTTTCCAAGGACAAATGATGAGTCGGATATTCTTGCAAAAATTTTGGATTATCGGCGCTCTGACATGAAATCTTTCGCTTTGGTTTGTCTCGTTCCTCTCCAGCTTCACGACCTCCAAGCTTACACTTTACTTTTATATTTCTCTCTGTCCAGCACGTTTGCGCGGGAGATATCAGTCTACTGCCCTGCAAAATCTTGATGGATGGAGATACCCGTGAAGTAGATGGCGCGCAGCCAGAGCCCTGTCAACTTCCACTATCTAATTGACAGAATGCGACGTCAATGCTGAACAAAAACAGGTGTTTGACTTGCCGGCGGCCGCAGCGCCTGCGCATTACTGCAACAGCACCGAGGTTTCTCTTTCTTTTGCCCAGAGTAGAGCAGACAACGAAGCCGTAAACCTAAACACGATGTCGTCGCTCTGAGCTATAATACATGTCACTGTGCGTTTCATGTGCCAACTGTGCGGCTTCCTGGGTACGACGCCGGAAGATCATGAGTCAGACATTCATAATTGCTGTGAGCGGAGGAGCGAGTACAACTTTGACGCGCAAAAGAAAAAATAACTTTAAGTCCTTACACTCAATATCTTAGCTTTTGTCCGACGACATCGACTACCCGTTCGCCAAGGAAGAGGAAGATCTTTGCGTCCGCCAGCACCAACACGCGGTGAACACAAACCGCGTCTCGCGAACGCAGCTTATTCTTACCAGTAAAAAAAATGAAGTTCTTCACTTATACATCGTCCTCCCCCACCTGATCTCGGACAGGCAGGCAGCGCAAGTAGAGCAAGCCCGCTGGAACCATTTCCAGGGTCTCCCAGAGCTGCCCCGAGCCCACCTCGTCGCGCTGCTCTTGGTCAAACAGCAGCCGCGTCGTGTGGTGTGACACTGTACCCGTACGAGACGTTTGTAAGTAAGGATTCAGCACCGGATTTCGCTCCGCGTTCCCCCGTTCCCGCTCAATCATCTTCGCTAGCTGGCCGCCACCAATTTGACATCTGAACAAAAAAATGGAAAGTCTTCACATCTTTCAACAGAACGGAAAATGATACAGTGACAACTACTCAATGTAGTTCTATGGTTCCTGATAAGTAAGTACTAGCTACTACACCTGTCAACTCTGATCATTGCCGCGCGTCCTCACAGGTACTCAGTGTTCAATCGTCCTGAGTGAAACGCGGGTGTTAGTGTGGTCAGGATTATTGCAATTGCTGTTTTTGTGTCGTCGAAGCTAGATGTGACGACTTTCTTCCGCATCCTATCCCGACTTTCTTGATCGGACCTTCGGCGTCGCAGCAAAAGCTAAGCTGATACCGAACCATACGCTGAAGCTGAAAATACCAATGGCACCGGCACAAAAAAATATTAAAAACGACGCATCTATGCTCTGTGCGCGATTCGTAAGAAAGCAATAGCTTATAGCTTTTGCTTTTCTGGAACATCGCAATCCAATCCCAATCAAACAATAAATGGAAAAATGAAAATGAATCGTATCAAGAACCTGGATATGATTTCGCTGTTGTAGATGTTTTGCTGGCGCAGTTCTATGGTAAGCACCTCGGTCTCCTCCATCGGATCGAAATTAATCTGAATTGTTTCCCTTAAATCCAGGCGGAAACCGAGAGTTGCCTGGTCTTGCGTTCCGGCCCCACGGGCGGAGGTCGTGCCGGGTGGAATAGTTGCAGATGAGTTGATGCCCTCGGGGATTGTGCTCACGACCCCGGGTGCAGTACCTGTAACTCCCGCTCCAGTGCCGCGCATACTGTGGTGCGTTTTGACTCGAGTTTTATGGTCGAGGTTGTAGCCCTATTCACAGAAAAAAACCCACCGACCCCCATGAGCCACTTTAACGTTAGCACGACCTCCAATACAGACTATGCGTATGCATATGCTTCATGTTGTTCTGGATGACTACTTGGATTATCGGGGGATGGGTTTTTGGCCTGGATAAGCCCATTGATACGTTCAGGAAAACGTGCTTCCCGACACTGGCATTCTCGATCTTCCAGAAAACCAACTCCACAGGCTCAAAACGCTGCATGCCCCAGCAAGTGACCCAGTCTCGGAAGTCGCCCAGTACCTGCCCCTCTTCTAGAGATGAAATTGGTCGTCCCCAACAATTATCGGCTTCCCTCGCGACCACGTAATCTAATCGATTATTTACTTACCGAGCTGAACAGAAGAACATACAGCGTTAGCACCTTGATAAACTACTCTCGATCTTCCGCAGGGGAAACAACTACAGGACCTATGTATGAGCAGCCGGAAAAATCGCCATTTCTCCAATACAAACCATGCTGCGTCTCTGCCGCCACGCAGCTGCTCGAGGATCTCTCAACGAGGTATCAGTATATGAATCGCAGGAGCTCCGCGGACGTAGTTCTATTCTCGCAATCTACCATCATGATAAAAAGTATTTTGAAATTATTCTTTCAAAAAGCATGCTGCCCTTGTGGACGTTCGCCTGGACCTGCCACGTCGGAGACGACGACTTGCATGTTCATACGGGTCTGTCGATCCCAACTGCAAGTAACAATCGGTCCTTGAACTTCCACAGCACCCTATTCAGGCGAAGAAGAAAAGGCTCCGCCCGAACTGACCGAGCTCGAATAACTACAATACTATCTTTCTAGGTGTAGGTATCTCTTTGTGCAAGCAAAATAAGTCTGATTCTGTGGCTGTACATAATTCTATCATAAATGCTGCATGCCCTATGCACAAATGCTCTTGTTCCATGACACATTGAAACTACTCATCTGGAGGTGCAAGGTCAAGCTCAAGGCCCGAGAGGCCCGGAATCTTCGCTCCTTCCCCATGAGATAAATGACAATATGGAGCGAAAAAAAACTTTGTCACAATGACAGTCACAGTCATAGAGTTGCAGGTTTTGCATGAGAAATTACTTGTCATCGTATTGCAGACACATTAGGAAAATGCCGTATGGGATAGAAATTGGACTGTGATCGTGATGCATTTTTACAACCCATGACAGAAAGATAGTTCTAAGTACTTAATCTGTTGGCAAAAATTCCCATGAGTGATCCTGACGAACAACTTTTTTTCTTTGATAGACAAGGAGCAAGATGTACACAAGCGACTGCAGCACGTCGTCAACCTTGCGCAAAACGTAGGCCAGCAACTGCACCGTTTGCAGGAAAATGTAGTCAAGGTCATAGCCCCTTGTAGTGTGCAATGTAAACGTGAGAAACCCGAAGCAGACCAGGGTGGCGAGAAGGTAATACACCCGTCGGTGGATGTTGAACTGCTTCCGGAAGTTTTGCGTGGTCACGACGCGAAAGAGGGGTGTGCAAGGAAACACATACGCAAATATGAACACTCCGATTGCCAATGGCACCGCAACCTGGTCCCAGATTATCATCTTCGTCTTCTATCTCCTTGTTTTTCGCTCGGTTTGGATTTGGCTTTGGCACAAACTTTGTACCTCATTACATTTTGCGGCAGTTCTGTTCTCACTCTGCCGGGGGCGCCACGTCGATGGGATTCCTCCTGCTGTCAAAAAGAACCGGGTTTGGACGGGCTTCGGGATTGCAGCCCCAAAAATCCAAGTGCATGCGAATTGTTTAGTTAGGCAGGGAAAAAACCGAATTGACAGGCTTCGCAAAGATCCCCCGTGTACCAGCCAGACACAGAACGTGATCCGTATCCTGTTGATCATATAGCATTGTCATTCACGAGGACAAACACGTGAACATAATCCTTCATTCGTAGGTTCAAACAAAACTTCTTGCTGCTGATTTTCATCTTCTTCATACGGGTTGTAAGCTGCAGCAGCCAGTGAGCATCGACCCTCTACATTTTCTGCAACGTCTTATTCCGCTTGTGCCAATTATGCGCTAGTACTGCGAGCGCGTCCAGTACTTTATTATAGCATAGGAAGCAATGAGCTTGGAAACTAGCTTCAGTCCTGCGCTATGTAACGCTCACACCTAAGTCATTGCGAGAAAAAGCTACCGGTGCGAAGGTCAATGTGACAACGAAATCGGATCATACGTATCTTCAACTCGTTGTTTTCTTTCAGTCCATGCGACGATCACGATGCTGCCGGCACTGAATGCATAATGTTCAGTCATGGGTGTGGATAAAGATAAAAACCAAACGAAAACCTCGGTAATGTTTTCAAGCTGGATACAGATACATCACTAAAAACCTTGCTGTGAGAAAGTGGGCGCTAAAAGATTTTTAATATGGAAATGCCCAGTAGATACAGAAACAATGACACATCCGAAAATCGGCAGAAAGCCACAAGCTGTGCTGTCAGGCGGAAACTGAAAAAAACGTCCCAGCAATGAATCATGGCAGGTATTACTAATCGCACCGAAGTGGCTTTCTCATCATGAATATGATTGTATGCATCGCCGCGAAGGCGAACACACAGAATAATAAAAGCCCGGAAAAATTGTTTGTCAATTCTACGTTCGAAGTCGGAGTCGCTATGTATCTTCGTCGTTGTGGTCTCCACCAACTTACGTAATCATCTTCCTCGCAGAGAAGAGTCAGAGTGGGAAAGGCTGGGCAATTCGAACAGTTCAATTATGTGGTTAGAGTTTTTGGAGGTGGTACTTAATGATGTTGATGTACGCGGGTACTCGTGTGCTGCCTGTGGGGCCGTATTAGCACCACTGAACGACGTCGCACCCGAGTTACCTCCTACAACGCGTGCACCTGCATTCTGGGTGATTATTTCGCCAATGATGATGTACGTGATAGCCGACTTGACCACCGCAATTCTCGAGATAGGGTCCACAAACAGGGGTGGATGAGCGCAGCTCACCATGTAGATGTCGAGATCAGGTAGGAAGAATGCACTGCAAATATTGATCTGGGTCTGGATGTCATGCTTCCTTTGGTTCACGCCAAAAACAAAATCTACTGCGCCTCACTTCAAGAATAAGCGTGTCTGAAAAACGATCTTCTGCAATCCTTCTATTCTATTTGTTTCTGCCACCAGGCCATTAAAATTGATTCCAACGTAGTTCATCTTCCTGTGTGATTTTGCATTGCCTCCTGCACGATAAGATAAGATCCACATCCAGACTTGTGATCTACAAGAATTTCCAGTGAATAGCTCTGCGGCATGCGCAAGGTCAGCTTCCTCGGCGTTCGCGTTCTCGTAGTCGCGCATTTCCACGTCATTCTCGTCGAAGTACTGTTGTAGGTTTCCCTGCATCACTGGCAAGCGCCCGTCCTCGCCATGTACAACCAGGTTTCCGAGCTTTCTTGGAACTACCACGTCGTCCTCTTCTGGCCCGACTTCGCAGAAAGCATCCTCATAGGCCGACGATGGCCGGTTTGTGTCGTTCGCCGCAGACACACAGGCCGACGTGGTCGCGCTTCCTGTACAGGACGGACCGGAAGAGGACGAGCTGCTGGATGATGTCCTTGACGTCCCGACCAGGTCGTTATCCCTGTCGTCGCGGCCCGAAGTGCTGTTTGTTGTTGCACTAGCGTAGACATCACACTGGTCGTGGACAATTTTTGCGCGAGTTCTTCTACTCGGCGACGGCAAAGCAGCACGGCGCAGCCTGGGTAGAACTTGGTCACGAAAGAACAGCTGGGCGTCGCGGTAACCCTTTACCATGAACTCGCCGGGCACCCGCAGTCCCAAGCGGTCCTGTACCGGTCCCATAATCCTATCGCAGGCCTCTATCAGGCCCCAGGACCAACTGGCTCGATGGTTGTTTTTGCCGCGAAACAACAGCTTTATTTTGAGGCACTTTGATCCTCCATCTTCGTGCACTTGCGTTTTCGTCCCCAGCGCTGCGCGCTTCTCGCTGCAGTAGAGATTGTTTCCGCTCCTTCCCCCGGGGTCGGATAAAAACGACTCACTCCAGTTGGAAACCACAGCGGAAGTCGCCAGAGCAGATTCCTCCGCGTTCGTAACAGCTGGTACAGCACATTCGCGGCTATGCTTCTGAGCATTTTTTCCAGGCGGCGCCATGTTCTCCCCGCTTTCGCCTGCATCGCGGAAGTACATCGAGGCAAAAAACTGCCGGAGCCCCGCTGAGAACCGGTCCTGCTCCCGCTCGCGCTCAGCAGCAGACCCTCCAGAAACATGATCTTCCTCTTCAAGGTCACAATTCTCATCTTTATGATTACGCATCAGGTCAGGGAACAGTCTTACCACGACTTCGGGTTGTTCCTCTCCGACCTGGTCATCTGCGAGTCGCGGCTGCTCGTCTTGGTGCCAATAGCCAGTGTGCTCCATTTGCAACAGTTCGGCATCCATGTCGCGCCAGGAGTCTCGCTGCAGAGCCCGCAGCCAGCCTAGCTCGAACAATTGGCGCACGACGTCGACGCTCTCGTCGCGGCCGTCGACGAGACTCGGGGCCGGCGAGCAGAAACGAGTTGCCAGGTGGTTTCTCTTCTCACATTGCTGCGCCTCCACTCTGTCACTCTCGAGCGTGCGCAGCACATTCGACAGTAGACTGCAGGCGGCGCCGTTCGTGTAACGATCATCGTCCCCAGTATCAACCGCAAATATGTCTGCGTCAGGAAGAATGCAAGGTTTGTCATGCGTAGTTTGCATCACGCATGAACTACATGATGCCTTCAATGCATGACCATGACCGAGCATCACAGATTTTTATAAAACTTCCTGATGCCTATTCCGCATGACAAAAAATGCCCTCCCCACGTAGCACACACTGGACTGCTCTTACTTGCTGCTCATGCAATCCAAATCTTTTTCCAACCCAATCACAGCATCACAAGTTGCAACCTTCCAGACCCAGACATATTTGCATTTGATACCCAGGCCGCTCCTCCAACTCCGCGTCAGAGGTCCCCTCAGCGGGGTCCATCAGCGGGACGAGACCGGACCCGCAAGACGACCTCTGCGCAGGCCACGAGTTTTTCCACGACTGTGGCTCTCTCTTCTGTTGGCACTGTCGTAGAAAGACGGCGAACGCCGCATGCGGGTTCTTTATATGTCTTTGACTTTCATCTTTTGCAACGAGCTGCACATCACGGCGCTGGCCGTCGCAGTCCTCCTCGCCGTCGGCAGAGACGGTCGTGGGCGGCTCGGCCTGAACCCCCAGATCCCAGAGTGTGTGCAGTAACCACGGATCCCTAGCCACCAAGGGGAGCAGCAGTGGATACATCCGCAGATGAAAGGCACACTTCCCCGTTGTGTGCTCGTAGGCGGGACCACAAGGCGGAGCCCGCAATAAAGTAGACCAGCGCACCAGATCCCACGATCCGGACGGCCGGACGACCGAAATTCTGGCCGCGGCATCAGCACTATCTTCCTGCTGCTCCTCCGCTGCCCTCGTGCTGGCGAGGAGAAACCGCGGGGGTCCGCTGCGACTGCGGACACGCGATTTTTGCAAACCTCCGGTGACGGCAGAGAATGAATCTTCTTCCCGATGCAGCAGTGGAGACTCGCGATTTCTCATTCCAATCACCACCTCTTCAGAACGCTCGTCGTTTCCGCAACCACCGTCGAACCCAACTTCGAGAAAAGTGTTCTTCTGCGAAAGTGTGTAGCTTCCTACTTGCAGCTCTCGTTTCTTTTTACATAGTACTGCTCCACCTTGAGGTTGTAGAAGTTCACTGCGAGGATCGTAATATTGCCGCGTTTCAGCAGGCAGTTCGCTTGTGTGGTGTTCATCCTGCACCAGGGTCTGCAAAGTCAAAGAATCGCTTTTCAACACCGCGCTAGCTTCTGGTGGACCGGGGGCAACTACATGACTTACTATTTTTGACGGAGAAGTACCACTACGGGACGGAGGGGCCGGTCGTTCCGAGTACGGTAGTGCTCCTCCTCCTGCCCGCTCATCTCTGAGAAAGTCAAAACGGGGACCCTTTTGATCATGTTCCGCACACTTTCGTTTCCCATTGGTTTTTCGCGCGACGACGACACCTCCGGGCGTTTCAACGCGAGCAGGGGACATTGAGTTCATCTCTCCTGCGCTTTCCGGAGCGCCTTCCGTGCGGCGTCCTCTTTTGACGTCTCCTACCCCAGCATTGCCACCCTCCTCGCCGACGACAAGAAATTCCGCCCGGAGGCGGGTGCTACGTTCCATGCTACACAGTGCCTCGGCGTAGAAGCCGTCGCCTGCCATTCTGTTTCGCAGGTACGAAAGGCGCCACTGAGCACCCCTGGCCTTCGGAAACAAACGAAAGATCGTCTTCGTTTCGTCTTTTCCGTCGGTGTGCTGGTTGCTCCGAGAAGTACGACCGCGCTTCTTCATCTTGCAGCTCCCCTGCTTAACATCAACTTCTCGCGCTGCAGAAGAAGTCGGTCCCGCCTGAAGAAGCAGTTCCTCATCGTATTCTTTCTTGGTCCTCGCCGTGGTCGAGAAGTTAGCAGTTCTTGCTTCCTCCACAAACAAAACCTTGTCAATTACCCCCGAAGTTGTATTTGTGCTGCTACAGGGCGTGTGCTGCGCTGAACAGTCTGCCGCAACCAGGTTGGTGCTGGTCGTGGCACGCCCGACTACATCTTCACGACCCTTCAAAGAACCATTTTTTCCATCTCCTCTGAATCTGGGGGAGGGCTGCTCGTCCACGCTTTGCGAAGTTGACAAGACGGAACCGGACTGGAAGTCGTGGTCCTCAGGCTTGTGGTCCAGTAGACGAAGAAGCTGCGGCGAATGCAAGTTCATCCTCACTAGGCGCTCAAACAACCTCAAGAGTGACAAAGAGTATGTGGTGGCGCGTGCTCCGTGGTTCGGGTTCTGCAGCGCGGAACGCACCTTGGGTAACTCCACCTCGGCCTCGATGCCCTCGACGACAAAACGCCGATCAAAAGCCCGACAAAAATTTTCCTTCCCGAGCGTCTTCTTCAGAGGTGGAGACGCTGCATCTTCATTCTGCCGTCGGGCTGCGGTAGAGCTTGCTGCGCTGCTGTCAGTCGAACTTGTTGTGCTTTCAGTACTTCTGCGACTGCCATCTCCGGGGTGCTCTCGCCCGAAGAAGTTCCAGGAAAGCCGGGCCAGCGGAATATCTGCCGACGTCGTAGCACAAGCCCTTGCTTGCTTCGGCGCATCATTTTTCTCACGGTCCTGCGGCAGCTGGTGACCACGCGTTCCGGTTGTAGTGGGAGTTCGCGTGAAAGCCATCCACTCTTGGAATAGATGAAGAAACGATGCCTGATCGACATTTTTCCTTCTGCTAGACTCGTTGCAAATTTCCTCCGACGCAGTGGTACGATGACTCACACGAGGACCCTCCGTTTCGTAAGAAGTCACCGCACCGGTGTGATGCGGTTGAGGCTCCTGACGGGGAAACTGTAACAATGTTCCACGTCGCAGCCGCACCGTAATTTTTGTGACATTCGATTCTCCTCCTGGTGCCGGACGAACGTCTACTTCGCTAGCGATATTTTGATGATCCCCCTGAAGATGATCGCTGAATGAAGTAATTGCCTTCCGCATCCGATCACTAAGGGCCGCAAAGCTCGCCGCCGCAGCTCCGCCGGCGTTAGGCCCGCCCGCCGGTAGCCGCGATGCGCAGGAGATCAGCGCATCTCCGCCGTTCAACATAGTGACCATCAGGGCTGGAGCAGCGTTCAACATCTGCGGGGGCCCTCGTATCTTCGGCTCGTCCTGTTCATCGCGCTGCTCCCGTTCGTCCAGCAGCACTTTGGCTCGGAAGAATTCGAACCCTGACGTGAGGCGTGCCCGGTACTTCATCCGTAATCGCTGCGCCTGTGCAATGACCTCCACTCCTAGCTGCTCCGCAAGGCAGTGCATCTCTCCCAGCGAACAGCGCAGTGGGAGCCCCCGCAACAGAACCAGCGGCTCGCCAGGCCGGAGAGTAACGTCAACCACGGTGTCCCGTGCCATTTCGTTGCTGCAGTGCCGCGACGACCGCCGAGCAAAATTCTCGCCGCGTTGCGGCTGCTGCTGAGGGGAGGTTGACATAGAAGATCTAGATGTCGATTGCGCTGTCTCCGTCGCAATGCTCGTCTTCATCGCAGTAGATGTAGAGATTGAGTAGATTGATATATTCTTTAATCATTTAAATGCCATAACTAGAACTACCCCTAGCTTAATGTTAATGCTTTTTTCCATATCTATTTGTCTTTCTACCATTTCTTGAATACTAGACGAAACAACGCTACTCCCCCGGCAGAAATAACGGACACTCACGTCCAACTCCAAGGAATTCCAACAACCTTGAGCTTGACTGGTGCATTATAGGGCCCCATTCTAATATCCTGGCCCACCCTTCGAATTTCTAGTGCAAAAAATTGAAATTGCGTCAGCTCGATCAGGAAAAATACTATCCCAAAGATTCAAATCACCGGCAGGATGGGAGCTCTAAAGCATTCGAGGAGTTGTACGTAGAATGCTTTGTGTTTTCCGGGCTCTTCAAAAAAAAGCTCCGACCTAATAATGGGCAGAAAATTGGTTTTCATCAAAATGTCGCTGGAAGAAGATTCTTCGACTGCGCTGCTCTAAGATATGATGGATCCTTTTGTACGTAGATCACATTTTTTGCGCCATGAATTACGTTTGCGCTTCTTCAGACTGTAACTGTATTTATCATATTTTATTGATCATCGTTCCTTATCAGCCGAACCAAGAAACCGCGCGACTTATTTTTGTACATCCAGCACATTTAGAATTTTGATAAAGATCATCGAGCAGCGCCTTCGATCGACGCATACTTCTTCTCTTCCTTTTTCGCGAGTTCGTCACTTCCGGAACGACTGGAACGCATTCGACTCGCAAAATGAGGCCAGAGAACGTCCCCCGGAGAGGGCGCGCCTCACTTGCTCACGTTCGCGCAAGGGCGCTTAGTTCTACATGAGTGACCAGGGCTTGCTCGACGGACTAGTCGGGTGCTGGGCAGGCGCTCCAGGGAAAGTCTTTTTTCATTTTTCTCTACTTCACTTACAGGAACAAAACACAACATTTCTTGTATCATCATTTGAGTTCTTCCACCTGCGTTTGGCTTAACGAAAATCAGCCAATATCACAGGGCTCCATGATCGGAAGATTTTAAGATTTTCGCAGAAAATAAGTAGTTTCTGTTTCAGATTCAGTTGCATCAATACAAACACAAAGTAAAGTGTAAAAAAAGAAGCTCGAAAAGAAAGCTACATCAACAACACAATAAAGTTATTTACAATCTTATCATGCTGGTATAGAGACTAACTACCTTGGCATAAAAGAATGCAAATCCAAATGTCAGTTCGGGTTTGAGTTTCAAGTTCGAGTTGGAGTTTCAAGCCCGAGCTTGAGTTCCAAGCTCGAGTTTGAGTTTCAAGCTCGAGTTTGATTTTCAAGTTCGAGCTTGAGTTTCAAGCGCGAGCTTGAGTTTCAAGCTCGAGCTTGAGTTTCAAGCTCGAGCTTGAGTTTCCAGCCAAAAGTCGTCCGACGGCCGTCCGACGGCCAAAAGTCGTCCGACGGCCGTCGGACAGCCAAAAGTCGTCGGACGGCCGTCGGACGGCCACAAGTCGTCCGACGGCCGTTGGAGAGCCAAAAGTCGTCCGACGGCTCAGTAGAAGTCGTCCGACGGCCGTCGGACAACCGAAAGTCGTCCGAAGGCCGTCGGACAGCCGAAAGTCGTCCGGCGACCGTCGGACAGCCAAAAGTCGCCCGACTGCTCCAAAGTTGTCCGACGGCCGTCGGACAGCTGAAAGTCATCCGGCGGCCGTCGGACAGCCAAAAGGCGTCCGACTGGTCCGAAGTTGTCCGACAGCCGTCGGACAGCCAAAAGTCGTGCCCGACGGCCCAGAAGTTGCCCGACGGCCGTTGGACCGCCAAGAATAGTCCGGCGGGTCAGAAGTTGTCCGACGCCGTCGAGTCACGTCCATGCACCTTCGGGGCCGGGTTGACCAGATTGGGCGCGCCGAAGCCGGGGCGACCAGATCGGAAACCCCGGGGCCGGGTCGACCGATCTGGGCGCGCCGGAGCCGGGACGACCAGATTGGGCTCGCCGGAAATGGAGGGACCGAGCTGGGCGCGCCGGAGCCACGACAACGAATCACACTGGGCGTGCCGGAGCTACGTTGTTTTGCTTTTGGGGCCGGCGCTTTTTTCTTTTTGATTTGGATCAACATGCTGATGCTAACTGACATTTGCATTGCTTCTATCTAATGCCTACTTCCACGCGAAGCTGGCTTTGCTAGTGGAGATACATCAGTTACAGTTTTGCAGCATTTTGAAGTACCAGTCAATAACAAAGACTACTAGAGCTAATTTTAGATCGTGACTTCCTTGCATTTTGATTTTTTTATCGGCTTAAGAATTTTTGGGACGTGGAAAGAAGCAGAGATGCGAGTAGAACGAGAGAAGTTGTAGAGAGGAGAGAGAAGGAACGGAATTCCTCGAGCTGCGCGAAGCTTTCTTGTTTATTTTCTAGCGGTCTGCTGGTAGTGAACGTCTTCGCCATCGCCTGAAGCACCGGCCTAAAACTACATCCCGCTTGCCGACAGGGTGCAGATCGAAGCGAATCCATCGCGGAAACGCAAAGAAGTCTGGTTGCCGCTGCCGCGACCAGCGTCATGGTTCGAATCGGCAGTACCAAAATACTATATTCACGGCGGTAGGAGAGAAATGATGAGAATTCTAGAGCGAACCAGAAGCCGTAAGGTTTTAGGTAAACTCAAAAACTCACCGATGGAAAACTTCTCTGAATCTTTAAAACAGGATGTATTATCAGCCCAATTAGCTAGATACGAATTGAGCCAAACTGGAAAAGATCAACATCTCTATTGTGCCGTGAAGTCGTGTGCTCTGCCGATTCGTTTTGGTTTCGCCTACAATAGAAAGCTTCTGCATAGCCTTAATTTAATTCCAGTCTTCAGCGATCTTCTATCTCGTACCATAACAAACTGGTATTAGGTAATATTACTCTATTTATACTTTTTTAAGGCACGACATAGAGGCGCAACAAGAATAACGGCTTTATTCCCTCGCAATATAAGTGCAGGTAGCTGGCGTTCTCCACCTTTTACGCGAATTCATATTCATTTGCCACGGCGCTCAGTCACAATTAATACTTATACAGTTACAGCTCAGTACCACCTCCCGAAATAATCCTGGAGCTAATAATTTGAATAAGCGGGAGGAGAGGCAAACACCACAAACAACGAAGAACAAGAAACAATATCAAAACAACAAAATAGAGTATAGTAAATATCAACGACGGAAAGTCGATGAGTGCCTTATGATCGTGTCAGGTAGAGCGGCCTCTGGTAATTTTTAAAGAAGCCTTCGGTCGTAAACTTGGTCGCAAACCACCTTCGCCTCCGTTCGTCGCAGTGGTGATCAATAGGTAACCTTTCATCTCCAGAACGGCAAATGAACCAGTCTACTTCGCAGCGTGTAGTTATCAGATTCGCACCCGTCTCTTCCGCCCTGTTGGTACCTGATCCGTGATGTGATTTGGTAGCATTTGCTTTATCGTGGCGCGAACTCAGTCTCCTTCTCAAATCCCCGCAGCGCTGGCGCCCGACGGGCTCACAGCTTTCCGACGTATGTTTCACAAGGTCACGCACTTCAACATTGGTGGACTCCACCTCCAGTTCTGGTGTATATAAGTAAGTGCATCAGCGCTGCTTCGCAGCGTGCGTCCTGTGCACAGATATAATATACAGTCGCGGGGCGCGCAGCAGGAACCGCGCCGCGACGTCGGCGCCACAGAGATGGCTGCGTGACGTCGCACTTGTCCGCCCACAGACGTGGGTCGGACCGTGCTCCAGCACTGCACAGAGAGGTCGCAGCGCCGGGCGCAGCAGAGGCTGCAACAAGTGGGGGGTCCCGTGGCCAAGGCCCCCTTCCGAGGTTGCCGCCCTGTGGCTCATCCGCTAGGCGTATCCCGTCGGCTTTGTCGCGTTTCCAGTGTGGCTCGCCAGCTGTCCTGCCTCGTACAGTCCTCGCGCAGCGCTGCCGAGGACGTAGATCGGAGGCCGCTGTCGTATGCACCTAGGCCGCGCAGTTCCTAGCTAATTCACGCACCACAGAGGTGGCCACAACTATGCTCGGCTGGTGTGGTGTCGAATCGTTTCCAAGGATAAACCCGTCATAATGAAAGAAGTTGCTCGCAAGCCAAGCGGGTCTGCGTAAGCAGACATCAACACGCAATGCGCACCCCGTTCACAGCCTCACGCCCTAGCTCCTTACTAGCCAGCCAGAGTGCGCACAGAGGTGCATCAACCAGCGAGGGTTCCGGCTAAACCGGCGGCACAGGCGCCGCCTCCCAGTACGGGATGGCAGCACGGAATGGCGCACCTCGGTGGACTTTCGTCAAGGTTTGAGTCGTACGACCCGCGCTCCGGCTGCCGCTGCCCAGGACGTGCCTGCGTTAGATCATAGCGGCCGGCGTCCTCAGCTTCGCCATGTCGGTGCGTGCCTTTAACGCGCGCGCGCGTGGCAATCGCGGGGGATTAGGCCCCTCCCCACCTGCTCTCGCTGGCCGTCCGCTTGCGCATCGGGCACGGGCAAACTCCGATGGTTATGCTTCGGAACCAACTCTGTGTACAAAAATGGGACCACAGAGGTGGTTAACCTATTCCGGCCCGCACGAGGTTCGCGCTGGTGCTGCGCGACCTAGTCCCAATCTATGATACTTAGCCTCTGACGTGTCGAGTTCGTTTGGTAGATCGGGAATGAATTAGGTACTTGCTTACCTTGTGGGCGGCAGGAGCGCACGGCGCACGATTCTTCCTGTAGGAGTACACAAGTCGCGCAATAGCAATATTACAACAGAGCTCCAACATAAATGCTTCCATTCCTCGGCTTCTCGTTGTCGTCCTTGTGCTCCTCGACGACAGAGATGTTGGTCGCGTTCAAATGTCTAGGATTGTTGAGCACCAATGGACGAGAGTTGCTGTTCTTTAATCTTCGCCGGTAAATCCTTCCGGGTGCCTAGTGGTAAGGGTTCGAATTTTTCATTTGTTCTCACATACCATTCCTGGGGGAGCTGGCGGGGCACCCCCTCACTGTCCAAGTCCTCCTCCTCGTTGCTGGAAGCATTCGTGATCACTTCGTAGGGGAAGAGCAGCTGACGCACTCCTCGCCTCGTGGCCCCGTTGCGCGTGATCACCAGGTACTCTTGCGTCTCTATTTCCCCTTTCTTGTTCTCCCGGTCGATGTACTCGCGGCGCAACGTGATCCGCGAACTGTCCCATGCGGGCCCGAAGGCCACCAGGTCGCTCTTCGCGTTTTTCTCGCTGTACTCGCTGACGCAGAGCGACCGGACGTCGTGTTCGACGCGGCGCGGCACCCTCCTCGATGTTGTCGCAGCTTCAACACCATGTTGCCCGCCTTGTAGTTGTAGTTCCTCGTCGCCGTACATTTGATCAAGAACCTCCCGAGCTGCCAGATCCTCCTCGTTCTCTCCGTCTTGTCCTCCGGCTGCTTGGGATAAATCCGAGCTTCCGCGCAGATTATAGTACTTCGACAGAGAGGAACTCGGACGGCTACTCGTGGGATCGCTGGTTGTTTCTTGCTGCTCTACTCCCGATGTTCCATCTCCCTCACGGGGAGCAGACGCAGAGGCACAGGCTCCCTGCGGTCGCGGAAGTGCCGGCGCTACAACTGAAAGACCACGAGGAGGGGTAGGCGCGCGATTTTTGCTGCCTGAAGAAAGTAGTTTTTGGAAGTGGAGCTGCAGGGGCTTACATAACGGAATATCACTATCACATAGATGAAACTACACAGGTGGACTAGGTCGTTAGAGCTCGCACAACCGTCGACACACGACTGAGCCGCACAGGACCCACCAGCGACCGCCCAGTATCAAACTTACTAAGTAAGTGGCTTTGAAATTAAGGCGGAGAGGGATTTTGCGGCGGTTTTTCTTCTAGAGGGCCTCCGGTGCCCCGCTATACATATGCCCCTCCTCCTCTAGAGGGCCGGCCGGTACCCTCCAAAGGGTCCGCCACCCTGTCCGAGGGTTGGCCTGGATTCGATTTTCCCCCGGATCACCAAAATGAAAGGAACTGCAGAAGCCTGCGCGTAATCCATGTGGACACTTTTGGCCCACACACGTTGCTCCGCCCTGATGCTGGGCGTAGGCGGGTCCATGCCCGAGGACCACACATGCACACCTTCTGATTGCCGGACATGAGTCCAATTTACCGTGCCAACCGCGAAAGGGCGCGTAGAAGTGAGCGCCCCGCTTGGCGGGGCCCTCTGGCTTTGGATGATTTTAGGGCGGAGGCATAATTTCAATCCGGGAACAAATGAAAAAGGCGCGCATATTTCGGTGAACGCACCAAAAGGCGGGACTTTCGCGGGTGAGGCGTTTTTTGGGCGGAACTGTTTTCCAGCAGCCTCGGAACTGCGGAAGTTTTCGTGTCCGCCTGCCGCAGCGGCCCGAGTCAAATGCCTCCCCGCGCTTGGCTCTGAGAAGTGTGAAGGCTTTGGCCGGGTCACCTCCCGGTAACCCTAGCGGCGCGCCGAGATGGACGCCTTTCCCGGTGGAGTCAATAGTTGGGGTTTGGATGGGCGGCTTTCAGAAGGGCACACAGGGGCCAGCTCGTCGCGGTGTGTCTCAAAAGGGTCGCGGGGTGTCTCGGAAGGCTCAGGGCCACGGGATCGGGCGAGACGCCCACGCCGCCCTTGTGTTGATGCATGATAAGTACCTTCCGGCGTAAAGGTAGTAGCTTGTTTCTCATTCTCGGCTTTCGTCTTCCTTGCTGATGACAGCGGCTGCTGAAGTTGGCGGTGCTCTTCAGGTACTTCATGTCGTTCTTGAGCAAATGCTCCTGCACCCGGTACGCATCTCCTGCCGAAGCCGTTGCTGGAGGACTGCTCTTGGCTGCTAGGGGCACCACTGCTGCTTGTCCCGCTCCCATCACTCGCGGTCATATCTCCTCGCGGCTGCTCATCCATGTACCTGTCCCAGCCTGCAGCCCCACGACCGGCGGTGCCTCTGCTCCGCGAGAACGAAGGGGCTCCGGAGTCAGGTCCTCGCAGATCTTCCTCCCAGGTCTCGTTTTGTTCCCTCGAGGAACCCAGCTCGTTGTCGAAAACGCCCTCGCGCCGGCGAAAAGTGTCTTGCTCTGTCTGTTCGGAGCCGAAACCACTTTTCTCCCGGGGCCACTTTCCTCCAGACAGAAGCAAAGAACGCTCGCCCCGCAAGCTGTTGGGGGGCGCCCCGGGCCGGGAAGAAGTGCTGGCCAGTAGAGAGACCGGACTCTCCTGCCCGATGGCCGACTGATGCGCGCTACTGCTATCTTCCCCTTGACCAGGCACAGCGCAAGCGGCTCCTGTATCTTTTCCATCGATGAGATCCGCAATATGCATGGGCTCATCGCAGACGGAATTCTGCAACGCCGATTCGTGTTCAAGATCCAGCCCGTGGTCTCGGCGGTCAGCACGTTTGTCGTGGTCATATTCGCAATCAAAATGCTGTTCCTCTGGCGGGTCCACGTCGGGAACCGCTCGCGCGCTCATCACCAGCATGCGCTCGCGATCGAGAATTTCCGCGCGCAGGCGGGTCTGCGAAAGAAACCTAAGCTGCTGCTATCCGGTGTAAAAATGTCCCCGGCCCAGAGTGAAGTTGGGAAGAACTCTGCAACACAAATAATCCGAAAGTTGTTTGGGGAGTCACACATGACATGACAGGTACGTCTCTGTATTGTAGTGCAGGTTAGCAAGTTGCACAGCCGCATCTTCACAAAGTCGTCTCCTTATAGACCCTGTTAAAAGCATTACAAATGCCGAAACACGATCGAAAATGGCTATCATAATCATGAAGATGCGCATTACAAGAAGTGTGCCAAGCTGTAGATGCAAATCGGTACGACAACCCTGTGGCGGCGACGTTTTTACTCCGGATAGCTGCGGCTGCTGGTTCACCCGGTCCTGCAGCACGTCCCCGTAGATGTGGAGCCCGAAGAATCGCGGCGGTACCTGGGACCGGGCTGACTTCGTAAAATTTTCGCAACTGAGCAGCTTCCAGTGCCCCGAGAAGGCCGCGCGCTTGGAAAAACTGACGTTCGGATTGCGGGCCATCTCCGAAACGGACGTGGGGATTCCCTCGCACAGCTCCGCGGTGTCCGCCCGCGAAGACGTTGGGGGCCCCGTCCCCGGCCGCGCGTCGGTGATGCCAATCCGAGTGCTGTCACCCCCGGCGGCGACCGGTGCCCCTACCTCGACGTCTCCCACAAGGACAGAGCCTGCTCCTCCACCGGGGCCCCTTTGTAGTGCCTCTCTCTGCGTCTGCGCGACGAACTCGTTGACGTCGAAATACGTGTTCGGGTACGGAACCTCTTGGTACGGGTGATTGTAGGGCGGTTCGACGGCCCGCTCTGCCTCACCTTCTTCTTCTTGATCTCCGAGTCTTTTTTCCTCCGGCTGCACGTCCTCGTCCAGTTCCTGAACTTTCTGGCCGTGGTCATTGTCCCCACGACCCCTACTACCGGAGGTTGAGTCGCCACCAGTACGGGCGGGAAAAAGCTGTGTCGCCCCCCCGTTACTGATACTGCCTCCAGCACCTTGCGACGCGGACAGTCCGTCCACGTCAACTTGGCCTACGTGCAGTAAGTTTGATGTCACGTCGCCTCGTGCTCGTCCAGATGAGACGCTTGCATGATGCTGGTCGTCCAGCTGCTCCCCGTCTTGTGGTCCCCCTCCGGCGAGGACCTTCTTCGAAGTAGATGCGGCGCCGTGGTGACATCGTTGCTCGGACGAACGATCCACATCCATCAGATTCGGATCAACAGCATCGCTGGCGAGCAAATCTTGTGCGAAGAGTCTCTTGTCCTCCTCCTCTCCGCCACTGGAAAACAGCTCCCCGGGCACGACTTGAATGGGCGTCCACTCCTTTGTTCCCCGGGCAGAACAATTCTTGTCGTCCAGGTCGACGGGAAGCAGTCCGATGTCATATTTCTGAACGCCGGGAGAGCTGCAGTCGAGGAGGTCTAGGTCCTGCTTGTTCTTGATATTTTTCCTCCCTTTTTGATGTTTGGACGCAGCTGCAGAAAAATCGGAGGTGGATCTAGCACGGCGATTCTTAGTACACTGCTTTGACAATAATTTCTCCGCTGGAACCAGTCGGCTCCTGCTCCTGCGAAGACAGCGCGCTGCTCGTGTGATATCAATAACCTGCGCCGGAGCGTTTCCTCCCACAGCGGAGTCTGAGTCCGACCCTGTACCAGAAGAGGAACGAGAGGAACCAGACCAATCTGAGGAGGAGCCAGATAACGAGGAGCAAACAGATGAACTACAACTATCGTCACTGCCGGGAGAGGATTCTTCCTGGCCATCTTCTACCTCTGATTGCGTTTTCTTGCTGCTCCGAAAACAGGGTCCGCAACGACCGAGCGCGACCAGGTGCATGCGAAACTTTCTAGAAGATGTAGAGGATGGAGCACCACCAGTAACACAACTCGCGCTCCCTTTAGAAGAACAAGTACTCGCGCTTTTATTGCTTCTGCGACTGCGCCTGGACAGCTCGAGATCATTTTCTTGCTCACCACCATCATGAAGAGGAGCGCAGAAACCATGTAATTGACGAGCAGCCTCCTCACCACTGTTGGCTACTCCTGCACTAGCCGATGCTACACAACTGTTGACTTGCCGTTTTCGCAGCGCCTTCCTTGCCGCCCTAAGCTGCTTCTCCGCTGCGGCTCTGCGCTGCTGCTGGCGACGCAGCTGCCCCAGTAGGTCCTTGTTCGCCCGATGAAGAGTCTGCTCTGGAGACACGCACGACGAGATGAAGCCGCCGCTCACTATGGCAGCGACACCACACGCCAGGCCTATCGGGATCAGATAGGCCCGCGACCGCCCGATTGCGATATCGCTGAAGTCGATGGTGCGCAGCACATGGTGCTTCATCGGGCATGGAATTTTCGCCAGAATATTCAGAACGCCGTCAACCTCGCGATTTCCCGTCATCGTGTCTGCGGCCCAGTGTGCGATCGACGTCGGCTATCCTATGCAAAAACGTCCCCACCCCATAGTCAAGATGGGGATTTGGATACACAGAGCCAGCATCTTTTGGCTGTCGCGCAGGACAAAATTGGGCTCGCCGTGTCATCGCGTTTAGCTATTGTAGCTGCGCCACAAATCGATTGATTCCCTTATGCTGATTCTAGCATGACAAACTACCAAACAGCATTACAGAATGCTCCTCATGGGGCTCTGCACCATCACCATCATGTAATGGACACCCACACACAGCGCCACGGGACAAAGATCTCCTCCCCGGGGGGTGGGCGAGGATGAGGAAGCACTTTCGGCGACCTCATCTTCATACAAAAGCCAAGCGCTACCCCGGTAAGTCACCCGATAAAAATTACTGACCAGTCGGGAACTACTTACCCACCACACCCGGCCAAGAAAGCCCAGCCGGCTAGCTAAGCGCGACTGCTGCCCCATACAGAATGATCCAGGACCCGACCCATTTCCCGCCATATGTTTTTGCTCTCACGGAAGAGACGACGCACCCCTTTAATTAAGGGGCGAGCCTCTCCCCTAAGCCGCTAACCCACTCGGACAGGGGAGGCTTGGCCATTCGTGCCTTACCTGTGGCACGGACGAAGATATCAAGGGCACGGATCTTCACAGTTGTCAGGCAATAATTGGCCAGCTGTTTTTCACTGCTGAACCACAATGGGCACAGCGACAACTTAAGGCTTAGTTTGTGCGTGGCAATCAGAGTGCAGATTAGATTTGAGGCTTGCAGATTTGCATGACAATTATAGTGTAGGGAGGTTTTTCCTCCGCATATCGGCTCCTGAAAATTCACAACGCGGTCATCATTCCAGGCCGACAACTTGGTCTGCAATTCCGGGCTGATATGGTAGACAGGCCACCAGTATCAAGTGTAAAAATGTCTGGGTCTGGAAGGATACAACTTGTGATGCTACTTTTGGAATCTACATAAAAACTGTATTGCAAGAACAGCAAAAGAGGTGTAATTTGTGCTACGCGGAGAGGGCATTTCTCATGCAGAATGGGCATCAGAAAGCCCTCGCACAATCTCTGATGCTAGGGCATGCATCACAGACCTCATGGGTCATGCAAAATCTGCATGACAAACTCCTGCATTCTTCCAGACCCAGACATTTTTGCAATCCATAACCAGTGCACTCCTGACGCATGTCGCGCGTGGCGCAGGCAGACGGGCTCCTGGGTCGCCTCATCCCTGAAAGCCTTCCAGATTAGTCCATCGTCGGAATCCGCATGCGCTTCCGGATCGGCGAAAATGTCGGAGCTCGTCGAACCGGTAGACTGGTTGCTGGCCTGCGGACGACCGGCACGAGAATTATCTTCTGCAGCAGGGGCATAAAAAGCACCGCTACCGCCCCCGCCTTCGGAGGCCCCCACACTGCCGCCGGACTGACTACTAACCCAAGGCGGAGGTGTGCCAGCAGCTGCACTGCCCGCATCCGTCGGGGGCAGAGAGGAAGATGACGAGTAGGCTGCTGCCCCTGCGTTTGCTCTATGCTGTACAGAAGTACTATCGCACTCGTACTAAAACTAATCACCGCCATCCATGCATCACAAATCTTTAGTTTTGTTTTTTTCTTAATTTCTATTTTTGTTCTTGAAAAAATTATATATTTGTGAAGCGTTTACTACTAGGGCGATGGTTCTGCCATGCATAAGCTCCTGCTGCACCTACTCCACTAGAAGCCCCGCCTGGTCCGCTGCCGGCTTGATCTTGTCCACTTGGTCGCGCCGCACTGCCATTGTTCACGACCACACCAGCCGCACGCGGCGCTCCTCCGGCGGACGCATTAGCGAAGTCAGCGCCACCAGTTACGACCCAGGGGGGCGGGGTGCCAGCACCCGCATATCCGTGCTCCGATACGCTCTTGTTGTCCATCCAACCTGTTCCAACGTCCCCTTTCAAAAGAAGAGACATAATACACTGGAGCTCCCCTCTCACCTCCTTCGAGAACCCTATGCATTGCAAATGCCTTTGGGTCTGGAAGCAAAAAAACGCACAAACTTGTGACGCGCATTATGGATGCCTGGATGTTGCCTAAGCTGCTGCTATTTTATTTAGAGAAAGCGGAACAATCCTCAGTCCGAACGCGTCGAAAAAGGGGGGGCCGCAATCCCCTCCTGGAACAGGAAAAAGTTTTTACTCAAAAATCTACCAAAATAGTAGAGCCACTATAAAAATATGCAACTTTTGTTTTCATGCAGACTAGGCATGGGCAAGCCCCCCTGATGTGTGCACTCTAAACCTTTTGTTGCTGTTCCCCTTCCTGCCCCAAAAACTGCATGAAACTACACAGGTGTCTGCTTTATTGTTCCAGAGGACCCAGACATATTTCCAACCGATAAACCCGCCTAGGAGGATATCCGCGGTGTCTTCGCCCAATTCTGCCCCTAAAGCAGTCCTGCTCACGGCCACCAAGTTCCGCCGCGTCGAAAGCATGCGAAGCCGGCCGATAATGTCGGAGGCAAAGACACGGCGCGAGACCTCGTGCTCTATTTCCAAGAACACCTCATCCATATCTTTGTAGTGGCCCGCAATGTCGGTGGACCCCCATCAAGGCCGGCGGGGGCAAGGTAGAAGTTCCTGCCGAATAGGGGTGCTCTACGTCGCTGCTGTCCCCATCTCCATGCTCCTGCTCTTCATCGCCGTGGGGCATCGCTTTGAAAGAGCGCTCCAGTCTTGAAGTGCGCTTGTGCTGCTCACTATTATGCTGCTCCGTCGCGGCGGTGATTTCGTCGCGGTGGCTTTTCTCCAGCACACACACAACGCCAAAGAACACCGTCTGCGCCGCCGCGGCCGACGAGGCAAAAATCTGCCAGAAACGGCGGGACGAAAGTAAGCCGCCCTTGCTTCTTCTCCCGCAGCCGCAGCCCTCCTTGCGGCTACTACTTTTTCCCTTCTTTTCGTCGTGCCTATTTTTCCTACGATGCTCAACACCTGGTGCACGATGATGCTCTTGCTGGTTTTGGTGGTGCTTAATGTGCTCGGTGGCTGCGGAAGCATCAGCACTGGGCAGCCAAGCCTCCCGAACGGTATTACCACACGGTGAGGACGACCCCGCGTCGGGGGCGGCAGGCTCTTGCGCCGCCTTGTGTTTTTGCCGAACGTGAGACGTTGACGACTCTAGCGGAAAGCTGCACTCTTGCGCGTCGGTCTCCCGGCCCAGGTCGTCGGACGAAGCGTTCCTGAGGTCGTCATCAGGACTGCTACGAGAACTGCTACCCTGCATCTGCATCCTGAGCTTCGCTGCCTGCTCCTCGTCCTGGTGCGCCGGCGCGGATCTGCCGTACGTCGCGGGCCGCGGCTCGGCCGATGCAGTTTGAGTTTGATGTTGTTCGGGAAGATATACCGCTGAGCTGCTAGAGCTTGCACTTTTCTGCCCGGGACTAATTCCTCGCCCAAAAACCACGAATGGGCCTCCACCTGAGGTGAGAGGCGCGCGATCCGTCGGCTCCTCCTGCTGGAGGTCGTACTGCTGCCTAGAAGTAGAGGTGGACGACGAACAAGCTCCTTGTTGAAGACGAGGATGATCCACGTCCCCTCCTTCGTTCTTCGGCAGACCGGCGAAAGTGTCCGCCTTTGTGAGGCCCTTGCCGCCCCCAACGGACGCAAAAGAGCCCCCCTCGCCGCAGCTACCGACCCGGAAGGAGGAACTCGGACGCGAGTACGGAGTCAGATTGTGCTGGTTCCAGTTGTCGTCATCCCGGTAGCTTGTGCTGTCACCGCTTTTGGCAGGCGCTGCCCCGCGGAAGAGGACTGGGCGGCCGGAGGTTTCATCGTGTTTAGTGTTTGCTCTAGGAGGTGGAGCGCTCGCGATCGTCGGCGGCTCTGTCCCGGCACGACCCGGATGAATTTTGCTCCCGCCACCGGGGGCGCTTGTAGCTGCACGAGGCCCGGACGCAGTCGTAGAATTCGTGGCAAAAATATCCGCGCGAACATGAGGAAGATTTCGCCCTCCCTGTTGTTCACCTCTGTAATTGTGGCCCATGAAAACAAGCGGGGGCAGCGACGGTCCCGAACTTCTTGAATCAGCAGCGGCACCTACCCCAAGCCCCGCAGTTCCTGTTCCCGCTCCTGCCCCTTCAACATCTGAAAAGAAGTTGCGCTTTTGATCGTAGGCCGGTGTCGCAATCGAACGGTGCGCAGAGGAAGTTTGCTCGAATGGTTCCAGTACTTTTGTGTGTTCTTGATTCGGTATCAAAGGCTTAGGAGCGACGACGCGGGGATCCGCTTTTGCGGAAGACGACGACTCCTGACGGTGCACAGACTTATCCTCAGGAAAGCCCCCACTTGCACTTTCTTCTTCCGCCCTGTTGGTACCTGATCCAATATTTGATTTGGGTAGCGTTTTGCTTATCGTAGTAACACAAACCTGCCCAAATACCAGCAGCGCTACCCGCCGGGCTCGCAGCTTTACTTCATTCAGTTATATGTTTTCACAAGGCCACGCCCTTCGTTCACAATGGGTGGACTCCGGTTCATCTGTGCAAAAGTATATCCGCGCCGCTTAGCCGTCTCCTGTGTACTCCTACACGCAGATGCGAGGCACGCAGCAGGGACCGCGCCGCGACGTCCGCGCCACAGGGGTGGCTGCGTGGCGCCGCAGTTCTCTGCCCACAGACGCGGGTCGAACCGCGCTCCAGCACTGCACAGAGAAGTCGCAGCGCCGGGCGCCACAGATGCTGCAACAAGTCCCGAACCTTCCCCAACAGAGGTCGCTAGCGGGCAGCGGCGGCTCGCAACGCGAGGCGTGTGCCCTCGCGTAGTTCGCTCGGCCACCGCGTCGGCAGAAAGAAGGGCTAGAAGTACGGGCCCGCTCACTCTACACATTCCCGTCATAGACGTCAGGACGTGCCTTGCTAGTAAACCTAAAGAGAGGTCAGCAACAGTGCGCCCATGTTTGTCTAACATGCACGCGCGTCTTCCTTATCCTTTTCAGATTGATTGTGGTCGTCATGGGCATGGGCTCTGGTGTTGGCACTCGCACTGCTGTGTCCCTCGTTCTGCTACTTCCCCCGAGTCGTCCATTTTTGTAGGCACGGGCTGGCGACGGGAGATCAAAAATGGGGCCACAAAGGTGGTTCGCCCATTCCGGCCCTCGCTAGGTGTCGCGCTGGTGCTGCGCGACCTAGTCTTACTTGTGATGGTGCTTAGAATGTGAAGATATATCGAATGCGTTGCCTAGTTAGATTGGGAATGAAGTAGGTACCTTGTCGGCGGAAGGAGCACACGGCGCACGAATCTTCTTTCATCCGCGGCTGCTGAGAAGATGTAATAGGAACAAGATCTTCGTGGTCAGAAACGTGAGAACGGGGAGCAAGTAGAGCTCCTGGAGGCGTTGCAACAGTTTGGATGATGTCCTCTCGGCGCCGAAGAGACGACGCCCCTCGTCCAGAAGTGGTCCTAGAAGGAGCAGAAGCTGCGGCCTCAGAAACTGCACCCGGCTGAGCTGCGGGGCCGGTATCTTCACGCTGTTCATGATCTGGCCAGAAGGACCGGACTTGGACCGCGTACACAGTGAGACGAGCGGGGCCGAAGTTCGTGTTAGAAGTACTACTATGGGTAGTCGTACTAGTTGTTGGGAACGTGACGCACAGAATCAGTCCCAGAATCACAGTCAGAAAGTTTGCGGATTGCGGATTGCGGTGGGGTTGGCGTGCCGGAACCATGAGGGTGCACTTTGGCTTGGCTTGGCTGGCTTGGCTGCTGGGGTGCCGTTCCGGAACTTTAAGAGTGCAGCCCCCGGAGCTCTTCATCATGTACTAAAACCGACTGATCCTCGCAGAAGTGGAATCGGGCGCGATACTGAAGAAGTTGTGAAGGAGCACCATGCGGCGCTAGTGTAAGTCGTTGTGGTTCGAGAGCGAGACCATCTCGCTGCAGCTGAAAATGAGCAGTAATTTTTTATGTTTTGCGCCGGCTTTCCAGTTTCACGAGTATGCGGAGCCTTACGTTCTTGAAGTCATGATGTAGTGTCCGTCACACACAAGCTACGAACAGAATAAACTGAACAAAATTAGTCCTGGTAACCGCAAAACGCTTCTCTTTTGGATGGAGGTTCTAAAAACGCTAATAGAAGGACGTGACTCAGACAACATTTGCGATCTCCACAAGTACTACTTTTCCGCACGCACTATCTCGAAATTGATGCAGCGTTTGATTGAATGTGCGAATTTTCTTCGATCAAGCATGCCCGCATATCAACGTTATAAAAAGATCATAATACGTAGAGGAGGTACTTGATGATCGCGACCTGTGTCTTTCGATCCGCTGCAGGAACTATCCTAGCTTTTTTCAAACGGCGTCCACACTACAGTAATAACTTTTACTCTAACTGAATTCTGCAGATCAAGGCGTCTGCGTTGAAGCTGTGAACGTGAACCTTCTATTGCCTTTGCCAGCGGTCAATCACAATAAGATCAAAATAGAACCCTAAATCCATAAACCCTTCCAACCCTTCGAAACCCTTTTCGACGCTGGCGAAGGAACCGGGGCGTAGGAAGATGAATCGGGGGAGAAGAACAGGAAACCGCACTGATCAGAGAGAGTGTGCACAAAAACGCATGGTAAGACCTAAAGGTTTTAACTCAAGCAAAATACCCACATAGGACACCGGAGGGTGTCATGTCCCGAACCACAAAAAAATCCTGCTTGGTGCCAGTAGGGCCCGGGGAAAGCAAAAGAGCAGCACAAGGAAGGAAAAGTAAAATCTACTTTCAAAAAGCGCTAATAAAGCCTTTTGCTCTGATCCGTCCGGGTGTGCACTCCCATCTGGTTCTAAAGCTTCAGCAGTGCTGAGAGCGCTCCGACCCTAAACCTCCTGGCCAAAGCCAAAAGATCTACGTACGTATGCGCACGAGCAAGGCAGGAACATCGCCTGATGTGGACGATGTTCCTAAACTAAAAACAAAAAACGACTCTCAGACCGGAGGTAGCCTCACGGTAGTCGATGCGAGCGAAGGGCGCGAGGAGCGAAGCGAGAGCGAAAGCGAGAATGAGAGCAAAATCGAGACGAGAGCGAAAATCGAGGGCAAAAATCGAGAATCGAATTCGAGGATCGAGAGATAAAGGAAGGAATCGACAAAAACGAATTTGCGCTCGATAGTGAAACGGAAACGCGAACAATATCGAAAACGAGATATCGAAAACGAGAAGTCTCTCTTTTCTCGGAGACGAAGCGAGAGAGAGAGAAACTCACATATCAGGATGTTGCAATTTTACATCCATGTTTTTCATTTTGATTTGATATACCAAAAAAAGTCAAGCAGGTCAAAAGTTTCAACAAGTCAGAAGGCATTTTTATAAATTGTGATCAGCCCAGATATCATGCATAAGCACAATGTCATGTTAGTTATGACGGTCAATCACAATAAGATTCGTAACTTTGACACCAGCAAGAAGAGACTTTGCATCAAGGCTGTGTATTCTTCGAAGCTGAAAAATGATGGCTGCTCCTGCTTCGAATTCTTGAAATCTGATTCATTCCGTTCATGTGGACATGCACAAGGTGGATGGCGCGAGTTTTTCTCTTTGTCTTTTGTCATCTTGGGCGTGCCTCTGTCGATATCGATCTTGACACCAATGCTAAGAAACACTGGAACGCTAGGCACTATGATCTCTAATTAAAGTGATAGCGACGAGCACCTCTTGACCGTCCATACTTTTTGGAGTAACAGACTTAGCCGTTTTGCATTTCTGACATTTGTTATGTGGTGGCACGGCGGACCCTCTTACTTCTGAAACCCTCGGTAAACAGCTGCGGCTTCGCTGTACTTCACAGACTGGAACCCGACTAGGAGAGAGCAGTGTGGACACCTGTTGCACAAATGGTGAATTATTCCCGAAGAAAGTTAGCAGCTCGGCACCGCAGCTGCTACTGCTGCTTCACACCTTTACAGCGGGAATTCATCGTCGGCAGAGATTCATTTTCCAGGTATAGCTCTTTATGAGCAGCCCATCCGGCCCTCTCCTTGTGCCGATCAAACAAGTCCCGTAGCGCCGCAACATAACGCGTGTGCAGGTCTTCTACCTGTGCTGCGGTGGGGTAGAAGCCTTCCGTGCCGATGTTATGGCTTTCCATCCCTGGTGTTTCTCCATGTTGTTGTTCTTGTGGTCGTGAGGTAAAATCATAGTTCTCTTGTTGCGCTTTGCAACCATCGTTTGGGAGATCTTCCCCAGGGGATCGAGCATGCTGTCCGTCGTGCCTCACGACCGGAGCGATCGGCTTCCCAATATGCACTGCAAATATGTTTGCGTCTGGAAGGATGCAAATCCAAACTGTGTGTGATGCCGTCTTTAGATTCTAAAAAAAGTAGTATTGCATGACCAGCAGTTTGTGCTACGCGGACGCGGAGAGGGCTTTTCTCATGTGGATTAGGCATCAGGATCCCTCTCAACATCTGTGATGCTAGGTCATGCATTACAGGCATCATGCTGATGCCATGAACATGATGGGTCATACAAAATATGCATGACCAACCTGGCAATCTTCCAGACCCAGACATATTTGCACTCGTACCCAATGCAAACCACCAATTTCCGTCGGTATGGTATCGGGCCGAATGGAATGCCGAAGCGGTCGGTCCAGTAAACCAGCGACGTTTAAAATGCACGAAAAAAAAAGTATCAGTAAGACACGAGAGCGAAGTCAAGGAAAAGGAATACGATGAAGCCGTGAGCATGACAATACTTGTCTAATATCAAAAAATATCTATATATTGCAAGAACGCAGGCTTCCTTGTGGTCGCGAGTAGTGCCCAAAAAACAGTATCAACAAGAGCGGTCGATACACATTCAACATACCTGTGTCACATTGATCTCGACGAAAGATCCCTGTCACGAAACGCAAAATTACGTGGCCAGACCAAGACATTCACGTATAATTTATTCCCGCGAGGTGAAAACAAAATTCATCATGTTGGTCTCCCTGGACGAAGGCAAGCTGCGGAACTACGTGCATTTATTTTGAGACCTCTTTGATGTCTTAGTTTCATTTTTTCCTGCATATTTTCAGCTTCGAACTAACTCGGGCGAAGAAAGACCGGTGCGTGAATTTGCGATCGAAGATCTGATTCGCACCCATGCAGTAAACCGGAACCAGAAACGCGTTTGTTTGCAGAGCCACCTTGCAGAACCCCTGCCGCTTGCGGAGCACAATCTGTTCTTCTCCTTCGGTGCCGTAGAACATTTCCGTGATGCCACCCGGAAGCAGTGTGAGGAAGTTCTCCGGGAAAGGTCGTTGAAGGTTGCGCCGCAACTCCGAAGCAGAGACTTTCGTGAAGCCGAACTAGGTATCGTATTGAAAAACTGAAGGCCTCATTGCCCCAGGAGACAGCGCAGGCTCATCCTGCAAATTATTGGCCCCAACACATCACTCGCTTTACTAGATGTTGGACGCATATAATTTTCATATTTATCACTCAACAGTGCAGATTTCTAAGGCAGGAAGATGAATAGGCACTGCGTTGTTGTAGCGGCCGCGAGGACCTGCTATAATACAAAAGCTGCCTTGCGTCTCCAGAAACCAGACAAGTAGGAAAGAGTCATAGTTCTTCTTCTTGCGTCCAAGTTAGTAGACTCATACAAGAATTTCAGTTTGGGTTTGCCTGTGACCGTTCGCAAGGGTGGCGCTGGGCATCAACTTTTCATCTTTATACCAGGCCAGAAACCGGCGCAGAAGTGGCAGTTTCGTCAACACATCCGCACCGGCAAAAAGCGGAAAAACCATCGGTCTGAAAAGAGGCCCTCCACCAGATCAAAGTACTTAATGCTTACACTGCAAAGCTCGCAGCGGGTGCAGCTGCCGTGTTTCAACGGCAGTACTTCAGACTCGTCCACCACTTCTCTTTCAGCTGCAGCATAGCGTACTCTTTAGGTGGAGCTTCGTCTTATTTCAAAGCTGAAGCTCTGGAAGGAAAGATCCACTCTGAACATACAATGTATGTATGTAACATACATACATACATACACGTTCCACGCGGCTTGCTTGCTTGCTTGGGTGCGCCCCATTCCTCGCAGCTCGCACTTCTGATGGTGAGACACCGCGAAAAACGGCCAATGCTGCACTTCTGATGGTGCACGTGAGGCTTGCCGCTGGTGCGGCGTCGGCTTATGTTCTTATGTTATTATACTCCCAACGGTGAACGCAGCACCAGGAGCCCAAGCCAGACGAAAGGTGCTGAAGCCTGGCAACGAACCTTCTGGCTCTGCGAGAGGTTTGTGGTGCTCTAAATTTGGCCCTGTCTCCCGGAAAGCGATCCACCCAACGTAGTACGGGCGAGCAAGGGTGTGAAGGAACCCTCTGCGTTCGTGATGTGGACGAACGTCGCAAGAGGTGAAGAAGGATCCTGGAGGTGCCTGGGCCGCCTTTTTCTGGGGGGGCGACTTAGAGCGCACCGGCGGGCTCTATATCCATGTTCCTGATGGCCGCATCAATGCGTCTTCGCTACGAGCGTCGTGTTGATTGATTTTGCCACGGTCTCCCAATGTCGGCGGCGGGCTACAAGCCTTGTGCCACGTTCATCATGCATCCTGCATTCTAGCGGATGCTACTACTCCAGCTCTTCACAGACAGAGAGAGGAGGAGGGGGGGGGTCTACTACGAGCAGGCCCCCGATGTCGGGGCAACCTCTACGGCAGCAACCGGAGGGCAGACGCGGACGCACGGGAAAGGCGCAGGCGCCAGCCCTGCGAGGGCCCTGCATGCGTCCACGCGCGTAAGTGAGAAACATCCGGGGCGCAGCCCAATCTTCCGGACGCGGGCCCATGGCTTTCTGGTGCTAGGTGGCAGGGAGGCGCATGGCAGTCGCGGGCCTTCGTGTCTCGAACATCTTTGCGCGCTCGCTGCGTGGCCCTGTATTGGCGTCCCGTTGCCGTATGCTCCGGGGCTGCACACGCAGCCGATCGGACGCGACGGGCATGCCACAGGGGAGGCTGCAGTGGCGTGGGCAATGTTTTTAGATGCTGAAGGCGGCTCGCGATGGTCTAGCTCCGAGCTAAACCGGCTGCGACGAGCGTTCCACGGACCAAACTAGGCCAGATGCTCCACAGGCCTCGCGTAGCTGAGGCGGATACATTCTCTCACTCTGAGCGCGTTGCCAGTCGGTCCTGGCATCTGCTGGGTCCTAAAGACAGACCAAGTACTTTTGTTTTCTGGCATCTGCTGGGTCCTAAAGACAGACCTATTTCAAAGCTGAAGCTGCTCTGGAAGCAAAGATCCACTCTGAACCAAAGCACAACGCTTTTCTTTCATGCAAAACAGCACGTCCCCACGCGCGTGCTGGTGGATTCAATTCATTATATCAAAAGTCCATGCGAATGTAGGTAGACACACGCACACACACACACACACTTGCTTCTTCACGTTGCTTGGGGCCGGGCCGCCTTGTATTGAAATAAAAACCCCGTATTTCTCATACATTTCCTTTGCCATCAGAGAATGGCCGATCCCGAAAAGCGCGTGCGGGTGGTAAACGGCCAGAAAGTTGGGCGCTGCTCCTTTGCTCTGGATGGCGCACCGGATCCTCTCTTGGATCAGATCCAGCGACGGCGCATCGTCCTCATTCACGACACCAGTTTCCACCGCCATCTTCTGTTCAGTTGAGGAAGAAGTTCCTTTCCTTTCGCTTGCAGAGGCAGTGGTTGTACGCGAGGACGTTGATGCACCACTTGTAGTACCCAGCTCGAGCAGAGCCGCGGTCTCCGCACACGTGAACTCATCGATGACCTCCGCGGAGAAGTAAGTCCGCTTGCCCTCAATGTCGTCAAAAAAATGGCACCACGCGGGCCACACACAGGGGGTCCGCAGGGGAACAGCATAGTCGAGCAGGACCACAACCCAGAACAACTGACAGACTCGGCTTTCCACACTGATAGCCCCATACAAGGCAAAGGGTAGCGCGAAAAGCACGAAGTTCAAGCTCAAGTAGAAGGCGCACACCAAGCACACCTTCAGTTCCGACCAGGGCACACCGAAAAAAAGAAGCCCAGGGACAGGGGATTCCGTCGTTCTCGACGAAGGGGCCATGTTCAATCAGATTAACTTTGGAACTGGAACAAAACTGGAACGTGAAAGAATTTACCTGTGACACTGCAACAAAAGCCCACACGTCGGCGACGACTGATGCTACCGGCTTGAAGACCTCACTTCTTTTTGCTAATTTTTGTTTTTACGTACTTACTTTGGAAGATTTCGGAACATTCATGTTTCTCACTCCTGGAGCTGCTTGACATTCACAGGCGGGCCCTGCTGAGTCAAAAACTACTTTCGGCTTGAAACACAAACAACAATTTGCTTCATAAAATTCAAGAACGCGGGACGGCATTTTAATGCTCTCGTCGGGCTTCGACACCGACGGGCTAACTTCCAACATATACATATTTCGTGGCGCAACTATGCCCCGCGACGACAGCAAGAAGTACCAACGTAGTGCAAAGCCATATGCAATATTATGCCGAAGCTCCGCGGCCCCTGAACTTCATCAAGCCCTCTGCTCAGCCGCCCCAGTCTAGCTTACAGGCTTCCCTAGCCCTCCCAGTTCTCGCAGCCTGTGCAGTTTTTCCCGCCTTTTTCGTCTTCCCACTCTTCCCCGTCTCTATCTTCCTTGTCCCGAAGGTCTGGCCTCCCTGCCCCCTTGTGTTCCGCCGTTTGCCTCGTCGCTTCTGCGTGGCTTTCAAACTGCTCGCAGATAGAGAAACAGGTCCCGCAGCAGACACAGGAAAACACGGGCGAAAATGGCCGCCGGAATCTGTTCGCACATAGAGAAGGAGGCGGCGCGAACGCCCTCCCGATCTTTCTAGGCAAGAGCTCCGGCCAAGCTTCCGAGAAAGTCCCGCCGCGGAAAATATGAAGCGCGCCATGATCTTCAAACGCGCGCAGTTCTTAAAATAAGCGCACGAGCAAAGATCCACAAAACGGCCCACATCTGCGGAAAAATAAGATCGACAGCCGGCGACTTGCCAAGTTAAATGCCGCTTCATAGCCAGAATTACCCGCAAGAGCTCCGCAAATATATTTGGCCAAGAGCAGAGCGACCGCGTCTCGAATCTCATCGACACAACCAGGACCCCAATGGCTACCTGAAACTGACTAGCTGACACAGCCGCACCCTTTCCCCCCGTCCTCCCCTTCTAGTTCTGCTTCCCCCCTCCCAGTGCTCTCGATTTCGCTTCGGGATAGAGATTCCTTCCCCCTGGCTAGTATTATGCCGAAGCTCCGCGGCCCCTGAACTTCATCAAAGAGCGCAATCACATCTAAAAGTATTTGGGCCTCCATCTTTTCCTATTCTCGATATTCAAAAGTTTTTGGCGCATCATCAACGATCCTGACCTGTTCCGGGCTTGGATTTGATCGGTGAGCCCGCAATATTTTCATTTGGCTCTATTGTGCGTGAAAGGCAAAGGGAACAGAATTTTAAGTTTTTGTCTCCCATTAGCAAGCATTGACGAGGGTCCGCAGCTTGGTCCAATCCCCTTTTGTCACAAGAAATCTCCTCCAGCTTGCTCACTCAAGGTGGCAGAGGATAAAAAGTACTTTCTTTTGCATTCGAGAATCGAATGTTCCCTTCGCTTTGCGCCAAGTTAGGATCTACGTACTGAATCATGCCATTCGATACTTAGTAGAGCTCTGTGCTCATCACTCTCCGCACATCACGAGGACATCAAGTCTTTTTATTTAAACCGTAAAAGAGGAGGTGGTCCGTCCGCAATTGAAGATTGACTCGTAGTCTAAACTCATATGGAAATTGGCCAACCGGTGCGCTCGTGAATATGCTCTCGCTTTGTCTCTACATTTCAAAAAAAAAATTCTCAGAAACGGAAGGCACCGTTGTTATCAACTACATGTTCATACTTCCTGCTACTCGCCACTATTCCAACTGACAGTGATACTCAGGATACATCTGCACGAGCAAGGGCATCAGTGTAAGGGTAGGTACTTTGTATCTTCGGAGGCCCAAGTCCGCATCGGCAAGATGAGCTACTCAACACAGTTACATGTACTAAATTACATATTCGATCATGGAGATGTCACCACGGCAACAAAGAAATACTAGACAAGAGTCAAGAACATCAATTTTTCTGACCCCCGCTTTTGTTGGCCCTACCACCACTTCCTTGTGACCACTCAGCGTGGTTTTGGCGCGACTACTTCCCGCCGGGAGACGCACTCAGCAACGTCGGCGGAGCGCCCGGCGAAGCGACCTCGACACTGGTCCGCTTGCTAGACTCGTCGGACGCGGCCCGCTCCAGGCTCTCTTGCAGCAATCGGTCCACGTCTCCTTTGCTAGCCTTGTTCTGCGAGAGGCGGCTGTTGCGCGGACTCGCGGCTCGCCCCGTCACTGAGCTGCGGCCGTTCGGTATGACAAAGAAAGAACAAAAAGCTAGCACAGCATATATAATATACAATTGTAAATGCAAAAACAAATGAACAAGAATCAACCAACGAATAGCTCGCACCAGGGCCCTGACTGGGCGCCGGGCCCATATTACCATAAACCATGGTGCTAGCTTATGCTATACAAGAAAGATTTCAACATCTCTGCGTAATATCCATCGGTATCTACTAATATTGTCCTTGCGTTTACAAATATGATAGTAGGCTTCTAGCTTTTTGCTCTAGGATATTCGGCGAGAACTCGGGCGAAAACTCGTCCTCTTCGTCGTCCACCTCGCGAATCGCAGCCTGGTCCGCCTTGCGGTAGGCCGACTGGCGCGCCCGCGTGAACCCCAACGTCCCGGACCCTGTCGGGTCGGCGGCCGCAGCCCCCGCTGCTGACGGTGCGGAAAGCTTCTTTCCGACGGCCGCATTTAGTGTCTGCCCGTTCATTATGAACTGCAAAAATGTCTGGGTCTGGAAGATTGCTGAGGTTTGTGATGCTGTGTCTGCTTGACGGAGAAGGTGTTGCATGGAAAGCCTAGCATCACAGGTTTTAAGAGGGTTTCCCAATGCATAATCCGCATGACAAACACCTTCTTTCGGCGACAGGAAACAGAGCTCCTTTTGCTGTCTATAGCATGACAGATTTTTGTGTGATCTAAGTATGCATCACAAGAAGTTCGCAACCTTCCAGACCCAGACATTTTTACATTTGATATTCATCCCGGCTTGCCCCCGGTGGTCCACGTGGCCAAAAATCCGCCCGGCCTCGGTCAGCCGGGGATGCGCGGTGTCAGTATCGAAGCGTCAGCATCGAAATCGACAAAGTTGAAAAAATTTGTTGCGATAACGCACAAACTAAGTAGTACCTATATTTTTCAAAGGCACGCAAGTGAGGGCGATTCATTGTAAGCCTGTTTGGAGCTCAACATAGAGCTTGCGAAAGTAGCACGACAGAGGATGTCTCTTTTGCCCTAAGAGCATGCACAAATTTGATTTCGGTGCTCGGAAAATCTGTCACGTACCCCGGACGTGACAGGTTGTCAAGCTCAAGAATGTCTAAGCCGCGGTACAGGTTGTACACCTACCGACTCCGACTTTATGCATTTTTACAAATCATTTCAGCTTTGTCGATTTCACACCTGACACTTCCGTAGTCGGCAAGCAACGCGGAGTCCTTTAACCGGTCTGCCGCAAGCTTCGCGAAGGTCTCCATCACTTCGGCGTCCTCGTCGTTAAACGTGGAGATCTCGCCGTCAAACTCCCGCTTGTTCTGCATTACCACGATATCCCACATAAAAAGACAGGCAGGTGGCCGTGGCTCAGGGCATATTTATAATTTCTTGTATATGCAAAAATAAATTCACCGGGAAATGATCTTAGTCATGGGCGAGCCCGTACCCGTAGCGTGCTGGTCGTTGGGATATAATGCAAAAATACAGATCTTTTTTTCGCGTATATGTATTTTTGCCCTGTCCTCTTTTTCTGTGGGATACACGAGACCCAGGACCCGTTCGCTGTTCGCGGGTTGCAGGGGAACGACCAGCATAGTCTCCGGCCGCGTGGCCGGCTCCCCCGCGATCGCGGCCGCCGATGCGGTCGTGCCCGTACAGCAGAGGTTCTCGTGGTCGCAGTATCGGGGATATGCACAGAAAATCGATCTGTCCTCTGGGCCTGAAAATTTGCACGAGACTTGTTCATGTGATGCTAGTATTTTTCGCATCAGTCAGTATTTTGCACCCACCTGTACTGCAGCGTTTCTCATGATTATACCTGGCCAAGTAAGTATTGCATATATAATACTTATGTCCATGGCGCTTCTTTTCACTTTGCATGTCTCCGCTGCACGCATTGATAAACAGACTTCCGTGCTGTCGTGCAGAACAGTTTGGCTCTGTTCCAGATGAACCAGACACGTTTGCAAGAACGCATAGAGGATCCTCCTGAACGTTTTCGGAATTGATGGTCTTCTTTTGCCGTAGGGCCGCCCCGCTGATCCCCACGTGGTCGGGGATGCGCAGCTCGTGCGACCCGGACAAGCTCCACAGGGTGCCCCTGCTCTCCTCGTGCAGGAACACGGCACACTGGTCACTCTGCACCAACTCGTGTGCGTGGGTCGTATATCCTGTGTAACTAACGACCCGTCCCCCTCTCCTAGTCAAGGTGCGGACTTGTTTGCTACACAAATCAACAAGGCTTGGCTGCTGTGGATGACGAGTTTGGACTCGCGGCGTGATCGACATCGTGGATAGCTAGTGCGCCGGCCGCATCATATTACACAAAATGAAAATCTTAACTTGCATACACAAAATCCAAAACACCATATACAAAAAGCTGTACAACTTATGGGGCTGCGCATGAGCAGAGACATCCTCACCGTGACCATGCGAATTTGCACGAAAAATGAATCCAGGGTGGGCAGGATTTTAACGAAGTACTTAGGATATCGTGATCGTCAGGATCATGCTCTGGGAGCCCAGATTCTTGGGGAGTGAGTTCTATAAAATGCAAAAATGTCTGGGTCTGGAAGAATGCGCGATTTGTCATGCTGCTTTTCCATGACCCATGAAGTCTGGAATGCAGGACCTAGCATGACAGATTCTGTGCGATCTCTCTCATGCCTATCCTGCATGAGAAACTCCCTCCCGACTTGGTCAAAACTGGACGACTTTTCGTAATCATGCAACACAGATTTTTGCATGCTCCAGATTTAGCATGACAAGTTGCATTCTTCATCCAGACCCAGACATTTTTACATTTGATAAGTTCAACATCGAAATCATTCCCTGCGCCCGCTTGCAATGCGCGATCGCGTCCTTGTACACCTCCGCGTTACGTAGCGTAATCCCAACCAGCTGCATGAAGTTTTGAATCACAATCTCGTCCGCCTCGGTAAACACCGTGGTGAGCCCGTCGTCTGGTAAAATAAAGTAGTTATTCATCATGGTTTAACTTTAAAATGAGCTTGAGTGTCGTGAGATAGTACTCGTATAAAACTGCTAGCTATCATACCTATTGATCTGATCTGATCAGATTGATCAGTATAAATGGATTTGTTCAACGACAAACTTTGGCAACAATCTGCAAGAACTCAAGGTGATCAGGCATCAGGTTCAGGTTGACTGCGCCGTGGTGTGCTGTCTCATTAGAGAAGTTCTACTGAAAAAAGTAGTAGCCCTGTAGGACTTTCACCAGTACAACTCATTTACCTTTGTTCAATGCCTGCAACACTCCTGTGACGTTTCCCTCAAAGTCCAAGATTGGCTTCACGAGAATTGACTTGGTGAGGTACCCCGTCAGTTGGTCAAAAGAGGGATCAAATCGCGAGTCTCGGTAACAATCTGCAATATTCACCTGGATGGAAATTAATCAGAGACACAGGTCCAGCATGCTACTTTTCCAGATGATGATTATCGTATCAAGCGTCCTGCTAAACTACCTCTGCGAATGCTATAGCTAGTACACAATTTGCTTTTATTAAAACTTATGTTCCTCGTTCAGGAGCCTTGTGGATCATCAAGCAAGAAGAACCTCCTGATCCTGTACGTCACTGCTACAAGAAAAAACAAAAACAATGGGTACGACTTACAGTTTCTCCGGTCTTGAAGACGTGCCCCGCGATTCCCTGCCCCGGGTTTACGCGTATAGGCTTAGACAGGTTCGAGGCAGACAAGATCAGCATTTTGATTTTCTTGTCGTAGATGAAGATGCTTACCCGATTATGCAAGAAAAAAAGTGTGTGAGTGTAAGTCTGTGATGCAGAAAGTGCAAAACAGTAGCTTTTGTCATGCTGGACGTGCGTCATAGCCATGTTTTATACGTGTTTTCACGTACGAGCTGCGCATGACAGGTTTTTTTCTGTAATGCAAAGCGAATTTGTGATGCTGCTCGTCCCACACGATTACACTTACACACTTTTTTTCTTGGATACCGATCACACTGCAGTAGCCTCACGCTCTCCTTGATGCAGATGTTGATCGATTCCGCGGGGACCTGTGAAGAAAGTCATATCTTCTTTATTATACTTACAGATTATGCAGGAGTTTACAGTTTGTTTATTACCGTAGAAAAAAAATAAAACATAAGCATTCTTTTTCGCAATATCAGTGAAGATCGGCTCGGTCGGAAAAACAAAGAGGCTTCATAAATCTTCTTCTATCGCAGTCCATTAGTATCCTGGCGGAAAGAACACGTGATTGATAAGATAAACCACAATTAAAGATAAGAGTCGTGGACCTACACGATGTACGGATGTTGAATAATCGCGAACTCGAAATAAGTTAGATAGTAGTATCGGAGACAAAAAGAACTCAGTACGATTTCGTGAGTTATGTTTCGTGTGGCCTCAAAAAGGCGGATGAACCGGTCAACGCCGATGTCGTGGTCGCAAGAGCCGTGCGCAGCCGCAACCGAAAACTTTTCAAGCGGATACTCCTCCCGCAGTTTTTGTAGAAGGAATCGACGGGGGTCGGCCGGGCGGCTTTTCAGCAAAGATTGCACCACCTCTTCCACCGTCTGAGTGATCTGGCACTGTCCGGTCTTGCTGGACGTGCAGTACCGTGCGAAGTCCGAAAACCCCTGCTGCGCGCAGTAGGCAGCAAGCTGGTCCGGAACCGAAGCGCTTGCTGCGGAAGCCGCAGTCTCACTCATCACCACGAATCCGGGTCGATGCGATCGCTTTGGTCTACTTCAACCTGTCCTCACAAACACAAACCCACAGCACTGGTGGACGGCCTCAGCATCAGACGTTTTTCGATTGTACCACGCTGCGCCGGCAACAAGATCATTCTCTACCGACACGCAGTACTAGACCATATCTGGATTCGGTAATCGTGTACTATAAATACACTTACTTAAATTAATAAACTTGCTCTGTGTACAACTACACAGAGCAGCTGTCCACGCAGCTCGTATCTTTGGATGCACTCATTTGCTTGCGGTCATCTCATGTCGTCTCGGTCCAAACGTGTGGGTAACGCCTACAAGATGCACTCATCGCTCGGTGTCGCGTGAGTAAGGCCTGCAAGCGAATTGAGGTGGGGTACCTTTGCCGGCGATCGCAAGACAAGATAGTGCGTACGGGTCTGGGCCTCACATGTCGGCACGACCAAGCTGTAGCTTGTTGAAGCGAAGTCACGAACTAAACAGCATCGCCGCGGCATCGAACAGATAAGCTGAAGCTCGCAGTACGACATAACATCGCGGACAAAACAGCCAGCAGCTGCTTCGTTCTCTCTTCTGCAGCTTCGCTCCGAAGCTTTATATATGAGTTAGATCGCCCAAAAAATACAACTATCAGTCTTTTTTACAGAAGGAAAGAAAAATGTTCGACTTCCGCAAGTTTGCGGGTAATCTTGTGGTGCTCCCTTGCTTTGAGCTGGTAGCAGAAATGCTCAGTGCTATCCTGCCTCTCGTTTTTCGGCGGATGACATTGATAGATACAGGCTGCAAGTAATCGTCACGAACCCAGAAGTCACTGCAGCGTTGGGTAAACACTATTCAAAAAATTATATAGCCATCACCAAAAAAAGTTGCAGGAGTAGCATGATGTTGCCTCCGCTTTTTCCGTCTTGAGTTGCAATTTTTTCCATCGGCTATGACCATTCGCTTCTTTTGATGATAACGTCCACTACCTCCTGAGCACAGCACAAAGAGGAGATTTGACTTCGGAAACTTTTTCGTTTCCCTTTTTCAAAAAAAAATCGATAAAAAAAAATACTCGAAAAAAAACAATAAGTGCGCACCAATGAGTATGCCGGTGAGCAAAAAAAACTTCAAAACGTGTGATCTACCGAGTTTCATTTTATCAATCAATCTTTGATGTACTAGTGTTGACCTGTCAATCCACTATACTACCTTCAGATTTTACCCTTGGTCAAATAGTTGTCATTACAAGCCTCAAAAACGCTGGGTCGAGCGTCCTGGTCCCGCTGCAGCAATCGGCGGATGTAGTCTATCAAAAGGAAAGATCCCCCCTGCTCCCCACATCAAAACGAAAAGTCGCTGGTGAAGATGGCCCTCTCGCAACAAGACAGAGGCGATTAACTATTTTGCGGTTCCACATTATCAGCATTGCAAATTTTCTGAGGCGTGCCAATTCGATATGGGGAGCGAGGGGGGATAATTTTCCTTTACGGTATAGTCCTGCGCTTCCTTGGACACTTTGGGCTGGTCGGGAAACTCCACCTCGAGTTTGGTGTCGCCCCGGAGGGCAGAATGGTAGAACTTGTCCTGGGTCTGGTCGTGGCCGAAGGGTTTCCGTCCGTACAGCATCTCGTAAAAGATCACTCCCACGGACCAAACATCCACCTTGTTGGAAACTTCCTGCGGCGCCTGTGGCTCCGATTTCTGGTGCTTGTTCTGAGGCCGCGGAAAGCACTCGATGGGCAGGTACCAGTAGGTGCCCGAGCCGATGCTCGTCAACTCACAAGCCCGCTCGGCGAATTCGCTGTTGATCTGCTCCAACGCAGGAACGTGGTTCTGTCCCTGTTGCTGCTGCTGCTTCTTGTGTTCCTTCTCGTCTCGCAGCTTTTTCAACCTGTAGATGAACCATGAACGCGGAGATTTTCTTCAAAGTAGTTTTAGAGCTCGGAACTACTTTACGCGACGGATTAGGTTCGCATTTCAAGGCCGATAAATGCTCACGGACAAGAAAAGACATGATGAGGTGGATCCTCAATTCTATGGGTTGTACCGATGTCGATGCTAGTGGTAGTACCTACTGCACCGGGGGGCCGTCATGACGAACACGAAGCCAATGTTGTATCATTCCATTACCGCATTAATCATCCCAGCTATATAAAAATCAGACACCAGCTCACTTCCGTAGTTCCATCTCTCTTAGCATGCAAAGTGAAATAAATTGAGACGACCGTACACGCCAAATAGCGCTTTCTCCTACGTCGTTTCCTGGTTAGCGTATTTACAACAACGACACCTATCAAAGCAAAAAAGTTCAGGCTCTGCTACCGTTCCCCATCTGCGTCCTTGATCTCTCGAATTTTTGGGTTGATAGTCAGTTTCGTGTCGTCGATGAGGAGCGCCTGCTCCTTGTCTAATTTCTTATCCTGCTTCCGAACAGAGGCGGTGTTTGCGGACGACGACGAGGCCGCCGCAGCGTTCGCCCCGGTCGTTCCACTCCCGACCTGGTGGTTGTTGGCCTGAGCCGCGCCCGGCGTCACCGTTTTGTTATTGTTCCCCCCCTTGGTCGGCTGCCCCGCCGTCCCCGTCTGCTTTTGTTCTTTGACTCCAGCTGCTGCTCCGCCAGTGGTGGTTGATGGCGCAGCACCCGCTCCCGTCCCCGCCACGAGCTTCTGATTGTTCTGTTGTTCCACCTCCATGGATATCCCTCAGGAAAAATCTTAACCTGGCAGGTCATAAGATAATGGTGCATGTGCAAAAATAAAGTATACAAAATCTGTCCTCTTGCATGGCCCACGAAAGCATGTACGTACAGGCTCGCCCATGCCCGATTTTTGTTTTTCTGTGTTGTATTTGTCATACTAGTCATACACTATTTATTTGCATTGCAATCTGCCAGCTTCTCCCTCGTTCTGCGTGATATGGGACTCCTCGTTGCCACTCGCGTTCGGACTGCTCGCTTTGGACGAGTCCGTGCCCTTGCGGACAATTTTCGACAGCCCGAAGTCGGTGATCTTGATGGCTCCCCGGTCGTACATCAAGTTGGACGGCTTCAGGTCGTAGTGAATGATGGGCTCCTCCCTCCGGTTCATGGCCTTCAGCCCCGTCATCAGCTGGATCAGCACGTGCCGGGCCTCCTTCTCGCTGAAGGTGCGCGAGGGGCGGGCCTTCAGGCAGTCGTCCAAGGTTTCGCCCGTCCCGCAGTACTCCATCACGGTGGCAAAGGCGTCCTTCGAAATCGAGATAACGTATGAGCGAGCAAAGAGCTCGATCGTCCCGTCTCTCCCCCTCATTTGATCAAGATGAACTAGGGCATCAATAGCAATAGTTAGAAATGCAATAAACGCCAGCAAATATTATTATCAATATTATGCAGCCTATGCATGACAAGTTTCTGTGCGGACTGTGGTGGTCGAAACAAGCACGACCAGGAGCCGCCCTGCGAAATTTGTCAAAAAGCACGACCAGGAGCCGCAAGGCAGCACGACCAGGACCAACAAACTGGATTCGACGCTTCGCATGACAAATGAGGGGGAGGGAGAGTTAGAGTTGTGCGCTCTCATATGACGTCGTACAGTTGTACAATACTGGTGGAGTTGTTCAGTGCTTTTTGGATGTCCGCCTCCCGCATCGCGTGCCGCACGTAAAACGCCGCCTCCTTATGGAAGCGTCAGGTTTGAAATCGTCAAAGTTGAAATAATTTGTCATGCATAAAATGGATGAAAGTTGTGACCCAGTTTGTAAGCGGCGCAAGACAAATTTCGGTGGTCGCTAAATCCACTTTGTCATGCTGTTTAGGCAAAGAAGAGCGATTTTCTTATGCTACTTTAGCAGCTTGAGCTGTAACCCCAAACAGGCTTACAATCGGCCTCACTTGCCTGCTCTGCAACACACGTGCCTCAGGTCATGCATTTTATGCATTGCAAATTATTTCAACTTTGACGATTTCAAACCTGACGCTTCCATACTCCTCCTCCCGCATGTATCCCGAGTAATAAAAACGTGCCCACCCCAACTTTCTTTGTCATGCAAACTCTTGGAGAGGAATCGCCCGATGGGTATTGCAGGCGACATTTCCGACATTTTTCGGATGCAAAATTTATTTTTGCCAAGTGGCGGCCAATCGTGAGTTGATATGGGGCCTCCTGCGCATGGCCTCTCCTTTATGGCTGTCAGCTGCACGGCACGGGGCACGACGCACACTCACCCCCATGAGGGCGGCAAGGAGATGGCGCTGCGGGCTAATCGCCTGGATGATTTTCCCGAGCGACGCGCCACACCGCAAGGGACACCCTCCGGAACCCCTACGCTGTGTCATGCGCACAACAAGTCCCGATCTTAAGTAAAGACTATGGGGTCGTGCTGATGTTTTCACGCAGGATAGCATGTCACGGTTCACCTCGTGGATCTTAAACGCAACCTCCCGCAGGCGCTCTAAGTCGATTGCCTTGTAAACCTCGGAGAAACCTCCCTTCCCGATCAAATTCCCTAACTGGTACCGATTTCGGAAGCACGGGTAATTGTTGTACTTCGAGTTTCGCTCGGCGTTCAAGATCTTCAATCGTTTCTCGTGCATCGTCCTGCAATTGCAATAAATTAAGCTGGCGAGTGATCTATACGTTTATAATTAATCGCATCGCACAGAAACTGAAACACTTTGACGAGGTTGGTTAATTCACGTATTATATATACATTGACATGCAGTATCGCCGGTTGGTTATCGTAACGCTACCTATGTATCTATACCTCTCGGCCATGAATCGCTCCTCCCGTTGCACCAGTTCGGCCTCTTCGCGCCGTAGAAACTCCGCCCGGGAGTTGTACATTTCTCGCTGCTCAAAGATTCGCTCCTCCTCCAGAGCGTACTGAGACTGAGCCGAAACCATGACACCGCCAACGTTCATCTGGTCCTGCTTCACGGTTTCCGGCGGCAGTTCCTCCCTGGTCTTCTTCAGCTGGCGCTGGTCTGCGTTCAACCGTTTCCGCTGCTCTTCGATCGTGCGCTGGTGAGGTAGTCATGATTGAGTTGGTACCGCTATACATATCTTTGACTTTGTTTGAGTACGTTACGACAGGATCAACATCAATCAAGAAGACGCATTGTCCATGCGCTGTTCCATGAATGTTGAAAAGTGAATTTTTATACTCTTTCATTCTCGATTTCCGCTTTTTTCTCGTTGATTTCCTCGAATTCCTTTCCGTGCATCCATTCGCGGCGATTCTGCTGGAGAAAGGCGGAGTAGATGGGGCGTTCGCCGAGCCGCACAGTGTCGTCCAACACGCGGGCCTGGCGATCCGCACGTTCCCGCTTGTAGGTCTTGATGAATTGCTCCCGCAAACAGCCCCGCAGCTTGTCCAGGGCGTCTTGCTTCCAGGCGTCCCGTTCCCCGAGCTGCTCGGCGCGGACGGCCAGCGCGTTGTAAAAGTGCGACAGAACGGTCAGTTTTTCGTTTCCCTGCAGCTGCTGGATCAGGGTGTCCACCTGGCGCTGGTCCAAATTTTGGATGGCCTGCGCAGCCACGGACTCGGGGATCAAGTCCTGTAAGTCGAGGTTGATCTTGGTAGACGACCGCTTGTGCTGGTGGTCATTCGTGCCGCCCTGCTTTTCCTTGTCGGTCGCCAAGGCGACAATTTGCGACAACAGGAAGGCCGGCTGCAGGGCTGTTGCCGCGCTTTCCGGCAGCCCCGCCAGATGCAACACCGCGGTCGTGCTGGAAGACGCCGCTGCAGCCTTGTTCGTCGCAGTGTTGTTGTTGTAGCTGTTGCCCGCTGTCAAAGTAGAGCTGCTGTTCGTCGCTCCGATCGGTGGCTGGTTCAGTGGCTGGTCCGCTTGTTGGGCCTCCAGACTGGTCTGGATCAACTGCGCAATCAGTCCCACCTCATGTTGGGTTATCGTACGAAAAAAGTGTTTCACTGTAAGGATTTTGCAAGTTTGGCATGACAAGTTCGTTACACATGACAAGGAAAACGCGCCATGCGAGGCTCCTAAGGGAAAACACAGCTAAAAATCGCCTGTCTTGCATGTGTAGCAAGACAAACACTTCTGAGATGCAGTCTCTGCATTACAAGTTTACAGTGAAACAGTTTTTTCTTGCGATATGGGTTTTACTCTGCTCGGGCGAACTGGAAGACACTTTTATCGGGTGGAAAAGCGTCACGCGCGTTCTAATCTAGCGATCTTTTTGACGCCTCACCTGCAAAACGACCGGCAGTTTCCAAGCGGCCGGAAGTGTTTTTGGACATAAAAGATTTCCACTTATCAAGCGGCCGGGGCCTTGCTGTCAAACAAGCGCGAGCGGATTCTATCGATTACCGCTTGATAAAACGACGCAAGGGAGCCGCCAAAAGGGGCGCCCTTCTGAGGCGCCCACCGCCTTGGTTTCTGGCGATTTGGGGCGCCCAAAAGGGGGCGCCCAAAAAGCAGCATTCCGAAAAAAACAGGGAATCCGCATAGTATGGGCCTCATTTTGGCCCACATTCGGGCCTCGCAAAAGAGGCCACCAAAATCCGCCATTTCAGAGGCGGACTGAAGGCCAGTGTATGTGAGTACCCGAAAAAGGAAAGCCCTCTCACGGAAGGAAGCCACTCTATTAGCGCGCGTCCTCTGCCTGCGCACCCTCTGCCTGCGCCAGTCTGCGGAACGTAGATGGAAAAGCAAAGCGAATAGCCTCTCACCGCTCGTGAGCACGGTAAACTAAACTTGCAATGCGCCCCAACGAGCCAACCGTAGCTGTTAGAGTGCACACCCCGGGCCACCGACTCTACGGCCAAGACCCCGACCTGTCCGCCGACAGGGAGGAGATGAAATCCTGCAGGCCGCGGAGACGTGCGTCTCCTCCCATAGAAGTAGTGCCGTCTTCCGATATCAACCCAGGCGAGCCGAGCTGGCAAACCACCTCCCGCACGGGAAAATCCGCTACCGCTAGTACCCAGACATGAGGCGCACCTGGCGCGGAACCTCCTCCGAAAGCTAGAAAGCGAGAAGCCTAACCCAGTCAGCGGATCTGTCAGCCACTAGACCTGAGGAAACGAGCAACCGCCCCGCGCAACCACCTGCCGATGCGTTGGACTATCCTCCACCGGAAACCAACCCCGCAAGGGTCCCCTGAACAATAATACACGCGCTCTGCTGGCACAATGCGCAATCAGTCCCACCTCATGTTGGGTTTTATTCTGCTCGGGCGAACTGGAAGACACTTTTATCGGGTGGAAAAGCGTACCCTGCTCCCATTGCAGATACGCAGGAGCGAAGGTGGCATTGTCTTTCAAGAAAAAAAGCCGTCAAAAAAAATTTCGGATTTTCTCTTCCTCAGCTGTCGAGTCCGAGGTATGTAGTGACACATGAACATGACTGTGTCGCAAGTCCAAAGGAAGGGAATGAAAAGGAACGGTAATATTATACGCAGAAGATTCACTACTTTGCAATTGCAGACACGACCTCACACCATCATCAAAATAAACAAATTAATAGGATATGGTGGATTCGCCCGCACGGTGTAGTTTTGTCTTGTTTACGCAAAAAACAAATGGGGACGCTTTCACACACAATAACGTTGTAGTTGTGCCCACTCTTGTCCATCAAAGACACAGCCCCGGCGCCGCCACCGGCCTGCGGCATGTCCTCGTCGTCCATATTCGCGGAAGAACTCCTTTCTTTGTGATCGTTCTTGGAGGTGACATTGCTCGACTCGGGACCACCGCCCTCCTTCTGGTTAGCACCTGTATGGAAACAAAATCAAAACTGATGATTGACTTTCGTCAGCAACATGTAACGTTGCAATTTCCTTCGCGGCGGCCCGCTTAGATTTTTTTGCGCTGCCATGAAGTTGGGAAACATTTTTGAAGCCGTTCTTGGAAGGAACCACCGGAAAGACGTCGCGCATCCATATCCTGTTGAGCGACTTGTTCTTAGCGTGATCCCAACCCAAATCTGCAGGCCAGGACATAGGAGAGCCCCGGTGAGGCCCGACCATCTGCGTCCGCGGTGCTTTCTTTGCACGCCGGACGCGGACCCAACAAACAGGACAAAATAAAACCCGCCACCGTTTTTCGCAACTTAGGAAAACGACCGCTGGGCTGGTTTCAATTGCTGTGGCCTGTCTTAATAAGCGTACAGAATTTCCGCGCAGCTCTCGCAAGATGTGGCTGGCCGCTCTACCTGATTTCGTCGCTGCGCGCCGGCGTTTGCACATACGGGCGCCGGCGTCCGTACGAAATCAGAGCGAGCCAGATAAGCGGCGCAGGCCTTTTCTGCGTTCCTTCTTGGAAGGACTGCAGCGCGTTACGAGCATCAGCATGCCGCGCAAGCGAATACTATCCCAGTGCGCAGGCTCGCGCAACTGCCCCCACTTGTACCAAATTCGCGCCACTGACTAGGTGCCGGGAATGGGTTAGCATGCGGCGTAATGGCTTAGCATACGGCGCACAACTTCTTCGCAAATGCAACGGGACCGAATAACGCATGAACAAGAAGTAGGCCCCGAGAGCATGCGCAGAGAAGGCCGCGGTGGCTCCGCGAATTCGGCACTCTTGTTGCTGTTGGTCACACACATTCCACAACTCTATTAACTCTGCCAAAAACAAAAATATTAGCCAACTCCGGACCAGCGTCTTTCTGGTTCGTACCTGGCACTCCGTCGAGGACGCCGCTGGTGTTCGCCGCCACTCCACCACCGTGCTGATGATGGTTGGAATTGGGGCTTGGCTTGTTGCTGGGGGGCTCCACTCTACGTCGTTTGCGGTCGTCCTTGATGCTCTTCATGCACGTGGTCAGGTTGCTCGTTTTCTTTAGCGCCTCGTCCGAATCTCGGACGACCGGTTCTTTAGCTCCGCTGGGCCCGGCTTGCTGGGCCCCGGCACCGCCAGCAGCGGTCGCGGTTGTTCCCGCTTGATTTTGCACCGTGCCTCCACCGTTGTGCGTCCCAGCCCCGGATCCATTCACCGCCGCGCGCACCACACCCTGTTGGTCGTTGCTGTAACTGCTTTCCATCGCGTCCCCGACCCGCTCCGAACTCTCCTCCGTATCTGGTGGTGGAGTAGTAAAAGCGACAACTTTCTTGTTTGGAATCGTACTTTGAAATGGGACCACATCTTGATACTTGACATTCAACTCTCCATGACACAGTGGGAACTTTTCACTGGTCAGATTTTGGTTATTGGTTGCGGTAGCGGTAGCGGTAGCGGTCGTGTGGGATTTTCTGTGTTGCAGCACTGTTATCTCAACTACGCGTTGTGACCCACAAAAGCCGTTATAATCGAGCTCCAAATTTTGTACTTCTAGTTGCGCAGATGGAGGTGATACTAATGCGTGTCTATTTGGCAAGGCTGCACTTGCTCCTTCTGGTACTTGCTTTTCTATTTCTTCCCCGCTAACACCTTTGACATTAGCGCTACAGTCACACAATTCAGTGGCCATAGCTGCCAGTAACTAGTACTACGGTGATGCACAAGGTAAAAGCTGATCCTGTGCAAATAAGCACAGCTTCTTACTAGCAACTGCACTCTTGATGTTCGACTAGATCTTCACTAGCGTAGTTCAAAAGCCTGACGTAGTTCGCGCTGGTGCAAAGTTTATTTGGTCACTCGTACTCGAAGCTTTAGCGTAGTGTCAGCGTCGCGCCTGCTAGAGGTGACATTCAACCGTATCTATAAATATATCGCGTTTTTGTTTGTCACGAGTACCACTATTATCTTTCATTTCATCTTCAAGGAGAAGGGACCGCGACCGCGTTTTTGAAGAAGTCAGCAAATCTATTGATATGTGATCTGCGTTGTCCGTATCTCTTTGGTCTCTGACTGCGAATGCTTATGTGGCGGTGGGGGCGCTATGCTGCAAGCAGCGTCAAGTACAACGACCTATCAGGAGTTTTAATCTCCTGGTCTATGAACAACATACAAGTTTACGTAAGTATATTTATCCACCGTCGTGTCCGCTGCGATTTGTTGCAATAGTCATCCTACTACAGCACACACTAAAATTCAAATTTCCAAATTAACAAAGAAGCACAAAAAAATACTTTGCTTCTGCTTGCTACCCTGGCCTCCGGCAGCTTGGGCCACCGCCAGCGCTCCGGCTGCAGCCGCGGATTCGATCACCCCACTCGAGCGGCGCTGGTCGGCAGCAGACACGGCTGCACTTCGATTGGCTTTATCACCTCCTGTGTTGCCCACCGCCCCCGCCCCCGGTGGCACTTGCTTCTTTGCCATTTTGTGTCCACCGCCCTGAGCGGTAGTCTTGCCCACCTTCTTTCCGGCACTGCTGCCTTGGTGCGGTGGCTGTTTGTGGTCCCCTGGAGTCTGCTATGCAAGGAAAAAACTCTGGCTCTGCAGCGCGTTCACCCTGTTTCGAAGAAAAACATAGTAGCACTGCATACGATATTCAACTTTATTGTGAAGTGCTTTTTTCGCGTTCGCGTGACAGTTGCTCAGCTCTTTTGGGACAGGACAGCACAGCTGCAAACCACCAAAGTCGTAATCTACACACCAACTCTGTTGACGCTAGTGACGGTGACGATAGATTGCATAAATCACCAGCACAAGTTAGTACACTTCATTTTGTTATTTCACTTTCGCATAGTTACAGTTTAGTCGTTTTTCTCCCTTTTGTTCGGAACCAAGAGTTCACATGGGCACATTTTTTCCTCGGGTATTTGCTCTTGGTCTGCCGCACTCGCCACGTCGTTGACACTAATCTATGGAGAGAGAGCAAGTGATCTCATAGACTGCTGTCCTAGCGCAAAGAACAAGAAATCAACTCCGTCGCGCGGGTTCGCGTAAGTGGATCGCATAAGTGCCGCTGCTAGATGGTTTCGGAATCGGATTCGGAAGAAAACGAAAAGATTCGGTTTGCTTTTTGCATGACAAAAAGGAGGAGTCAGAGACAGAGTCTAGCAAATCCGCATGACATGTTGGAATTTTCGTTGGGGCTGGCAGCAGGCACTGAAATCACTTACTTCCATATCATCCTCTTGTTCCCCGCCCCTTTTTGCTTGCTGTCCTCTACCATAAGTATGCATCGAAAATGTGTCTGGGCCAGGAACAGTGCAAATTGTCGCGCTACCTCTAGATTCTGAAAGACCCTGAATTGCAGGAGCAGCAAGAGGAGCCCAGCTGCATTTTTTACGCTCTAAGGTTATTTCTCATGCGGAAGAGGCATCAAGCATCCATCAAAAAAAATCTGTGATGCTAGGGCATACATCACAGACGTCATTCATGGGTTGTAATGCAAAATGTGCGTGGCAACTGTTGCACATTTGCGGACACACCAGACATATTTGCAATCCATAATCAGGTGAAAGTCGTGCCAATTCTGTTTCAGTTGTTCTATCTAGGAACAACCTGAACAAGTACACTTTCGACTTCGAGCGAGGAGAAGTACAAAATGATTTATCTGACTTTCTCGGAGCGTCACGTAGCGAACAGCAAAATGCAGCCTCTCTACTATCAATTATATGCCACCGGGACCGAAGAAAAAATAATGTCTAGTTGGATTTTCTTTCGTAGGAGTGCTACCAGCTCTACATCTAAACGTCGAAATGTCGGCATATATATAAATATAAACTAATATTGCTAAACGACCTGAAGCCACGATTAATCACGTTACCGCATAATTAGTGCAGTCATGATGTAGCAGGTAGAGGTACCTATCACATTCACAGCTTTGCCTTTGCTTTGTTTTCTCGCATTCATTTTGATTTTTCGTCACAAGCACAAGAAATAAGCAGAAGCAACAGAAACAGCGTCGCTGCGCAGGGCGCTACCTCGCAGCCTCACGTTCACGACACAAAGCAACATTAACTCAACTTCAGCATATCAGCAGTTTAAGTTTTCTGACCCATCTGTCATAGCCACAGCACTTTTGCGCACTTTTGCGTCAAAATCCATTTGCATATCACCTCATGGAAGGCTTGGAAAATCATATTTTCTCAATAGATCATACAGATACTCCGGCTTCGTAACTTTATTTTAAGGTTATCAATGAGGCTTCTTCAACTTCAACATCATTTTCTTGTCAGCGATTGCTCATCTCGTCTTCATCCACACAACAGTTTCGACCATCCACACAGTTGCTTCAACAAAACTGAACAGCCAAGTGATGAATGATTTGCGCAGAGGCCGTTGGAAATGTGTTGCAGTTTGGTGAAACACTTTCGCATTCTCGTGGAGGTACCGCCCCATTGCATGTTTGCAGTGCTCGTTCTTGTGCGCTCTTAGGCAGCAGCTCAGTAGACCGCGACGACGAGCGCAACAGACGACCGTCGCCTACAATATCGAATCATATATCTGTAAAGTAAACTAGTTTTCGTAACGCAACATCAGCCCTTCACTGCAGCAACACTATCGATTGGATTCAGTATACCTCATGCATTTACATGCTTGCGAGTCTTCGCGGGCAGCAGCTGCAGCTCGCAAAAGTCAGCATCGCTATCAGCGCAAACGTTCATTCGCATTGTGACTGACTCGTATTTTTGTTTTTGGGGTCGTTCGCAGCAGCATTTCTTGGGGTCATGAGGAGATCAAACTAACTTCGAAGGTGCTCTTGTCCATATTTTTGCACGCCTCGAAACATGCCACTATATTGATGTTCTTGCTTACGTCTCTGCAGATCATTGACGTACTTAAACGAACCATCTGGCTTTCAATGGGACGTTGCTTTCGTATGGAAAATGAAAAATGAAGTAGTTTCAAAGAGAAACTAGACTCCGCTTCCACCCTTATTTCGTCTCCGTTTTATATGCATATCAGCAGAGCTCAAATCAAAACTGGCGTAGGATTCTTGAGCCAGAACTCAAACTCTGCCGGCATGATTACATCGTCTGCGTGGAAGGACTGCGACCTGTATAGAAAAATTCAATCCAGCTTTTCATTCCAACTACCAGTGGCCGCTTCAGTCAACAAGGAGAATTAACTGACATTGATTTTTGTTTTCACGTTTTCGTTTCCGTCGAATATCATTTATTAGGGAGGATTAGGGCTGGGTTGATGCGAGTGGGGAAAATGTAAAAGAACAAGAAGACAAAGTACAGTGCACTGCAAATGTAGCCCAGCTCCTCCTGCGAAAATTGAACTCCCTGGATACGCAAAGCGAGTTCTGCGAACTTATCCATTTTGAGCCCCTGTGGTGGGCAAATGCTTGGGGTGGGTCCTCCTCGGTTCAGAAGCGCTTTTCTGACCTGGCGAAATAATTGATGTTAGTCAGTATCTTGTACTGAAACTGCTGCTGTACCAAATTTATTATCAAGGATCTCGACTTGCGGCACGATCTCCCTGGCAGCAATCGAAAAACGGCTAATCGGATTTTTAGCAACCTCCACAAGTATTTCAATTCTCTGATATACTTTACTTACTTCTCCAGGAATTTTTCACCAAAAACAAGCAACAAGCGATCTCTTTTTTTGCTTACTGAATCGAGCTTCTTTGCGGTTCGAAATCCGTAGAAAATCGCCAGGCAACCCAATCCCAATAGATATCCGAAAATAATGAAACCTGCATAGAAGCCAACATGAAAGCCGATTTATTTTCATTTCAGGCAACAAAAAGAGCGTGTCCATGTGTCGTATATGCTCAGCATCATATTCACAAAACCAGACGTAAGGAATCCCAAGGCGTGCAGCTCTTCGCCTTTGAAATTATCAGCATCATTTTTCGTCGTAGTAGAACATAGCTCGTTATTCTCTTTTGTACCAAAGAGAGGCAGCGTGTCGTTGTCCCAGAGGTTTCCGCATACCATGCACCCGAGAAAAATGTACATCACTCCCCTCCCGATGAAGCGAGTAAGAAAAAGGCACGCCTTAAATATGACCAGACGGAACTCCATCAGTCGTGGATGCTGATACTGTAATATTCAATTGGTTTTTATTTGTACTGTCGTCTTTCTTGAGTATACGTTCCGTTTCAAGAACCCCAGCACTGAAGCGACGACCACATCAGCGACGATGAACTACAGCTGAGTAGTACTTTTTTACGACTATGTCGAAAATCAATGTACCGGCACGTCCAGGGCTGTCATGATCAGCCCGAAGAGCATGAGGTAGGAGAAAATGATGATGTCGAACGGACTTGCTATTGTCCCGATCATGCTCCACAAACCCAGAAACGCACCGGATCATGTGGAAAAGTGTAGCACCCTTAATACGACACAAATCATGACCAGCACGACGTCCAGCTCCAGATCGATACAAATATACAGTAGCCGTGCGCACACAAGCATCAGCTGGACTCTTGTTGAACGACCCTATGATCATGCTGGGTGGTACAACACTTTGAGTACAACACTTTTCATCTTGATATGCCAAAAACCGTGCTCAAACCGGCGGCAAAAAACAAAACCTTCCATGACGCTTTTATCTTCGCTCCGCCCGGGCCTGCAAATAGTTTTTGTTTGTAGCTGAAGCTCCTGCACAAGAACGAAACCATCATAAGTAATTTAATGAAAGAAAGCGTGCCTGAAAATCAGTGGAAGGGATGCACTGAAGCCTTCCGAACGGTTCTTGAAGCAAAAACGAATTGAGCAAAGATCATCGAAGATCAAGTACCGACGGGCATTGCCCCGCCCAGCATCGGCTGCCCCTCCATCTTGTTCTCTTCTACGCTACCGGACGCAGTCGACTATGAAAACATTATTAATTCCAAATTGTATGTATGAGTCGTGCAGTTTTTGTCAGGAAGACAGAAAGCACCTCGCAGTTATCTCGGACGCATAGGCATACTGCTCCATGTATTTACAACATAGGGGTAAAAATTATAAAGCCGGAAAACGTACAAATATAAAGTTTCTATGGTGCTGTGTGGCGTATAATATGGCGCAGCACCAGACCTATTTCGAAGAGGCAGCCTCACAACAAAAGCTACTTAGTTCGTCCCAGAAAGAAAAATTAAAGCCATGCTAACAAGGTGCTAACACAAAGTTGATGCTGATGATGATGATGATGGTCTGTGGGAAAAGACCACTCTCCTTCACAAGGATGAAAAGAGAACTCTCATCGTGAAGATGGTGACATGATAAAGGCAGCAAACGTCACAACCAGCTTACCTAGACCACGCATGCTACAGCAAGTGCAAGACCATTCATTGCGGCCCTTCATATATCAGAAGCACAAGAAACCCATCTGCACATCTACTTCGTTGGTTTAGATAGTTCTTATCTTTTACTATAGTATGAACACGCGCTGCGTATTCCCACGCACTCGAAAATGAGCCCTTCTTTCGCTCTTCAACCCGCACTTCTTGGTAAGTTTTGATATTTCTCGTCTCTGCGGTTTCGGATAGGTATTTGCCTATGAGACCACATTCATTCTCGTTTGCATCGATGTAGAAACTAGCGCGACTGCAGAGATCTCGAGCTTGACTCTGAACTGCTAGAGGATGCAAAGACTGATAGATTACATACAGAACAGATACAACAACGAATAACTTCCTTTTCTTTTGATACGACACTTGATGTCAGAGCACACACGCCGTGACGACTTGCAGCAAGGGCGTGTCCAGTTTTTTCTTGATGGAAAAAGCCCGGAGGGCGGCGACAAAGTTCTCATACAAGACATCTTCTTGCACTCTGGGCGCTGCGGAAGAGCGAAAAAAGTCGCGCAGGACGGAGAAGGTTTCTTGAAGGTGCACTTTGCAGAACGGATCTCCAATGCCCGCCTCGTGAAGCAACTGCGCCACGAGAGGTACAAATTCGTCTTCAAAACGAACCTCTCGTCGCTTCAAACTGGAGGCGGCAGCCACATTGTCAGCACCTGTACTGTCATCGAAGAGGTGCTTGTAGTCGCGATTGGAAAAGGAAAAGTGCCTCTTGTTGTGCTGAGATGCCTGTGCCAGCCCCAGCGAGAAGTTGCTCGCGGTGGCTGCATGCTGCGAGGGTCCTCCACTTTCCGCTCCTGTATCACCACTAAAAGTGGCCAGCAAGGTGAGTACGGAGGCGATATTCATCTGATTGGGAATACCCTCGGTCACAACCCGAAACAGTTTTTGGATCTGCTGAGCACCGAGAACAAGTTCCTCTGACAGGTTGGTCATTACAGATGAAGCATCGTCGTGTTGATGCACTTGCTCCTTTCCTAGCATCGCATCGTCAACCAAGGAAGCGCTTGATGCAACTATCAATTTCAACATTCTCTCTGCTTATCCTCCGCCGGCAGTCTCAATTCAAAGAAATCTCTTCGACTTCGTTGAAGCGAGCTAGACGATATTAAAAGGCTGGTGTTGAGAGCAGTCTTGTAAACTCAGCCTGTTATTTGGTTGGTGTAGCTGCTGCAAACGACCTGATACTTACTATACGTACAGCGGCACTGCACCCGGCAGTCTTTGTGCGCAGTCGGATATGGTGTGTGCATGATAGTCATCGAAGCCACATGTTCTCGAAGAATTTCAGCCTGGGCTTCTGCTGCGTCGCCGATGCTCCACTTCAGTGCAACGCGCAGTCTTTCACGTTCCTCTTCTAGCAACAATATCGAATATCGCACGGACAAAAAATCGCAGTACACCGCGATTGGAATCGCTGACCACACTGGTTTGCAAGCATCGTTAAAAATCGCCACAGAGCGAGGTCGCATCTACTTCAAGAATAAGTCACTCTCACTCATCTATCTATCGAGCGCATGCGCAGTTCGCACTTCTGATAGTGAGACACCGCAGAAAACGGTAACTGCTGGACGCGTCAGTGGCAATTGAACGTGCGAATCTCATGGTGTACTACGCTGTAGTTCTACTCCATTGGATACTGCGTTTTGGGGGTTCACTAGGTGGATGTTGGCAAAGAAACTGTTGCTGAGCAGCTCGCGCAGCTATCAAAGGGAAAAATCCCCCCTCCCCATATCGAAAAGGAACGCCTCAGAGAATTTGCGATGCTGATTTGTGACCACAAATATTGTCTGTCTTGCAAGAAAGCAACGGCAGAGGCTCCGCCCCATTATGCAGGAGGTTTGTAATGCTGTTGGGCCTACAGCAGAGACGTTCATCATGCTAAGTGCTTAGGCCAAAACCTAAACCTCTCTACATTGGCATGATATGGGTCTGCAGTACTCTACTGCAAAACAAATCTGATTTGTGTACTGAAATCCAGCATCAGAAACTCCTTTTTGATATGGGGTGGGGGGATTTTTCCTTTTGATAGCAGCGTGCTCCGAGTTAGCCGGCGACGATCCCAGTCCGACACAAAAACCATCCGCAGTGTATCAAATGTAAAAGTGTCTGGGTCTGGAAGAGTGCATGTTTGTCATGCTTGTCTGGCATGACTCCCAAATCTGTCACGCACGTTACCCAAGAGCGCCACTTTTCTGTCATGCAGAAACGCAGTCTGTCATGCACAATAGGCAACACCTAGAAGCTCAGAAACTTGTCATGCATACCCGACTGCACCACATCAAAAACCTTTGCACCGTCGCCGCAAGCAGCTTCGGACGCAGGAGATCTAGGGTCAGAACCGCGAAAAAACATCGCGAGTATTTCTTCATCCCCGGGCACTTATGTTATCTTTACCTTACTTCTCGCTAACACTGTATGAGCTGCTGCAGACACACTGTGACAGGGAAAAACACAGGCGCCACAATAATCAACGCTCATTTATATCTAATATGCGGAAACTGGCAGGCACCTGTCGCACGAGGAAAATAGCAACAGGCGCGGGAACAGAGTCCGAGGAGTTTTTGATCTACTCACATATAGACTGATGTTCGAAGACCAGCAACACTCGTACGGCGCGTCTCAGCTAGCTCCAACCGTGGGATGAGCACGCTATAATGACTATACAACGAAGGCGAGCTTCCAGGCCGTAAAACGATGCCGCGAGTGGAAACCTGCCAATCCATCCGCACTTCGCCTGCTTCGTGTCGCTCGCCTCGTCCGCGTAGACGCGATCTCAAGACTTCGCGGTCGGACTGTGCCGATTGGCAAAAGTGTGCCTATGATCTGCCGATTGGTATACGTTCGCTCTCGTTCCCGCTCTGCGTTGCTGCATGTCATGCTGAGCCAGCACTTGTGACCTCCTCATGATACGCCAGCCAGCATCACAAGTTTCCAGACCCAAACATTTTTGCATTTCATACAGTGGTCGGTCTTGCAACAAGGTGCGAGCGAGTTGCGCTTTCCGCAGGAAAACACACTGCGTCAACTGCAACTCTTTCTCGACATCCTCATCCGTAGCCTCCGCCTGATCGTCGTCTTCCGGCCCCAAACTAGGAGCACCTCCTGAAGAAAATCGGGATGCACGAGAACGACCCGAAACGCGACCTCCACCTGCACGACCGGATAGTACAGCCTCAGGCCCAAGCGCCAACAAGAACGTAGCGCCGTTGGCGGCGGCGGTCCCGCGAAACAACCCGACGCGCGCTGCCCAAGTGTTGCGAGAGTTTTTGTTCGCGTTCGTGGCGACGTGCGAGAATTCCGCGCGCACGGACGACCATGGCGGCTCACCGGAAAAGGACAGCCCAAACGCCGCGTCCGAGTGGTGATCGAGACAGACCGCGTCGACGAGAGTTACGGGGCGAAGCGGCGATACTAGATACTGTGCCGCGCGCCGGCCGCGACCACCAGCTGAAACCGCCAAAAGAAACTTCTCCAGATCCTCCGAAAATCGGCTCCAGTAAGCAAGTTGCCGCTTCTGCTCCGAAGATTCTCGCTTTGGGGAATTTATTGAAGATATTGTTGTACTAGATGTCTTTCTTGTTCCTACCCGCCTGCCACCCGCAGCACCAGAATTATGCGGTCTGCCCAGCCGCAACACCAAATGGAACACCCGCTCCCGGTCAGCACTCAAATAAAAATCCTGGATCAGATTCGTGCCCAACATGCTCCCTTCTCGCCCGGTGGACGTCCGCACCATCGTCCCACCATGCCTCGCTTCCCGATTGTCGAGGAACTCTGCGATCCACTCGGCAAGCTGCTGCACATGCTGCACAACTTTTGCGTCGGAACTTCCAGCAGTCGCGGAAAGATCTACTCCCACTGTCTGTTGCGGAGACACGACCCCGCCAGGCTCAACATTCGCCGACGGTGGTACATCAACAGCGGTGCTGGCGGTCGTCGAAGACATCACGCTAAACATATCCAGTAGCGTCACCGCGAACGCTCGGTGGTGCTGGGCTTGTCCGAGCAACCGCGTCAACACGCGCCTCTCTCGCCGCTGGTGGGCGACGCGGGGTCGTAGCGATGTCGCCAACCGTTCCTGTCGGTCGGCCTCTTTCGCGCCAGCGGCAAGCTTTTTCTGCAGCGTTTGCTTTTCCACCAACAGCGTATTGCCCTCCTCCTCCGCGTCCGCCAAACGTTCCTCGCAGGCGGCAAGGAGGGCGCTCTTACGTGTCCATACCGAAGTAGACATCTTGGCGGGGGCGTCGGCATCTTCATGCTGTGCGTGTCCAGCTGAGGAAGTAGAGGCACCGAACTCGCCAGAAGATCCGGTCGTGGCAAACGGATTCAGATCAAAGTCAACATGATATGCTTGCTCTTCGTCCCTGAACAGCTCGTCTTCCAAGGCTCCTCCCCGCTGGTCCTGTTCCGTTCGCTTGCGGGCGTGCTCCAAGCGCAGGGCGCGAAGCTCCTCCTCCTGACGGTAGAGATGCGAGGAGAAATCCTCCGCGAACGCCTGCATCACGCCCGAGCTTGCGCCCTTGAGAAAGATAAACAACGAAACAAATACGGCACCAGAGCGAATACGACCAGATTTTTTCGAGCTTTTTTATTTTTGGCAAGATTAAAATGTGATCACGAGAACAAAACGGTGGTGGAAATATGGGCTTTCATCAAATTCGATGGAAAAAGCAAAAACCAGCGGTCACAACTTGACCGAACAGAGAGAGCGCACCAATCCTAATTAACAAATCACCTGGCCAAGCGACCGAGGTTAGAAGTGACACGTAGTTCACAGTGAAAAAGTTGTGATAAGGTTCTATGATTAGTCCTGGAAAGGGTATGGTTAACGCTATCCAATCAATGCACAAAGCGTCGGGTGCCCATTGCGATTGGTCAGGTTTAGAAGTCTCACTGCAAAAGAATTCGATGTACAAAAAGTATAACAAATTATTTCTTTCTCTTCATTAATTGATTCCAATCCAATGCTATTCATCCGCCCCCGGTTGCTTGGGCATTGATTTGATTCATTTTTCTGTACATTGCCATACGTTTTACTTGGGCCATGAGCTTTCAGTACTCAGTTTTCACCTAAAGAAAATTTCCTTCGGCGCCAGAAAAACTCCAGCTGTAAACATCCTTTATCCCTCGGCTCCGTCTGGATCTAGGAACCGAGAATTCACGGCGCTTGCTGACAGCATGTGATTTTCCACGGACGCTTTTATACCTGATGATTTTTGACGAAGACTTTATTTCAATCTCTATTTTTCAACACTCATGAGTTTACGTGGTGAGCTGCTGAAGAGAGACAAAAGAGAGAGAAGTGAACAACAGAACCATGGAAACACAAACAACATGAACATGCTCCCAAAAAAAAAACGGCGCCTCCGCCTCCGCACAGGGAGTACAAACAAATAAACAAGCGGTCGAGCCGTGACGCTTTTTTGAGCAACGTAGAGACCTTCAAAATGCGGATACCTTCTCTAACGTCCACCATGTCCGAGTTTAAGTTGTCGACCAAGTCACTGTTCTCTTTCAGATGCCCCTGTAGCTGTGCCAATTCTTTTTCCCCTCTTTTCCGCTCCTGTTTTATGAATGTTAAAAGTTTGTCGATCAGCCTTCTGCTTAATCAATTTTCATTTTGTATATGCTGTCTGTGGCGACTTCTGTCTTCTGTTGCGACAATGAGAATCTTATTATCCGTCTGCCAAGGATCCGGCTTGTTCTTTTCACACAACAAAACTACCGCAACACAAACACGTCTGGAAGAACCCGTATGAATTTCGCCGGAGCTTGCAAACCAAATCCATCGAAGTGACAAAGATCGCACGTCAATAAATGATCGTCGTAATAAACGAACAAAACCCTACCTCCGCGAGGTCAGAGAGCTGCTGGGAGAGGCGAGCTAGCTGGTCGTCGAGCTTCGCCCTGTGCTCCAGCGTTTTGGTAAGTTCCGCATATTTTCGATCGTAATCCGCTGTCAGCGAGCTCTTCTCTTTCGACAGCGTTTGCTTCAGTTTTCGGTTCTCTGCGATCTGATTCTGCAAGACTAATGCAGGTACTTAAAAATCCGGTGATTGCGCGAGGATAGAAGGGAAGACCACACTGCACATAAACCAAACAAAAAAGACAGCTGCAGCTGCTCGCGTATTACTTGTCCGGTTTTTTCAATGATTTCTAGTTTGCATACTGCTCTATTCTAAATCCATAAACATTTCTGGCATGAAGACAAAATTTTTTGCGAGCGTTGCAAAAGCAAACCTGAAGCAGGAGCAGCGGCCATAGAAATAGTTGTCGAAAAGGACGAAAAGCGATGCAAAAACTGTAGCGGAGCGCAATCACCAGTAACCAATTGCATAGTATCTGTTTCTGCTGCAGCGCATGTTCGTAGTTAGCCTTGCTTTGCTGAAAGCGCTGCGCCAGCTCATTGTTGTATTTGTCTTCCATATTCTTCAACGTTTTTGTGCTTTCCTCGACCTGCTCCTGAAGCTTCATGGCCTGGTATATTTGAATGGTTGCCGCTTTTGCTTTTCTTACTACTAGGAGAGCCAAATAAAAACGCTGATCTTGCTCGGACTAGTAAAAGTGTTTTCCGCTACACACGTTCACGTGCTCATGCCACACATCATGCCGATGCAAAGGTAGGTGACCGCTCCCCGCGCGGTACGATTGTATTCTCTATATAGTTTATTTAATGTCTTCTCGTGCACAAAATAAAAATTGTTTACTCTTACCTCGTGCCTTAGGTGGTCGCATTGCGTCGTGACGCGATCCAGTTCTCTTTTGTTCTTTACGTATTTGGATGTCCACTCGGAAAGGCTCTTGTCATAGAGCACTTTCGTGTTGGGATTTGCCCGTTCGTGAATCCTGCTACTCGGCGTTTTCAGCATCTTCCAATCTTCGCACCGCTGACGCACTCCTCCGCCCGAAACGTTTTCCTCCGCTCGGTTGAGAGCTTCTGTGAAGATGGGTAACTGACGGCCTGGCCTTTTGTTTCAAGTTCAACTTCACGAGACGGAGAATCAATTGACGCGCAGATGGCCGAGTGGTGCCGGAGTTACTCTACTTCCCTAGAAGGCAGCTTCCAAATCCTGGTCCATTTGCATCATAGTAGTTCTTGAAGCTTCTAGTTTTGATGCAACGCATAAGAAGCACAAAACCTGTAACTCAAAGCAAAATCAGAATTCAAAAACCCAAGGCGACATGGATCGCTAACTTGCGTCGCACGTGAGTATAATCGTAGCGTAACTGTACTACTTTCATCTCCGAGAGAGTTCGTTTTTCTCGTACTCACACGCAAAGGGTGCACTTCTCGCTCGGCTTTAGTGTGGCGGAATTGCGATGAAAACTCGATCACGTCTCATCCGCTTGGTTCTTCAGGAAACAACTCCTAGAGTCACCTCGCACCCCAAATCAGCAGGGGAATAAACGTGAACAAAACAAGACTACTGTCTTTAGATGAGGCAGCACGCTGCCGCCCTGGTGTGGCTGTGGCCTTCGTTGTGATACAATTAGAGCCCATGCCTCCATCAGCTTCTATTCATCTTGCCGGAAATGATTTGTTGTAAGGCAATACTTCGAGCGTTTTGCGCAAATGCACGGACTCTCTCTGAAGCTTCATCGTGCTCTGTTTTTCTGTTTTCTGCTACTTCGGGCGCCATGGGCACGGCTTTAAATGTCTGAAGTGTCCATTTATCAACCCCATACACCTGCGCTGACCCATGCCACGAGCACGGGTCTACGTTGCCCTTTGCGTCACGAGTAAAGAAAACCAGAAGCTTGCCTTGCTCTGGCCGTACAGCGAAGCCCCGCGTTGATGAACATGCGTCCGTATGTGCTAGCAGTTCTTTCGCGCGGACGCGTTTACTAAGCGCCACGCAGGACGATGCACCAGGAATCTGTAGCTGTGGGTCTTGCTCCATGTCTTTCTTTCCGCGACACGAAATAATGCGGTGGGCGGAGGATGTCATTTTTTTATCTAGAAGACAAGCCTGCTTTCGTTCTCGTTCTTCCTTTCTACACTGGTCCCTGAGTGTTGCCTTTGCCGACTCTTGGAGCGCTCGCAGGCATGTTTGCGCTTCTGCGAAGACTTCCGTTGCGCCACTGTCCACGGGCACGTCGGTGCTTTCGAAGCCCAAGGAAAGCAAGCGCTGTCCAAGTTCACGCTCGACCGGAAAAACGGTGTGCCCCATTATCCTGAGTAAAAACGTACCCACGCCAGAGTTGTAGTGCAGATTTGCAAAGACAGGAAGACTTGTAAGGCGCATCCCCATGAGAGCCATTTCCAATCGCGTTTTGGAATTTGTGATGCTATGAACAGGATGAGCAGATGAATCTGTGATGCGGCTGCACTTGCTAACCTGCACTACACTGCATAGTGCAACTTGTGATGCGTGACTCACAAAACTCCTAGGTTTGTGTTGCAAAATCCCCATCCTGACTCTGGTGTGGGTACGTTTTTACTCAGGATACCCATGCCAGTTTGTTCTGGTGCGTCTTCAACGTCCTCGACTGTGTTCAAATACAAAATCGCCGTGGCGAAGCGCCGAGATTCCTCGTTAAATGTGTCCACGTGGAGCCCGTTTTCCAGCAAGAATGTAGTCTGATCTCCCCAGAGTGGTGCCAGAGCTCCGCGTGTGACATCATTTCTCACTTGTAGTCCTGTGGTTCCATTTTTTCCCGCTCCTGTCATCAGCTGCCGCCTTGGTGTTAAGTTCAGCACGCACCGCGATTCCTCAGCATGGGACGGGCAGGACAAAAGTTCGCCGATGACGGCTTCGAATTTCCGGCACAAGGGTTCTGTCTCGATCTCGAACTCACCACGCAGTTTTCGTGAGGCTGGGAGCTTATACAGCCGTTTGAATATGGAAGGCAAAAGTACACGTCGGTCGTATTTAGGCATGACATTTGTCTTAGACTAGACTAGGGTATTAAGACAAATGTCATGCCAGGCTCGGCAACATGTGTGCAGAACTACTACTTGTTGCCTGGCATTTTTGAAGTGGCCGACATATGAGATCGAGCTCCAGGCTCCAATTGCTTGAGCGGCCTTCTGGTTCTTTTGGGTAAATAAGTATTGACACTGTTGCAACAGACAAACTTTCGACAAGGTTGCATTTTTCTCGACTCGGATAATGAAAGTCTTGTACCCATAAACAATGCCATTGGTCGCGTCCAGGACCGTGCGCAGGGACGACGAGCACTGTATGCTGCATGCTTGGTCGCCTGTGTCTCCTTGCCCCAATGCAGAATTCGGAAGATGTCCTTGCGAGGACCGCGTTTTGCTATCACCGTCCGTTCTTGGAAAAGCAGATTTGCTCGAGATTTCGGTGGGAAGTAGATCGCTAGATGCGCCGCCACTCAGTGCTGCGTTAGCGTCCGCACCAGCCGCGATGAGCGCCGCGCACTCGGCTTTTGAGGCGAAGTTGTGCCAAACCAACGCCAGCGGCTCCTCCGCAAGCAGCTCCCACATAAAGAGCGGAAGGGCGCCAATCCATAGTGAAAACAGGGCTAACTCTTCTTTTACTCCGTAGATTCTTGTCACATGACAAGTTCACCTCGCCGAACGAGCTTGAACAGGCTGCACTACGATCGCGCATATTTCCGCAGTATCAGACGAGCGCATTCACATTCTTCCAATTTTGATTTTATGTTTTCCTTTTCCTCGTGTTCCTTCAGTTTCATCCGTGCGCCTTGAAGAAGTTTCTGATGCACTACTACTCAGGGCCGCTCGTCGCACTCGACTACACATAGTGCTGACGGTAGTGTAGAAACAGCTCGCTGAACGTGAACTTCTCTACATGCTACAGCTCAACCGCGAAACTCGTTGCGTTGCTCTGATTAGTTCATTTGAAGTACCTTGAAGCGCTCGCGCTCGAAAAAGCGGGCTACAGTAGAAACCGCCACTGTTGTTCTCCTGGTACTTTCCAAAGTCACTTAAGCTATTACCCTCAACTTTTAGGTTTATCCATTCCGTTGTTACATAGTTCATCTGATCTGTTCATTCCTTTGTCCTAGATTATAACGGGGACGATAGTAATTTGAATCGGAAATATATGCTTACGGTTCTCACCTTCGCCCAAACACATTGGGACAAGTCGTTTTCGCTATGTTTGCGAAGTTTGTGAACAAGAAGTAATAGAGAGTAAAAGTAGCGACTAAATAAACTAGTCCGTCGTCGTGTGTCTAGAACTTTGCCACTCAGTTCACCCGCACACTAACCCCAGACTTCCAGCTTACTGTCACGCTCTTGGGGGGCTTGTCAGAGACCTGCTCCTCTTCCGTAGTCTCCTCCTCTTCCCGCTCCTCCACCTGGGTAAAGCTCCCACACAACTGGTTCCCGTCGGGAAAGACCCAAACGCCTGCGGTCAAAGGGTCCAGAAGTTCAATGTCGTACTCTTACGCAAAGTGGTCAAAGCCTAACTCAATATCATGATCATCAATCCGAATTTTTATGCAGAGTCACAACTTCGACGGCGACGTGGAGGTCAGTCCGAACGCCTTGCTAGTATGTTTCAGATGCTCATTTTTTCTCATGAACGTGAGCAGGCGCATCGAATCAATGAAGGACAATTGTACCACTTCCTATTGGCTGATTCCACTTGAAGGATCCCACGTACTTCACGCCGTTCAATAGTGTCCACGTTCCCTGCACAAACATCCCATCGGCCCACCTCAGAAAAAGACAACAAGACCGATAGGTATCTCTACGTGTCACTTCTGCAGCTTGACATGAGAGATCAACAGCCGGCTCGTTATGAAAACATTCAGGCTGTTGCTCTTAGCATGAACAGACGAGAACCAAAAGCAAAAACAATCAAATATTTAGAAGTACTTTCCTGATAAGGTAGACCCGTCCCGGGTGTATCGGTACACACCCTTGCCGTGCTTCTTCCCGTTCTTCCAGGCGCCGGAATAGGTATCTCCATTCACGTACTTGAAAGTACCCCCGCCTTCCCGCTTGTTCTCGGCCCACCTTTGAGGAAGCGTCTAGCATTGATAAGAACAGTAATTCTACCTACTATGAAATATTTATACATGCAAGATCAAAAGTATTTTCTCGATTCACATCAGACTAATGTACATATTTCATTTTTCATAAAAACAATATTTATTACTCTCCGTGGTATTCACCCCCTCTCGCGGGTGCGGATTCCTCGTCTTCTCGCTATGAGAGTGCACAGCCGCCCCATCTACTACCTCAATTGTGATGCTGACGAGCCTCCGCTACCAAGCCCGATTAGCCGGGGAGGACACTACCACCTTTGTTTGTAATGCGAAACAAAGAAGTCGGCCATCAAGACGGGGCACTACGCCATAAATATGTCTCAAAACCGCACAACTCCTGGAGACAACACACTATCAAAACCAATCTGTATCTAACACATCATTGCATGACAAGCGGTAGTCGGGGACCTGTTACTAAGTAAAAACCGGCCTCCGGAACAGCACCAGAAAAGTGCGCTTCCAGAAAAGTGTGCTTGAATTAGGTTGGAAATGATGATCTGTTGTTGTTTCTTTTGCGGCCCATGTGCTTTAAATGAGGAGGAGGGCGAGTTGTGCACTCTCCTACTGGTGGTTCCGCGTATGCTGAACCGTAGCAAAATTTTCCCATACCGTTGCGCTTGTTTTCCAGGTATCCGCCAACATACCTTTTATTTTGTATAAGAGGTCGCTGATGATTTAAATTTATTCGCTCCTCCGAGGCGGCAGCCAGAAAATAGAAATACTCAAAATCGCCGTCCTCCAAGAACTATTGAGACGAAAATAAATTCCGTTCCTTTGGCGCGGGGGTAACAAAAGGAGCAACAACGTGAGCACAAAGAAGAATCTTGTGGTCTTGCGCAATCTTCAGAAGATACGAAAAAGTGTGCTAGTACTTGTCGCCGTTGTTGGAGAAGGTGTAGGATCCGGTACCATCCCGCCTACCGGCCAAGAAGGTTCCATCGTAGATATCACCGTTCAAATACCTTGTGTCGGTTCCAGAAACTTGAATGCAAACACGACACCCATATGAAAGGTAAAAAATATGATTGAGGAGAAGGCAACTGATGAACTTGTATCAATTATCAGAAATCGAAGCCTGTACGTGGCCACTGCCGCACCGTCAAAATGCTTCGAAGTGTCCCTCACATCTCCATCCTCCTTTACACGGAGCTGATACTTGGGCTCCGTGTCTTCATCCGCCATTTTGTTTCTGTACTAGAAAAAACGAAAACTACCCCAGGGCTAGGGCGTAAAAGTCAGCGTCTGGTTGTAAAAATTGATGAAAGTCCGGGCAGTAAACACAGAAGAGTTGCCTCTATCTTTTCTAGTTTTTCCGAAGGTTCTCTCGAAGACAAGTCGGGAACTACGATCAACCGAGAAAAGGAGACTACTTTTGCGTAAACAATCGCGCAAACGACGTCGCCAATTTCTGGTCGGTTCCACGACTAGTGCCGATCTCGCACGATCAGATCACGAAGAAGACACGAGATGAAAACTCTTTTTCCTCTGGTCGCACTATAGTTTTACGCGTGGTGAATGATGATGATGTTGATGTTGAGCATGTGCCCACCTGTGGGGTCTATACCATACCCATAGGTAAATCGAGGTTGATTCCATTCACTCGATTTTTTTGTCGGATTCTTTGCTACTGTAGCTTGCACAGAACCGCCATATTAAAACTTTCCTATCGAATTTGCACTCTGTCCCTATACAATCAAAATATCCCCGCTCCCCCTCTTTCGCAAAATGAAGTAAATCAATGTGCGCTCATTCTGTGCACTCAAAAGCGTTTCTTCCAGGTCGAGACGCCAACTTTCGCCGCGACTAAGTGCTCAACATACGAAACCCTGATCGAACAAAACGATCCGAAACAGTCAGGAGTTGATGGTGCACGTTGATGTTGTGAGAACTTTGCAATTACTATGTATACTCTTGTAGCAAGCTAGAAAGAGGTCACCGTCACGAAGGCAGACTCAGATCATACTCATACTCGCAAAGAAGCTTACCAAATACCACGGAAGGGCTAAATGAGCCGTCTGACAGGCTCTGGCATGTATACATAGTAGTTTCCAAAAAAATAGTCACCGGGTCGCAAGCTATTTTTAACTCAAAGGATACGAGATTGCCGAGCGAATTCCATCCAGACTATGCAAAAACTGAGCCTTCCGAACCACGATTTATTGACGGCACGCCAGCAAAAAAAAATACGTGAAACTTTCACTGTGCAATTACATAGATGCGCGGCTGGTAGAAGTCGCCCTCTTCTTCGCATGCAGAGTCGTGATCGTATCGGTCATGTAGTAGGATTCCGAAGGCAATTGAGCAGTGCGATGGCGGTCAATGGATCACCTCACTCGCGGACCGGGTCGGACGCGCCTCTGGAAACTGAGCGGCCGACTGTATGCTCTGATCCGCCCACATGCGCAGAGCCTGCGTTTGTTGATTTACAAATTGTTTACCATAGCGCTTCGAAGCAACCAGGTTAGTTAGAAGCATCCCGGCGGGGAGTAAGAATAAACCCTCACTTTCTCTCTTTCATCCCTACCCTTACCAGAAGACGCACAAACAATCGCCGAAAGCACGACGGAAAAGCTTTTTTCTACCCATCAGAATGAGACCGTTGAAGCAGGAAACCAATATCTGGTATAATACGTATGTGCTTTTTCATCACCGACTGCTGTTGCCCCACTTGTTGTCCCGAAGTCTGTGACCCCGGGCGACTGCTAGGTTGCTGCTGCGTGCTGCCCGGGACGGTAGTCATAGCTGCCGTCGTGCTGGCGACGACGCCTGGTCTGCCAAGTGTAGGCCGTGGTGCGGGCCGCTGCGACCCGTACGCGGCGGCGGCTCCTACGTGATGGTTCTTCCAGTTGGTAGCTGCGCGTGCCGCCGCGCCTCCCCCTCCTCCTCGCCCGGCCTGATCCGCCGCGAGCAGTTGGCGATACTGCAGCAACATGTCTACAAGTTTCTCCGAAAGCGGAACCTCAAGGGTGACCCCAACATTCAGTGTCGCAGCTGCACCCTGCTCGTGTTGGCAGCTCACAGGTGCGTCCCCGCCACGGCTTGTCCTGGTCCCCGCTTCGCATTGTTCCGTCATGTTCATCGCGATAGAGTTCTTTGCGTCCTCCGAAGTTGATCTGCTGGGGCCGTCTTGTTCCTTATCTCCTGCGGCACCGCCATTCTTGGCAGAGGTTGTAGCCGATGCACTCGCTTCAGTTTTATTGGGCCCTACCCCCGCGGACGCGGGAGACTCGTCATTGTGTGGGGGGCCGCGGTCGGTGCTGGTGCTGGCACAACCGGTGGTGTGAATATCGATGCAGCTGCGAACATCCCGCAGCTTCAAGGGAATAGAGAAAGGTACACCCATTAACGCTGCTGGGGAAGTCGCTCGAGGAGGGCGACTAGAGGTAGACTGGTGCATCTTTCAAAAAAATAAGCACAGAAGTTCTTGACAGGATTCAAGCTTTCGATGGCGTCTCCTGCATGACTTACAACACTGGATGGTGGTGTTCTCGAGTCACTGACTCTGCGGGTGTCCGTATAAATGATTTTAAACCTCTTATATATACAATATTGATTCCTCGAGTGGATGAAAACTGCTTGCTTAATACTCCAGCACTTCGATATTGTGTACCAGTATGCTGCTCTCAGTTGCTTACCTATCGATCCTCTCGCGAAAATGGCCGGGGGCACTACGCGGATGCTCTTGTACTTACTCTACTTATCACACAACCGCAGGCAAAGAAGAACGCGTCCTGTTGTTTCCCAGATGGCAACTTTTTTGAAAGGGCGCATCCACTTCAAAACCGCCAATCGCACCAACTATAGTCTTGTCTGTATAAAATCGCATTAGTCCTACGCTCACATTCATGTCCACGTGCAATCGCAACCGCAAGGCCTTTGTTGCGTTGCAAATTATTCCACACGAAATAGAAGGCACTGCGAGCTTACTCTGGTTGGTGTTGGTCGGTGCATTCTTACAAAAAATATGAGAATCAAGGAGACATCTGGATGGAAAAAATCAACACATTTAAGAGGCGTACGTGCTAGCGCACGAGGTCGCCTTGTTACTAGCTGTCTGTGAAAAACGGGTGACAGAGAGCCCGTTTTGCCGTTAGACGCCTCGCCTATCCCGAGTAAAACCGTCCGCACCCCAAACGTGTCATACAAATCTGCAAGCCTCAAATGTTTCTCATGCACAGGGTAAAATAAATGAGTAGCATTTTCTAACGCCGTCAGGCAGTTTCTTCTTGGCGCGCGAGAATAAGTATATCGGTCTGCGCTGCAGCTGCACTAGTTCCACATGATTACACTGCGAGCCCAAACCTGACTTCATGCGCGACAGCCGAAACTCGTTGGCTTGTGAGGAAGCGTTCGCATCTGGACTCTGGGGCGGGGACGTTTTTACAGAGGATATCGCTGGATCGTATTTCATCAGGTGCTCGAGGAGGTCACAGCAGGATAGCCCGACCTGGGGAAAATCAAGTTGTCCTATGCTTCTTGGCATGCACCAGTGTATCGGTTAGGCAATGACCGACTGCCGACAAAAATTTTTAACAAGTACGTATACATCTTCGTAGGCAGCAAAGCCACAGCGGTCTTTTTACCTTTCCTGCGAACGAACGAGCAGGAGAAGCTGAATCTGAAACAATCATTAAAACGCACCCATCGAGTGAAACCGGTGAGCCGGCGAAGTAAAAAAATGTATCGATGCTCAGCAGAACAAAAATACGCAAAACTCTGATGTTGAAGTACCTTCGACCCAAGCTCCCGAATATCAGGCCAGAGCTTTTTTCGCCACCTCGGGAACGTGTCTTGCTTGAAATCCTTCAGGTGCTCGAGTCCCGGCCATTCTTGAAAACTTGGCGTGCCCAGCTTCTGAAAAATCTTGAATATCGTATCGATCTCGCAATCCCCTGTAAAGTAGAGTGTGTGATGTGCCGTCAAGTGCGTACAAGAGATCGATACTCTTTTTGCAGGCTATAAATTTGCACAGCTGATTACTTTAAACATAATGAGACGTCCAGGAGGGCAATTCGAATCTGTTCGATCGAATGTGTAGAGTGCCTATAAAAATATCCCTCCGCGAGTATTCGACCCAAGCGTAAGCTCAAGCTGCCAATGCTGCCACATCATTAGGTACATCAAAATCAGAACAGTACAGAAATACAAAATCAAAAAGACACTTATAAAAGTCAATACCCATAAATAGAGCGGCACCGCAGCCCATTTCGCCAAGACGCTTATGCAACGGCAAAAACGCAACATCTCAGTTTCAATGCAGTTTATTTCTGAACGTACTTTGTTCTTTTTACAACTACTTTCATTGCATTTATTTCGGAGAAGAGAGCGGAATCCGGATCGTGTAATTGAGGCATGCTGTTCAAAAATCGATGGTTGGTGTGCAGCCACTTCATCTTCGACACAAATGCACGCGTTGCGAGACAACCCAGTGACTACGTCGTGATTGCGCTGTTGTTCGTTCCTCGGCGTAAATGCATCCAGTACTCCAAATATCGACTGGGAGCGCATACTCTTGCTGTCCAAGCAAGATCTCTGGCGCTCGATACCTGGATATGCAGCGAAAAAGCAGTGCAAATGCAGGCGACGACGCCACAGAGCATGACTACGTGGCACGCGTTTTTCTGTGTTTTGCCGCTTGCATTTCAAAGTAAGCTTCGAGACCAAGAAAAAAAGAACAAGCGATCGAATCAGAGCCAAACGAAACTTGATATTGTTTGTATGTAGCTGCGAACATAATAAAAATCTTCTCTACCAGACGGTGACCACCTCGTGGGTGTATTTCGGTATTGGCAGCGTGAAAGCCCGCGCGAGACCGAAATCAGCGATTTTGAGTATTGGTGGGTTATCCACTGTGACGAGCAGATTCTGTGGCTTCAAATCACGATGGAGGATCCGATGGTTGTGGCAAAAGTCCAGGCCCGACAGGAGCTGGTATCCAAAATCCCGTACCTGACGCGAACTCAACGCTCCCCCGTTTTTCTTCATGAACTTCTTCAGGTCGGACTCCACAAACTCAAATACCAGCATCACCTGCAAGGTCGTGTGTGTCGCGTGATTTAGAAGGTTTTTTTAGCTTTAGCGTTATCTGCTTTCATGACCTACTTCAGCAGTGTACAAACAGATGTTCTAGGTGACTCTACCACTGGCTAGTATACCTAGCCTGACAGATTTCGTGGGACGGAAGATCGCTTTTGCGCGCGCCTTGATCATTCTGGAGCGTCAAGTCCCTAAGTAGTAGAGCGGCCATGAAAAAGAAGGGTTGTATCTTTTAAATAAATACTCTTTTTACCTTCTTTTGCGTGCAGAAAACGTCGCGGAGGTGCACAACATTTTTGTGCGGAAGCTCCTTTAGTATACTGATCTCACGGATGGCTGTCGACGGTATGCCTTCCTCTTCGTCGTGGAGCTTCATCTTTTTCATCGCGAGGATTTCGTTCGTGACATTGTCTTTGACTTTGTACACCTCGCCATAGGTTCCTTCTCCCAGCAGCTTGACTTCCACTTTCTCGTACCTCGCACTCAGCATCCTGAGAAAAAACGTCCTCGTCCCACAGTTGTACTATACCTACCTAGAAGCGCTACACAAGAAACCCGCAAGCTCCAGGAGACAAATTTGAGCCCGCAGCTTTGCTATCGCGGTCGGCGAAGGCTACCAAGGCACATAGATTGGAGCATGAAAACTTCTGAAACACAAGTAGGAACTGCCTCCCCCTTTCATGGAGTTGGAGAAGGAGATTGATCAGCCGCATGAGAAAGATTCCGCGTGAAATGATTAGGATTAGCATGCAAATTTGCGTGACAAATCTGGGGTGTAGCTTTTGCTATTCATTGAAGATGTAGAACAACAAATCATAGCACAGACAAAAGGATGTAAGGACGGGGACGTTTTTACCCAGGATACTGGGGCTTGCATCCCCACCAGCTCCCGCGCCGCTGCTGGCGCTGCTCGTCTCCATTCACGGGCTCCTTCGGGGCCACCGCGACGGGAACGCAGGTTTGTTCCTGCAGCAGACAACTGCAAGGATTTTTACTAGTTTCCTCCGCCAATTATATCAGCCGGCCACAGGAGTAGGAGATGACGCTTCGCGCAAGTACCAACTTCCACTAGTAGGAGGGGAATCGAATTCGAATGTCGACGCAGGAATTACATCATTCCGTGGTACTAGGAATTGTACGTGCGTGGAGACAGCAACACGTACACGTCTGCTACTGACCTTCGAGATAGGGGCGAATTCGTCTCGAGGAACAGGACCTCCTCACCGAACGAGATCGAAACAATGAGCAGTGTATATCTACTTCCGCTGCCGGTGGTTATCTTGGTTTCTTCATCTCGTGTGGTTACCACAGGTGGGAGGTGAAGAACAATATCAAAAAAGTATAGTCAGCAGGTTGTAGCTTTGCTCTGTCGGAGCAACACAAGAAGACTTCGACGAGTCAAACGCAGTCTCCCTAGCAATGTTTCGGAGTCGCTATTATGGCTCCCCGAGGCGGGCTGAGCAAGAAGTTTGATAAATTCGAATGGAGCGGCCAATGAAGAGCGTCTCCCGTAGACGTAGTTCCGGCTATCAGCGGCTGCCTCTGCAATCACAACTAGAAGCTGCACCTTTGCTCACTATTTCTCCGCGGAAGTGCGTGTTGCGTACCGTCGATCTCCGTGGGTCTCTTAATTTTAAGTGAGATGGAGATTCTTGTTATCGTTGGTAGGATCTAGCTGGTCTTCGTGCGTGTCTTACAATGATCCGTGCGCGGGAGCCAGAGAGTCGTCGTCTGTGCTGCCGATCTACCCGGCGCGTCAAGATGCCGGTCTTGCTCTTGCACTTGCTCTCCGTCACCGTCTCCCACACACTGCATGTGCATTATAGTCGTCCGGTCTAATTTCTGTCCGAGGTTCAGCAGCGAAAGAACATCGATCGTTTCGGTGCTGGATCTGGAATCATAAAGAACGTGGTACTATCATCCAATATACGACCTTCCTTCCCGTGTCTGCAGAAACAGAGGTGCTTGCAAAGAAACATGTAGACAGCCACAGATGATATGAACGCCTTTAATAAATATGATGTTTTTTTTCCTGTGCAACTACTAGTAAGGCGGGGGCAGGGCGTCTTTGGATGCAAATGTTGAACTACAACTACTCAGATTGGGGGAAGCGATGGAAGCAATAATTAAACTTACAAGTACAATTTGACTATTGTTCAGATACTTAATCCTACTTCTTGCTGGTGGAAAGCAACGAGAATAAGACGCACAAAAGTGTTTCATCTCACTGAAACCAGACAACTACTCTTTCTCCTAGCGTGCAGGCCACCAGCACATGACAGGAGTAACTGGACGAAGTTAAAAACTAAACATTTTTTCCGTGGTCAGCAGCTTCTTTTTTCATCTCGTTCTCCTCTTCTCATCGGCAGAAGGCCTCACACAAAGCAGCGTTCGGACTTTTTTGTTTTTCGGCGCAATACTGCAAGTGCGACATATGCACAACATACCAACACAGGAGAATAACGACACTGCTAAAACTCACATTCTGACGGATGCAACCCGCAACAGGAAGACTCTGAGTGACACTAATCCCAACGCTGACCACTTTATCTCACATCGCCGAGTGCGAGTCTTCCTACAACTCACTACACATTTATGTAAACTCGTCGACGAGGAATCGCGAGGAGACTTCAACCCTATCAAGAAGTTGAGGAGGTTCCAATCAACGTATTGTTTGCCAACAAGATGAGAAGTTTGTGATTGCGACCACTTGATGCCATCTCTTCCTGTTCCATACAAAATAATGTAGCATCGATAAGCGGTTTTGGTTTACGAACACCATAATTTCAAGACCCGGGCCGGGGCCATGGCGCTCGGCAGCACACGCCGGAGCCATACATCCTTTACCAACCAAATGTGGCCTGAAGGCGAAAACCATTGACATCGAAGAAGAAGGCGAAAACCATTGACATCGAAGAAGTCAAGTACATGTATTTACCGACTTTACAACTACGAATGATCACAGAGAATTCCATTGTCATCAAGTGTGGAGCGATTGCAGTGCTCTCCCTTCTGCACCAATTCATCCACAAATCCGTTTCGATCTCGGTCCCGCACCACAGCTGTAGTACGAAGAATATAAATCTCTGAAAGTAATATTAATCTATATTCAGATTTACCGACGGACCTACATAAATTACAGAAAAACCGTAAGCAATTACTTACAAAACGGATCGGGGCTTCGGACATCCATCGGAAGCGTGTGGGTGTGGTCAGCACAAAAGTAATACTGAAATGCGAAAGGACAAAGCCTTCCTCCAGCAAGACATCTAGCATCTCGGCGGATCATTCTTTTGTGACACTGGCTTCCGTGCCTGTAGTCTAGTAGACTTTTTTCTCTAGATGAAAACGTGAGGAAGGCATCAATTCGTCAGATTTAAACAAATGAAATAAATGCTCTGCTAAAATCGGTCTAACTAACCTCATCCCGCGCCTCTTAAATAGCGCTGTATCTTTTATTCTCGGGCTTGACAAGGTTCTTGGCGGAAACGAAACAGGAGCACTCTACTAAGAATAGACTGTATTCTCTGGTACTAGGGCAAGTAGAAGCAGTGTGCACCTATTCATCTTGGAGGGTTAAGAGACTGCATTTTCCGATGGGCTCAGCAACCATGTTCGTGTTCGTGTAGTGTAAAGTATACTTTGCTTTAGTTGTTGTTTTATGCGATGCTTACGGAGCCTTGGCTTTGGAATCGTGGTTGCACAGCGAAGCCTTTTTTCTAGCACCTCGGCAGAACGCAGGAGCGTGCGCACGAAGATGCAGACCGGTTTCTTTTTTCTCGATGCTGCCGGTGATCTCAGGAATGAAATCCCAAAAATCAAGGGTGTAAGTACTCGCAATCAAGAGCTGCACATTCCTGCCAGCCCATCATAATCTTCCGGCTCCGTAGTTATTGTGTCTCTTACAGCGACGTCGGAAAAGCAGGCAAAATCTCTTTGATGTTTCGACAATCAGAAGAGTCAGTTCGAATTTTTCTAGTTCCTGCTTGGGCAGCCCAGTGCGAGCCGTGGCGTAGGTGGCCTTGCTGTAAACCATGCAACGCTTCTAGGATTCTTCGAATAAGCAAGAGCAGTGCTGCCGCACCACCACCAGCTTCTGACGTTACAATAAATTTCTGTGTCAGTGGTTGTTGGCTGTTGCATGTCGCATTATTTTCTACAAGTCGCAAACACTTACGAAAATACAAAAACCGTCCTAATAAAAAATCGTGCTTTTTGTGGTGAGTTTTCGCTGTCGATTAATGCTGTACTGTTCGCAAGATGTTGAAACAAGATCAAGAACCAGAGCACGATTTACCTCTTTAAAATTACTTGTTTCGCGGACTTCGATGAAACGTGGTGGTTGCTGTTTATTCTCCAACTTAATTTCCAGCCCAAGAAACTAGTTGTGAAAACGTCTGGCTCATTTATATGTATTCTTGCAAACCACTGCTAGGTACTACCAGGCTCTATTCTCCGGCCAAAACGAAAAGCTACAAGCTCTTAACTTACAGCAGAAAAAGAACTGGTACAAAACTTCTTCAGGGTCAAAATCTGTGTGCTTTACGAAGCGCTACGTTCTACGACGCGATTTCGAAATCGGACGCATGTTGCAGAGCAGAGATCTAGTATTTGGAAGCAGAGGCAAAAAAAATTTGGGAAAGTGCAACACCGACAGCTGCAGAGATGAGACGCACCTACGCTAGTACAACAGCAAAAGGCATCTACATCTAAATCGCAACAAAAATATCATCGAATCTATCGGCTTTATTACTTTTCTCATTGGATTTATGGTGTTCTTTAGATGTATTCCTGCGGCCCGACTTTGCACCACACGCACGCAGTCTTGGTATAGTAGATAGGTCTAGAACTCGGAGATGATGGGAATTACTATAAATAGGTGTTTTTGGCGTACCCAGGTACGCTGTAGGCTTCGTTAGATCTTACACGCTCATCTTCTGATATTGATGATTATAATCTGTTCGACTCTAAGTCTTAGATTGTCCCGCGATCTTCTGATATTAATGTGGAGGAAAGCCGAGACGTCAGGTGGTTCTCCTCGTCTCTATGTATTTGCTAGTGTTTTTAACGTATCCAACGTGGAGGCACCATAGGGATGACCACAGCAACATGAAGTGCGTCTTGTGTGTGTCTCTGTGTGTGAAGAATGCCGCTCCAATCGAGTGCTCAGTGGTAGCAAGGGGATACTGGCGACGTCTTGTGGTTCAGCGATTCCATCAAAAATGACGTCGATGCAGCTGGGGGTGCGCTGAAGGAAGACAGATTATCCCAGCAAAGCTCTCAGACCCAGTCAAAAGTTTAGATAAAGATACAGGACGCAGAAGATGAAGACATATACTACATGTGCGTAGTCTTTTTGTTTTTTCACGTGTTCTTGCGCCGCGGCGTCCTTCGTCGGCTTTACTCGCTTTTAATAAAATACTTATTGTGGTCTGACGTCACAAAAAACAGCTTTGACTGGACTGAAAGCTTTGCAGAGAGCATACAGTTGCGATGTGTTGGTGTGATCGTACGCATGATGCTGTGGCTGTTGAACAAGATGATGGCTCTGCTGCTGATGATGCGCCTGCAGTGTGGACGACGGCATCTGATCCACGGCCACGAAAGCCGGTGGAGCACCAGCGCCAGGCATCAACGTGTTCCCTGTACCAGTAGTGTTACCGGCCGAAGATGTGATAGCCCGTGCCGCGGTCGCACCAGTATACTGGTGGTATGCGTGCTCCGCTTGAGATCCGAGTACCGCGGATGTGCCGGTGGTACCACAATTACCGTGCATATCCGCGGGGGCGTAAGCCGCGGACGTTGATGTATTTGCGTAAGAACCGCCTCCAGCGCTCATCGTGCCTGCGTGAGGACCACAAACACCTGCTCCCGTCGCTCCGTTTAGAGCACATAGACCTGCACCCGTTACTCCGCTGTTCTGGAGGTAGTTCACTTGCTGATGTTGATTCTGCTGCGCCACCGAAGATTTGCTCCTTATGGTGCAACAAACAGAAGTCTTGCTGTGTTGCGAGCAATTCTTGTTCTATCAATACCTCATATAAATCGCGCAACTGCACTGCACCACGAGAGCCGGACGTCTGTTTTACTATTACTTTTCCGACCGCGTAAGTTGATTAAAGTGCAGCGCAGAAACACAGTCCCAATGTTCATACAGAAGCACCAGCACAGGAGCTTGGGAACTAAATACTTAAAATCAGAAAATGCAGTGGTGAGGCAGAAATGTTGCGAGCCGTCATCTTTACAATATGTAGATACACTACGTCGGTGCAAATTTCGCTTCGACTTGCAGGTAAAAGGATTTTGATAGGATAGTGGGAGCGGTGCAGCTACTGCCCAGGTGGTGCTGTCCTGCCTGCTGGGCTGTGGCGTGATGTTGCGGGCCGGCGGTTGCCTGCGTGGACCCGCCCATCCCCTGGAATACCCCCTCCGCGGAAAAATGCTGGAGCCGCTCTCGCGCCCGGCTGTCACGCTTGCGATCGATGGCCTTTAGTAGTGTCTGGTAAGTTTTTGCGCTCAACAAACACGCCCGAAAGTGCTTCTTGGCTGCTGCCAGCTCCACGAATTCCAGCGCCATAGTCAACTTATTTTGATGCGCGGCCGCCACCGCGAGCGCGGAGTAATGGTAACCCTCAGGACGAAACCCCTCCTGGTCCATCTGCTGCAAAACACTCTTTCCGCGAACCAAGTCCCCATGGTTGGCAAGCGCATGCACAAAGGCAGAGTACACCACACGCAACAAGTATACCCGAGAAATTATATGCCCCTGCCACAGTCGCGCGCTGCATCCCCGCAGGTAAAGAATCCATTAAAACTCGTACGACCAAAATGTATCTGCAAAAGCAGCTGCGTCGCTATATTTTATTCTTGATAAGATTCAAATATTGAATTGCTTCCATCGAACTCCTGCGAACGGAGTTTTTCAACCTGCTTGTTCCCTCCACATTTCACGACTTATTTCACCCTTTCTAATAAATATCCCTGGGAAAAACGACGTGAGGAGTCCTTTATGCAAGTGCGAAATACGACCTAGGCAGAGAACAACAATAACTTCATGTACGCTGCATGTTTGCCTCAACCGGCAGCAAAAAACAGTCTCCGCGGGCGGAACTCTTGTTGTACGCAGCGGCTCATTCCGGGGCGCGAACGATTCGTGCCGCGTTCTACAAAGCAGGGGCATTTTAACTTGTGGGTGATAGCGGGTCCTTATCGTTCTGGCTGCTGGTTTTGGCGCAGTTCTTCGTGTAATAGTCCCCGTACTCGTCGTATGTGCTGTGCTGGTGGTGGTACTTGCCATGGTACCCGTGCCGGCCGCCTTTGCCCTGATTCTGCTTCAGCTGCTCGAGCACGCCGTAGGCCTTATGGATGTCGATGGGGACGTAGAGCTTTACCAGGATGCTCCACGTTATCGCATTCGGGTACACTCGCTTCTCCGTCATCTCCGCCAGGAGACGCTCCGCAATCTCCACCTTGCCCTCCTTCGCACATCCATCGCTATGAGAGCGCACAGCTCCGCCTCCCCCTTACTTCAACTACTGGGAGATGAAGGGGGGCATCATGATATTTATTAGAGGAGCAGCAGCGAGAAAAAGAATTGGCGCTATCAACAAAAAATTCGAACGGTGCTGACAGACAAAGACTCCTGACAGTGACAGTACAGTTGGTATAAAATTATAGGATGCATCACGGAAGGGAAGCAGGTGCACTTGTGCGCTCTACACTTTCATAGTCCAGCAGGGAGTTGTAAGTGACCGGGTCTATGCATTGCAAATATATCTGGGTCTGGAAGGTTGCGCGCGTTCTTGGTCATGCAGCGTTTGGATGGCGCGGAAGCGGATAGCCTGGAATGCACGAAAGACCATTCGAACTTGTGCTCGTCAGCGTCAGGCCCCTTGATCCCTGTCCCGTGTGAGAAATTGAAATTCGCTATGTATGATTTGCGTAGGAATGGACAACTTTTGCCACTCATGCGTCGTGCCGAGCGAGTTTCTACTATTTGGAAAAGTAGTTGCATGTCCTGTCTCTGTGATTCAGAGTTTGCATGAACAAATACAACAAGTTCGCACCCTTCCAAACCTGGACACATTTATTGCAGTGAGTAGGGTCCGCGGCAAAGCCATTCTGTTCCATCATCTGGAACGTTTCAAGGGCCTTGTCCAGCGCGCCCCCCTGGGCGTACCCCTTGGCAATAATGGAGTAAGTGCAGCCATTGGGACTCAGCTCGTAGGCCTTGATCATCTGCAGGATCTCCTGGAAGTGGTGGTGGCCACCGGTCCGCGCCACCGAGTCGATCACGGAGTTGAAGGTGAGAATCCCCGGGGGTAGGTTGAGCTCCTGGATCTGGTACAGGGCCTGCATGGCCTTCTCCGGCTTGTTCAAGCGCCCGTACATCTTGATCTTCAGGCTCATGCTGATGATCGAGTGCGGAATGTTCATGGCCTCCATCTCCTCGAAAAGTTCCTCTGCTTTGCGGTCTTCCGACATCTTCAAACACAGGTCAATCAGAGCGCCGAAAAGCACCGCGTTCAGTGGCAAATTGTCCAGCTCGATTCGCTGCTTCACCTGGAGAGTCAAAATAAGCAAAGCCTTGTTTATTAGCAGCCTTCTTCGTTACGATTACGGTTTATTACATACGATAGTACACTACGTATTTTGATTCTCGACGCTCGAAATCATGATGATGATCATCATATCGGAGAATAAACACGTGCCGGATGGAATATCAAAATTTCGTCACATCACCTCTAGCACCGTTAGGCTCTTTCCGTTCACGTTGACGTTGTGAAGAGCTCTTATATTTTCTCCCTCTACATAATCCGAATTTCCGTATGCCGTGGCCGAGCGTGAGCGAATGATCACAGTATCTATTAATAAAGACAATTTATTTGAAGAAGAGCTCTACCCGGAAAGCAGACTCAAGATCGCGCTGCTGGGAATAGCATTTGATGAGGAGGCCATATTCGAACTGCGAGAACTTCAGCAGGTCTCGGCTAAGCTCGAAAATTTGTTCCGCCAGGTCAGGGCGTATCCCAGAGACAAAAGCTGAACCTAGTACATCATCTCAATTCTTCCGTGCATCAAGATGAGTCTGTCATTGGCTGACAACATCACATCGTGTAAAAGAAGTTTTCTGGTGCGTATACATGAATATTCATTTTCGCATATAGTTACGCTAGCTTTTTTCCCTGGGATAGGGCGCCCGCAATGCGCACAAGCGTCGAGCAAAGCGCGGACGAGTACTCCGTCGATGCGGCTCCCATTCTGCTATCCTGTGTAAAAACGTCCCCACCCCAGAGTTGTTATGCTAAAGGAATTGCAGCACACTTTGCCCCCCCCTCTGCCCCAGGCCGCAGATGGCTTGACACGCAGGGGGGGTAGGTCAGGCGGACACCAAAGTGCCATCGCCATCATCTCCCGGCCGCTAACCCCAGAGTTGTTATGCAAATTTGCAATGACAGGAGCGCTTGTAATGCGCTTCCCCATGACAGGCATTTCTAATCGAGTTTTGGCATTTGTAATGCTGCAAACAGGATAAGCAGATGGATTTCAGATGCGGATGTCCTTGCTAACATGCACTACACTGCGGACTGCAACTTGTCACGCGTGGCTCCCAAAACTTCTGGATTTGTGTTGCTAAGTTCCCAACTTGACTATGGGGTGGGGACGTTTTTACATATGATATCTGCTGTAGCTTCCACACGTCGTTGAACGCCCGCTCCAGTACCTCTTGCTTGACGCTTATCAAATGTAAAAATGTCTGGGTCTGGAAACTTGTGATGCTGGGTGGCGTCTCATGATGAGGCTACAAATGCTGGCTCAGCATGACAAGTTTCTGAGCTCCTAGGTGTTGCCTATTCTGCATGACAAACTGCGCTTCTGCATCACAGAAAAACGGAGCTCTTGGGTAACGTGCATGACAGATTTAAGAGTCATGCCAGACAAGCATGACAGACATGAATTCTTCCAGACCCAGACATTTTTGCATTTGATAACGCTGAAGTGTCCGCCATTGTTATAGCTGCGGTTGTGCTGCCCGTATCCGCCGCCTGCCCCCGCGTACGAATTGTGATTGTTCCATTTATTGTTGTGCTGGCCCTTCCCCCCTCCACCTCCATTATTTGCGTACCAGCCGCTCGCTCCCGCGGAAGAGGAAGATTGCCATTGCGAGGACTGTCCCCAGTTTGAAGAAGCCCCTCCGGAAGATGATGAGGCTGGAGTGTTGTATTGCTCCCACTGGTTCGTGTTGGCGTTCCAGACCTGCTGATTCTGGTGTTGAACAACACTGGAAGCATTGTTCGTCCCGGCAGTGCCGGGGTTGGTGCCGAACACCGAGGGTCCATAGTCTTTCATCTGCTTGATGGCCGAGATCAGGCTCGTGTAGGTCGCACAGTCGGGGTGTACGTTGAGAGACTGCATCTCGGAGACCAGCTGCCACGCTCGAGCGAACTGGTTCAGCTGCACGCAGGTGTGCACCAGCGTGTTGTAGGTGACCACGTTGGGCTGCACTGCGTTGCGTCGCATTTCGTCCAGAATGTTGAAGGCGCTGTCCGAGTCCCGCTCCATCGCGTATCAAACAAAAAAGTGCCTTAACGTTTTGAACAGTTTTCAAAGATTGCAGTCATCGAGGAGATCATGGTGTCAAATTTTGCCTAAACATGATGCAAGATGTTGCTATGCAATACAAATTTTCTTTTTCGCGCTCTGTTTTCTAGTCGTGCATCACTACATGCCAACTCCCGTTAAAACGCTTTTTTGGTTGATATCGCGTAGGCACGAATCACCGTGTTGTAGGTCACGCAGTCGGGCTCCAAACCGTCGTCCCGCATTTGGGTGTACAGGGAAATCGCCTTCCGCGGACGGAAATTCACGATGCAGGCATCTTATCCTGTGCGAAAACGTGGTGCCCACCCCGTAGCCAGCCTGGCATTGCTGGTAACTTTGATTTATACAACTTAAGGAGTAGTTATGGGTATGGCTGTAGAAGTTGCGCATGACAAGCCTAGATACGGAGCATTGCGGTTGCAGTGAAGTTTAATTATTGCAGCTGCGTCAATACTCGCCTTTCTGATATTGCTTCGTAAAATCCCAATATACTGGGCATTTGAATTTACACGTTTTTACACAGGGTACGTCGATCAGAGAATTCATCATGAAGCTGTCACAGCTTTTCGCCTCCCGGTAGAGGAAAAAAACGCCAAAGGCAAAGTGGAGACACTGCAAGTGCCCCGCACTGCGGATCAGGATTGTGGACGACGCGGCAAGTGGAAGCTTCTCTTTGGTGTGTTTTGACTCCAACGGCCGCTTATGCATTGCAAAATCTTCATCGGATCTTTAGTATTAGGTTGCATTTTTACGATGACGAAAGTTCTCAGGAAAAAGCAACTGCAACTTGGAACCGCTCTTGAAAGTAGATGATGAGGTTGTAGCAAAGAAATCGATGGGAACAAGATAGATTCACCCATATAAAAATATGCCAGATCATTGCAACTAGATGGTAAGTGCGACGGCGATACTTTTGCACAGGCTACCGTTTGTCCATCAATAACTGCGAGGCCTCGAACCGGCGCCCCGCTTCGAACAGTTTGTTCACGAGCAAGCCGTGGATTTCCAGGTCTGCCAGGCCGTTATCATTCATGTCTTTCAGGATCGCAATTGCGTCGGGCCAGCGGGCGGCGTACGTCAAATTTCGCACCATTTGTGCGTAAATGGCGTGCGTCGCCTTGCCACGGACCCGGACCTTGTCAAAGAGCTCTAACGCCTGCAAAAATGGATGTAGTTTGAATACACATTTCTTGATAGTACGTAGTAGTGCGGGCTTTTTCGCAAAAAAAAACGGACAAAAATGGTTCTAAAAACCCGAGTGGGGACCCCTCTGCTCTGCCATCAACAAGGAGGCCAAACGATAATTTAGAATTCAGAATTATACCTTGTCGGTGTTCTTCGTTTTGAAATAGAGATCGAACATGAGGACGTAGACGGGGCAGCCGATTCCGCACTGCAGCTTTGTTTTTTCCAGCGGCTTTGCGGCCTCCAGTTCCATCTCACGGAAGAGCTCCTCTGCCGGAGACACTTCGCGCTTCGAAATGAACCCCTTCAGAAGATGGTAGTAGGCGTACTCGTCCATAGGTCTGTCTTCCCGTTTGGACTCGGTCATGAGCTCGCGCATACCGCCCAAATCCTGCTGTTCCGATGCCATCCGGACCTGTCGGAATGAAAATAAATTCATCGCCGGAGGATAATTTTCATCGCTTTTCCTCCAAATGGCAGAGGTGCACGGAGGGGAAGAATCAAATCTATCACTTGTGTCACATCAGATAAAACCTTTTTGTTGCTTGCATTTGATCATCAAAACAGTGAAATTGTGCACCCACCCGTAGGTTGAAAGTTTGCCGGGAGGTGAGGCTGCCCTTGGAGAGCTGAATAATCTCGTCCACTTTACCCCATTTTTTTTCGCTCGCGAAGGAGGACAACAGTAGATGATAAAACCGAGAGTTCACACAGTTAGTTGCACGAGCGCGATGCAAGGCCTCCTCAGCCAGCCCGAGCTCGCCGAGCTTCGCCCAATGCCCCAATATCGCGTAGTAGAGACGTTCGTTCACCGGTGGGTCTATGTGCCGCGCATTTGCATCCTCCACTAGAGAGTCGATCAACCCACACACCTCCTTCAGAATGTCCACGGACGCAAGCTCCGTTGCCGCTTGAATGGCGCAGCCACAACCCTTTGGAATCATTTACTTCCCTTAGAGGCTCTTACGTACTTCTGCAGCAAGCTTTACTTCTACTGCGCTTGTCATCAAAAATATTCATCACAGGAATCGTATGCGTAGTCAGAATGCATATGCAGTGAAAATAGTGATACATCCACATGAATCATCATCAGAACCTCCTGCTCTCGAACGGCCAACAAAACGTACTCACCTTGACATCCACGCTGCGGTGCGCAGCCGCAGCGTCTGCAGCTGGATTCTTACATGCTTGCCCCTGTGCGCCTTTTTTTGCACCATCCTCTTCGCTTCCAACGATGTCGCGCGCCACCTCAGCTTCTTTCAACCCTTCCTCCAGGTTCAAGGACGCAGTAGCATCCGCCGAGGGTCCTTGGTGCTCATCGGGGTCGGGAATGCAGGGAAACGAGGGCTCTGTGCGGTCTGGGCGTGGCTCTGAGAGAGCCGCTGTAACCAGCCTCTGGAATAGCAGCACCAGCAATTCATACTCGCGGTTGCGTCCCAGCATAAAGAAAACTACATTCACATCCGCCGCGGGCATCAAAATCTGCGTTGTTTACAAAGATGAAGGCGTGCATTCAAGGTATGTACGGCGGTACGGGACGGAGTGGATACAGTCTCGTCTTTCCGCCAAATCAATGAATGTAGATTTTCGTAGAGTTAGACTTACCCACCACGAGCGACAGATTTGCCGAATCGCATGACTGCCGAAACTGGGACCGGTAAGTCATTGCTTCCATATGTTGATAGATAAAGGCAGAGCATCAAAAATATTAGATTCGTACATTTCGCAACTGCAGCCAATCGTACAAGGAGGAAACGATTTCCCCATTCATCGCGGTGCCCATCTTGCGACAGCCGCGCACAAACAGATACATCCAGCCGGCCATAGCCTGGCGATTCTCTGTCTTCTCCTCCGGCGCCAAATTTTTGATGCGCTGCAGAGCCTCCTCACAATGCTGCGACTCGACCAGATCATGGACTTCCACGTACGTTTCACCTGTACTATTCTTGCCGAACTAACTTTTTTCCTTGCGCAAGTTTTTATGAAAAGGCAAAGTTGAAACTCCTAATCTGATCCGTGGCATCAGCATCATTTTCGGCAAAAGCAACACATACGTTGACAAATTGAGAGAAAGAACTACTTAATTCGGAAAAAGTTAAAAGCAAAATTTGGCGCCCTGTAAAGCAGATAGTGAAATTTGAAAGTGTATGCTAATACTAGACATTGACGGCGCGGAAGACTTGCTGTAGCCTAAGGTTTCCTCCGCGGTGGTACCAGACCCAAATGCATCTTCTTCGACATACTTGGCCGCGGCACGGGGGGTTGGAGTAGAAGGCCAATGCTGGCTGGAACGACGCGCTTTGCAGGTCCCGCGGACTGGCGAGCCGCTGTGGGGAGGGGTGATTTCTAGATGGTTCACGTTTGGGGGTGACTGCTGGTCGTGGGCGCCGAGCGTAGAACTAGTACAGTGCTGCGAGTCGGACGTCGTAACTCCCGAGCGCGTCGACGCGTCACTTTCCAGAGGCGACGCTTGATGCCGGTAGTGATGCTTTTCGGGATGCTTGTTCGTCTCCAGAGACGCTGTGATCCGATGTTTGGCGTTTGTTCTTGCTGCAAAGTCTTCCTTGCAGTCATTGCGCTAGTTCTTCATCGTAGTTTAGCAACGACCACACCAGGGAGGTTGGATTTGTTCGTTGATGCAGTTATCTCTCCAGCATGAAGCTACAAATTGTTCACAAAATTGTGCTCTTAGGAGCAGACACCCCACGTAATCGCAAAAAAAAAACCACTTTGCGTGAAGGCTACAAAAGTTTGACGCTGGTCGCAATATACCTGGGTGTGAGGGGGAAAAAAACGGGTTACTCCGGTTTTTGTCGAAATCGCGGGTTTTTTTGTCGATTAACCCGGTTTTTGTCGAAATTCGTGTCGAAGCCGCGAATTAACCGCGACTTCGGCCTGAATTTCGACGAAAACCCTCCTTCCCCATTTCGACAAAAAGCGAAATAACCCGGATTTCGACAAAAACCCTCCTTCCCCATTTCGACAAAAACCGAAATAACCTGGATTTCGACAAAAATCGGCTTTGTCGAAATCCTGGTTAAAGTTACTAAACCTCGGAATTTCGACAAAAACCGGAATGGCCTGGATTTCGACAAAAATCCTCCTTCCCCCAGTTCGACAAAAACCGAAATAACCTGGATTTCGACAAAAATCCTCCTTCCCCCAGTTCGACAAAAACCGAAATAGCCTGGATTTCAACAAAAATCGGTTTTGTCGAAATCCTGGTTAAAGTTACTAAACCTCGGACTTCGACAAAACCTGAGTTGTCCCGGCGAACCCAAAACCCGACCCGGTTCTGGGTGCTGCCGCGCCCTATCTGCTCCGCTGGACCAGCACCCCAAACGCTCCCGCGCGAACGTGCCCTCCTCGATTGTGTCGAAATTCCGGTTAAAGTTACTAAACCCCGGACTTCGACAAAGCCGAGGTTTAATAACCACTTCGACAAAACCGAGAATATACCGGCTTTCGACCACCCAAAACCCGACCCTGGTTTTGGGGCAACCCCCGCCCTATCTGCCATGGTGGGGCAGCGCCAAAATTGCCCGTCTCGGACATACCCAGACGCAGCCCCACCGCGCCCTCACTGGCGCGTGCGAACCCGGGGTCGGATTCCGCCGCCGTAACCTGCACCCCGGGGCCGGACCGGGAAGCGGGTAGGTTACGACGAAGAAGGCGAGGGCGCCGCAGTTACGCGTCCACGCGGATACGCGTCCACGCGGATACGCGTCCACGCGGATACGCGTCCACGCGGATACGCGTCCACGCGGATACGCGGATACGCGTCCACGCGGATACGCGTCCACGCGGCACCCAAAATCCGACCCGGGGTTCGCACGCAGACCCGTCCTATCTACCCCGGCGGCCCTACGCCGGAAAGAGCCGACGCTGAGGCACCTTGTCCAATTGCCTGGCCTTGCCCAGTTCCTCGCGCCTTTCCCTCGCCCACCCCCGCCCTATTTGCCCCGCTCGACCTGCGGCAAATCGGGCCTGCGCAGACAGCGAGCACAGCTGCATTGTCGGCGAAATCAGTTTTGTCAAAGTCGGCAGCCAAGGTTAGAAAACCTCGGATTTTCGACAAAATCGAAAATAACCCGGATTTCGACAAAAATCGATTTTGTCGAAATCCTGGTTAAAGTTACTAAACCTCGGACTTCGACAGAACCTGAGGTCTTCGACAAAACCGGAGCTGTCCCGGGGAACCCAAGTCCAGACCCGGGCTTGGGGCTCAATCCCGCCCTATCTGCCCCGCTGGACCTGCACCCAAAACGGACCCGCGCGAACGCCCCGACCTCGATTTTGTCGAAATCCGGGTTAAAGTTACTAAACCCCGGATTTCGACAAAAGCCTCGGACTTCGACAAAACCTGAGGTGGCCCGGCGAACCCAAATCCAGACCCGGGCTTGGGGCTCAATCCCGCCCTATCTGCCCCGCTGGACCTGCACCCAAAACGCTCCCGCGCGGACGTCCCGACCTCGATTTTGTCGAAATCCGGGTTAAAGTTACTAAGCCTCGGACTTCGACAAAAATTTCGACATAACCCGGACTTCGACAAAACCTGAGCTGTCCCGACGAACCCAAAGCCAGACCCGGGCCCGGGGCTCAATCCCGCCCTATCTGCCCCGCTGGACCTGCACCCAAAACGCTCCCGCGCGAACGTCCCGACCTCAATTGTGTCGAAATCTGGGTTAAAGTTACTAAACCCCGGATTTCGACAAAGCCGAGGTTTAGTAACCAGGATTTCGACAAAACCGAGAACATCCCGTCTTTGACCACCCAAAACCCGATCCGGGTGTTGCAGCCACCCGCGCCCTATCTGCCCCGGTGGGGCAGCACCAAAAGTGCCCGCTCCGGACATACCCAGACGCAGCCCCGCCGCACCCGCACTGGCGCGGTCCCTGATAAAGAGGCAAAGGGGAGGGCCGGGTGACCCGGTCGGATTCCGGGGAGCGCGAACTCCGTCGATCCGCACCTTTTATTTCGGAAAGAAACTACCGCAGCGGTCGATTCTCGCCCGAGGCAAACTTTCTTTGCGAAAAAAAGACGAAGGAAACCAAGGGAGCCCCAGCACAAGGGAACGGGGTCACTCGCCCAGGGACAGCGGCCGCCACCTTCCCGCAAACGGAATTTTGTCGAAATCCGGGTTATCCGCGATTTTGTCGAAATCCGGGTTGTTCTCGATTTTGTCGAAATCCGGGTTATTCTCGGTTTTGTCGAAATCCGTGTCGAAACCGGGAATAACCCGGATTTCGACAAAATCGACCAACCCGGCGAAACCGCGGACCCGACCACCGCGGATCCCGCCGACGCCGGCGGTTAAAGTTAGAAAACCCCGGACTTCGACAAAAATTTCGACAAAAAAATCGACGGACAGTGTCGCCCGTGGTTATTTAACCCGGATTTCGACAAAAATTTCGACAATAACCGCGGTTAATTCGCGGCTTCGACACGAATTTCGACAAAAACCGGGTTAATCGACAAAAAAACCCGCGATTTCGACAAAAACCGGATTAACCCGTTTTTTTCCCCCTCACACCCAGGTATACCCTTGGTCGCCTCTTGTTGTTCAAACACTATATCGCAAACTGTGCAGTAAAAACTTCACTTCCTTGCCTAACAACATGAAAAAAATCACTCATGATGAAAACGGTGGTACCTACTTAATTCTAAAAACAACTAAAACTTTACATTCTGACTTCGCCTGGGAATAATGCTGAGCCGTGGGCATTATCCACTGATCCCATCCAGCATTCTGCACTGGAGCCGGGGCGTACCTGTAGTGATAAACATTTTTCTTTTTTGACAAAAAATCTTTATTCATTATGCGTATACCGAGGATGCGATGTTGCAGTTGCGTCCCCATCAGAAACACACGAGGAGAAAAGCAGTACTTTTACAAATTTTTCGTTCTTGATGAAAAAGTTAAAGCGGTGGCGCTTTCTTTCTATATCATTCTTGCTCATCTCTAAATTCATTCAATACAATGGCGTGGACGGCGGCAGCGCGTGGTAAGGACTCGGCGGGTAGTACCACTGCGAAAAATCCGCGTACTGATGCATTTTATGAAATTCAAAACAATCAGCGAGCTCAATGGCAAGGGATGTCCATGAAAAGAGCACGGCTCGCACAAGTAAACTATCTCAAATTCTCTAAAGTTAAGTGTAAAATCGTCAGAGTGCAGGTGCACTATAAGTCAACCTGCCGCTGTAAATGCAAAAGAGTGAACACCACATAACACGATGTGCTGAGCATGACCATGGAGATGCACTATAAACACAGGTACACTTGTGTACGCAACAAGCACCGATGTCATTCCAATTTTGCAAGCAAACCGCGTTCGCAAAACGCACTACAGAGGACTGCACTGGGCTCATCTTCCGTTTGTTTCACTGTCGCATTCCGGGGACCACAAGCCTCCGGCGGTGGCATCCCCGCCCGGCACACCAGCCGTCGGCCCCGGTGTCGGGGATCCGTAGTACGCTGCCGCCATATTATAGTGCGCCACCGGAGAAAGCATCTGGTGTGCGGGTGAACAGTGAATTTGAGATATATCGGCCAGGTCCTGCTGCGAGATGGCCGCCGTGCTATGAACCACCCCCGCACTGTGCGGGTCCGCCACCACCGCGGACGACCGCGGCGCGACCACCGATTTCGAAGTGGTAGTGTCGTCGGCTCCCACCAGAGAGGACTGGTCGCCACCGCTTGGTCCTCGTTGTTCTTGGCACCGTTTCTGCTCCTCTTCTTCCCGATCGCGCACAAATTTTGGCGTGTTAGCGTGAAGCACCTCTGCAGGGGACTTCTCCAAAGTCATCAGCTCCTCGATCGAGGCCTCATTTTCGCTCAGCTCGACCTCCTCGTCTGCATCTTGCGCGGCTGTCGACGGCGATCCGGTATTTGTCGTCCCGCCTCCAGTATCCTGTGCAAAAGTATCGTACTCGTATTGCAATCATGCATTACAATTTTTTTTCTGAAGGCAAATCCGCATTACAGATTTTATTTCTCATGCTGAGGAAATTTGTAATGCATCTATACGAGTACGATACTTTTGCAATGCATATCCAGGTCGCGCAGTGGCGTCTTCGAGATCTAACATCTCCTTCGATGTTGATGAAGTTGAACAAGCCCCTGCTCGTTTGATATTTTCATCTACGCTCTTCGTGCTACCACCAGCGGTCGTGGACGAGGAATTAACAGCCCCGTAAATTTTTGTTGAACAACTACCATCAGCAAGATGCGTATCGCTACCTACATTGCCGTTGCCGCTTGCAGTCAGACTGGTCGACGAGCCGCCGTCAGCAGTCAAACTGGAATTATCGGTGCCGATCGCGCATGGCTTCTTCGTCACCCCCTGGTCTTCCTGCACGGCGTGTTCCACCAACGGAGATTCCACCAGGTGCGGCAAATCATCAAGCTCTTCGTCGAGGGGGCTTTGTTCGCTTTTTATTACCCCAGGACCGACGTGCCCTGCCGCACTAGCATTGGTTGTAGCCGCTAGGACAACTCCTTGCGTTCCTGGCTCACTTGTTGATGTGTGGGTTTTGTTCTCTTCAGCTGCAACTGTTACGATTTTGTCGGAAGCTAATGTAGTTGCACCATTTATCCCCAGAGGAGTGCCTTCGGTGAGTGCCTTGTTCGAGGACAAGCTGCCACCCCCGTCCGAAGAGGTCTGCCCCGTGTAGTCCTGGTCCGGAGCTAGGCGAGCGAGCTCATCGGCCTGCTTCTGGAGCATGGCCTTCAGTTGGAGCTTCTTCTTCTTTTTCTTGCGCCCGTTCTCCTTCTCCTTGTTGTTGAGACAACACGCAGGAAGATTCGACGACGTGTGGTCACGTGCACCGCCATTGCCCGCGTCTCCTGTGGCATCAGCAACGGCCTGATCTTGCTCCACCGACGTCGTGGTGGGCTCATTATTTGGTGATATGTTTTTGTCCATCAAGGCGCGTTCCGTACTCAGGACAGCACCCGGAAGTGCGGGATCCGGAGTGGTCCCTACCGTCACCTCAACCGTGGAAGGACACCCCGAGCCCGCCACTTTTTTTACCGATGCATGTCCTCCCTGCTCAGAAACAACTGCTGCACCGTCTACAGCGGTATGATCCTCCCCTTCGTGATGCCGCGGCGCGTCTTCAGCGACTTCCTCTTCTTCGATTGGATGCTCCACCTCCATACCTGCAATCATATTGTCACGACTGAACACCTGAAGACCCCACGTTCTTTTTTTATGCTCTTGCAGTTCATCCGTGCAGCGGCAACCGCCGGCACGATAGATGTAGTCGTAGTAGACAAGGCTGCTCGAAATAATTTTACAGATGAACAAGTAGTACGTAGTATTTTTACAAATACTAACCCGGCTGGAAAGAATCCTTCTGGTGCATGACGACAGCACACAAGCACTACAAACCGGCGTCGAAAAATCGACGAAAGATCAAGATGACAAAGCAGAAAGTCACCAACTAGATTTTTACATAGTTGCACTACATTGGTTCGTTTCATGCATATGCTTATTTGTGTATTTACCTTCTTCGTCTTCCACTTCGAGAATGGTGCTCGGAACACCCTTTTTCAAAATTACTCCCGTGCTTCCATAGCCCTTCTTCATGCGGCGCCGCAAGCGTTGGCCCATCCGATCGTCCGCAACCTCTTTGCCACTCGCAGACTGCTGGCTGACGCCTCCCGCCGTTTGTTCGGAAGTGCTCGAAGACGACACCGACGTCGTGGAAGCGGCAGCAACCTTCCCACCCTCCGCAGCATCGTGAGAAGTTGTCGGGTCGTCACTAGCATTAAGCCCATTTTCCGTAGGATCCACCTGCGCCGGAGCCAAAAGACCGTGGATATTTTTGTCGCCAAGACCTTGAACGTCCTGCTCCCCAGTAGGGCTTTCAACCACGGTTTCCCCTTCCAAAGCCGGGGCGCCAGTGCCACTATTAAAGGAGCCCTGGGTCGTGCCTTGTTGCGGCAGTACCCCCACATCGTTGTTGATGTCCACCACATTGCTCGGGTGATGTTCCGTTGCTACGGTTGTCGTCACGGCTGCTGAGGCTGTTTCTTTCTTTTTGTTTTTCAGATGGTTGAAAACAAAGACAATGATCTGAAAGATCGCCAGCCAAAGCAGGATCTCGTTCCCCAGCCGCCGAACCACGTCTACGAGCGCCGACACCACCATGACAAGGTTCGTATGATTTTGTCGGTTCGTATGATTTTGTCTTGTCCCGAAGCCCAAATAATCACCCTTCTCTTGGTCCTAAAGCAGAACACCTATGCTGGGACACTCTTTACTTGATACCGCGGCGGCTGTATATCCAACGACAAACGGATATAAGTTGGTGCTGCGAGTGGGAGTGCCTACTCCAGGGCTGCAGCACGGCTTTTTACCCGTTCGTGTTATCGCAAAATATTCACGCTGAACAGAGGAACCTGCTGCTCTCCGCGCGCTGGCCCGTGCCGTCAATCATCAAGAGGATCCCATACAACCCGATCGGAACTGTTATATTCTATATCTATTTACCTTGCAGCTGCAAGTAGAACGAACGAAAGACAAGACTTTCGATCATGTAATTGCAGAAATAGAATCGAGCGAAGATGTTCATGTTTCAGCTCCAGTTGCGTGCCGGAATCCGGCATGTAGCACCTTTTCAATAAAATCTACCGCAGCGCTGCTTCTATTTTCTCAGCTTTACAACTACCAAAACCACATACATAGGAGTCCTGCAAACGAAACTACGACTGTACCGTGACTGACCCTTACTACGCGCACGACATGTAGCTCGTTTTCTTGTATGCAATCAATAACTGACGAAAGGATATCGTCGAGAAAAACCTTTTTTGGCAAACAAATCGAAATGAAACAAAAATAACAAACTATGAAAGGTGGTCAAAAACAAAACATACCATTATATCAGTAGCAATATACAACGAAACTTCGAGAAAAATAAAATAGTACCGAGAAAATCAGCTGGGCAGGCTGATTGTTTTTTTCGCAGACACAAGTACATCTATCTAGCCCAACAAAGTGCGCTTGGTTTGTTTCCCTGAAGGTGGTTGTTGGTAAGCAGTCAAACACGACGAACCACACCTTCAAAGTCTCATAAAGAGCTCCCGCGATTGCATGGTGATCATGATGATGATCAGATCCGGAGCAGATCGATCAAACTACAACAAACAAGCAGAGCAGAAAAACAGAATGAATCATATGTCAGATCCAAATCGTGATCGTCTTTTGATCTCCCGCTGTGAATGTATGATGCGACTGGTCTCGAGCGATGCCATACCGTCTTATGCGCGGCCGTATGTGCTTTTGCAAATGGAAAAGACTATGAATGAAGTGCTTGCTTGTATACAAACATCGCAGAGAAGCTATGTGGCTACGCTATGTTCTGCTTCTGCCAAAATTGCAAGAAAATTTACATTTGATCTGTTTTTCCGTTTCGCAATGAAGATGATGTTTACAAAGGTCAATGCTCAGGCTTTCTCGTTCTCTGTGCGCAACAATGCAACGACTGAAAGATGAAACAGCGCGCGTCGGGGAAGAAAACATTCGCGAGGTCTGTATCGTGCGAGGTCTTTCTCGAACACATCGCATTCACAACAATTTCAGACTCAGAGTGAACGGAACGCTCGCGCAGCTGCACGACAAGCTATTCGATTCCATTCACCCGATCGCGATCGAGAGCCTGGAGCCGGGAGGCCGCCTGGCTTTTGAACCGGGCTCAGGGTTCAGGGCTCAGAGGGCGCCGGCGCGCATGCAGATTGTTGCTTGGGCCGGCCGCCCGCAGCGGGGTAGTAGCGAGCGCAGCGGCCCCATTTGGCCGGCAGGCCAGAATGCTTGCCGGTGGCCCAGCTCGGTCCGTGTTTCGCGGCGCTTTTTTTTCCCAGAATGCTCTGCGCCCCGCGAGGAATCCGAGGGCCAGCTTTCGGCGTGCTATTCCTGATCCAAAAGCGGCGGGCCCACCACCCTTGACGCCCCGCGCAGCAACCTGGCTAGCGGACAAAGAAACGCCAACGATATTGGGCGGGGGGGGGTTGGCCCACCGCCTGGGCGCCGTGCCTGCCATTACCTGCCGGCCCCCTGGCTGGGGGGGGCCGTATTTTGCCCCGCGGGCTCACGCGCTTGGCGGTAGCCGCATTCGCCTGCGCGCCTGCTCAAGCTGTTGTGGTTGGCCTGCAGGCTATGTCCGTGCGCGCGCGCGCCGGCGGGGGGGCCGGGTCACTGACTTAACTTCACCTCGGACGCGGCGGGCCCACGCCGGCAAGCCCTCGCGCCCCTTGGGCCAGCTTGGCGCGCCCGCATGCCTGCGGCAAGCCGGGCAGCTACATGGAGTGGGCCGGCCGGCTGCTCACAATGGGCGGCCAGTTGCTTGGCTGGGCAGGGTAGGTCGGTCCGCCGCGCGGGGCGGTGGCGTGAGTGTGTTGGGCCCGAATATTGGCGGGCCGCGCAACGGAGATCCCCCGCGCTATGTATTTGGGCCAGGTCCCCGCGCCTGGTGGAGGTCGCTGGCCGCTGTTGCACGGGGCCCCCACCTGGCCGGCCGCCTCTCAGCCCCCAACCTGCATGGGTAGGCGGCGGGGCGCGCGCGGGCCGTTCGGGCACATGGGCCGAGTACTCGCGCCCCACATGTAGTGGGCCAGGAGGGCGGCGCCGGCCTTGGGGGCATGTGGCCACGAGGGGGGAGGAGGGTAGCGCACTTACGAGTTGAAAACTTACGTTTTGAGGGGGCCATACTGCACGACAAGCTATTCGATTCCATTCACCCGATCGCGATCTGGGTAGCAGGAGTCGAAAATCAGGATGAAATATTGGGTAGGCTGTAAAAGAACTTTTGAAAGTGAATTACACACAATCTCGTCATGGGCAAGGCCACGGCCCGACATTCGACGGCAGAAAATATAGAGGTTTTCATCACTGCAGAGCATCGAGTATTCTTCCCATCAATGCATCAATTTGATTGAACTAACGGGCGTTTCTGTTTGTATCTATCCCTCAAGGTCCATTCTCCTGCTATTGTAAGTCTAAGTCAGTGTGCGTATAGGACGCGGGTACTGGTCACTTCTATTAAGCTGCCACCATGGCGCACACCTCACGTTGTTCTCCTTGTTGTGCCTTGGTGTGCTAGAGAATTGCGTCGGTCCGTGTCGTGTCAACCTCAAGCGCATGAGCAATCTGACATCCAAACCCGATCTGTCTGGTTCAAAAAAAAGTAACAGGGACTAGAACCGTCCGTTTCTGCGCTACAGCGGTACAAAAAACCATTTGCAACGAACACGAACAAACTGAAGTGACAGTGGCGTGAGTCCATGTAACGAATATTGATGATATTTCTCCTGTACTAAATTAATAAAAGTGAGTTCATAGGTAATTACTTACTTCTGCATCGGTCACAAGAACAGCAGGAAGAACACCTTCCAGAGAAGTGAATGTGGAACGATCTGGATTACTTCTTCGGTCCCAGCAGCGCCTTGAATTTTGATGCGCCGGTTCCACCAAAGGGCGACGCACCGCCACTCGCGCTCGGGGATCCTGCCATGATCGCCAAAGTGTTGCGCGCCTGCGTCATGTTGTTTTCTCGCACGCCGGGAACGGTGGTTACATGCTGCCCCTTGTTCCACGGAGTCTCCCGGTAGTGCCCCGCTGAGAGCGGTGTGCCTGCGCATGGATTTTTTACAAATTTCCATGAACGCGCTCTAGTGCTACACTACGATCATCAAGAGCTGACACTATCAAGCGATAGCAAAAAAAAAACGCAAACTTGAGTACCTTGGCAAGGGGCGACACCCCGCTCCTTCTCGAGCTTCGCCAAAGACATGTGTGTGTCGTCGATAGTTTCCTCCAGGTCCTTGCAGCTCTTGACTACACTGTCCAGGATGATTGCCAGCTGCTTCTGCAGCCCACTGCAGTCATGGTCAACGTGTTGCAGCATTTTGCCCGTCTCGATCGCCAGGCTCGTCAACTCCTGCTTTCGCCGCTCTTCGTACCCGGTCTCTGCCAGCACAAAACGGTGGCACCGCAGCATCAAATGCCGAGCGAACCGGGGCTCTACGCCAAGTGCCTGAAAGTAATGGAACGGACCCACACTATGTCTATATTATCATATCGAGCGCTGTGTAGAAGTGCGTGAAGACACTTTCAGCCACGATTTCAGACTCATCTTTCACGCGAAGTTCATCCGAAGTTAGTTGATGCATACATCTGGATCTGCAAGCTTGCGCTCGCATTTCAATTTGAATTTCAAGAACCAAGTAGTGTAGTAGACCTAGTCCTAGACACAATTGATATTTGATTTATAAAAAATATGTCCAGCATTAACAAGTGCAGTACCTCGAGGTCTTCAAAGGTGATTGGCTCGCGGATGTAGGCCATTTGTTCCTTTTGTATTTGCATTGTGCCCTTTGCCAGCAGCTTCTTTTTGCTCCCAGAACCGGACTTGGAGGACTGTCGACTGATCTGCTGCTCCCCGTCCTCTGCATCGTCACCCTCCTCGCCACCGCCGCCCTCAGCACCGGGCGGCTGAGAAGCGGGGTCTTTACTCGCGGGACTTTGATTCGCACCAGATGCGGGTGACGTTTTGCCGTCTGGCCTCGCATCGTTTTCGTCTGCGACCGGCGGCTCATCGACGTCCCCGCCGCTTTGTTTCGTTTTTTCGCCGTCTGGGATCATCATGTCGTCCGGATTTATTACGGCGTCTTCCCCGGTCCGTTCCGCCTTCTCGATCTCCTCGTCTTCGCCCTCGGCCATCCGATGCGCCCCTTCCTGCAGCAGGTAGCGCCGAAGCTTCCGCGAAGATCGACCACCAAGGGCAGCCCTAATCTTGTTTTCCCTGTGCCGCTCCTGTGTAGTACTCGATACTGACGACGACGTTCTTGCGAGTCGTGCACGTAGCGTTGAAAACGCCTCCCTTTCCCGGTTTTCGCGCATCGAAAAATTCGTCATTTCGATGCCGCCGCTTGAATCATGCTCGTCATCTGTTCGTGGAGATGATGATGAAGCGCTCCCTCCTCTCTGTTGATTGTGGAACGTGGTGCGCGACGTAGTGAAGCACTCGGGCCCCGTGGCAGAGGGGAGCGGTGAACGGGAACCCGAAGAGGAAGAACCGTCCGACCACCATGGCGGCGGCTCCATAGCGTGCGTTCCCTCTGCAGGCACGGACACGGCGGGCTCAGCGTTCTTGCTTGCGCTGCGCGGAACAACGACCCCGGAACCCCCCGTGTTACTCAGTGGTTCCTTGGACCCGCCCTTGGACGACGGCGCCTCCCCACTGCTGGACCGCTTCTTGGCCATCTGCTCAGCCTCAAGCATCGAAAGCCGATTTCCACCGTCCTTACTTTCGTGCCGTAAACTCTCCTCGAAGGCCGCGCGGTCCGCATTGCGCTTCTCTGTCCGCTGCTCGAGAATAGTCGGCCGCCCGTACACTTCCCCTTGCGGCGACTCCTCCACCATAGCTTCGTACACCTCTTCGTACGACATCTGCTCGTCGAGAAACAGGTACCCGAATTTCTTCGGGTGGAAAAATCGAAACACCTTGTACTCTGGCATGGGATCGATTACCTCCTTCTTAAGATACTGCTTCCGCTGCAGATACCAATCAATGGCCCAACTTTTTTCGAAGAAGACGTCCGCAATCTGGGACCCCAAACCCTGCGTTTCGCCCACTGTGTCGCGAAAACTGGCGGTTTTTGGATGTAGTTTTAGTTTAGTTTTTGACTTTCCCAACATCTGGATACTAGTGCATCACAGTTGCGGGGACATTCATTCGTCCTTGTTTTTATTTTTGAAATAAATTCATTTTTGGCTGCACGTGCAAGTGCAACGAGCTTGATGTCGGCATACTAAGTGAAGATTGGCGAGCCTACTTAGCTCAAGCGAGCCAGAACATAAAAAAAAAGCCCTGGTGCACTCCTAGTCCAACTTTCATTCTGAAATTGCAGTACCTGTAGTAGTGATCGAATACGATGGCCACGAGCAGGTTCATCAGGATGTACCAATTAATCACCATAAAGGACCAGAACCACAGGTAGGCAGTGATTGGCGACACCTCCATCAGCGCATCCATATCGATATTCCCCAACAGAGCCATCATACTGGTATTGATGGCACCCATGATACTCGACCAATCCTGATATTTTCAATTATATATTTTCAACTACATCAGTGCTTCTCTACTAGTGGTCAGTCGCCGTAACGTTCAAAAAGTGGCTAGTGGTCCCAAATACATCAACTGGTTCATCGTCATTATGATATATGTATGATTCCTCATCTTACTTCCTCATCGAGTGGAAATTAAGCATGATACGTCGCTGCTGGTTCCGAACATGAGATTGCCGCCGATCGCAAAGTTGACGAAGACGACGGCAAAAACAATTAGAAAGTGGCCCATGTCCAGGAGAGACTTCAACAACGTGGACGAGATTTGCGACAGCCTGGGCTGCCCCTGGAAGTTCTTGAAGAAGCGAAGCATCAGCACCAGGGTATACCAGTAGAGAAACATGAACTGCACGTCCTGGGAGTCGGACAGGGAACTCAGGTCGTCCACGATGCGCGTCCACTTCGATTGGTACAACGCGGATCCTTATCAAATGCAACCATTTCCGAGTCTCCTGGAAGTCTACTGCAGAGGACCGTAGAGCACACTTACTTTATTTTGTTTGTTTAAAAAGCGAGAATTATATGAAACGTTTGTTTCGGCATTTCTTCGTAAAAAAAAATTACTCGGGGTGCGGGTCCCCGCATTGGTGCAATGCCTGTGCTGCGTGACCACGGGAAAGCACACGACATCACCTAGGATGTCGCAATTCTTCCTTGTACTTGATGTTCCGGTAGTAAGTTGAATTATGTTTCATAGCCGATGGTACAAATTTAAATTTTTGTTTGCTACAGAACGAGCTGCGCCGCGTATTGATTCTGCATCACTTACTATGCCAAGTCTGTGTCCTCTATCAACGACTTTCCAGAGCCCGACATCATGTTTGCAGTGGGTATAGTCGCAGCCGTTTCCGGGGTGGGCCCCAGGTCCGCGATCAAGTCCCCGACGGACTGCGTGCGAAGCACAATGTTGAACCAAAGGAAGGAGATGACGAACCCCGCTATAATGCTGAGCCAGTCGACCAAATTCCAGAAGTCCGACAGGTAGAAGGACAGCAGCCCGCTCCGCTTTGCGTTGATCACCTCGAAACCCTCCTGGTAGAGCAGCTGGGAGATCATGGCGAGGAAGATCAGGTCCGGCACGATGTACCAGAAAGTCGGGTACATGTTTGCGGAGATGGCGGCCACCTTCATGCGCTTCTCCATGTAGCCACCGTTTTCGAAGGTGAAGGTCAGCGTGAGCAGGGAGTACAGCCGCACCTCCGCGTTGAAAAACGCGCCCTGGAACTGCACCTCTTCCGTAGCCCCGTCCAGCCACTGGAAGGGCCGCAGCGTGTACTCAATGTCCTCCAGCGGCCCCGCCGTGGAGGCCAGTGGCCTACCCACGTCGAAAAGGCAGTCAAAGTAGCCGTCTGTCTGGTCCTTCACCGGCTCAAAGCACCGGTGGCTCACGCCCTTCCAATTGCTGGTCTCCTCGTCACCCGTGCGGCAGTCGGCATTGTAAAACTCCTGCAGCTCCGGGTTCACGTCGCAGTCCGACGTCGTTTTCAGCCGCTTCTGCCGCAATCGTATGCCGCCAATCTGGAATCAATTTCAAATTTTCTTCATTATTTTCAGTTTAAACAAAAAAAATTCTCACGCCCGTGGTCCTTACGCATTGATTTGAGGCGGTTCATGTTGTCGGGCGGCAGCACAAGGTAGGTGCGTTGGAGTTTACTTTTAAAGTTAAACCAAATTGATGTTGAAAAGTAATAAAGAGCTACGAGCTGGTTCGTGACGTAGAGGCGTCCCGGTCTCTTCGCGATTGCAACAGGGGCTACTATCACAGGTCCTGTGCTAGGTGCAGTCGTTTCTGCATTGGTCTCGTTACCGGCTAGACTTGGATCTGTCGTAGTCGTCGTAGTCGTCGTGGTCGTCCTGTGTTGTGTGTGTATCATTTACTTAAGCTGGATTTTTTGGATAACAAATACGGATATCTTTTAAATGTTGTCGCGCTTGCTATTGATATAGATTGCTGTGCTAAACACAGCAACTCGGGCAAAAAAGCGAACTTTTCCCATCCGTTCCCAATATCCTCCAACTATCCTGAAGATACCCTCCCAGTATCCTACTAGGAAATCTTTTCCCCAGGTAGCCAGAATTGCTGCGCCAAACACAGCAACTTGGGCAAACAAACGAACTTTTCCCGCCCATTCCCAATATCCTCCAACTATCCTGAAGATACCCTTCCAGTATCCTAGTAGGAAATCTTTTCCCCAGGTAGCCAGAATAGCTATGCTAAACGCAATAATTCGGAAAAAAAAACTTCCCATCCGCTTCCAGTATCCTCCTCCTAGCCTGCAAATTCTCTGCCAATATCCTACTGGAAACCTTCCCTCTGGGTAGCCAGAATACCTATGCTAAACACAACCGCTCGGGAGAAAAGCCAAGCATTCTTCCGGTGCTGCTCCCAAACTGGGGCGCGCTGCGGATGCGTTTTTAATGTGCTTCCGGCTGAGTTTCCTTGCAGCTGGAAACGCACTGCGGCACGACAGCAGAAGCAGTGTTTTTCTCAGTTGCTGCCGAAAACGACGGACCGCGCGCCGTCGCGGCAGGTGAACTCTGTGAAAAATGCTCCTTCTAGCGCAAGTTTGCGATGTCACACCGAGCGGGCGAAGCTATTCGAATCTCGTCAATTTCTATTTGATTGATCAGATTAAAACTGCGATTTTTTGTTCATCGAATTCGAACCTACACCTTTCTATTATTCTTTCCTACGGGGCTCGCAAAAGATTGAAAAAGTTTCTATCATCGACATCAATACTCGGTGACGGTGACTTGCTGGAGGGAAAGCTGAATCGCCGCAAAGTCGTTCTCATTCCAGACGAAGGGAAAGGCACCGTGCTGGATCCAGAACCACAGGCTGTCGATGTTGTCCACGGAGTCGTAGGGCACGGGGTCCTGAAACGCCATGTTGTCGGTTTTCTGCTTGTACATTTGTGAGCGAAGCTGGTCGCCGGAGTACTCCGGAAAGAACTGACCGTCGGTGACGGATTTCACGTTTAGGTAATTGCGGTTCAACGCGTTTACCTGGCACGCCTCCGGCTGGGTGAAATCGGCCCGGGGCACGCAGGCACAGTGGCAGGTGGTTGGACACGCCGAGCCACTCGTGTCGCCGGCCGCGGCCGCGGGCGTGTTTCCCAGTTCCGGGTAGGCGACCACGCTGACCAGCGCGCCGCCTACGGCGGACTGCACCTGGTAGTTGCTCTCGATCGAGGCGTGCATGCCCAGCAACACCAGAAAGTTCACCCAGAGCGCGATCGTGAACGGGATCCCATACGCCGCCTCGTTGAACCACAACTGCGTGTTCAGGTACGTCATCATGTCCGCACGCGTCACCACGTACTCCTCCGCTTCCTCCTCCTCCCGCCGGTAGTTCGTGCTGCGGTTCCACCACAGTCGCCAGTAGGGCACTTTCGCCAGCTGGCTCCCCCACCCCTCAGGGAGCTCTTCGAATTGCGGGGCCGGGGGCTGCCCATTGTTGTCCGCGTTTTCCTCCTCCTCGTCTCCTTCCTCGTCGTCCTCATTCAAGCCCCCACCAAATGTGTCCAGAGCTCCGCCTTCGTCTTCAGTGCCCGAGTTCCCGAAAACGTTCCCTCCGCCGCTGGCCTGCTCGGACCCGGAATTTGGCTTGTTGTTCTCCTCGTCCTCCTCGGCAGGCGCGTCCGGGTCCTGCTCGACTCCGGGTTCGCCTTCCTCGGGGGCGGACATCTCCGATTTTTACAATCGAAGTCCCGTCGACGTGCCGTCTGTTTTGGTCCACATCAATCGAGGTTGGCTTCTCTGTCAGCCAGTCCGCACACCGCCCTCGATGGCTTTATTTTTGACGAGGCAGTAAAACGAAGGTTGCGAGAAGTCCTTTCACTGGAAGCATGACGTACTTGTTTCATGGGACGAACATCAACATCCAGAAAATCAATAACAACTAGGTATTGACATTGCTGTCTCCAACTTTCTAAACGAAACCTGGTGGTTGCATGGGTGGGTACAACGGAAACGGGTAGGCGCTCTTATTACGTGATAATAAACTAGAAGTCAATTGCTTCTAAGTTAGGGATAGCGGTGGCCAGGGATACCGATATTCATATTGTTCGACAAAACATACTATCAGGGGTCGTCCGTTTCGAAGTGGCTGTCGAAAATGGCACGCGACATTGACCATCACGAGTTGCGATTCGTAGCTAAACTTTTCGATCGAAGACCGCTCAGTGTTCTCGAATTCGACGCTCACTACAATGCGAACGTTGCTCGCAAACAACTATACGCATGAATATCGCTCCCCTCGTCTCTCTCAATTCCTTCGCGCAAGAAATGCATCGAATTACTCAATTATATATAAGAGAATAGTTCCTTTCGAGTATTTTGGTTTTGAAAATGAACCCACTACCGAGGCAGCTAGTCCTTCTAGTCAACAGTGCGGGCTCTACACTCGCGACCAAGCCAGCGAGTAGCGTACGTCAGCTTAAGCATGAACGTGTTCATGATCATGACGCACACTTACACTAGTTGTACCTATTCCTGCATTGTTGCACACACTGCTGCAGGCAATCTAGAAGAAGATGACAAAGATCCCATTTCCAGTCAGGATGTTTCTCAAGCATCGCGATGTACTCTGACTTAGCAGTTGCAATCGCAACTGCATCGCATTTATTCATTGTTTTCATCAACTACAGCTATATTCATTGCTTTGAACGCCATGATTAGTGACCACAACATAGCTGGGACCAGAGGTAGTCACAGGACCGCAGGGATCACGATGCGGCGGGAAAGACTTGGAAAAGAAAACTATCTCCACTGACTGGAAAACATAAAGCGACTTCGCACCCTGATAAGGCTCTCTATCCACTTTCCCCGGTACCCGCGCACTTGGTGCTATTGAAGCGCGAGCATTCGACGTCGCACTCATTTTCGCTCCCTGCGGCGCTTGCTGTCCAGCGCCCCGCCGCTGTTGATGTTGGGAAATCGCTCTCAGCTGCATCTTCACTTTGTCCGCAGGACGGCATTTGATGTCCTGTAAAATCTCTTTCGATTACTGAGTCGCATGGTTGTACGCAGCGACCGGGTGATGCTCGGGTACTTCTGAGGGAGAAGGACATCAGTAGCGGTTCCTCCGCTTCGCCTGGGCTGATGAAGTGGCCGATTTCTGTCGTGAGAGTTCCCTCTTGTTCCTGGGCTCTGGTAGGTTCGTACGCTATCACTCGCACGCGATCGTCCTCGTCGTCAGCATCAGCCCCGTCGCTCCGCTCTGCCGCGTTGTTCGTGGTTGCTGTGGTCCCGACTTCGGACGGTGTTGTTGCCATAATACTCCGTTCTTTTGCGCCACCCTCTGCATCGAGAGAAGATGCACCTACAAAAACCTCCCGTGTCGTCCCGGGAGCCCTCACCACGGGAGAAACAAACACGCGGCCGTCTGTTGTTGAGAAATGCCCGCGCGGCTTTTGCACGCGCGTCGAAGACGCCGCGTAGCCGAATATCAGGTAGCAAGTGAGGAATCCTACCAAAATGCCGACTAGGTTTGGAATCAGGATCCACCAGTCCTGCAACAACAGACCCGTGGCTAGCCAGAGCCACGAGGAAACAAAGTTGACGACACTGAGCTCGACGGGCATGGAGTCCACGGATCGGGTCTCTAGCACCGTGGGCAGAGTGGCCAGCGGGCTGAGTGTCACGATTACACTCAGCGTTGCCGACACGCAACCGGAGAGCAGCAGATACTGTTCCACGGGGCGAATCGCAAAATTGAGAAACTGAAACAGGAAAACGCAAGCGGCGATCAGCACGTAGGTCTGCATGCGACGGAACGTCTTGGAAGTGCGATCGACGAATCGAAAAAACGTCAGGGAGTAATAGCATCCCATGCAGGCGCCCACCACGTTCGCGTACACCACAATCAGAAATCCGTGGTTCCCCGTGTACCAATACGCAGACACTCCATACAAACACCACTGCAGTCCCGTACCTTTCATCAGATTCAGATCAGCTGTACATTCAACCTACAAAGCCACGTGATCGGTTATCAGTACATAGAGGCGTGGCTACGTGCTCTCTTCAGAGTCAGAGATTACAGCTACTGCAATCATTGTCGTCCAACAACTTGCATCTAACAGTAAATGTGAAACTAAAATCAAACTTGAGAAAAATAAAGAATCACACTGACTCTGCACGTCGAAAGACACAACCAAGCTAGAGCATCATGTGCAATACACTTATAACCAAGAAATACACGCAATGGCAACGTAAGAAAGCGACTCCTTGCTGCCTGTCAGCTTTTGCGTTTTGATTTGAGACACTTCCGGTAGTGGTGCGAACTGCGTGCACAGGGACGACGCGATAGACAGACCCTTGATCATACATCCGAAGGTTAGAAACCGCAGCCACCAGAAATACGACCCTGAATGCAGTTTTGGGTTTGCTGTGCTGCTCCGTAAGAGGAACGAATTGGTTGTGCAGTTCATCCAGTCGATGAGTCACGAATTTCTTACTTCGCGGGCTATGTCTTCCAAAATAAAAGTTGTATCTCGTGCACGGCGCCACATGCGATGTGCACATTCCTCAGTAAAAATCAAAATAATAAAGCTTCGAACGTTGATACCAAGGCCCCACTTTGGCTCGAGAAGGTGATGCGGTGAGGATACGGCTGACCAGGATTCGGTGGCTCCCTGCAGCTTCTGTTGCGACATGGACATCACAAGCTTGTTACCAGAACTACGGGTGATTCTGAGGTTCGTTGCTCCTTTTCCATTCTCAGTGTTCTTGGACCTGGACAGCCCTGTCTCCTTGCTGGCATTGTGCGCCACTGGGTCCGTTTCCGTGTTGGTGTTTCTTTCACCACTGAGAAAGTTGCTCGGAAGCACCCCCATGGTCGGCTGGCGGCGCGTGACGCGGCGCGCGTCTTCCAGGAGAACGACTGCGTCGCCCGGAGCGTCGTCCCCCTTGCGATCGTAGTCGCGCTCGGGTAACGTAGGAAGAGAAATCGAAGAGGCCGCGCCATTGCTACTAGGCTCCTCAAACGGCAGAAAGCTGGCAAGAGCGTTTTCGTGGCCACTTTGGTGACCGACCGATTGAAGCCGTGGTGTACTAGCGTCCTCCTGCTGCAACACAAAAAAGTCGTTGAAGAATGGAAGTCCGTTTGCAGTGACGAGGCCGCGGCCGACTGCAACACTGACTGCCACCGTTCGACCTCTCATGAGCTCCTTCTTGAAGGAACTTAAGTCCGTCGACACCGAGCTGGAAGATGGAGCGATCTCCTTGGTAAGGAAACGAGCCGAACTCAGCCAAACGTGGTGTAATATTGCCTAACGCTGCGTTCGTCCAGCTCTCCTCCTCACTCCCTACCAGTACGTAGTTGCTGTTCGCGCACAAGAAAAAAACCTGTGGGCGAACTTAGAATACTGTCCCTGCTACGGTGCTCTATGTAGTCAGCCCACATTGATGCTAGCACTGGCGCGCTGGCACGCCCCCATCGTCATCCGCCATTTTTTCGGGGCCGGTTCTCCTCCACCGGCTCAAAACCTTCCGGCATCCGCCACGCCGAAGAAAGCCAACGCGGTGCACTTACTAGGCGTAGGCACAAGCTGCATGGAAAAACTGTGGCCGGAGCTTGCGTTCCGGCAGCGGGATCGGCTACAAAGCAAAACCACGCATCTGCAGCTCTGTGAGCGCGCATTTCTTCGTTCATCTCACTTAAGTTGTCCACAACACTCTCTCTCCCGACGAGAGGTTACGTGCTCTCGTTGCGATACAACACCTCATGTTGCGGTGCACACTCTCAGACGTAGATGAAATTCCACATTGCACGTACCATTGAGCTTTATTGAAGTGCAGTTCACGAAAGGAAAAACCGCTGCCGCGCCCGCGGAGCAATCATCGCACCAGAGAAGAAACCACTCCGTCCCCCCGTTGATTGCAGACAGAGAATGACGAATCTCTTTGTTCTATTGATTCCTTCGTGTTGATCGTCGTGTTTTGTATGTAAGAAGCACAACGCTTCGGCTGCGTCTCTCGTCGGAGCAGCCATGAATCAGATAAGAAACGCGGTTGCGCAAAAAGAAAGAATGAAGTGTCTGGAGACATCAAAAGTGGAGGGATGTCTAGACGTCTGCTGGTGAGGTTTTCATGATTTTTGCCAAAATTGCGACATGCAATATTTCAAAAATAACTTCGGTCTGGTTTATTCATTTGATTTTACCACAGAGTGCGAAGTCTAAGTCTGGCCTGGCATCCCCATCGGGGTCTTCATCTTGGTGAATCGTAGCAGCACCACCAGTGACCCGTAGCAACTCCTGGCCTCCCGTCACGCCATTTTGCTTGTGTGTGAGCATTAGCTGCTTGAACGTCGAAAAGTCGTTCACGCTCAGGAGCAACTCGAGAACCTGTATCCGCGTGATCGAGAACATTGATTTGCATAGGAGCAATTGCCTCGGGCTCCCGGCGGGGGCCATCTCACGTACACAGCTGCATCACGCAAGAAGCACAACAACTTCAGGAATGAGAAAGGAACGAACGCGTGTTTTTCTTATTTCAGCTGTTCCTACCTCTTCCACGATCTCGTCTTCGATCTTGGCCTCTCGTTCCCCAAGCAGCTGCAAAAAATCCTGCATGCGGAAGCCGTCGATGGCTTCGCGTAACTTCAGTTCAAGGTAACTTTCGATTGTCTTTGTCCATTTGGAAAAAATCTCGGTGTATTCCAGCTTATTCTCTTCGTTGTCCGCGAAAGACTGACAGTGCGTCTTGCCTGTATATTTTATCAATCTTGCACTTCTCTTTTTTCAAAACACGAGGGAATATTGCGGAATCTTGAAATTATAAGTATGGTTGCATCCGAACTAAGTAAAGTCGAGCGGGTTTTATTTCCTTTGCGCCTCGTCCAAGAGCGAAGCGCAATGATTGATGATCACCTGATAATTTCGGAGACGGTATAATGCTCTTGAATGATTTTTGCGGGAAAACAAATGATCGAATGATGAAATACAGAAATCTGTCATGGTTTTCTGGAACTGATCCGAAACCACAATGTCCTCCAGTGCCCCAACGATGGCATCGAATTGATCGTCAGCCAGGGTGTGCGCCTCGGTGTCGCCGATGCAAAAGTCTTCGTCTTCGCCGCCGTCGTCGCGGCACAGGTCCCCCACGACAGGAAGATCATGGCCGTCCTCGTCATCGTCTCGCTCGCCCGAGTCCACAATGTCCTCGAAATCGTCCTCCTCAGCAAAATCAACATCCGCCGCTACCTGTTTCGCAGCGGACGGCCCGACTGCTTTGCTGTTGCCGACGAAAAGATCCGGCATCTTCGCACGGAGGATGTGATTAGTAGTCGTCTGCACAATAAAGTGAAAATGAATGTTGCCAGGAACGCTAGGCGCAAAACTTTCAAAACGTGGGCCCTTCTGGACCTGCAGTTTGGGCACAGTTTCGCGCGGCTTTCACTCAAGGTGGTTCCTCTCAAATTAGCGCCTGGCAACGTGCGTGTTTTATTGTTGCTGCTTTCCATTCGGTCTGCGCAGCGTCAATATGTTGTCAAGATGTCCCGGTGAATAAACCGTCGGTGGTGACCGGTACCGAGTTCTTTTGTTTCCCTAGCTTGTGATCGATTGCAGATGTACCATGCGACTTATTATAGTAGTAGAACATGGACAGACCGTTGTCACAGGGGCACGTTTTACAGTGCCGTCACATGAAGGACATCTTGTATACTGATTCTAGTACTCTCTATGACGCAGTGTGATGAAAATCGAGCGATCAACGCGCCTGCACAAACCAATCTTCAGACGGTCTCAGATTTATTTGCGGAAATGCGTTATCGCATACAGTAAAACGCCCGCGGCTGCCACACACGTGTTCGTCGGCTTTACTTCGTTCAACATAGGCAGAAACTCTTGCTCTCCCATCACGATAGCCAAAAAAGGAATGTGACTTGTGAGCGGCCAGTCCGCACCGTGATGCGACAACATGTCTCCGCCCAGCTGCCTGCGAAAGCGAGAGTCCATGTGCCATCCAAGAAAGCAAACACAAGGCAGCAGGCCCGCGAATAAACAGACCTCTGTTGCGAATGGGGTGCGCAACGCGCAACCGAGCGAAAGAAGCGCCAGCGACCAGAGCGATGCATGTCGGGTAATGCGCCTCACACCGTATACCGTTGTCACCTGCTGGCTCTGGCGCTCGCGTTCCCTGTCAGCGGCAAAATCCATCGGGCACAGACCTCGTAAGCAAAATGTGGAATTCGAATTGAAATTTTCGAACCGGTCAGTTTCCTCTTGCTAAAGCGGTTTCGGCGCTCCGCGCTTGTTGCTCAAACCAATAGTCACAGATCCTACTTGATACACGCTTCCTTGTGTCCGAACTACCTGCTCCTGGCAAACCGAATCTATCAAGAAACTCTACTGTACTTGCGCGCCTTGCCGCCGCTTTGCTTTCCGGCTGCAGTGCGTCATCACCAGAATCGCGGGCGACGGGGGGGACAAGCAAATCGCCGAGAAATGAAATTGGGTTGCGCAGGGACGGCAATACCTGGGCCAGCCCGACTGCGCCCAACAGGGAAGTGACAACGCTCGCGGTTCGCATAGTGCGGGTGACCTGCCAGAGCCGAGGGCCTTGCCGCCGGCCGTGTCTGAGGTAGCCGAGCGCGATGCAACCCAGGGACAGTGTGCTACCTGTATTATACAGAAAATGGTACCCCGCGTCCCCCGCCTTTGCGATAATCCACTGTCGGTTCTCGGAGAGAACGAGATTTTCCACTGTGAAGAACAGCCAGCCACCGAGAATCAATCGGACTCCGCGGTGTTGCCAGAATGACGACCAGGTCCAGGTGCCATCTTCATCCTCACTATATGCGCCTGCTGAGCTTGAGGAGGATCCTCCTTGCGGGGGCGCGCTAGCGGAGGGAAGTTCGTGGTGCGAGGTCGGCTGCGCGGCCGTGCCCGCGACGGGGTGCAGACCCGAAGTCGCAACGGCTCGCAACGAAGACGAATCCACACTCGAGGACAGAAACCGCTTCGAAGATGATACTGAGGCGAGGTTCTCGACGAAGGTGATTCCGCCGTTGCACTCGGCTGCTCCCATCTGGTGCAGTCCGGAGACACAGAACTTACCTCGGGGGTGTGCCAAGCCCTGGCAGGCCATTCGAGCAACGGACGCCTGGCCGCCAGCCATCTTGGCCTTTTTTGCAACCAGTGCGACCCGCATCATACCGTCCTGCATGCACTGCGAAGAAATCGGAACTTGTAGAAGCAGAAGGGAACTACAACTACAACTTACTATTGTCGCTTGTATAGACAAAAAAGTAAACGGCGCACCACACACGAAACTGCCTGGTGCAATTCCTCAAATGTTGCAGGAGCGCCGGTAGCTGTAATCGAAAAGATCTACGGCAATGAACCTCTTCGATTACCCTGAAACCTGTGATCGGCAATAGGTGGCCTCCAAAGAAACAGGCCGAGAAAAGAATGCGTCAGGCAGCGCTGCAAAACGACTCAAAGGTGAGTGCATGCCTGCAGGCCTGGCTTTCAGGATACTCATTCTCACTTTACCAATGCGAACAGCGCTCGCCTTCTGCAGCTCCAGCTGCAAATGTATGAGATTACACACGAAGCGTGAAAGAATGATCGGGTGTTCACGTTGCCACCAGAACCTCTGCGAAAATACGAAAACATCTGCCTCGTGTTGAGGCAGAATCGACATACCTTCGAGTGAGAGATCACCGCTCTCACCCGAATACCATTACACATGGAGAATCCTAAGCTGCCCGTCCCGCGTAGTGCATGCCACAAGTCGTGGCTCCGATTGTGCAAAGACGGCACTGGTGCACGGGGAATCCAAAAGCAGGTCGAGCGTATCGGATATGCGCAAAAAACCTCTTTGCGACCGCCGGCAGAACCCACCCAACGCAAGGCTGGACTTCGACGATATCTGACAACTGGTAACACGCATTCCGGCTGGCGCTTCTTGTTGTGAGAAACCAGCGTCGCCAGACGGCTCTGTAAATTGCATTTGACATAGGTTTAGGGACAGCGGGACGACAACCGCATATTATTATCTTCGGTTTTGCTTAGTCATTGTTCTAGCGAAAAGTAGAAGCCGATGCTGCAATGACATTCAGTGCAGCATACGAGAGAAAATGACTACCTGGTTTTCCAAGTTGAAGTCCCGGCCCCATGCGTCGGAGATCAAAGCATTGCAGTCCCGACCCTTCACTGTAGCTTCCCGCGACTATTACAGACCCGCTTACGTCCAGCGCAGCAGGACCCAAGAGTGAAGGCCCGTAAACACCTGCATATTTATGAGGCTTGATGTTGATGCAATGTGAAGATGAGAAATCGACAATATCCCGACATTCACATTACGAACGGAAGCTACAAAAGAGTGGTAGTACGTAGAATTAGAACTGCTCTTCGTACTATGTATGCTGCGCGAGCCTTTTCGAAGATCCCAAAACTGCAAAGTGCAATCCCAGCCCCCGGTTGCAAGAAGGTTTCCGTCAAGGAACTTGCATGCGCAGACACGACTGCTGTGTCCGCCACCGTTTTTGTCGCTCCGCTGGAGCGTTTGCCGCTTCTTTTTTGTCATTTCGTCGAACACAAATACCTCCGGTTCCTTTCCGCCCGTTGCAAAAGAGGCACCTCAAGCGATTTCGGGAGCGAAGCGATACCGATCGAAAACAAAAAGTGGAGGAGCGTCGGAAATAGCGCACTGATGAAAACTCCGAGCTGCAAAGCCTTCCAAAGTTCGAAAATACGCCACTAACTTAAGTAATTGCATTTATTCACTGTCAGCACCTTCGTCTCTATCTTACCGTCAGGTGCATAGTCGATGCACAACAGAGCGGGAAGACTCGTGCCGGCATCGTCGTCGCTGGTCTTTCCTGCCTCGGCATAGGCGTTGACCTCGCCGAGTGAACGGCCGGTTGCAGCATGAAATTGCTGTAGGTGCCCGTCCGTCCGACACATAGTGAGCACGCTCTTCTGCGATATCTGTCCGCTCTCTGGGCGCCAGCTGAATGCCACACTCACCACTTTTTCCGACGTGCTCAGCTGATCGCCCGTCGAACTGCACTGCAGTGGCGTCTTAAACGGTACGTAATCGACCCTATAATCTTCACCCGAGAGGCTGGAGGACGAAGAACTCGACTTCTGCCGCTGCAGCACGTGAATGCAACCACTACCATCCGAGGCCGCAATGAAGTCCGCCGACGGAGAAAATTGCGCAAGATACAGGCCGTCCTTCGTTCCGGAGCACAATTCGTGCACAGAACAGGCTGGAGATCTGCTCATGATGTACGTGTGTATCTGTTTCTGCTCTTCCTCAAATGCTACTGCTGGTGCTAGAGCCCGCTACAAGAAAAATAGAATAATCGTAACAAGCGAAGTCCTAAACTGCAATCGTGGTCCAACGCCTATACAAATATACCGCCCGTGCTCAGCGGTCCTCCTTGCTTCTCCCTCTGGCTTTCTAGTTCTCTCCCTACTTGTTTACTGTACTTCTTATTTGCAACAATATTTTCTCCGTATCTGCAAAATGCACTCAACGCCATTTCGGGCGCAGCTGTAGAAGTAGAACCCAACAAGTACTCACAGCGCAAGCCGAAGGCGGCGGTCAAGTTGATGTGTGCGTGATTAACGGAGACACCTTCAAAAAAGGTTATTTCCCCGGACTTTTACCAATCTACTCAAGCGCCCCCTGTGCCATAGCGCTAGAATGAGAAATGTGGTCGTTCCTAGTACTTTTTGCAGCAGCCTGAGCTCTGGACGGAGATGTTCTTTTCTGCTCAGTGGACGTTTCTCGACGAGCCGCGCCATCGGTTGTTGCGGCAACCGCTACGACTTCATCGTCGTCAACATCTTCAACCACTTCAGGGCTTGCGTCCCTTATTGTTATTTCCTGGTCGTTTGATAGCATGGGCTTTCCGATGGCAGCTGACATTTCGACGGTTCCACCATCCTCTTCGTCTTCGTTCACACGCAAGTGTGTGTAGGAAAGGTACCGGCTTTCTCCGTGTGGCCTCCAGAGAATGCAGATTGCCGACAGAAGAAGGAAATGCATCAAGTGCGGCACGAAATCGGTGAACCACCAGCGCGACTTCCAATTGTGCGCCAGATCAACCGGCCGCACCATAGCAATTTCGTACCCTAGAATGAGAAACGTCGCAGCGCAGAGGGGAAAAAGCACACACCGCAGAAACTTTTGGTAGACCTTGTTTTTTTTTGTCGTGAAAATTCAATTCTTGCTCTTGGCCGCACACATTCATGTGTTGAAATCATAACCCAGCGCAGAACTACTTCAGAGACAGTACATCAAGCAGACGCGTCTACGAATGTATAAACTGTGAAAAACCGAAAGCAAAGCGATATCTTCATCGCTCTTCAATCATTTGACGAAATTACGTACTGACCTCTTCTTTGGCTCTTTGTTTTTGTTTCCGCAACGTGTCGATGGTCGCGAACAAAGCAGCCAGGATCCAGAGAAAAAAGAAGCCAACAATCAAACTCGGTGGAAACATGACCAGAAGAACGCTGCTTTCTTCCCAACCCGTTCGTGTGCCTTTTGAAAAAGTTCAATTTGCGGTTTCTGTTTTTACCTGCTAGACATGCGAGAAGCTCCACACTGAAATTAGGATGGACGGTTTAGTTGGGGTGCCCTAGTATGATGATAGATTCCATTCTGATGTTTCGGACTCAGACTAGTAATGAAAAAAACCAAACTGAATGCTCGTCGATTACATTGAAAAACAGAGTGAACTCCAGCAAAACGTCTGTTTTTACGGTACCGGTATTTTCCATGTTAGCGGTGGTCTTCCGAAAGGTATCAGTCAATACATAAACGGCGAAAAGCAACACCATGGCAGCACGCTTCTCTGCGCGCACCGACGGCTTTGCGACCCCAACGCCCATGCTCGCCAAAAGCAGCAACACAAACGACGTTCCTTGTTTGAAGGCGGTCGCCGCGGACGCGAAGAAAACCATCCCGTGCCAACGATACCCAACAAAGTTCCAGTGTGCGTAGCAAAGATACCACGCTATGGCCTCCAGCAGCGCAACACCTATCGCCACCGTGACGTAGTGGTGAATGGTGAGCAGGTTACTACTTGATGGCGAAGCCACAGGATCGGTGGGTGAGAACGCCCCGGTGGCCGAGGCCACCGCACTCACGGTATTTGCCAACATGTCGTTCCCGCTGTTGGCCGCGGCGGTGGAGAGCACCTGGACTTGCTCCTTGTACTGTGCGTAGTAGTAGATGCGGACAACCCATACCAACAGAAGGATCAGGTAAGTCATGCACAACAACCCGTAGAAGGGCACCTTGGGCATGTGCATCGCCGGAAGGTACCACCCGCGACGGCGTCGAAATGACGGCGACAGCCACATCCCAGCCTCTGCCAGTAGCCGGTTGTCATTTTCGACAACATCAACATGTTGTTGATCGTGCTTGATATAATCATGGCCAGAAATGTCACTAGTTGCACCGGCTCGCTGCTGCACCATATCCAGAAGTTTTCTATCTGCTCCGACATGCCCCTCTGTAGTCTCCTCCAACGTAAGCTGCTTCCTTTTTGGCGGCGCTTCGTTCCCTTCTTGGAGAGCCGGGGAGGATGTGGAATAGGTGATAATGTTCAATTCTCCGGACTGAAACCGATAGTGCGTGGCACTACGACGACCGCAGTTGGACAACGCAATGAAATAGAATCCCGGGCGCAGAGACGAGCTAGTGCTTGTTACTACACGACCAGCAGAAGCAGATGAACCCAGAATGCGTTCGTAATTTACGGGTGCAGTGGTGCTCGGTGCCAAAATATCCCAACTGAAAAGGTCTAGCGGAGAGTCGCTGGTCTGCAGCCCCTCTCCCACGGCGGAGGAAGGAGGCAGAAATTTCCCGACAAAAGTCTCGCCCGCGGCCTCGCAGTCCTCCTTTGTCTTGCAACAGAAGCGGTCTGGATATGGAAGCGTCAGGTTTGAAATCGTCAAAGTTGAAATAATTTGTAATGCATAAAATGCATGACCCGAGGCACGTGTGTTGCAGAGCAGGCAAGTGAGGCCGATTGTAAGCCTGTTTGGGGTTACAGCTTGAGCTGCTAAAGTAGCATGAGAAAATCACTCTTCTTTGCCTGAACAGCATGACAAAGTGGATTTAGGGACCGCCGAAATTTGTCATGCGCCACTTGGAAACTGGGTTCCAACTGGCATCCATTCTATGCATGACAAATTATTTCAACTTTGACGATTTCAAACCTGACACATCCATACTGGATTCAGATGGGCTAACCGCGATGCGTGTACCAGGTGAATCTGGAGCCCCTTAGGAAACTTTGCTTTCTTCGATATGCATTGCAAATATGTCTGGGTCTGGAAGGTTGGAACTTGTGATGCTAACTTTGGACTCTAAAAAAATCTGTATTGCATGACCAGCAAGAGGAGCCCAGTTTGTGCTACGCGGGGAGGGCATTTGTCATGCGGAATAGGCATCAGGAAGGCCTCTAAAAATCTGTGATGCTAGGGCTTCCATGACAGACATTCTGTGTCATGCAAAAACAGCATGACAAGTCTCGGACTCTTCCAGACCCAGACATTTTTACAATTGATATTCGAGCTGTCAGCAACAAACCTTTCTTCCCCATCCTGCCTTACGACCTGGACGTCTTGCAATGCGGCGGATCCGGATGCGGTGAGCGTCGTGTATGACACAACTTGAAACACGTTCGGATCGGGCAAGTTTGCAATCCGCTGCTGCAACCGAAAGCGCTCGGCCTGGACGTCGTTCACCCATACGCACCGCAGCGAAAGACAACCAATCACCCAGCACAAGCGAGCCAGCAGTCCGGAAAAACCTCGAAGCATGCTTGTGGTGCGCGATACAGTTTCAGGGCCAAGAAACCAAACTCCTACCGGCAGAGCTTACTGATTATATCTCTTCGACGTCTTTTGAATGCTCCATGGCTATGCTCTTTTTTACTGCCGCCAAACGCTCCACTCAAAAAAACCGGATGAAAAAGCGCCACAGAGACAAAGCACGAGCCCAGAAAAGACTTGCAATTCGCCTGATCTTTGCGTGCCAGATAGCGGCAGCAGGTCAGAATGCAGTCTTGCTTGTCGTCATTCACTGCCTTATTATTGGTACATTGAAAATCTATCAAAGAGGTTCATTTCTTACGTTGTTCTTTCATTGCCGCGAAGCCCTGACACTCCCACCTTGCGTTGTGTTCATTTGTTGTTCACAAAGTCTGCAACAGCAACAGGTGCTGCGGACTAAAAAAACAATAAAAATTGGCTGTTCAATACAAACGAGTACAGTTATTCTGCAGCGTGAGCTCTGCTGTGAAGTTTTGATACAATGGGCACAAAATTTTTTTTGTTTCTCAACCTTGCATGTTCCTGTCGAAAGTGAAACTAGAAACGAAGCAAATTGCTCATTGAAAGTGAAACCGCATTTGACAATGACGTAAGTCTATCAATCTCAAGATGAAACCGAAACTAGAAACATATTAGTAGCTGCTGTCCTCGCAGTTGAAGCTTAAGTAAGAAAACCATACTGCTGCTCCATCACTACTTCTACGTTATACATTTACATCGCAACCATACATATAATTTTTCGCGCCGGTGCACCGGCGACTTAGTAGTCTGCCAACGATACTTCTTCGGGCGTCTCAACAGAGGTAAGAGATCCACCCAGCAAGCCTGGCAATGACACGTCCAGACGGTTCGCAGTGGTACGTGCCAGGTTGTTCCGTTCGTGTCCTCCTCGCTCACCTGGAGGACCTTCTCGTTCTATCACGAAAGGATGCCTGGTAACGTACACATCTTCGAAGGAGAGCCCAACTTGTTTGTCAGCTACCAATCGGCGGGTCGCCATGACTGTTAGTTTCAAAATGTTTTTCTTTTTTCTTCCATGCAGAATCACGATAAAATCAGAAAACTGCAGCATGACTTGGCTTGGCTGTTTGTAGGCTCTCGCGCTCGGCTAAAGGATCAGTGCAAGGGGGCACGACATGTCGGGAACTGCATTCATTGGCGCGTAACCATATGACGTCGATCTAAACAAAACCAAAACGCTGCGGTGTGAGTGAACCGAGTTAATATTGAACAAGATGATTGCAAAACAAAAATGTATGTTAGTACGCGACTTCAACGCCTTCTCGGGGGCAGTAACAGGCTGCAGATGGAGAGGCGCCCCGGTGACGTGCCCCGGCGTTGTCCGTGGTCGTCCCATGCCGAGGCGATTTAGGTGGGGAGGGACTCCGGCTTTGTTGGCTTTACTTCGGCCAGAGGCGTGGGTGTTGCGATGGTGCGGCAAACCCGAATCTCGGTTTGTCGGATTGTTTCTCCCGGCCGCCATGAACGGCGCCTCGAGCCCCTCGGGGAGGGAGAGAGTGTTCCGAGCGGGAGCCTTCGCCATCAAGAAGCCGGCACCTTTCACCGCGGCGTCCGGTACGGGTGGTACGAGAAGCGAAGTCGCGCTTGCCGAGGTGGATGTCTGTTTCGCGCCACCTCCTGCACTCTTTCCCGTGGCGGAAACTGCACTTCTTGGGCGGCTCGAGGGACTGCTCGTGGATCCCGTTGCTCCCTGCACCCCGGGGTCGTGCTCGCCTCTACTCAGGACGGGCCGGCGCGCGGGTTCGTCCTGCCTCAGGCCGACGTAGTCGGGCGTTAGCGGCGCAACCGTCAGCGCCCGGCGCCGCAGGGCGGCAAGCAATTTCGCGTCCAGGTGCGGGGGCGCCTGTTCGGAGGACTCGAGCGCGCGCAGCCTTTCCATACTCGCTGCTAGTGAGGGTCCGTGATCTCGTATTTCGTGAACCCTACCGAGCACTTCCGACACAACCGGCAGCTCTGCGAGCTCCTGCTGCGTCCGCACGAGACCCACCGTCCCGGCGGCGAAACCAGCCTCCGGGGAGTGAGGGCCGCGCGGCGATCTCACTATTACATTGTCTTTCGGAGAATCGGGCATCCCGTCCGCGTTTCTCCGCGGAGAAGGCAGGGGCGCGAGCGAGAAGTTGTCCGCGCCGGTCGATCGGTGTCTCTCTCGACTGTGCGCACTTATGGTGCGTCCAGGCTTCATGCGGTTTTGTGGACGCTCTGACAGGTCGCCGGGAAATTTGGATGTCACCAACTTTGCTGTGTTTGAAATTTGAATCGCTGCATTGGAAAAAAGATTGTCGCGCCTCGAAATGCCCAGCGGCGAAGACGGCGGAGACAGGGACGCATTCTCCATTCTGCCGTCTGCTTTTGGAGAATTATTCGGCGACGTGCCTCCGTGCTGATGACCAGTTGGGGAAGCAGCTCGTCGCTCCTTCTGGCGTCTCTGCAGAGAAGCTCGCTCTTCCTGCTCCATAATGTAGGAATTCATGTGCCAGTTCACGGGTCGACTGCGCACGACTGGCGACCCGGCGGGGCTGGGAGAACTCGTAGTTCCACCATCGCTCCGAGACGCCTCCGGCACCTGCTTGCTTCCCCCACTGACCCCGCCGGGTCCTCTGAGAAGAGCCATGCTCCTAGAGTAATCCACGGATAATTTGCTCCCGCGCGCGCTCCGTGGCGGGCTCGGACTGTAAACCGGAATTTCGCCCGCCTGCGGTGTCTTCAAGAAAGCCGCCACGTCCTCGGGAAAATTTCGGATGAGATCTCGCGGAGGCGGCGCGGGTGGCGAGCACGTCGGAGAGAGGTTGACCACATTCTCAGTAAAATTGCTGTCCATAAAACGGATGAATCGTCCGGAAGCTGAGCTCGTGCCCGTGTGGGGCCGACTTTTTTGGTACTGCATCTGCATCTGCAGGCGGTCAGCCCGCAAGCCGCTGGCGGTTCGCGGCAACTTGCGAGGTTTGCTCTTGTTGCCTGCGGCGGGCTTGATAAGCTCAAACTCGTGCATCGGCATGACGAGCGCGGGTGGGACCTGCTTCGCCAGCGTCTCCGGAGCGACAGCGGAGCGAGCTGGAGCCTTACTGGAGGACGACGAGGACCCAGCGTGAGGCGGCGCTTTGCCGGTGGTCCCCCTAGCTTGCGGACTTGGGTTGAGCATTCCCTGACCCTGTACGCCGTCTCTTGGTAGCTCCGGAACTGCTACCCGTTTATTCGGCGATGCTACTGCATCGTCTTGCACAATCGCGCCATCCGAACTGCTTTGCTGACCGTTCAAAGTACCTCCTGCGCCTGCTGGCTCCGCCGCAGGAACATCAGCTTGATGTTCTCCCCGTATCCGCCCAGCGGTGCCCGGTCGGCTTCCGCTGGGCTCCAGTGCATGCGCGGTTAGGGGCGGCGTTTTTTTCGTGCTGAACAAAGTTCCCTTAGCCGGCTCAGGGGTCTGACGCGCTCGCCGTTGGTACGAGCGGCTCCCCGAAGGTCGCGCCGTCCGCCCGGTCCAAACCTTGCCCTTTTTCGCGCTTTGTACGTCATTCGGAGCGTTGAGAAGCAAGTACCGACTCTTCATGACGGGCTGATGCTCACTTTGTTCCACCAGATCGGTGGTTTCGCCCGGCGCAGGAGATGCAGCCAAGCGGAGGGTTGGGGACGGTGAACGCATACGCGACCCTCCGCTGGGTGACCGCGATCCCGATCCGGGGCGCTTCAAGAAGTTTGAGCTCGCAGACGACTTCATATTCTTGCCGTCCTGGTGGATTTTTGCGAAACTCATTCGGTTATATCTCAATCACTTATGCTCGTGGCTCCTGCGAGAGAAACTGCTATAATAAATTGCGGGAATCACAATCATGACGTGCAGCAGTAGACGACAAAAACTCATAAGCAACATACTTGATGAGGAGTAAAAAATCACTCTAGCACTGAAAATATGCCAACTCTAAGGTCCCTTCCTCACGGACTGGTTATTCCTTTTCAACATAGAAAACATACTCTGATAGAAGAGGCTATTAAAGCGATCATATGCATAATCACGTACTGTTTCCTCCCGCGCAAAGATCTGCACGTAGTGCAGCTTTTCCTGCCGCGGCGCTCGGGGCGGACCGACTGGTGGCGAAGCGTCCGGAGGCGGCGCCTCGGGACTGCCGAGCGGTGCGGTTTCGTTCTGATCCACCACCGCAATGTGCTGCGACGCGCCGCCAGCATCCTGCCGGGTCCCGGAACTCTGCGCTCCGGGGCTTCTGGCCTGCGGTTCTTCGTGTTGTAGGTGGAACTCCTGCGACCCCTGGGACAACGCCTCAGGGCTCGAGGACATGTGGCTTCGGGACAGAAACTGCTGCTGCGGGTGCGACTTTCGGACGGCTCCTCCACGCGTCCGCTGCGAAAAGGGTCCCTGCTGCAAGTGCTGCTGCAAAATGGTCTGCGTCAAATTGGGGAACCGGTTCTCCGCCTGGTGGTCGGACATCAGACGAGGCAGCAAAAACTGCGGCCGACGGGGCAATGGCTCATCCTCGCTTGAGCTCGACCCGCCGTGCGCATAAAAATCCGCCACGCCAGGGCCGCCCTGCAGAGCCATGTAAATGTGCCGCTCGAGAAAGCTGTTGAAATACGTTGGTGTCTGTCCCTTCCCCTCGCAATGGTGTTCACAAATTGATGACCGTTCAAGTGTCGCCATGCCTTTCGAGCATAACAAGTTCTGTAATAAATATCTAAATCTATGCAAGAATATTAACAAACAAGCATGCTTCAGTCTTTCAAAAAAGTAAAGAACTCGATCTGGTCCAAATGGCGTTTGTTGTGCGCAAGCTGCAGCGGCGTAACACCCCACAAGTCCTCTTCCTCGAGAAGCTTGCCCAATACGTTCCGCCGAGCGAACAGCTGGAGAAGCTGAATACCTGTGATGAGATCCAGAAGCGAAACAAGTTTGATTCAAACTTGTCTTGTCTAGTCAGTGAGTCATTTGTAGTCTCCTCGTGCTGCAGTTACTCCTAGTTGAATGATCATGGTCCAGACTGGAAACCATCGATATTTTTGATCATGAGCTAAGTAAAGTACCATCTTTTTTTGTGCAGGCAATGTGGGCGATGTTCCGACGGTTAGTGGCCCGCAGCGAAATATCAGCGCCGAGATCGAGCAGGGAGCGCACGATACGCACATTGCAGGAGTGCGTGGCATTTAGCAACGGTGTTGATCCGCTGCTGTCAACGACGTCGAGTACGTGTTGCACGGCAGAGAGCTCATGCAGCCCCTTGGACAAACATTCATACAGCTCTTCATGGCCACGAAGGCAGGCGAGCGTCAAACCAGACTGCCGAGAGTCCGGATGTAACGCGTACAGGAACGAGGAATCTTGTTCCACTTTTGCCTTTACCGCCCGGATGTCGCCCTTGCCACACGCCAAGAGAAACTGAAGCACCTGCTCCCGGGCGGAGGAGCCGGCTGATTTTACTTTGGCCTCAGCAACCATACTTAATCTGCCGGACGAAAGCTACCGCACTTTCGCGAGTACGCAACTATGTGATCTAAAGATGCAAACAACAGAAAACGAGCACACGATGACGATCATCCCACCAGCAAATATGGCACTGAGGTTGATCAGAGACAAAGATCGTAAAAGCAGCATGAGTTTACTGCAAAATCAAAAAGTACGAAGTACGTACATTTCGATCATCGACATCAAGCAGACAAAGCAAGCGATCGCAAAAACACGATACTGAAGCGATTTTCTCGCACGACCTCAACCCTCAACTACAGTCACTTCGTTTCATAAAACTGTTGTAATGCCAAGAATTCATGTGTTAACACAAGAACTTCTGTGGTATCATTCTACCTGTACTGCCACCGAAACAACCCGATCAAGCCGCTACCTAGCGGGAGAAGACGGACGAACGTCATCGAGTAAATACATACATACATACACGATGCACTTTGCCCTGTGTCTGGGGTGCGTGCCGCTCGATTTTTGATCGTGACACCGGGAAAGCGATCCACCCAAACGATTTGTACGGACGAGCAAGGGTGTGAAGCTACCCTCTGTGTTCGCGATGGATCTGGCTAGGCCCGGCGAACAACACAAGAGGTGAACATCGGAGCCGGGAGGAGCCTATGCAACCCCTAGGGGGGCGGGCGTACTTAAACGCTCCGGCAATCTCTATTCCTTGTTCCTGACGGCCACATCAAGGCGATTCTCGCTGCCGGCGCCGTGTTGCTCGATTTTGCCGCGAAGTGCCGGCACACATCGGTCACAAGCTACTAGCCTGTAGGTGATGCGGTCGGGGGGCATCCTACGCTTCCGCGGATGCTTTGCGCCCTCCTCGTCTGCCAAGCTTCTTAGACAGAAGAGGAGGGGCGCCACAATGCTTTCCCGTCTGGGCTCGCATTCCTCACAAGGCCCGCGCGATGCGGAAGACAGAGAGAAGACGAGCTACTGAAGATAACGGGTCCCCCGGCTAAGCCGGTGCCACCACGCACAGCAGTCCAGCCAAGCGGGCGAAGAACTGGGGCAGCTCCCGGCTTCCTCTTGTTGGTTCCCGGCAGTCGCGGCCCTTCGTGCCGTCAGCGCCTGCGCTTGGCGTGCGTCCCTATTGCTGTAGTGGCCGCGTGCTCTGACGCGCCACCTCCGCCTCGGGGTTGCGCCGTTGCGCCTGGTGCTTGCGAGCGCTGAGGAGCGCGCGCGGTAGGTAGCTAGCTAGCTGCTGGCCAACCTAACTGCGTTGAGACCCGCACCCAGGAAGCCGGGGCCGGTGTGTCTAGCTTCCCTGCGGGAAGCAGGCTGCGTCTCGCTCAATGTCTTCCGCTACGTGGTCGGCTATGCGAAGAGACTTTTGCACCAGCTGCGAACTCGTGCTAGGCGCCCCTCCCTACAAGGGCGAGGCGTTTTGTTCTAAATAACTAGCATCCGATAGCTTTCCTTCCCTGCAAGGGCGGGCTGTTCGTTAGCAAGACTGACAGACTTTCCGTGTTCGAAGTCTGTGCTATGATGTAGTTCGCAGCCGAACAATTGACTACCTGCTGGTAGCCCCCCTTCCCTGCAAGGGCGGGGATCGAGTAAATGAAAAATGAACCCTAACCCTTCGGTTCTTTATATTGGACTTGGACTTCTCATAATCGTCCCATCTTCTCGCGTCTGTCCCTAGAAGCACACTTCACAATTATAAAAACTTGCGTACGTCTTCAAAACGGCCTTGTTCGTCAAAAGCAGGTACTACTCCGTTCCTGTCGCTGCGATGGTACCAACGACCAGACAAACCGCGCGGGTCGTTCTTGATTTGCGAGAGGGTGTTCGGGTCTGCCGGATTCTTGACGTTACGAAAATATCGGGCTCGCACTGACTCGTTGGGCAGAAAAAGGTAGGAACGCAGAAGCCACAAGTCGTGGGAGAGCTGCGCCAGCCGACGCGCCAGCGGATCCGGAAATATCGCGTGGGGCGGGTAAGCCGGTTTGCCCACATATTCCGGCGGAGGAGGGCAGCCGGCCGGGACCAGCGGCAGTGGTTTTTCCACCTCTTCGTCCGCGCGCGGCTTCAGCAGCTCGCGGCTGTTTGGCATGAGCTTGGTGCCCAAGATGTCTTCGAAGAAGGTCTGACAAGCGCCTCTGGAGAGGTCGCGCCCTGCTGCCTGGCCGTTGTCTGGCAGCACGTGGTCTCGCGCCGAATCATTGTCGGCAGTGTGGATCATGCTCATGCTCTTGTTCATCCCTTTGCTTGTTTCTTGTATAGGTCCGAATTGCCGTTCAAATTGCTCGATCAGCTGTGCGGCCGGCGAGTCTTCCTTCTCAAGAACGAGCATGGGTTCGGGCACCCCCGCCCCTGTATTCGTCTTGTCGTCAGCTCGTTCCATTCCTGCGGCTTTGGCAGCAGCATCGCCAGCAGCCTGGACGGCGCGGACATCAGTCGTTCCGTTCTCAGACGCGCCTCTAGTGCTGTCGGTCGCGGCAGGAGCCCCTGCTTGAGCTTTCGGTCGCGGCTGCATAGAAGTACTTCTGAAGGCCGTGGGCGCTCGGCGAGTGTCCCAATCGGGCACCGAGAAAGAGTGGCTGTTCGAAAGTTTCGCGAACCCATCCTGCCAGGGTTTCAGCATTGCGGGAAAGTGTTTCTCGGTGGTTGCATCCAGGAACTTCAGCTCCCCCTGCACCGCCCGCAGGGCGAAGGGATCCAGTGGCCGCATTCCCACCCGGACGCGGCTCAGCCGCGGCCGCTGCCCTTTCTTGCCCAGCACCGCAAAAGCCTGCTCCAAAAATCGCTGGAACTCCGCGTACACCCGCTTCATTTCGCGGACGCGGCTTGACAGCTCCTCGTGGAAGCGGTCCGGCCGCTTTCGCAACGTACTGTAGGCCGATCCACTGCCGCCGACCAACGGGTCCGTGGCCGCGTCGGTCGTGCTGGTCACAGCGATCTTCTGATCCACGAGGCCGCGGAGCTTTGTGTACATTTTCTCGTACTCGACCGCGATACGGGGAAGCAGGTCATTCGCCCCCCCACCGAGCAAGTCCTTCAGGTCGTCGAAGACTTCGCTCTCGTCCGCAGGCTCGGGCGGGGGTGGAAACTTCGGGCATTTCAGCTTCGGCGGGCCCCCGGGGTCAAACGGCGGGTTAAAGTTCGTGGGCTCGGAATCGGTCACCAGCGAGTCCTGGGGCACGTCTCCCGCAGAGAAGTCCTCGTCGGGAACGTGATCCAGCTGCAGCGGATTCGAGCTGAAGAACGTTTTGATTGAATGAGGACGTCGCATTTGCATTCCGATTCCGGCCGAGTTGTGCAGCCAATTATACACCGTTGAAATGGCGATGTCACTGATGTGGTCGTTGCTGCGAAATAGTCTCGTCCTCCATTCGCCGAGATGAGTGCACGCATCTGAGACGCGCTGCGCAGCATCGGATCCGAACATGGTAAAAAGTACTTACATCAGATCTTTGAAGTTACTTACTCAAATTGTTTTCGCCGTTCCCCCGATATCGCTACCGCTAGAAGGACCTCCCGTGTGCGCCGCGCGGAAAACACTCTGTTGCAGATATCTTCGATTACACCTAGTTGTGCAAGTGACAGGTATTAATTGCAGGAGATGGTAAAGACTTTCCATGATAACAAACCAACGTCCGAAGATATTACTACAGAAGAAACGACACGATTGCGAAAAAGCACGAGCTGGGCTTGGGCACAAGCCAAGCGCATGTAAACTTCACTCAACGATAGCTGTGCACCCGCATTGTAGTTTTTGCTCCTATCAAATCTGCGTCAAGGTTCAGCCATCGAAACGAACGTCACGAATCGGGATTATTGACGATGGCAACATACGGTTGCAACGACACCACGAGCCGATACCAAATGGAAATGCCAAGTTCTACGCACACAACCAGTGATGACAGAAACAAATTGACTGTCAAAGTTGTGCCAATTCGAATCCTCGTATGGCTCTTTTTGCAGGAGATTGTTCTTGCGTTAAAGTTTTCCACATTGTTCTATCATTCTAGTGTCAACTAAAGTGACGAAGTCGGTCGCTTTTGTGATTGTGTCTGGCTGAGCGTTACATTAAAGAAAAACCGCCTTGCGGCTCCTCTTCCGTGTCCAAACACCATACGCCGGGTGTTAGTTTTTTCCGGCAGTCGGGGACTACTTGTAACCTCACGTATTGCTCTGCGCACTGTTTCATCAGCCGCTTTATCTCATGATCGGGAGGCGTTGGTACAACTCGGAAGCCGCATGATGTAGCAAGCTTCGCGAGGCCCCTCCCGCGTCGGTTTTCGCGGGGTGTCCGAGCAATATCGTGTGCGTCAAGAATGCGCCGTCGGTGGGGTGGTCATTGACACGTGCCCTGTCGCTCGGAAGGCTGTCCCGGAAGATTCGCCATCGCTGGGCGTGATGTCGCTTCAATGGACTGGGGGGGCAAAGGGGATGTGTGCCGCTTACACCACTAGTAGCAGTATTTGTCCCGGCCGTGAACTTTCACTCGCTCGTTCAAAGCCTCTTCCGCTGTCATTTCTTTGCCCATGTCCTTCTTCACTGTCCTGTAGGCCACACCCGCCGCACCATATACTTTTTCTCGTACCTGATGTGGACAAATTTCATATTTATAGAATTAGAATCACGATCAACTTCGAAAACATTTACCTTACAAGAAGTCTTCGGTGTAGCAGAGGCAAGGCTTCGAGGAAAGGACGATGATGATGCTATGTTCTGATTCCCATGGCGCTGCCGCCTCGCAACCAGACATTTACAACAACACACAATCGGTGAGCAGCACTTTATTTGTCATTCCTTGTCGGAGAAAATCAATAGACACGAAGACAAATTTCAGTATACCTGAATCGTGCACTTTTGCTTCTTGAGAGCTTTCTCGACTTTTTCCTGCATGGCCTTATCCAACGCAGCGTCATCTTCGTACTCATCTTCGCCCTTCTGGAGTTTTTTGCGCAAAATGCGGCCCTTTTTGAAGATTTCGAAGGACGCTGTCGTTGAGAAGTTCGAGGAAAAAGGAGCCACGATCATGGCGCTCCGATTTGAAAGCACCCTGGTTATTGTGCGGACTTCGTCTACACCGGTGTTGGGGTGCTGTACGCGAATTTCGTCGCCTGCCTCGAGTTCCGTAAGGAAAAACGTGTTCAGCCCCTGGATGGTGTCGCTCTGCGCGACGATTCGCCCGCTCCCATCCACTCTCTCGGGCTCCTCGTTATCGTCCTCACTTTCGTCCTTTCGCTCTCGCTTCTTCTTTTTTTTCTCCTTCTTGAGGGACGGGTCGCCCTTGAATTTCAGCGACATGGCTTTCAGTCTGTTCAGTCAAAAGAACTACTCGGTCGTGCACAGCTAGCTGCTGATTCATCAACTTCTACCTTGAGACAACAGTAAAGTTCTTCTCCTAGTAGTTCTCAGACAAGGTCGTTGCTTAGTTTTCCCAAACCAACCAAGTACAAAAAAGGCAAATCAGGGATGGAAAGGGGTCGCCAAAGCCAAATAAAGGGTCGTAAAAATTTTGGGGTGAGATCACCAGTACTGTTGAATAGTAGACGCGTATGCTTGCCAAGGACTCACACTTCCTCAATGAATTGCCGGTGCTGATCGATAGCAATAGGAGAAATCCGCGGAACAGTTGCATTTTGCTCGTTTATCCAGCAATAGTGTCGACGAAGCCGCGCCGACGCCGACCATTCCTATCTTGATTCATATTTCATCTTCCTTATTTTCATACAAGATTTGCAGTGGTGAAACGATTTTCTAGTCATCTCTCTTCTTCAAATTGATTCGAGGCCGCGTATTGCGTTAAGTTTGTTTGTACAATTGATTTTGTGGTGCTACGTCGATCACGATCTGGCTTTTCTTTATTTATTCATTTTGCATACAGATACCGTCCGACGATTTATAGCATTCAAAATTGGAATCACTTCATTGGCGGGAAAGGGAGCGCGAGAAGTACATTTTTGGTAACTGCCAGTTGTTCAATTCGAAACTTGGTAGAAGCTTTCATACATATTAAGGCTCAAATCAGCGATCAAGTCCGCGTACACGTAAACATACAGAGTTGGGGTCCGCGATCATCTCCCCTACACGTGTTCGTCCTCGACGTCATCCTCGTCGACGCCCCGGATTTCCTCGTCGGTGAGCGCTGGCTTGCCCCGCATGCAGAAGAAAAGCAGCACGGACACCAGAACGACGCTACCGACGGCGGCCACACCGTAGAGGATCATCGATTTTTGATCCTCCGCGGACTGCTCGTCCTTGCCGGCGCCCTTCCGCTGGAGGATCTTCTCCGCCTGAATTTCACTGCCGTCGTCGTTTTTTCCGGTCACCTTCACGGTAGCGATGACGACCGTGTCGTACTTGGCCTTGGCGGCGTCCGCGGCGGCCGCGTTGGATTCCCCCGCAGCGAAGGTCATCTTCCCGAGGCCGTCCGGATCCAAGCTCACGTCCACCGCGACATACTCGTGCGCGCCGGACTTTCCGGGCGGCGTGGCGGGCTTGGACTGTCCCTTCGAATCGAAGTGCACGTACCCCTTACCCGTGCCGTCGGCTCCGCCCAGGTCCAGCACAATCAGGTTCTTCTCGTCGTGTCGCACCTTCGCGGCGGTTAGAAGCATCTGGACGACTTCTGCTCCGTCTTTCGGCACCACGTTGGACTCGCGCAACTCGCCTGCCGCCTCGGTGTTGGACTTGCCGCCGTCCTCGCCGTCGGCCTTCGCGGAGGACTCTTCGTCCCTGTGTGTTCGTTGCGCGATCTTCTGCTGTTCCAGCGTCGTGGTCTTGACTGTGGTCTTCTTCACGTTCACTTGCAGGGCGGAGGACGCCGGTGGAGGTGTGGGAGGCATTGCGGGTTGTTTCCCTTTCAGCTCCACGGCCAGTTTCTTCTGCTGCGTGGCCGCTGGCTTGTTCGGCTGCCGGGAGGAAGAGCGGCTAGGTGGCGGCAGCTCCAACGCACTGAACGACGTTTCGGCTTGTTCACCATCAATTGCAGCATCGGCTTGTTCCTTTTCACCTTCACGCCCAATGGGATTGTCCTCTGCTACTGCAGCTTTTTTTACAGCAACTTCGTCGGCTGCTTGCTCCGTCGTGTACAACTTCTGAATCACGGCATCTTCACAGGTTTCTTTGGCGTTGATTGGGGTGCTCTCATCATTTTGCGTTTTGTGTTCCAACATTTTCAGCATCGTGATTGGATCCTCGGAGTCGTCGAACGACTCCTGCGCTCTGGCGCACCGTGCTTGAATCAACTTGCCGAGGGTTTCTTGATGCTTGGCAGCTCCTTCTTCGGACTTTGGCGGTTCGCCAGTGTGTGCGAAAAGCGCCTGCACGCCCGGGTCCCCCAGATCCTTGAAATCCAGACCGATGCCGAGGTAGCGATGCTCTCCCGTCCCTTCAGGCGGTCGTGCGTCCTTCTGCCCACCCTGCTCTTCGTCAATACTACGGTGGACGTACAACTGTTGCTCGCCGTTCTTGCTTTCGAAGACATCCACGATGACAATGGGCGGATGGGGACCATAGAAAACTTGATCCCCACCCTCCTCGTCCTTCCCCCTTCTTCCAGTCGCAACTTCCAGCTTCGACACCAGCGGCTGCAACTTTTCGAACCCACTTCCTGTAGGCGGTGTCGCGGCATCCTTGCTGTCTGCACCTTCTTCTTCGGCTGCTGCTTTACTGGGTTCTTCTTCTACATCTTTTGCCGATTCTGCGTCACGTCGTTCGCTAGTCTCAGCTACCGCATCGTCAGAACCACCGCTCGCCCTTCCTTCACGCAACTCTTTCGAATCGACCTGGAGCTGCAACGCGCTTTCGGGAGAGAAATACTCGATCTCGGGCTCGTCTTTCGTGATGATTCCACGAATGACATGTCCCATGGAAAAGACGAGAAGAATCGATTTTCCGACAGACATGGCTGCTTTGACTTTGTTTGCGTTGGTTTCGTGATATTACTTTTCTACGTGCACCCACCGGAAAAAATCCGTCTGGGCGACCGGATCACTATTCCCTTTCGTCTTTTCCGTATCGGTACAACCGCGTCACAACATGTCAAGAAATGAGGCAGTGCAATAAGATGACGACACAATGAAGATGACGATGAATCGAAATCGGTCAAATACGATTCCCACACGACCCCCGACGACACCACTGATTATCGTCCACCAGTCGAATCGGATTGACGATATCGATTTCTTAGCTTCCGAACCTCATGACGAGTCGTTGCGAACGCGAGACCTATAAACAGCGTAAAAGTGTTAAGTGAAAAAAGCCCACCGCCCGAGGTTCCTTCATTTGGAATCTACATAGTCGATGCATGTTTCAATTTCTGTACTTACTTCATTGACAAAATTTTCATCAACTTTAGGTTGACAAAATTTTGGAAACGATACATTTTGACACTTGAGAATTAGCTAACCGATACGTTTAAGTTCCAAAAGGGATTCTATGGAAACTTAAATATCAATCACGATCACCATCAAATGAAAGATTCACATGACGAATGAAGATATCAAATTGTATTCTACTCGAACTGTGTCAATCTTGAAAAGAAATCGGAAACGCTAGTATCACACCGAAACGCTAGTTAGATTAATATCTTCGAGGGGAAAAAATCATAAATACGGGAAAATAAAAATCTCTAGATTTACAAAGTACAACTGAATACGAAGCTACAAGTTATTTTTGTATTCACGAAAAGGTAAACAAGAAACGAAAGGTCAGGACTTGAGGCTAATTTGAATTCTCATCGTCAAGTTTTGGTTAAAATCTTTAGCTGTAAAAAATCCATCCGAGACGGAAATTTTGGATATTGTGATTGCTTTTTCGTCTTCGCTTTCCACCTCAGGAAACGGAAAAGACCCACCAGAAAATCACTTGGACTGGGATTTGACATATGTGCCACCGTGCTCCTCGGCAAGCTCCGGACGACCCCTACCGGCCGGAACGGTAGGTCCCTCGTCAGTCGGCGTCCCTGCGCCCACCGTGTAGTCGGGTTCAACTTGGTCCTTGATGAAGATACAGTTCTTGTGCTTTTTGACGACGGTCCGGTGAAAGTGGTCACAGAGTGCGGTGAAGCCTTGCAGGTGCGCGTTGACGACGTGTGCGAGCTTCGAAGACTTTTTGTGGAACTGGTACCGGCAGAAGACACTCCGAAACCGCTGCGTCACCTGGCTCAACAGAGCTGCTTCGTCGTAACTGCTGGTGCTGTCTTGTTCGGATCCGATCGAGTGTTGGTCATCCTTGCTGCCGCTTTCCACCTCGGCAACCGTTTTCTGTTTGACGGGCAGCAGATTGATGAAGGCGTACCCACGATTGGTGTTGTTTACCAAATCCTGTGGCAAGTACAAGAAGTCATAGCAAACCCCCTGCACAAACCTGTTTTGTGAGTTTAGTTGCTTGCGATTGCGGCCTAAGGGCGCGATACAACCAGTGCACTTTTAATACTGACTTGATGAACCCGGAAGCTAGCAAAACACTCATTCTTATCTTTCCACGTAATATAAAATGGCAACTACGCAATCCGTAGGAGGCAAAAAGTCTGCATGTGTGCGCGACACCAGAAGCAAGTACTTACCCGTGCTCGGTGAGCGCGTCTTCAAGTTCTTGAAAAGTGAGCTTGCAGGGGAGGTGCCGAATCATAAGCGTGGAGATTCGTGGTTGCGCGGCAGGTCCCGGGGTCGTTCCGCTTCCCGCCAGGTCTGAGATGCCGCTGCCACTTCCACACGGGCTGGACGCCGGAAGGGGAATTTTCTTCCGTTTCGCTGGTGGTGCGGACGGCAGCGGAGGGACGTAATTGGGCACGGACGCGAACTTCGTACGGATTTGGCCGGGGTGCTGCTGAACTGCTGCTGTTCGGGCGAGGTGTTGTTGAGCAGGTGGCCTTGCATCATTTTTATACCCGTATTGGTGAGGATGCGCGGCTGTCGCGTCGCGTGATTCAGAGCCATCGAAGCCGGCGCGACCGTCACAACTCCCTGCAAAAAATTCGTCGGAACTCAAATTAATCGCTGCGTCGTCGTTGCAGATGAAATAAATCTACTTAAATCAGTTACAAAACCGGCCGTTCTACGTCAACGTCGAAGATCGTTCGCCTTGATCATCAATATCACCATCAAGGCAAAAGAAAAACCAAAGAGGTCACATTTCCCTATGCATCGCGCTGTTGCAGCAGCTCTGTGCAGATGCAATACAACTTTTAGTACCTGCCTCTCGTTGCGCTTCGTCGTTTCCGTCGCTGCAATCGACTTCCGGATCACTTTCCAGGTAGTCAAGCCGCCGCACATGCCGCGGATTTTTCCTCGGCTTCGCGATCTCCCGCTCGCCCTCGTCTGGCGAAGACCGCGACTCAGATTTCCGGGTCCCGGTTTTCTGACCAGCTCCTCCTGCTGTTTCCAGAAGATCTTCGTCGTCCGGTGAGCACGCAGTTGTTAGAAGATCGGTGGACGAAGCACCGCACGTAGTGCTGCTGCGCTGGCCCCTAGTACCGTCAAACCCTGTTGCGGCATGCTGCGGGTGCACCACGTGTGCGGGGTTATACCCGTAATACGCACCGGCGGCTGTAACCCCTTCGTGGTAATTATGGTAGTAGTCCTCGGGGCTTGCGGGCCACATCATGGGCCCTGGGGGGGGACTCATCATCGGCGAGGCTGATGAATTTATCGTGCGACATCACATGATTGCCATGAAAATTATTCACAGGAAAAAAAAAGGTGGAGAAAGGTTGCTGCACAAATTACAGCATATAAAATTGCACGACTTCTTCTAGTTTTTAGGTGCATGTAAGTAAAAGAATTGCTTCCGATATAACATTTACGCATCATGCCGGGCCACATCCCCGGAGGCGGTCCAGCGCGCGGGTCGTAGCACATATGCGGGTGGTACATTTGCGGCCCGTAGTATCCCAGGTGCGGCGTCGGTACACCGTAGCTGTTGCCGGGTGGCGTCTCGGGGCAGTTGGGATAAGCGATGTCGGTTGTGGCCTATCCCATAGAAAAAGACATGCAGGGCACAACTAAGTAAAAGTAAGAGAAAAATCTGTCATGCGCTCCCCCATTCGTTCCCATAGCGTTCTGTTTATCATATTTTGCGTATTTTTGCTCGCGTTACAAATATGCCCTGCCTGCCTTTTTCCGCGGAATATGGACGCCGTCGGGCTCATCGGATGAAAGTTATGCACCGGGGGCTGAGCAGCGTACTCCTCCATGGTCAAGGAGGTGCCTTCGTGTGTTGCCGACATCTTGTGCTGCAGAAGTCCACCCCCCACAGAAGACGTTCCACTACTACACTCGCGTTTGTACTGAAAAGACGAGGGAGAAGACGCTTGGCTTCCAAACACGCCACCCATCGGCGAGCAGCCACTGGTACCTTTTTATTTTTTTTAACGTGGGAGTTTATTCCATGTTTCCTTTCTTTTTGTTTCAACTTCCTGGCGCCGCTTCCCTGAGGTACTTTTAAAGCACTTAGCAAGTCGTGAGTACTACACATGATCCATGGACACAACTAATTTTGATGTGTCAGCACAGCTGCGGCCTAGCCCTAGACCGAGGTAGCGATCACGCGAAGCGGCAAAGACTACTCGACTTTACCATCATCCATGCGGCTGTCGTCCGGCTGCGTGCTGCTTTCGACGACGCTATCCGGCAACTTCTCCAGTTCCGGGGACTCCGCAGTCCGGATCGTAATATCTGCGACATTTTTGTATCGCTTTAATTGGTTCCGTCAAATCAAACAGTGACCTAATCAAGAACAAACGTTGTAGTTCTTAGACACAAAAAGCACACTTTTTCTTTCTCAGGTTACCTGGGGAAGAGGCGGAGCCCCTGCTCGCACAGCTAGTGCTCGTGGTGGTCCTCGCACGCCGGTCTTCAGTGAAGCTTCCCTGCTCGAAAGACAGTTCCTCGAGGGTTTCTCGGGGAGTCTCCTCAACCATAGACAAGTCCACCTCGGGCATGAAGACTGTATTCGACGTGCTCACCTCCTCCTGCATGGGGGTCGTCTCCTCCTCTTCTCGAATGGCACTGTCATCTCCCGGCGCAGTCCCTGAGGACAAGGGAAGATGGCTCAAAACGGAGACCTCGTCGGCAGCCGGTGGGTATGTTGGGAGCACAAAAGACACTGCGTCTTGAACGTCGTGTCGGGCAGGAGCTCCTTCGCACTTGTTCCTCGTCACACCCGATAATCTGGGCGCCGCGCTTGAGGTCGTTCCGCGTTGGCGAGAACGCTGGGCCGCAAGGTGGTTGTCATCGCGCGTGGGGATAGTCGTTCCGTTTGCGGGCTCTTCCGCCGTCGAATTGTTTGAAGCAGGGACTGCCTTGGGCAAAGCAGTATTCGCACTCGTAGAAGTACCTGCGAAAATGGTTTTGATTTACCCTGCTTGCTGAGGGAAAAGGTGCAGTACCTAAATGTAATCGGACTCCAGACTTACGCATGGCAAACGGAAACGAGAGCATCTGACAACGCATTTATAAGTTGATTATACCAGGCTGCGCCAGAACGGCCGGAAAAAACTGGATGAGAAAAACAACGAACACCGCTACCAGAGCGGGAAAGATATACACAAAAAAATACCCATCCCGATCCATTTTTTGCATGACATACACAGGACGTCATGCATGTTTTGCATGACAAACTCGATGGGGGTGAGTATTTTTTGTGGATAAAAGGCGACGAAATCGTACAGCAAATCCGCCAACATGTTGCAGAAAAAAGAAAAACGCTAGATGTGGGGCGGCCCGAGCTACGATGCCGCTTTCTACTACAGGATTTGTACGAAGAAAAAGAAAACTCAGTTCGGCAATGATGCAAACGACGGGGCGACGAACGATTCGTAACTCTGCTCACGGCTTCCTACCGACCTAGCTACCCGATCAAAGCAAATCACATTCGCTCGTAGACACGACTCTAGCATGCGTACTCGACTGACCTGATATAATTACAACACATCAACGAACACGGAAAGTCCGCGAGGAAATGACATTCTAGCTCGCGATTTCTTGTTGAGAATTTGAAGGAACACCAGCACAAGGATCAATCTCTGCTACTGCTCTGCAGCGGGGACATTCATCTACACGAAACAACGAGAAAAATTGCTTCATTTGTTGCTGCATTCGTCGTTGCTTGTCACTTTGTCACTTACAGTAATTCAACCCTGTAGTCGAGCATTTCCCCTGCTCGAAAGGGAACTACGGCATGGTCCTTCCCTAGGATATCGTCGCCGAAAGTATCTGGGACGTAATTGATCTGCTTAAACAGCCGCATTTTTGGCCCTTCGTTTTTCGGGAAGCCGAAAAATTCAGCGCCGAAACGGCCGACAAAGTCCGGCAGCAGGTGAAGCCTCTGTGCCTGCGAAAAAATGTCCGCCAAGTATTGTATGACGAGCCCGCCAGTGAATACACCAGCAGCCGCTACCGCTGCCTCCTTTTTTGACCTCGGGTGCGGCGCACTGTCGCTGCCGAAGAAAAATTTCGGGTTGCCGCTAAAAACGACCTGCGATCATATTGCCATTGCGGTCAAGTATCAATCTTCACGTTCCATCGCGAAGGCACACGCTCATGTACCTCCATGCGGTTCGGGCGGGTATCAATATTAAAGAGGAAGCAACGATTCTTTCATCAAGCTTAGCACAGTCACAATACCTCTCTGATTTTGTTTCGATCGTGTGGTAGCTTCGGAATGGGCTTGCAGAACATGTGGCAGCAGCCAACCACTTGGTCGATGCAGATGTCGAGGTGGTGCGCCGTGACCGTGGCGGCCACGTTATCCGGAGGAAAAACGTCCCCAACCCAGAGTCAAAATGATAGGGAATCGACTACACCAGCCTAGACGCTCACTCACTTTTTCGGAGTTGTGCATGACAAGTTTCCATCCACAGTGTAGTGGTGGTTAGAAAATGAAGGCGCATGAGAGAGCCATATTCTCTTCCTGTTTACAGCATGTTACAAATCCCAAAACACTTTTGGAAATGCCTCTCATGGAGACGAGATGCACATTACAAATGTTCCAGCTCCTGTCATTCTTGTACATTTGCCTCAACACAACTCTGGGGTGGGGACGTTTCTCCACACGATACACGTTGGCTGGTAGGCTAAGCACGGTTTCCACTGCATCGCGGGTCGAAACATGCTCCAGCACGATTTTCAGGCGGGGAAACTCCTTGGCGAGGATCTGAAGCTCGCCTAAAAACATGGCTTCCGCCAGCATGACGCACTCGTTGGGCACTTCCCCGTGCAGGTGCAGCACCATCCCCAGCTCCTCCATCTTCCGGAACACCGGGTAATACTGTTCGTAACTTTCCACGCCCGCATCGCTATTGGTCGTCACCCCGCGGGGGTAGCTCTTCACACCGGTGACGATCTTCTTCGCTTCGCCGGTGGTCGAGCACGTCACGACGCAATTAAAGGCCTTTTCGATTTCCTCGGGCGTGAGTTCGGGGCTGAGGTACAGCAAAATTTTATAATCGATAGAGGGATCGATTTTGCTCAGTTCGTCGTAGTAGTCTAACGCCTTGGCCGTGTTGCTCACCGGCGGGATGGTATTTGGCATTACGATAACGCGCTGCACGCCGCTTTGTCGCAACAAGGGCACCACAACCCGACTCATGTCTCCCTGTCGCAAATGCACGTGCCAGTCATCCGCAAGCGGTAGCACTAAATCCTCCGTCGGTGCTGCGGCCATCGCTCTTTTCTAGTATGAATGAAGATGATCAAGACCTCTTTTTGAAGTAAATCAAGAAGGAAGCGATACCCTTTTGCGCTAGCTACAGTCTCCTGCGTCTTCTGAGACTGGATCAGCCGAGACCAGCTGTTCGTCGAAATTCTACCGAAAAGAGTTTACACGACACCACAGTCGCACGACTCGGATCACGATTCATTTTTTGGGGACAGAACAAGCGTGCTGCCAAGAACTTCACTCAATTTCGATTTTTCTTGGCTCAGAACGCAGGTGTTAGGAGTCAGCCGATCTGTGAAAAACCAATTGCTGAAATTCAGCCTACTTATGTCGAGAGAAACACAAACAGTCACTCGAGGCTTGTCGCTTGATTAACTTGGTTTTTGTTATCATTTCCTAAAAGGCGACGAACAAAGAAACAACAGGAGGAGGTAGGAGAGGTTCTTGACGTAGTAGTATTTATTCTATCGCGCGTTTAGCACTCAAAAGCGCTCGCCCACGTTTGGTTGGATCAAACCGAATCTGATAAGTGCGGAGCCACGCCACCCTCGCAGTACGCCCTCAGACGGAGTAAAACACGTCCCTACCTGCAGCGTGGCTGAAACACTACATGTCCTTACGACATATCACCTCCGTTTGTCAAAGAAGTCAAGCCTTGGCCGTGAAGCAAAAGCCGACGATCCGGGGCGCCCAAACTCCCTCGTCGTCATCTTCGTGCTCAATGAAGGATCGACAACTTCAGGCTTTCAACAGCGCTCCCCAGGCTTGTTGAAGGCCGCGGGGGCAGCCTTTTCCAATTGCCGGGACGTTTTCCTTCGGGGGGGGTGCGGCTCGTTTACGCCGGGGGATATCCACGGACCCGCGTGCGTTCTTCGATTCAGCTGTACGAGTCCGCGCGCGAATTCAGCCGCGCGCTGCTCCGGCCGCGGCCCCCCCCCGGGGCCGTGGACTGCACCCCAGTGCGGTAAACCTGGCCGCCCGGCTGTACGCCGAACCAGCCGTCAATCTGGTCTCCCACAGGCCCCTCGCGCGGAAAGTTTGGAAAGTCAGCCCCCGCCTCTTGAAGTGGCAGGGTTCGCGTTGCCATGGGGCACGATGGGCTCGCCGTCCTCCCGCTGCTCCGAGTGCCCCAGGTACCCCATGTGCAGGGCCGCTATGGCTTGCGCGTTCTCCGCGGACGCGTCCTTGTCCGCCGTGATGTCGCACACGGTTCATCAGCTGTACGAGTCCACCGAAGAGACTATTTTATTTCTTCCAAAACGAACTATATATTATAAGCAACTGTTGTAAGTACACGTTTCAGATGAGGAGCATTTTTTTTTCTCATTGTCACCGCAGAAGGACAAGCCCCCTGTAAGTAGAGTATCAATCTAATCTTAATCTTATAGCAAATTGAAAATGCCCCCGTCCGCCGTCGGGATTGGTTCATTTCTAGTGATCGCCATATTTCTTGTGTTTGATTCAACGGCATGAACCTTGGAGAGGAGACGTGTTGCATCAGGGAATTTTTAGTGCGATAGAATTGATCTTCCCGACACAAAAGAAACCCAACCTCAGCTCATACCTACAACATAGTGCAAAACGCCCAGCGGGCTGTAACAAGGCTAGCACTAGTGTTTACTCTCTCGTAAGTTCAAAAATATTCAGGCACTCCCAGCACGGAGTGGAAACACGACTACAGTGTTCCTGTCGTTAGTTCTGATCTTATAGTCACAGTGAAGATCTTTAGGTGTGGTCGCGCCGTTCTGTGTTACTGCGTATTCGTATATGAAAAGCTGATTGGTTTCTGTTTCTGAAATTTCTGAAGTGTCAAATTGTTAGGCCTTTTGCAAATAGTACATCTCGTCTTTGTGCGATTGCGATTCTCATATCGTCCACATTACTTTTTGTAGCGTAATGCTGAGTTGTATATTTAATTCACAGCGAAGTTATAATACCTTTCAGCACATCAAAGTGCCGCGGCAAAGCATGCCGCTGCTTCACTTCTTTTCGCTCTGCAACTGGATACCGGCACTCCGCGCGTAATCGCGGTTGTAGGTGGTCATCGACGCCACTTGCCGGGAGCCCTTGTCATTAATGGAGGAAAGCGGCAGGTGGCCAGTGTAGCCGGGGATATTCAGATGGTACTGTTCAGCGAGGTTGTACCATTTTTCGCGCTCGTTGATTCCGCACTCGATCTTCGCGCAGTGCGAATTGGCCGTGTTCATCGGAAGGTAACCTGTTGGTTGTTCACTTGCTTTTTTATCATGCAGTTGCATTTCTAATCAATGCAAGATCCCGATCAATGACGTATGCTTCGTCGGTTCGGTGTCCTTGATGCAGATCCAAAATCAAAATGCAAAGCAACCGTGAAAACCTGAATATGCATGGTACCTTGGTAACCCGGAATGTGGAATGTTCCTCGCGTTGTGCCGCGCGTCAACTCAGTCTTCAGGGTCACAAACTTGTTGATCGACTCCTTCGGAAGATCTGTGAAAAATTCATTGCATCCACTTGGGATTTTTCAGATACTGGTGCAAAACAATGGAAACGAGAAGAACGACGCAAATCTTATTCTTACTTACTAAAAAAATACAAGAAATGCCAGCTTCTCCGCACCGTGATCAATGTCCGACAAAAATATCCGGTTACCTGGCTCGTCTCCCACACGGCCTTCTTTTGCTACGTCTCCGACTTTTGCCATGAGTGTCTTCTCCAACACGGCGCGCTCGTCTATTACTCGAGTGTGGCCATCTTCCTTCGGTGCGATTCGGCCATCGTAGTTGTAGGACGGAATTACAAGCTTCTCCGTTGGGATACTTCCTGCCGCACTGTTTTCGTTTTGTCATTGTCGACCTTGGCGCCTTTTTTTCTAGTTCTGAAACGCAATTTGCTCTTGCTGAAATAACCAGAGAAAACCAATCACGAGATGAATAATACAAGAATATTGAGTACCCATAATCTGCGGCATAGGAACTGGTGTAGGGCTCTTCGGCGAGGCACGTTGGTGGGTGCGCTACTTGAAATTTTGGTCCTCGGAGGCGCACGTAATTCTTGCACTCTGCCGGGCACTGTTTTCGTTATCGTTTGAAATTGAATACATCATTTCAGTTTCTCATGCGCTTGTCCAGTAATCTATCTGTAAGCGCTAGCACTCAAAAACAGCACGTAATGCACACAGCCGACATTCAGGAAAAGTGATACCGCATAGCCGTCCTTGTTGGTTGTCTCCCTGTAAGTCGACGACCATATTGCAGCTCCTGTTCGTGATGGACCACTCGCTCCCCCTGACAGTCCTGCCGTTGCTTCTGTTGGCGCCTGGAGGTGGAGTGTGTGTCCCGTCGAAAAGCGACATCATTCATCGATTTTATTTTGGAGATATATTTGATGACAGCACACGACATGAGGGCCGCAGTGGAGTGCGCTTTTCCAATAGCATCAAAGTTGAGCGTCCCAAGGAGAAGGACAGGACGTGAAATAAAGAGAAAACGGTGATCGCTTTTGACCTAGCTCGTTAAAACCACAAGAAAATTCGTACCTTGCTCAGCGTAGAGCTGAGTTTCTGTTCCCAGTTTGCTTCGAAGGTCGGACCTTTTGGCTTCTCCTCCTCCTCTCCGGGTTTCTTTTGGTGCACCTGCAGGGTAAATAAGAACATACTTACGAGGTGGAAGACAAAATAAAAGCAGCTGCCAACATAAAGATACAATTCCGCTTGCGCTTCTCGAGGCGAGCGATAAAATTGTAAAAGTTAAAGTAAGTAAGTACTAGCAAAGCTGCTGGAATAAGCGGCTTCTGTGGGTTGGTGTAGTCCTTTGACTTGACGGTCTTGTTATACTGGATGTCATACTCATTCCCGTCCTTTAGTTGGTGCTGGATGAAGTTCTTCCTGCATGTGATTTGTTTCAAGTATTTTCCTGGCCACATGGACATGAACTATGCCATCACGGAAAGCATTTTCAAGCATTGCGAAGTGAACAAGTTAAAAGCGCTTGATTGATGCATCCGTGAAAGACGAGAAATACTCTGAGAGCTTGACTTCTGTCGTGTAAAAGCCATCCCTGTCGTAGAGACCTTGCCCGGGTTTTGCGGCGATAACAGGCGCATCTTTCGTTGAAAGGAATATCCCGTGCTGTGTTACAACCTTCGGGATGTGACTTATGTGGTCCTTCAACTTGATTTGAGCCTCGGTCGCCATTCTTGCTGAAACGTTTCGGCGCGGACGTGCCGCTCGGAGCCTTGTCCCTTATTCAAAAAACGCGCTGCTTTGATGCCGCAGAATAACTATAGCAGCGCTCGCAGCATGATGATAACTCTAAATTTTGTTTTTCTGTCGCCATGAACAGTTTTGATTTTCATTTTCGCGAAGATAGTGCCGGGGAAAGCAGGCGGACGCCCACTACTGCTACGGTAGCAATCCCGATTGACGAGAAATCGAGCGAACGACGACAACAACAAACTCCGCCTCTCAAAATAAGCTCCACCATCCGAATAAGTAACTCTCCTCCTCTCTCACGACGTGGTGTCGCCAGTGCCGACACGCTATCGACTGCAACCAAACATCAAAACGATTGGGCAGAAGGTGGAGGATCGCGAAAAATCTATAAAGTACAAGTTGCACCGGCGTGATAGATCGATGCTTCGTGGGAACAACCAACAGGGCGCCGTACGAGGCAAAACTGCCAAGAAATTGAGGCAATCTTTAGAAGAAGTGCCACGATTCATACAATGTACCATCACGATCGGCGCGACATGGCCAGCACATGCCAAGGATTGCTGAAGCTGATCTCCGTCGTAAACCAAATGTCTGGAGCACAGCGAGACAGAATGGAGGACGAGCCAGCTGTGGAGTCTTTTTGTCTTTATTTACGCACGACCCTGTTCGTCCGGTTCTGCCGTTCTGCATCGATTCCTCTCGACCAGTACGCAGGCGTACGACCACCCCAGTGATGAACCTAGAGATCATTTACGCAGGCGCGGCTAGCTTTGCGCAGAGGCGATCGACCTTGGTCTGCACACTGAAGTCCAGGACGGATTCGCCCATCTTCACGACGATTCCACCGAGAATGCTGCTGTTCGTCGTGTACGAAACTATAAGCTCGCGTCCACTCTCCCGCTTGCGCAACATCGCTTCGACCTGAGTGGAAAAAGGTTTCTGGGGCGTCACCAAAGCACTGGGCGGGCAACATGTTTTTACAACATGATGTTGTCCAGCACGCAACAAGAACACGGAAGCTACTGTTCGACAACTGCAAACATACATATCTGTACGCGTTCTCTGTCTTTGGGTTGCAGGTCTTTCACCGTGGTGACTTGGCACAAAAGCTGGTTTTTCTCCGCTCGGTAAAACACCTCATAATTGTCGATCATCCGCTTGAGGTCCGCGAGCCGGCGGTTTTCCAGAAGCGTTTTCAGGTAGTTCATGGTTATTGCATCGTAGCCGTATTTCTCGCTCATGGCCTGAAACACCTCCTGCTTCTTTGCGGGCTGGATGGCGGGACTCTCTACGAAGAGCGCAAAGTCCTTGCTCTCCTCGTAGCACGATCGGACGTGAGAAAGATCCGTGAACACCTGGGATGTGATTTATTTCCTGCCTCAGGGTTGTAGCGAAGTGATAGATAGGCTCAGGCTGTTCCTTGTCGTTGTCAACACCTGCACGACTAGTACCGAAACAAAACTGGTGCAGTTTCACGAGACAGAGCAACCTTTGATGCAACATATGGAAATCCAAAGAATTTGCTTGAATCAGAAGGACGAGTCGCAGAAGGCGCAACTACAACGGTGCTGTGCGATGGATACCTTGTCTAAGACATTCTTCTTCTTCGAGGCGTCCAGTAGCGCGCCGGAATACCTTCCCGCCAACGACAAGTCCTCATGCTTCCGAGCTTCAGAAGCGAAACAGCGCCTTGCAGTGGCGGCCGCAGAAGAATGGGAAGCTCTGTTTTGCGTAGCTAGCTGACCGCCCGCACGACAAACAAGACGCCCAAACATTGTAGAAGATGTCAACGGCTGCGAAGAGCCGAGCTGACCTGCTCTTTCAATCGCCGCTTTTCTTGAGTACCACGACCCTCAGGGAATCTGAATCTGTTGCATCACCAAGAGCGGAAAAAAAAACACAAACATATATTTCGTGCTGGCAAACGGGAAAGTAAGTACTTCTAGCCGACGCGGAGCCCTTTTACGTCTCATCTTTTCATCCGAAAAAAGGAAGAGCGATACAGGGCGGAGCTTCGAACGTGCGGACAGGCATGTCACACGCAGCGAACAACAGGCACACGCAGGCCCCTACGCTGTGAGAATAGAAACATATCATGTTGGTCCAGCATGTTGTGTTCATCTTTATTTCATTTGACATTTGTTCTATACCTCACGAGAGATGAGTGAATGTCTGTGTAATAAATCTGATGAACGTCCTCGCTGGATGGTACTGCAGGAGAGCCCAAAGGCAAAACATTGCAGTCGCACTCCCGGTCCACCACTTGCGGCCGGGCTTTCGAGAAACAGACGCCAGACCATTTCCACGCATCGTCGAGACAGTCGCCACAGACAGCAGCTGAACGCATTCACTGCCAGTATCCACCTCGCTCGCCGTTTCTAGAGACGCGAAAGGCTCCAATGGCTTCACCAACCGTGCAGCACCTGCTCCCGGTCTGCACAGCGAAGAACCAGATCCTCGTTTCTGTAGCGCCGGATGTTGAACTCAAGCTTCTAGAACAAGAACAACAAAAAAATCTTCACCAGATATCACCTCGCAGCGGCAGCGGTCGCGGCACGACTATAACAGAGAAGGCCGCCCCGTCTCTGGTCAAGTATTCCCCGATTCCCGCCGGGTCTGGTACCTCTGGAAGGCGGCCATGACGTACTGGAGCTGCATAACCCGCCGAACCTGGGTTGCGATGTGAATGTACTGAATCATGTCGCGAAGGTTATACCCTCCGATCGCTTTCACACGGTCGTAGTCCTCCCTCGTCAACGCCTCGGGAAAACAGCAAAGCTTCTTCAGAAACACCTTGTGCATCAGCGTCAAGTAGAAGTTCAACCTGCAAGTAGAAAAAAATATAAAATGGTCCTTTAACTTTGCACAAAAATAGACACCATCAGAACCGCCCGGAATTGCCAATTCCTAGAAGCACCTATTGCTATTCTTCCACCTCTTACAACTCCGTTGATTGCTTAGTATAGCAGTGGACGACCATGAACAAACAGTAAGCTAGCATAGAAGCGAAGGTAGATAGAACCCAACTCAAAAGAAAAACCTTGTGTAGTTAAAGTCGTCAACTTCTAGGCCGTAGACGCGAAAAACGTAGGCGAACAGCGCTCGTCGAATCGGGAGCGTGGAACTGACCTTGATACCGCCGACGGAGGAGTCGGTGTAGCTCTGTACGTACTCGTACTCTTCGTGAATTGCGTCAGCGATCTCGGGACAGTACTGCCCTAGCAACGGGTACGCGTGATCAGCCCAGCTGTACTGTGACGCCGCAGACGCGGCACCGGCCCCATAGTCTACGTACTTCAGCTTGAATGTTTCTGCGCCTTTTGTACCGACATCACTTGCGTCCTCAAGGCCCGTAAGCTCCACCCCACTCGCGCGCGCGAGCAGAAAATCGCATAGCGGCGCGCGAACGATCGGTCGCGCAGCCATCACTTCCTGCAGGGAATGCCGCTCCTCCTGAGTCAGCGCGTTGTCTGTCAGTCGCCCGAGCTCGCGCCAGTCCTTCTCGCTTTTTATGGGGTTCAGCAACTCTTGCTCCTCCTGCTTGGAGATGAAGTAGTACCTGTAATTTAATGATCACCAAGCAGAGAAGGGGAATCGAAAGTTCATATGGAAATCAGTCCGACTCGTACGGAGCCGCCTCATAACACAGCCTTTGCAGCCAGTGCGTTGGTGGCAAGAATATCGGAGATGACCACACCTGACGCCACGCTTGGACGTCCAGAAAGCACCGAGAACACTGTGTGCTCGTCAAAGAACATCCAGCAAGCATGATAGTGATACTACCAGTTCGCGGACTCGGAGAGATTTTTGCGGAAGCAGCAGGGCAGGTGGGCGAGCACCTGAGCTCGTTTGGGGTCCTCCAAAACGACGAGCCGGTGCTTTTCTTTGTCCCCGCCGCTGCTCGTGCTCTGGCGTTCGAGCGAGGTGAGGTCCTCTTCCTCCGACCGCGCCGTGGCAAAGCTCGCCGTTCGGTAGCTCTCTTTGTTGCTGGCGACCATCACGGTTTTATTCTTACTCGTGTTGTTTTCATCCTCCTCTGCGACACCCGTGTCATCCGGCGGCTCCGGCTGCGCTTGCGGCGCGGGAGCTATGAGCGATACAGACTCGGGGGATATTTTTCCATCGGTGCTTCCGTCGGTAAGGATCCACTTTTCGTCCCCCGGTGCCAACGGGTCTTCGAGCTCTAGGCCGAGCGCGAACACAAACGCCGACATGGAATGGTAGGTACTCAGGATCGCCAGCGCCGACAGCAGCTCCGTGCTCGACCACCGGCAGGCTGAATCATCCGGGTCGAGCAGCTCGGCGAAACTCACGACCGCGGTGCCCCGGCTCCTGTCGTGTTTTTCGGGACTGTTTCCGTGAGACGGAGAGGTCGTAGTGCCCTCCCCGGTTTGCTCCAGCAGCAGCCAGGGCTGGTGGCACATCACTTCGTTGAACTTCGCGATCGCGAGTAATTTTTTCGGAATTACGTCGGCACGCCCCGCGAGCCAGGTGCGGTCACCTCCAGTAAAAATGAAGCTTCGCCTTGTAGTGGACATCACGACACATAACAAAAACACAGGATCGAATTCGTCGAACGAGTTCTTGGACAATGACCAGCTACAGCTTTTTTTACGACGAGGCCAATCATAATCGTCTTAAATTGGCCTCAAAACGACGGCCTAAAAATTGCTGCTGAGTAGAAGGAGTAAACAAACAACTACCTCCCACTAACAGGAACATTTCCGCCGCGTGCCGCGCAAGATACTCGCAGCGCAGTTGCGTGGCCCCCAGCAGCGCGAGGTAGTGCCGCCACGGTTTCGGCAAAGGACCCTCGTCAAACAGGAGCGCGCGCTTCGAGGAGAAAAACCGGTCGAGGAAGCCGTCGTGGGCTGCAAGGGCCCAGTGCAGCGTCGTCAGGTTTCCATTCTTCTGCTGAAACAGGTCTTGCCAACTCGGGCTCCCGAAATCCACGGGAGGTTTCTCTGCCTCCCCTGACTGGTCAAAGGAAGAGCCGCTGTGTATCAAAAGGAAAAATCCCCCCACCCCATATCGAAATGGAAATCTGTGATGCGGGATTTGTGTACACAAATCGGCTTTGTATTGCAGGAATGCATCGCGGCCACATCCCCAGGCTATGTAGGGGCGTATCGGTCTAGTTGTTCAGCACGGCAAACGGCTCCCCTTTAGGCCCAACAGCGTGACAAATCGCCTCCATAATGGGGGCGAAGCTTTTGCCCTTGTCTTCTTGCAAGACAGATGCGATTTGTGACCTCAAATCAGCAAAGCAAATTTTCGGAAACATGCCTTTTCGATATGGGGAGGGGGGATTTTTCCTCACAATACTGTGCGAGCTCGCAGTTGGCGGATGCAGGAGCGCACTATCAAATGTAAAAATGTCTGGGTCTGAAAGAATGCAAGATTTGTGATGCAGTTTTTCCATCATCATCATCATGTAGTGGACACCCTCTCCCAGCGCCACAGGTCAAGGATCCCCTCCCCGGGGGGTGGGCGAGGGAGCGCTTTCGGCAACCTCATCATACAAAAGCCGAGCGCTACCACGGCAAGTCGCCCCAAGAAAAGTGCCAACCAGTCGGGAGCTACCCACCACACCTGATCAGTACAGCCCGGCCAGCTAGCCGAGCGCGACAGCCCAACATACAGAACGATCCAGGACCCGACCCATTTTACGCAATACGTTTTTGTTCTCACGGAAGAGACGACGTACCCCTTTGGGTTAAGGCGCGAGACTTTTCCATGACCCATGAGGCCTGGAATGCAGCATCTAGCATGACAAACGCTGTGACGTGTCTATCATGCATATCCTGCATGAGAAACTCCCTGTCAAACTGATGAAAAGTGCACAGCTTTTGGTAATCATGCAACACAAATTTTTGCATGCTTCAGATTCAGCATGACAAGTGGCATCCTTCCAGACCCAGACATTTTTGCATTTGATACGCACACCACTGGGAACACTTTTCCCGGACCTCAAGTTGGGGACTAAATTGCGCAAGCCGTCGCAGCCTGAAGAAAGAGTCACGACAGAAAATGGACTGCATATTGTGACGTCGTTTCCGCATATTTATAAGTAACTTGAACCTACGTAGAGCATGGAGTTCTTGACGACCCGAATAAGGGAACGTGAAACTACTTGGATGCTCTCGTCCCTCTCCGTTGCTAAAGACAAAAAACACCTGTTCCACAGACGAAACGCTTTTTCCCTTTCTTGTGGCTCAGTGGCGTGACTACTCTGAGCGAGGTGCTCGATCTCCTGGCCGAGGTTCTCGAAGCCTGCCGGCGTCTGGGAAGCGAGCAGAAACCCGACGTGCTCCACGGCGCAATCCAACAGTTTGTCGATGCCCTCCATGTCCAACTATTGGTTTTCCGTCCTGTCCACGCATAATCGAAAGGCAAGAACTCGTACACTCTTCTTCTAACCCATGATCTATCTATGTTTGTAGTAGTATGGTATATCGAAGGACGTGACTTACATTACAAATGATCTATCTAGTATCAAAGTGAAGTCGTTAGACGTTACATATACAAAAGGGCAACTCCCAGAGGCCGAAATACCCCTACACTGACAGCAAGGATGAAGCTCAGTCACTCGTAATTGTTTACTCCCTCGTCATGTGACGCTGAGAGCAGCCTTCCTCAGAAAAGATCGCGACGCTTTTGAAAGGGCAGAAGAATGAATGACGCGTATTAGCCACGGCCTCGCAACAGAACTCCAAGTGCAAGCTTCTTGATGGTTGGGCGGGAATTGTAGCAAAGATATGTTGGGCGCTGCAACAGCATCTACTCTACCTCTAGTTCTGCATGTTCTTGGGGATTTCGAATATAAATCTTTCGAACCTGAAGTTCACTCAGGCTCATCGAGTAGTGTAACTCTAACTTGAACAAAAAAACTTAGTGAATTGAGCACGAGTTGTTCTTCTATAGACTCTGTGCTCGCCAACAAATTGGTACTGTTCGAAAACGAAAACTAGGTGTGAGCCCGTCTATCGGACGAGTCTGAGAGCAAGGAACTAAAAAATGATCCGCATCACCAGATGCCTTTTTTTGTGGCAACACCCACAACTGCGACACCGAGTAGGGTGGTCGCTTTTTTAGGCAGCCATATTCCACGTTTTGTCGTCGTAGATTGCCTTTAGCAACTCGTCCGTGCGCTTCGCAATATTCACCGGCTCGATAGCCAGGATTCGCGTCGCAGATCGTGTATCGCCCTCGTAGGTTTCTTTGTATGACCGCAAGCGGAGCTTGTACAGCGAGGCTACCTGCCAGCTCTTGAACCATTCGTCCACTGTGATCTGCATTTCTGAGGCATCCTGAGCTGTCTTCCCAGCTGTTGTGACAAATTTCTTCAAGTACCATAGCAGTGGTCAGTCTGCCAGTGTCGATTGTCGAAGAAGTGCCTGCATCACAACTTTGTCCTTCACTTGACCACGAAAGGTGACTGCCAACAGGTCGGCGATACGTTGCTGCACTTTGCACATCAACAAACTACGCAACATTATCAATATAAATCAGAAGAACGTACTGAGCTTCTTCATATCGTCGTCAAACAGGTTCAGAATGCTGTCGCCGAATCCGTCCTGAAATACTGCGCGGACAAGCCATCGCTTGACGGGCGTGACGAGGCCGTGGGTGGGGCATACGCCGTCACGAACTTTCTTGTTGCAAGTGGCCGGAGGTGCGTTGGCAGGCGCATTGGCGCGGACGACCTTTTCTGGGCACGCTTCATACCATTGCGGAACTTCCTCGTCCTTGCGTTGCGTCAGGACGCGCATCATTCGCGCGTAGGCTTCGGTGATGATAAACTGCTCTTTATTTTCCCCAGACGCAGGCTCGATCTCGTCGACCAACTCACCCAAGTTTACCTGTAATTTCAACGTGGGACTTTTCTCTGATCAGACTCTCACCTAGACCTATCTGTGGTACTGCTCACGCCTTGGCGCTGAAAGTTCGACCAAGCTAGCAATGGGCGTCACTTACCGTCGTTGCAGAAACGCCGCCACAGGCAAGAAGCAGTATAAAACTCCCACTGGCTGGTTCGTCTAGGTGGTGCAGTTGCAAATATCTAACTCAGGGGAGAGTGACCACGTGCATACCTGTCGCACTTGATTTCCACCTATTTGTCCCGCACCTGCTTCGCGCATAGACACAAATGCCTTCGATGAGCCCCCGCTTTTCCACCACTTTTCTATCTCTTTGCTGCGGTCCTGTTGTGAAAGATTTTTTTTGTGCAGTTGTGAAAGGGTGAAGTTGTTGCAACTGTATTTTCGGAATTATATAAGTGCACGAAGATGGTGGATTGCCATTACATAAAAATCCATTCCCCTTCCAAGGATTGAACATCCCAAAGAAAAAAGCCGACAGGTCAGAAAAAAAATAATTAAATAATAATTGTTATTGTCAACAATAAAAGCAAAACAAAACAACAAAAAAAATTGCCGCCATACCATGCGGATTAGCTTCAGGACAGATCAGCAATCCGCGCGAATCACGGTGGGACTTTTTTTATTGTCAACAATAAAAGCAAAACAAAACAACAGGAAGAAAGTGCCGCCATACCATGCGGATTAGCTTCCGGGCAGATCAGCAATCCGCGCGAATCAGGGCGGGACGGTGATCGCCCGCCTTTTTTATTTTTGTGGCGAATTTCTCTTATTCGCGCCATACCGTGCGGGCTGGGGTTCGTAAGGGGTTGCCGGCTTCGCCAATCCGCATGGCACGGCGCCCGCAGTCGGCTTCGCGACTTTTTGCAGATTTTTTATGTTCGCGCCTTAGCGTGCGGGCCGGCTTTCTGGCGAAGCTGCCGGCTTCGCGAATCCGCACGGCACGGCGGCCGCAATTAGTTTTGTGAATTTTGGCGAGTTTTTTTGTTTCGCGTCATACCGTGCGGGCGGGGCTTCGTAAGAGTTTGCCGGAGTCGCCAATCCGCATGGCACGGCGCGCGCAGGCGGTTTTGCGACTTTTGGCGAATTTCCTATGTTCGCGCCATACCGTGCGCGCTGGCTTTCTGGCGACGCTGCCGGCTTCGCGAATCCGCACGCCACGGCGGCCGCAGTTATTTTTGTAAATTCTCGCGATTTTTTCCCTTTTGCGCTATACCTTGCGGGCTGGGCTTCGTAGGAGGTTGCCGGCTTCGCCAATCCGCACGCTTGCCAGCTTTTCGACAATTCCCGAATATTCGGAATCGCCGGAATCAGAGGCGGCGAGACTTCAAATCCTTGCGAAGTTTTTCAACGCTTGGGAATGCCAAAAATGCGACCCCCGCCTCTATCTGCGGAAACTGACACACTTAAAGTAACTTCATCCCCCTTCTGGAACTTTTTGCCGTCCGAGTTCGTCCGCGGATACTTTCGAATATTCGGAATCGCTTCAAAATAGGCAGGCAGGAGTTTGGAAATTGTCGAAGGTTTTGCCAGCTTTTCGAATATTCCCGAATATTCGGAATCGCCGGAATCAGAGGCGGCGACCGAGGCTTCAAATCCTTGCCAAGTTTTTCAACACTTGGGAACGCCAAAAGTGCGATCCCCGCCTCTATCTGCGGAAACTGACATACTCAAAATAAGTTGCTTCCTCTGCTGGGAATTTTTGCCGAGTTCGTCCGCGGATACTTTCGAATATTCGGAATCGCTTCAAAATAGGCAGGCAGGAGTTTGGTAACCGTCGAAAATGTTCCCGAATATTCGGAATCGCCGGAATCAGAGGCGGCGAGACTTCAAATCCTTGCCAAGTTTTTCAACACTTGGGAATGCCAAAAATGCGACCCCCGCCTCTATCTGCGGAAACTGACACACTCAAAATAAATTACTTCCTCGGCTGGGAATTTTTGCCGAGTTCGTCCGCGGATACTTTCGAATATTCGGAATCGCTTCAAAATAGGCAGGCAGGAGTTTGGAAACTGTCGAAGGTTTTGCCAGCTTTTCGAATATTCCCGAATATTCGGAATCGCCGGAATCAGAGGCGGCGAGACTTCAAATCCTTGCCAAGTTTTTCAACAATTGGGAATGCCAAAAATGCGACCCCCGCCTCTATCTGCGGAAACTGACATACTCAAAATAAATTACTTCCTCTTCTGGAAATTTTTGCCGAGTTCGTCCGCGGATACTTTCGAATATTCGGAATCGCTTCAAAATAGGCAGGCAGGAGTTTGGAAACTGTCGAAGGTTTTGCCAGCTTTTCGAATATTCCCGAATATTCGGAATCGCCGGAATCAGAGGCGGCGAGACTTCAAATCCTTGCCAAGTTTTTCAACAATTGGGAACGCCAAAAATGCGACCCCCGCCTCTATCTGCGGAAACTGACATACTCAAAGTAAATTACTTCCTCTTCTGGAAATTTTTGCCGAGTTCGTCCGCGGATACTTTCGAATATTCGGAATCGCTTCAAAATAGGCAGGCAGGAGTTTGGAAACTGTCGAAGGTTTTGCCAGCTTTTCGAATATTCCCGAATATTCGGAATCGCCGGAATCAGAGGCGGCGAGACTTCAAATCCTTGCCAAGTTTTTCAACAATTGGGAACGCCAAAAATGCGACCCCCGCCTCTATCTGCGGAAACTGACATACTCAAAGTAAATTACTTCCTCTTCTGGAAATTTTTGCCGAGTTCGTCCGCGGATACTTTCGAATATTCGGAATCGCTTCAAAATAGGCAGGCAGGAGTTTGGAAACTGTCGAAGGTTTTGCCAGCTTTTCGAATATTCCCGAATATTCGGAATCGCCGGAATCAGAGGCGGCGAGACTTCAAATCCTTGCCAAGTTTTTCAACAATTGGGAACGCCAAAAATGCGACCCCCGCCTCTATCTGCGGAAACTGACATACTCAAAGTAAATTACTTCCTCTTCTGGAAATTTTTGCCGAGTTCGTCCGCGGATACTTTCGAATATTCGGAATCGCTTCAAAATAGGCAGGCAGGAGTTTGGAAACTGTCGAAGGTTTTGCCAGCTTTTCGAATATTCCCGAATATTCGGAATCGCCGGAATCAGAGGCGGCGAGACTTCAAATCCTTGCCAAGTTTTTCAACAATTGGGAACGCCAAAAATGCGACCCCCGCCTCTATCTGCGGAAACTGACATACTCAAAGTAAATTACTTCCTCTTCTGGAAATTTTTGCCGAGTTCGTCCGCGGATACTTTCGAATATTCGGAATCGCTTCAAAATAGGCAGGCAGGAGTTTGGAAACTGTCGAAGGTTTTGCCAGCTTTTCGAATATTCCCGAATATTCGGAATCGCCGGAATCAGAGGCGGCGAGACTTCAAATCCTTGCCAAGTTTTTCAACAATTGGGAACGCCAAAAATGCGACCCCCGCCTCTATCTGCGGAAACTGACATACTCAAAGTAAATTACTTCCTCTTCTGGAAATTTTTGCCGAGTTCGTCCGCGGATACTTTCGAATATTCGGAATCGCTTCAAAATAGGCAGGCAGGAGTTTGGAAACTGTCGAAGGTTTTGCCAGCTTTTCGAATATTCCCGAATATTCGGAATCGCCGGAATCAGAGGCGGCGAGACTTCAAATCCTTGCCAAGTTTTTCAACAATTGGGAACGCCAAAAATGCGACCCCCGCCTCTATCTGCGGAAACTGACATACTCAAAGTAAATTACTTCCTCTTCTGGAAATTTTTGCCGAGTTCGTCCGCGGATACTTTCGAATATTCGGAATCGCTTCAAAATAGGCAGGCAGGAGTTTGGAAACTGTCGAAGGTTTTGCCAGCTTTTCGAATATTCCCGAATATTCGGAATCGCCGGAATCAGAGGCGGCGAGACTTCAAATCCTTGCCAAGTTTTTCAACAATTGGGAACGCCAAAAATGCGACCCCCGCCTCTATCTGCGGAAACTGACATACTCAAAGTAAATTACTTCCTCTTCTGGAAATTTTTGCCGAGTTCGTCCGCGGATACTTTCGAATATTCGGAATCGCTTCAAAATAGGCAGGCAGGAGTTTGGAAACTGTCGAAGGTTTTGCCAGCTTTTCGAATATTCCCGAATATTCGGAATCGCCGGAATCAGAGGCGGCGAGACTTCAAATCCTTGCCAAGTTTTTCAACAATTGGGAACGCCAAAAATGCGACCCCCGCCTCTATCTGCGGAAACTGACATACTCAAAGTAAATTACTTCCTCTTCTGGAAATTTTTGCCGAGTTCGTCCGCGGATACTTTCGAATATTCGGAATCGCTTCAAAATAGGCAGGCAGGAGTTTGGAAACTGTCGAAGGTTTTGCCAGCTTTTCGAATATTCCCGAATATTCGGAATCGCCGGAATCAGAGGCGGCGAGACTTCAAATCCTTGCCAAGTTTTTCAACAATTGGGAACGCCAAAAATGCGACCCCCGCCTCTATCTGCGGAAACTGACATACTCAAAGTAAATTACTTCCTCTTCTGGAAATTTTTGCCGAGTTCGTCCGCGGATACTTTCGAATATTCGGAATCGCTTCAAAATAGGCAGGCAGGAGTTTGGAAACTGTCGAAGGTTTTGCCAGCTTTTCGAATATTCCCGAATATTCGGAATCGCCGGAATCAGAGGCGGCGAGACTTCAAATCCTTGCCAAGTTTTTCAACAATTGGGAACGCCAAAAATGCGACCCCCGCCTCTATCTGCGGAAACTGACATACTCAAAGTAAATTACTTCCTCTTCTGGAAATTTTTGCCGAGTTCGTCCGCGGATACTTTCGAATATTCGGAATCGCTTCAAAATAGGCAGGCAGGAGTTTGGAAACTGTCGAAGGTTTTGCCAGCTTTTCGAATATTCCCGAATATTCGGAATCGCCGGAATCAGAGGCGGCGAGCCTTCAAATCCTTGCCAAGTTTTTCAACGCTCGGGAATGCCAAAAATGCGACCCCCGCCTCTATCTGCGGAAGCTGACATACTCAAAATAAATTACTTCCCCTTCTGGAAATTTTTGCCGAGTTCGTCCGCGGATGCTTTCGAATATTCGGAATCGCTTCAAAATAGGCGGGGGTCGCATTTTTGGCATTCCCAAGCGTTGAAAAAGTTGGCGAGGGTTTGACGCCTCGCCGCCTCTGGTTCCGGCGATTCCGAATATTCGAGAATATTCGCAAAGCTGGCAAAACCTTCGACAGCCTCCAAGCCCCTGCCTGCCTATTTTGAAGCGATGACTGCGATCGCCGTGCCGTGCGGATTCGCGACGCCGGCAACCTCTTGCGACCGCCAGCCCGCACGGTGTGGCGCAAAAGAAAAAAACTCGCCAAAATTTACAAAACTAATTGCGGCCGCCGTGCCGCGCGGATTCGCGAAGCCGGCGACTTCGCCAGAAAGCAAGCCCGCACGCTATGGCGTGAACAAAGAAAATCCGCCAAAAGTCGCAAAACCGACTGCGGGCGCCGTGCCGTGCGGATTGGCGAAGCCGGCAACTTCTTACGAAGCCCAGCCCGAACGGTATGGCGCGAAAGGAAAAAACCCGACAAAATTTACAAAATTAATTGCGGCCGCCGTGCCGTGCGGATTCGCGAAGCCGGCAGCTTCGCCAGAAAGCCAGCCCGCACGGTATGGCGCGAACCAAGAAAATTCGCCAAAAGTCGCAAAACCGACTGCGGGCGCCGTGCCGTGCGGATTGGCGAAGCCGGCAGCCTCTTACGAAGCCCAGCCCGCACGGTATGGCGCGAAAGAAAAAAAATCGCCAAAATTCACAAAATAAACTGCGGCCGCCTTTCCATGCGGATTTGCGAAGCCGGCAGGTTCGCCAGAAAGCCAGCCCGCACGCTATGGCGCGAACGGCGAAAATTCGCAAAAAGTCGCAAAGCCGACCGCGGACGCCGTGCCGTGCGGATTGGCGAAACCGGCAACCCCATACGAAGCCCAGCCTGCACGGTATGGCGCGAAGCAAAAAACTCGCCAAAATTTAAAAAACTGACTGCGACCGCCGTGCCGTGCGGATTCGCGAAGCCGGCAGCTTCGCCAGAAAGCCAGCCCGCACGCTATGGCGCGAACAAAAAAAAACTGCAAAAAGTCGCAAAACCGACTGCGGGCGCCGTGCCGTGCGGATTGGCGAAACCGGCAACCCCCTACGAAGCCCAGCCCGCACGGTATGGCGCGAATGGACGAAATTCGTCACAAAAATAAAAAAAGCAGGCGATCACCGTACCGCCCTGATTCGCGCGGATTGCTGACCTGCCCTGAAGCTAATCCGCATGGTATTGCGGCAATTTATTCTTGTTGTTTTGTTTTGCGTTTATTGTTGACAATAAAAGTCCCACCGTGATTCGCGCGGGTTGCTGATCTGTCCTGAAGCTAATCCGCATGGTATGGCGGCAATTTTTTTTGTTGTTTTGTTTTGCTTTTATTGTTGACAATAACAATTCTTATTTAATTATTTTTTTTCTGACCTGTCGGCTTTTTTCTTTGGGATATTGAAGCAACAGTGCGTAGTACGCCGGGCTTCCCCTTCTTTGGATCGACCAGAAATGCGCCGGTATCGTTGAACACGCCAGACCGGCCTTGAAACTCTTTCACCGCCACGCCCTTGAGCGCCACGATTTTTGGATTCTTCTCGTCGACATACCCATCCTTGTTCAGCAAAGCCTCGCGCGGGTACTTTTTCGCAGTCTCGCCGAACACAGACACGTCCAGCTCCGTCTCGGTCTCGTCAACAACGGTAAACTGATACTTCGTGTACTGAACGCCGTTCTTTGTCCAGGTGCGGGTTTCCTCCACCTTGTTGACCACTCCGATCACGTCGATATTGCAGGGCAAGGGCCGGGTTCGCAGCTCCCGCAGGTTCGAAAAATCAAAGCTCGCAATGGTGCCGATACTGCCGTCATCCTCCACCGCTTCGACGACACTTCCGCCGTTGAACTGAATCTCATACTCGTGCTTCTGCTGGTTGTACGCTTTGTTCGCTACCTGACCATTCGCTTTTTGGTGCTGGTGTTTCCGCTTGCATTTTCACTCTTCCTAATCATCTTTTCGGAAACCGAAACCCTGCCAACACGTGTTGCACGTTAGGATTCGAGAGGTAGCAGGAAGAGGAACAGCTTTCTGTTCCGCATGCTTAAGTACGATATCTTGTTTTGAGGCCTCGAAATAGAAATACCACATTAGCTGTACCTTAACGAGGCCTTTGCTAAATTTGAAGACTTTCGGGGGCTCGACGAAGTTGAACTTTGTGACGGCGTCGTTGAAAAAGGATGCTCGAATCTCACCGCCGTCCTGGTCTATCAAGTCGACACTGAAAACCTGATCAGGAAATACAATTCCGACGCGTGTGCATCAGTCACACAAGAAAAGAGAAATCCGATGGAAGATCGCAAGCATCATCATACAAATTGGTTCTCCTTGATTTAGCCAAGCACAACGAACTAAGTAGATGGATCTGAAGATGCGAAAAAAGTGATATCTTACCTGTCCAGCGTTTTTCTGACCATCAGCTTGTTTCTTGTCCCAGGTTCGCGTCTGAGATCTCGTTAGCACCCGCGCACATATCGTCCAGTTCTTGTGGTAAGGAGTCACCTCCTCTATGGGGAAGTAGCCGTCGGGCATTTTCAACTATCTACGGGAAGAGAGTTAGTTACAAGATAAAAGGCATAGCAAGAGCTACAACATAAAAGGCATGGGAAGGTTGTCTTTCCGGTTCGCAATCCAAAAATATCCACCACTTTTTTCTCTTTCCTATGTTCAAAAACCGCTTGCGACTTCGAAGGTGCTGCAGTTCAATACTTTACATTTTCGTTGCCTTTTGTCCATTCTTTGCCGTTTGAAGTGCACTCTTTGCTACATTCACGATTGGTTTCAACTGTCACACACTCGCTGCGAAGAAAGTGCTTCTTCATCGCGTATCAACATTTCGAAACATTTAATATTTTTTCTATCTTTATGTATGTGCACGACGATCACGCCCAGCTTTTGCTGGAGCCAGCGCATCTCAGAAAAAAAACTGAGATTTTTGTCAGCATCAACACAGCATGTCCAGTGGTCACCTCCACGAACTTCACACAACGCATTGTTTGTCACACAAGGGCGACGTCACATAAGTTTTTACAATCGATCTACGTACTTCCAGAAACGAAGCGAAAGCAAAAGCTGTCTTGTCTGCATTGGTTGTCAACAAGGTACAGGTGCTAGTTCATTCATTGTACAGCAGAGTTCATTTTGCCTCGCCAAGAGAAACGCGCTCGTCGCCCTGGATGACCGACGACGACACGTACGATGATATTAATTTTCCTTTGTCATGCCAATGATGCACATCTGCACCGCTGATGTATTAAGAAGAAGTTAAGTACCGCTCAAAACCGCAAAGTTCTGTTTATAGTCAAACTTGGCAAATTCAGAACCAAAAAACTGTTCTACTACACACCTCGTGCTGCAGCGCTATCGTGCAAGCCCACACTGAGGCTGGCCTCGTGCATTGTTTTTTGCTCCTATCGTGAAAATCGAGCACGAGCATCTATCATGAAACAAACGCTACAGACACCACAGCACGCGCCGATGAGATCGATGAAACATAGTTGTTGCTAAGAAATGGTGTAGTTGCTGGTTTCTTCATTTCGATTACAGATTCCTTCCGTGGCACGAGTACGGCCTTTGCCATGATGCTACTGTTAGTGTTTCTGTTTGTACGCGAATAATAGAAAATAGTGTTTGATGCGTTGCTGCTTGAAATAATCCAAGCTTGCATTTATGACGATCATTTGTATTTCATTCATTGTACAAACCGCACTCGCGGCGGCCCTGCGGATTTTTGTCACATCAGGATGATGTTCCTCACACGATCAGAATCCGCGTCGTTGCTCGAGGCTGACGTGGGCGGAGCGGCTTTTCGTATCTTGCTCAACTGCTCCGCCTCCAGCGGCGACAGAATCTGCCCGGCATGCACCGTAGTGGCAAATAGCGATGGCGGGGGCGGCAAATTGTTTAAGCTGCGCGTGCTACTCTCCATCAGACTGTCGCCACCGTGCAGACGCGATGTGGTACCTAGGGATATGAAGATGATCAAGTAGTGTTTATGGGGCGTCTTTGCCGCGTATGCGTGGTAAATGCGACCAGCGTAATAAGTAAATTCATATACCAAATATAGCCGCCGGGGCGGGGGTAGTGAGGTCGTGGGCGTTTTTTTTTCCGACCGCCGCCATGGCCGCGGCTTTGCTTTTTCTGGGCTCGCCATACCGCCGTGAGTAACGTTATGCCGCACGGTATGGCGGTCACTTGAGAAACATCACAAATTTTGGCACATTTCCAAAATTCCTTTCCGAAAGCGAGCCTTTATGCTATGGGGCCGATCCGGGCGCCACGGGGGGCGCCCAAAAAGCGAAGAAAAATCGGGCCCGTAGCATGCGGGTTGGCTTTGCGCGTCTGGCGCGCTTTTTCTCTTTTGCGTTTTTATTTTTCACGCCGGCGCTTTTTGCAAAGCTCCCCAGGCTCTGAAGCCGGCGAAAAGGCGGCCGCTTTCGCGGCCGCCCAAAATGCTTCGAAATCGCGGCCGTGCCATGCTGTTTCGCTGTTCTGATTTTGGGCGCGTTTTTTGCGCGCCTCTTTTTGGGCGCCCCAAATCGCCAGAAACTAAGGCGGTGGGCTCCGCAGAAGGGCGCCCCTTTTGCCGGCTCCCCTGCGTCGTTTTATCAAGTGCGAATCGATAGTTTTCGCTTGATAATTGAAATTTTTTTATGTCAAAAAACGCTTTCGGCCGCTTGAAAACTGCCGGTCGTTTTGCTGGCTGGGTGTCAAAAAAACTCCCCGGTTAGAGCCGTTCGGTGACCTCACTACATATTATCGTTTACGGGCACGCACCAGCGTCCTATACCTATTCATACATAAGAGTAAAGATAGTGCCTCGCTCTCGCTCATCAATTTGTTCTGCATTTCGGGTACAGCTATACTTCCGCATCGGCACATAAGTAAGCCCATAACGAGTCCAATCGTCCAACTGTCACATCATAACCATAAGTACACTCACAGCAGAGCATAAACATCCTGATCCTCGCGGCTCGAATCACATTCACAAAACACATACTAGCTCTAGCCGACACATGATTAGAAATGATAATGAATCGCGAGAGGGCGAGACTGCATCAAGCGTATTACGTCGAAATGAAACAAAGACCAGTATTAAAAAAATACTCATGTAGGAGCTCATGTGTGATCGTGACTGCTTCGTCGGACTGAGTGAGGTGCTCGTGTCATAACTGTTCGGGGGCCATGCCTGCTTTTTCGCGGGTCTGGTACCGCGCTGCCGGTTATTGCGCGCTGCTGCTCCTGCCTGCTGCTTCAGAACGCCGTGAACCGCCGGCATGCTGCCATGCTGAAACTGACTGCTTGTCGACGGGCCCGCCGCCAGCTCTGTTCCCGGGTGGAACTCGGCATTGTAGCTTCCCGCAGGGCCTCCCGCACCTGTACTAGCTCCCCCCGACGGCCCCGCGGCGCCCGACACCATAGTTCCTGTAGTGCTGCTGGCGCCGGACTTGTTGTGCGTGCCGTCAATGAAATCTCGGTCCTTCTGCTTCGCGCGATGAAAGTTGTTGCTGCTGGAGGACAACGACGCCGAGTGTGCCTTTTTGCGATCGTAGTTCGGAAAAAGGTCGTACAGATCTGCGGCGTGCCGATGGTACGTCGGCTCATCGACTCCGGGAAGGACTTTCTTGTTGCGCGGGTGCTCAATACTGCTCTCCGCAACGGACGAAAACATCAGACTGTCGAAATGATCACTGCCCGACGTCGTGGCCAGGTACTGCTGCTGGGACTGCGACTGCGCTCCCGGGGGGTGAGTCGTGGACGGTATGGCCCCCGCTGTGGATGCCATAGACGTAGTGTTCCATGATTGCTGTGTGGTGTTCTTGGAGCTTGTCGTCGGCGAACTGTTTCGCGTCGGGTGCGCCGGGAGCTGCGTCGATTGACTTAAGTGCTGTTGGTTGATGTTCTGGTGGTGCAGAAAAGAGATCTGGCTCGAGGAAGACGAGCCCCCCGCCGCACCGCCGCCGCCGATCGCCAGCATGTTGGGGCCGATCATGTTGACGCGCTTGCCGCGGTCGGGGCTCCGAGACATCGCGGCGTGCGCGTGGACCGCTAGGATGTGCATGATCACGCTCAAGTCCTTGGTGCGCACGTCGCAGAACGAGCCCATGCGGTCACAAAGCGTCCGCCACTCCTCCAGTTTTGCGACGTTGAACCGGGTGCGGAACCCGAGCCAAACTTCCAGTCCCTGTCGCAGCGTCCGGCCCGGCCACTCGAGCAGCTTCTCGAGCTTCGGCAAAAACCGCACGTCGTCTACTTTCTTCATGAACTTGGTCCAGTTCGCCAGCTGCTCCAAATTTTCCCCCTGAAAGACCTGAATCTGCATGTACTCCCGCAGGGACACCAGAAACGTTTTCAGCAAATCCAGTTCCTCCAGCGGAATGCGCTTCTCCGTGTCGTCGTCACTTTCGTCATCTTCGATCACCGGGTTTATTGCGGAGTTTGGATCGACTAGCGCGACGGTGGAGGAGGTCGCGCCTAGTAGGCGCGCCGTGCTCGTGGTGCTCTCCTCCAGCAGCTGCTGGCTGCTATGGGGCGAATTGATGGTGGCCACGCCCGAAGTGCTGCGGCTTTGCTGCTCCCAGGGCTGCCGACTGTTAAAGAAGACTGACCGCCAGAAGTCAACGAGCGCGAACACTGTTTGCTCGTCTCGCGCGTCGTAGTAGGTCAAATTGAGCCCCCGACACACGATCCTGCCGGCCTCGAGCGCGAATTTTTCGTTCAATTTCTGCGTGCCACCCTCGGACTTGGAGCCGTCCCCGCCGGACGTCAGGCTGGAGGTGTTCTGGCTACCGGACCCGCCACCAAATCCGTCCGCACCCCCTATCCGCGACGACTCCAGCTTGGCGACCGCTTTCTCAATACTCCCCACTTCCTCGCACGCGTGCACGAGCCGCACCAGCTGTCCGCGGTGCTTTTCATCGTCGAGCACTTGTGCGAACATGGGCGACGCCCGGAGCAGCGACATGGAAAACAGCTGCGTTTGCACTTTTGTGAGATCCACGCCACGGACAAGCCACAGAAATACGTCCAGGCCCCCGTTCTCGAGAAGTACTTTCAAGAAAGCCTTCAGCGGCGAAAACTTGTAGAACGCCTTTGCGCCAAGAGTACGGTGGGCCTCCGTGGAGAGTGCCGCAATGTCCTCTGCGTCTCGCGGTGGGAGCAGAGTCTTTCCCGAGGACATGACCGCCACCTCGCTGGCGAAGGGGGGCGGCTTCACGTCGGGCGCGAGGGAACCAAACTTTTCGTAAAACTTCTTTTCTGTCTTCGTCTGATTGGCTTTCTGGGGCACGGTGATGTCCTTCGCCTGGCCGCCGGTACCGGTGGCATCGTCCGCAGAGGAAATCACCTGGGCCATTTTCAACGCATCGACGGCCAGCAGGAACTCCGTCATGTCGCAACCTTCCACGCACTTCAGAAAGAACGCGGCGCCGCGAAACTGCTTCACCTTTTTTATCAGCTTGAACCAGTCTCGCCACGTGTCGTCAGCGAGAGTGTCCGCGTCGAACCCGGGCGGGAGCTCCCCTAGGGGCTGGTTCAATTTCGTCGGTGACGGGGTGGACCACAAAGGACTGCGGTTTCGGTTGGCCCGGGTCTTCGTCGGCGTCGTCTCGCCGACGTCCTCCCACGCCTCGCGGCCAAACATGGTTGCCACACTCCCCGGCGGCAATTCCTGTTCCGCCTCGCGCGACTTCGCGCGCCAAGCTGCGGTCATGCTCGCAGCCTCGTCGCGGCCCGGGGACGCCGACAACTGCCGGTCCAACCGACTCCGCACGGGCGAATACTCCCGCCGTGAATCGCCCAAGAGAGTCTCGTGGTTTTCCGGCACATTACACGCATACTTGAAGTTCCGTTTTCCCACAATACCGCACTGATGCAGAATCGTCAAACAGTTCTTGAAGTTCTCGGACCGGCCCTGAAAGGCGTTATGCAGGTCCCCGATATGCTTGTGGTAGAAGCCAAAGTGCAGATCTGACAGCTCTCGCAAGTTGCCGCAGGTGGTCTGCAACAAGATTTCTTCGGACACGGAAAACATGTTCTGCCAGTGCACCGGATGCACCCTCTGGATCCAGCCGGCCATCTTGGTAAAACTGCCGATGGCGCTATCGTCGCCTGCTATGGCTCTCATGCAGGCGGGAAAGGCGTTGCGATCCTCCGCCGTCTTCGGCATGTGATCGCGGGCCCGCATCAGGGGCTGCGTCAGTTCGAAGATTTCCAAACTTTCATCGGCTCCGCCGCATTCTCCCATGATGGTCAGGACTCGGGCGAGCTTTTCCAAGTTACACTCACTTGACTTCATCAGGTTCATCAGGGTCCTCACTGCGCCCTCCTTCTCGGCCGGCCAGGCTCCCCGGCTGCACAAGAATGTCTCTCCGTCCTGATCCTCCAGGTCTTCCAGACTCGCAGCACTACTACCACCGACACTAGCAACCTCGCCGAGTCGCTTCCGGGTCGTCCCCTTGCTGCTGCTCTGGTCCAGCGTGTTGATCCCCTGTTCTGCCCTCTCGCGCGCAATTTTCATGCTTTCCAATATACCGCTGCTCTGAAACTGCCGCCGCTTCAACTCGTTGCTAGTGCGGCCAGCCGCAGGCACCTGCTTCAGCGTCATCAGCTCTCCGTTTTTGCCGTGCTCCCAGCGCACAAGGTCTTCGATCAGGTCTGTGAGTGCGGGCAAATCCTGGGCCCGCGGCGCCAGGTGCTGCATCAGTGTGCAGAGCTCCACAAAATCAAAGCTCTTGTAACCCTTGCGGTCGCGCTGTTGCAGAATTTCCATACCGACGATGATGTTGCCAGACCCGCCGAAGAAGTCGGTCACGCAGCGCACGAAGTGCGGGAACTCCTGTCCCCGTCTCAGCCGCATCTTCAGCGAGCCCAGGTCCTTCGTCATTGCCATCATCTTGTCGTACCCACCTAGCTGGTTGATGATTACGGAGAGGGACTCCAGCTGCTTGGGCTCGAACGCTTGCAGGAGCGACACAAACACGGTGAGCAGGAACCCGATCTGCGGCAACTCGTCGACAAGATCCTTTGCACTGCGCGTAAACTTGTTTAGCGTAGTCGTGCTCACCGTCTGGACGAGAAACAGTGCCTCCGCGAGTTCAGTTACGCTGGGCGACTGCTGCGCGTCGCTGTCCTTCCAGATACGCTCTACAGCCCATGCGTAGTCCAGCACGCGATCCAGCTTCGCAAAATCGTCTAGGAGGTAATTGAGCATGTCTAGCACTTTGTCGAATCTGTTCGCGTAGGACACCTCAAACCTCGTTGATTCCTTGCCTCCAGCTCCCGCCTCGCCCGCATCGTCACCGGCTGGGGGAGGTTCTTCGGTCTTCGGCGGTGCGGTGCTGTCTTCCGCAAACAAGCCTAGATCCTCGATCAGCTCCGCCGTTAAAACCGTTGGTAAAGGTTCCTCTTCCTCTTGTTTCTGCTGCTGTCCTCCTCGCCCGCGCCCGCGAGCTTTTTGCCCGCTCGAGCTCGAAGACGAGGGCCGGCCCGCGGAGGACGGGCGCGCACCTCCGCCAATGCCGGTGGGCGCGCTGGGCGGTGCGTGCTTCTTTGCCTCCTCTTCCTGTTCTCGTGCGGTTTTCTCGGCTTCTTTCTGCTTTCGCTTCTTTTCCGCGTTTATCTCACCCTGTTTTTCCATTGTTGTGCGTATCTTCGCAACCTGTCTTGGCTCCGCATCACACGCACTCAGCTTCTGCAAGACCGTAAACGCAGATACACCCTCCTCCCCGGCAAGCAACGACACGAAGTCTTCCCCGCGGACCAGCTGTAGTAGATTTATTTGTACTTACATGACGAGCTGCAATTGCAAACCGTGCTCAGCAACAACGACCCAGCTACTACACAGTCAGGGTCAGCAGCTATTAACTTCATTTGTATCATTTGCGAAAAAAACGAGACACGTCGTTCCTTACACAAACTCGCAACTACATTCCTCATCAACATCAAGGGCAATGGTCTTACCGCAGCCGGAGTCTCTGGGGGAAAGTACTTGTTTGCGACCACCTTGGCGCTTTTAAGCATCCTCAAGGCGCGCTCGCAGTCCAGGAAATTTCCAAATCCCGGCAAGACCTCCGTCACGAGCGCGTCGATTTCCTTCGCGCCAACCTTACTAAGCACAGTGTACATGGTGGCCAGCTTGTCCGCGTCCGGGTGGCCGCTGCGAAAGCTCTTGTGGTCCACGAGCTCTAGACTCCACTTCCACTTGCTCCCAAACCGGCCCAGCTCGTCCGCGAACTCGTTCCACTTTTTATCCCCGGGCTTGTACTTCTGCAGGTTCTTCAGGATCACCTCGACATCCGCCTTCTTGACGAAGCCGAACTTCTCGTACACGGTTTGCCACAGGTCCTCCGCCTCCTTTTTCTTGGTCTCGATGGCCTTCAGCTTCTCGTCCGTCATGTTGTCGTCTAGCTGTTCGTGAATGTTGTCCGGAATGTCCTGGTACTTGGCCAGCAACTGGAAGAACTTGCGCGTGTTGCCGATCAGCTTCACTAGCTCCTGCATCCGCTGCGCGGCGTCCATGTTGCCGGGACCGCCGGGGCCAACACCTCCAACTCCCGCGAGGCCTCCCCCAACGGACCCCGAGCCGTACCCCTCGGGACCGCCCATACCGCCACCCCCCACTACCACTACTACTTCCTTCCCGTCGATGATCTGCGTCTGTGTGATGACCTGACTGCCGCCGCCGGCCACACCTCCACCTGCGTATGTTTTCCTAGACAAAGAATGAAGATGAAAGAACAGGAACAACACGAAACAAATTAATTTCCCATAAGTAATTCAAGACGCACCTCAGGGTTCCCAGCAGAACCAGCAGCGGTGGCCGCTGAACGAGATCGAGCTACTTTGCATTGTGCCTTTGCCTCACGGTCACGTGATTGCAGAAATGAAAGAAACTAAATGTACCAGCGCCGCCTGCCGCACCTCCGTGACTCCCCACACTTGCTGCCGGCACTGACTGCTTTCGCGTGACAGGCTTCCCAGTTTTCGGGTCAGCCGTATCCCATAGGAAAAAGGTAGCACCCCAGCATATCGATTTGCGATGCAAAAGTACGTATCCAAAAAATCTTTCTTGCGAGGCCTTCTCGCCCGTGCGTGTGTCACATGAATGTTGATACAGTTACAGGTACAACTTCGCTTTGCATTACCTCCTGCTCTCCAAATATGCTATTTGGCCGCTAGCTGTTTTATTTGTGATAGACCGCCGGTTTTCCAGTTTTCGGATCCATGACGGGCACCTCAACTTCCACCACACCCCCTGCGGCCGCCCCGGCGGCGCCCCCTCGGCTTCCCGCCCCGCCTGAGACGGACCCGCGCGCGCCCGCCGGGCCGCCTCCACCAGAAGCTCCGCCGCCTCCACCTGCTCCGAAGCCCGATACAGAACCGCGCCCCCCGCTTGCGGCCGCCTGCTGAACCGCCTCCGCCGGATCCACCTGCTGCGTCATCATCTTCGGCTTTCCCGTGACGGGATCCACTACCGGCTGGCCCGTGGCGGGATCGATTACCGGCACTTCCATAGTGACAACCTGCTTCTTTTCCGTGAGGGGTTTGCCATCGGCCCCCACCATTGGCTTTCCGGTCTTTGGATCCAGTATCGGAACCTCGACGGTCTCCATTTTCCCCCCAAGTTCGGCGGCCGCCTGCTTCGCGGCCTGGGCCGCCTGCTCCGACGGCGGGGCCTGCAGCTGAGTCTTCGGTTTCCCCGTCTTCGGATCAATCACAGGTTTGCCCGTGACCGGGTCCACCACGGGCACTTCCACCTGCACCACGGGCAGGCCATCCTCGCCCACCAACGGCTTGCCGTCGGCACCTAAAACTGGTGTGGTCTTCTTCGTCTCCATTACGGGGTTCCCGTTCTCGTCCAGGACCGGATTACCGTTCTCGTCCACCATCGGCATACTGACAACCATTACCTGTGGGACAGTAGCGAAAGCAAAGCATTTTTGTGCTAAGAAGTTTTTAGTACGACACTCTACTCTATGATGTTACTTCGGGCAGTTCAGACAAATCGTTCGAATAAAAAATACGTGCGGGAGCACCAGGCCGGGCAGACTCGTGGCGCTGCAACTTTTTGGGTTCACAAAGACCGCACGCAGTGCGGAAAGAGGCTGTGCCTGGGTTTGCCATCTACTCGAACTTGGGAAAAACGCGAATACCCGCCTGCCTCAGAGCCGCAAAAAGTAGCTCATGATCAAGTGTACTTCTAGTAGTTTGTTCCTTATGTACTTACTTACTATACCGGGTTTCCGTTTTCGTCGACGACAGGGTTTCCGTTCTCGTCGAGCATGGGCGCGGGTGGCTTGGATGCTGCTTCGGCTTTTGCAGCCTCCAGCTTCTGGCGTGCTTCTTCCTCTTCGACACGTTTCTGCTCCGCCACGCCGGCTTCGTAAAACTGCTTCAGGCGGCAGATGGGGTTGAGAACGTCGTCCAGGGTAAAGCTGGCAGCCACGAACTCGTCGGTCCACTCTCCCGTACCGTACTGGTTGCTACCCCGCAAGCGGCCCGTGATACGGAGCGGCATCTCCCGTAGCTCGCGACTGGGCGCGAAGGCCTGCAAAGCCCCGGTCTCCCAGGCTTTCTCAATCACAGACTCGAGGGATATCGTGGAGGACACGCGCCCTGGCGCGCTCGGACTCTCGTACACTTCCAGGTTGAAGACCTGTGCGTCCAAAAGGATCTTGTGCTCTTCCATCGCGAGGGGCAGCAAACTTTCCTCATCACTCGCGTCGGGCACGGTGGGGAAGGCCTCGGTTTCCCGCGCGTCAAAACTAAAACTCTCTCTTGCAGAGACGCCATCCTCGAACGTCACTTCTGCCATGTTGTGTTCACCCTCGACTATCGGGTCGGGTGCTTCGGTGGCCGGTGCGGCTGCTTCTTCGTCTGCGGCAGGTGGGGCCGGCGGGGGCTCCTCCACCGCCGCGGCTTCTGCTTTTATTTCCTCGGCGGGCGCGGCTGCTTCTCCTGCCGCTGCGGCACCACCGCCTGCTGCCTCAGCCTCGGCAGCTGCCGCACGTTCTGCCGCGGCCTTTTCCGCTTTCTCTTCCTCGGCCTTTCTTCGCGCCTCTTCCTCGGCCAGCCGCCGCTCCTCGGCAAGTTTTCGTTCCTCTGCAAGGATGCGCTGCCGCTCCTCCTCCGCCAGGCGGCGCTCTTCGGCCTCCTCCGGCGACATCAGGCGCGCTACCGTTTTCTGTGCGGCCTTGCTCAGTGCGGATGGTTCCTTGCCCGTGGCTTCCACGCACAAGCTGAGCTCAATGTCGTAGCATGAGGACCGCGTCTGGCCTCCCCAGTCGGTGACTACAGGAAAATCTACTGCCAGATCCGCTCGACCCAGACGGGGAACGGAAAAGCCCGCCTGAAACTTGTCGATAGCCCACCGCACTTCTGGAACACTACTGCTGTACGGACACTTCACCGGCACCGCGGGCACGCTAAACGGACTTCGCCCGGCCTAGTTTTGTTTCGTGCATTCTTGTTATTTTAGAAGTTCTAGCTGTACTTGGAGCATTTTACAAGTGCATGGCTGTGCCAGTGCGCCGTTGTCGCAAAGGCAAAGGAGAGAAATCATACAGATACAGATGCACGTATGAACCAGTATTTTATACCTGATTGACAGCGGAGAAGCGCATGATGATGAATTTTTTCTTCATGTGAGGCGGCACTAGCCAAGCCTCTGGCACAGGGCGGATGATTGTTTCCACGTCTCCCGTGGAATTCAGCTTCCAGTGCACCTTCACGCTCCGCCACCCTTTTTCCAGCTCGGATGCCTGCTTTTTTACATTCACGCTCAGCTGCCGCGATAAGCGGGCCTTCTCACCCATCAGACTGGTAAGCTCGGTCTTTCGCGAAATCACCTCCATGTCCTGCTTGGTTCCAACCAAGTACTCCGCAACATAATCGTAAATTGCGGCACGGTTTTCGTGTTCTGGCTTTTTGAAGCGGATCACAGCCTCTTCTGCGGTACAACTCACGAACTCGGGCGCTCCGGGCTCTGAGGGGGCTAAGCACACCGGCGCCTAGTAGGATAATGGAAAACATGAGGATGAGCATCTTCTTGAAGATCTTCATCAAACTCGGTACGGACTAAAAACTACTTCTTTTTTGTCGTGCATACAACATCCAATTGTATCCGCCAGGTAGTAGTCCTATCGTGGTATATGTTCGGTGCATTTGATTTTGAATGCCTCGAACTCTGACCCGGAGAAAAAAACGCTTACCTGATACGAGACCGATTCCAGAGACTGATTTCCGTCGATGATTTGGAACTTCGAGGTTGGTTCCTTTTCGCCGCCCTCCTCGCCCTCGTCAACATGGACACCGCCCGCGGCGATGGCGATTTTGTGGCGCGGCAGGACATTGAACTTGTACTTGACTCCCGGGTGGAGGTTGGCAATGTCGTACACGCAAACTTCCTCGTCGGCGCCCTTCACAGCGTTCCATCGCCGCCCCAGCGAGAACTTCTCCTTGGACAGCCGGGTCGACTCTTCCACGGTCTCCAGGTCCGGGGCAATATGGATGTGCCAGGATCGAAATCGACAAAGTCGAAAAATTTGTGATGCATAAAATGTAGGGCACAGAAGGCCTGTATTGGGGAGCAGGCAAATAAGGCCGATTGTAAGCCTGGTTAGGGGTATACAATGTGCTTTCAGAGTAGCATGACAGAAGCAGCGTTCTTTGCCCAAACAGCATGACAGACTGGATTCATTCGGGCGCTCCCGAAATTTGTCATGCGCCACTTGGAAACTGAGGCTCCAGCGGGTATCGATTTTATGCATTGCAAATTTTTCGATTTTGTCGATTTCGATCCTGACACTCCCATAGGCAACCTTGATCACGTACTCCACGACCGGACCGAACATTTTCTGCTCCTCTTCGGATATTGGGGTCCAGGATATCCTGAGTAAAAACGTACCCACGCCAGAGTTGTCATGCAAATCTGCATGCTGAAAATGTTTCTCATGCGGAGCCCCATGAGAAGCATTTTCCAATCGTGTTTTGCAATCTGCCACGCTCCAATCAGCATGGTATGCTAGATCTGTGATGCTGCTGAGCTAGCTCAAACAGCACTACACTACGAATCCAAATTTGTCATGCAAAACAGCCAAAACTTGTGGACTTGTCTAGCCGATTCCCCAACTTGACTATGGTGTGGGTACGTTTTTACTCAGGATACAGGAAAGGCTCAAATCGGTTGGCCGGATGGAAGACGCGATGGGACGGCCCGGCCGCGGCCCCGAGATGGCGAAGTTGACCGCGCCGCCGACTTGCTTACCGTAGATGCTCCCGTTCTGCGAGGCGAACAGCCGGAATTCGTACCGCTCGGTCGGGTCCGGCGGAAACGGGACCTGTAGGGTGACAATCCCATTCAGCTGGCGGGGAAAATTGGGCAGGTGGACCTTGGTTTTTGACAACTCCCCGATGTTCTGCCCGCGCAACTGCCACCCGCCGCCCCCGGCCTGCGTCCACGTCACGCCTGCCACCACGACGGAAATAAAAGGCATTTTCTGCAAATCGCCAACGAGTTTTTTCGGAATGCGGTACGCTATCGTGGCGGTCTCGCCGGGACTGAACGTCTGCTGGGACGTGCCTGCGTAATCAAGCAATACAACCCAATACAAAAATACAATACGTTAAATAGATTTTCGCAGAAAGCCTCCGCAAATTGTGGCTCACGGACAGGCCGCAAGCGATCCTTCATGAGGAGCAGAAACGTGAGATGAAGATGAAGTAGGTGAAGCTGAAGGTAATAAAACATGGAACAAAGAACATGAGCGCAGTTCATTGCTGCAGAACATCAACAGCAGTTGTACACAAAACGTCCGAGACGTGCGTGCCGATGGCTTGGGACAGGACGGAGGCAATGGTAACTTTCCCACCCTGCTGGTAAAGCTCGTCGTAGAGCGCAATGACCTCCTTCTTTCCCAACTTTGGCATACAGGGAATCTGGTTTTTCCGCTGCGACAGAAAGGACTTCTTGGCGAACCGCTCCTGAATCTCGGGGGAGAGATACACCCCAAAGAGGTCGGCGGCGAAGTCGGCTTTCATGATGTGCGTGTTCGGGTCCAGACTGGTTTTCCCAAACACCTGCTGCATGGTCATCCCCGCCTCCGGGCGCGCGTTCCAGAGGCGAATCGCGAACTCCTCGAAGCCAAAGGCCATGCCGCTGTCGGTCATGCGTTCGCCGAACTCCTCGTAGCTCAGCGAGCGGTTGCCGTCCAGATCCATCATCTCGAAGAAGTTCAGGGCGTCCTGCCGGTTGAAATCCAACTTGCTGCCGAACTGCTCAAACAGCTCCCATTCCTCCACCTCCGCGTCCTCCCCACCTTTCTTTTTCGCCTGCATGTCCCGGAGAAAAAAGAAACATAGAAGAAGTGCCAAAACACATAAGTCGTACTCCGTCTTGCTCTTGCTTTTGCATAGTTATAGCCGCAGCAGCATGCTCGATCCTCATCATACTTCTTGCAGTCATGCATGTCTATTTTTGCGCTTACGAAAAATCGGTGACGCCACGCTAGGTGTATTTTTCTCTGGGATCATACTGCATTCCGGCAAAGGCGTTCTTCCAGTTGCCGAACCGCACCAGCAGCCGGCGGCGAAAGTGCCCGATGTCGATGGACGGTGCCGCAGTGCTCATGGCGGTGAGGAAGGAATCGAAGGTAATGCCGTCCACTCCCTGTGGCAGAGGTTCCTGGTACATGCCGAAAGCTGCAATGTAGTCGTAGAAGCGCTTGGCCTCCGCCTCGAACCGGCTGAGCAGCGCTTGGTCGAACACCAGCGAGTGGCCCCCCCCGGCGTTGCTGCGCTCGTATGCGCGCCTCTGGATGCGCACATACTCCTCGATCAGCTTCTCGCGGGGGATATACTCCACCACGGAGTTGCCGTGCCGCAGCTCGTCATGCATCTCGTCGAAGCTCTGCCGGAAGGAGTTGTAGTCCTGCAGCACCGCGTTCCGGAAGTAGAGCATCTGGGCCTCGCTCACGTTGGACAGTGCGGAGGCTAGCTTGTCCACGCGCAAGCCCGTGTCCATGATGTTCCGGTGCCCCCCGAAGAGCTGGAAGAAGTTTTGCAGCGCGTCTTGCTCCAGTTCGGGCGGCAGAAACCCCAATTTATGATCCTCCAGCGGAAACACGTGCTGCTTCAAAATGCCAGAAAACTCCTGGAAGTCGATCCACCGGTCCCCGCTGGGCTCAAACCGGTGCAACACCTCGTTCAGCGAGCCCAGCCGCTGCATCAGCGTGATCCGGAACTGGTTGAAGAATGCCTTGGTCACCTTCGTCATTCCGATCAACAGGTTCGAGATCTCGTCCTGTTCGATGCCGATTTCACTCCGGAGGGACGCGAGCTGCTGGCTTTCCGTCACAAACCGCTGCGCCTCGAGTACGTTCAGCAGTCCGCCCTTGGTCATCAGGAAGGACTCCACCCGCAAGCATTGCGCGATGCCCCACTCCACCGAATTCAGCTCGTCCAGCCAGTTTTGCCACAGCACTTCCTCTTCTTCCTCGCCGTCCGCGCCCGCAGTACCCTCCGACCCCGACGCATTCGCTCCGGCACCCTGCTCTTTCAGGGGAATCCCATCAATGCTGTACTCGTTAAGCCGCCCATAGAGTGCTGCAATCCTGTGAAAAAAAATACGATTCGCAGCTCTTCAATTTCCTCTTCTTACTGGGTCTTCATCTATACATCTGCATCGAAAGCATGTCATTTCGAGTTCAGCTCTGACACACTCGCCAGCTTTTCTCTACTTACCCCAACCTGCTGTGCCGCTTGACAACAAATTTCAATTTGCATGTGATTGAATAAAAAGCCTTGCGCTAATAAAATATGAAAGTAGTAGTACATGAGCTGGCCTTTCTCCACAACCTTGGGAAGCTCTGGTGACCCATCCATCACGGAGGACTTCCTCCCATGCAGGGTTTTTCGAGCTGCGGGCGTGGCTCCTTCCCCGTCCTCCGCATCAGGAACGGCCGGAGCCTGCTGCTCGGCAGCGTTCGCCTCCTCGTCTTCCGGTGACGACATCGCTGTGATTTAGCGGTCACAGGGCAATAGTTGGGGGCCTCATGGTGTGCATCGTGGAGCTCCCGAGTAGTGGTTTTTTTGCAAAACCACTTCTTCGTCTCGTCTCCTGCCTAGATGATAGAGTGATATTTGATTGGGAGGGTCGTGACTTTCTGGTCTTACTTTACTGAGGACCGCGCGGAGAAAAGTGACGGGGAGCCTGGCTCCTGCAGATCAACCACGCCACGCTCACTTCGATTTCGACCACTGCAGCGCTCCGCGAAACAACTTCATTCGAATTGTCAACACATATTTAGACCATCGAAAACGATTGCGCTCATACGAAATTTTGGTCCACGATCGGGAGATGAGACGAGACGAGGCGAACGAGCATTATGTCGACATGAGGTTTTATTCATCCGCCATTGCTGCAAAACGCAAGCACGGTTGAGACTAAGGATGCGACCCCGAGCCCAAAACACAACATATACAGCAGTTCCCGGCAAAAAAAAGTCGTGGCTGAGTCGAGAATGAGTCACCGACTGAATAATACTCTACTTCTTGGTTAAGGACTTTAGAAAGTATCGTACAGGTTAGTGACGTTCGTGCTTCTGCTTTGCCAAAGCGACAAAGTTCAACATTATACTATATTCAGGCGCAGGTGCTCAAGGATGACAGCCGCGCAGTCCCGCTGCGCTTCCCGAATGGATGCATGAGCCTGCTTGGATTGAAACAATCTCCCCTGTATAGAGAAGCTCGCACGAAAGCCGCGATTACTTTCACCGAGCTCGAAACCTTCCGAGCGCAAGCGTAGGTTCTTGCGCAGGCAAAGCTGGGTTAATTGCTGCAATGTGTCGCCTCCTCCACTGCACCCTCCTGAGCTGCCTTCGAACCCCTGCAAAGATGTTCCGGCGCCTCCTGTTGGCCCCGCAAATATCGCATCCATGCGAGCCTCCGGTCTCGTCGGGTTCGGGTGCTCATTGTTCTGCAAACCCCCGTCGCCCTCCGGTACGCCCGGCGTACTTCCGGTTTTGTTGAAGTGGCTCGTCTTCCCCTTCCGGACGGCAGCGCCGCCGCTCGAGGAACCAAAAACACGCTCAAACTGGCAGCTTATCTTGGGGCTGCCCGTGTGCTGCAAGCGTACCCTCTCCAAGACCGCATGGGACGCGAACGCGTCGCAGGCCGCATACTCCAGCTGTGCCTTGGACAGCGACTCGAGCTCCCAGTTCGAGCAGCGGAGGTCTTTTTTCAGCCGATGTCGCAAGAAAATCCCCACCAAACCCTGCAGGCTCCGGGGATTGGTCTGCAAGTAGTGCGCCAACTCGAAGAGGCACACAAAGCGCTGGCCCTCGATCCCGAATTCTTGGGAGAGTTGCTCCAACTCTCCACTGGCCCCCTGCGTCACTTTGCAAATTTTGTCGGATTCCAGAATTTTCGTCAAAAGTGGAAAATCGAAAATCTTCGAATCAGTCTGATCGCTATAATCCCTTCGAACTTGTTCTTCCCCGGTTTCGTTCCTGGAAAGTGACGAGCTATCCGCAGTTCTTCGCGTTTGGTCTTCTGGTGCTGTCGAAGAAGTGGTAACTACGCGAGGACCTCTACTTCTGACGAAATACGGGTTTCGCCAAAGGGCGCAGAGCTCTCGTGTGGCCAGCTGCAGCACTGCCGTGCGATTTTTGCGACCAAAGAGTGCTGGTTTTGCCTCGGAGTCGAACCCGATGATAGTTTCGGGAGACGCATTTAGAAAATGTCTTCGCAACAAGTCGGCATGTTCCCGTTCGTCCTCGCGGCTTGTCAAGACGAGCACACGCCCAGAAAATTTCAAGACCGGCAGCGCTAACACCTCCAGCGGCGTTATGGTTAGGTCCAGCGGGGGGCCACTCGAAGGAGAGGATGCTCTCGGCAGCGGACTCAGCGGTTTTTTCTCACTCGCTGATGACAACGGATAATTGGGGGCTGCCTTGATGACTTGATTCCCGGTGCGTGCTGTCGTCAACCTCCTTTTCAGGGTGGAAGCCACAGAATTACACGCACGTGCTCGTGCCCGCATGGGGCTAGCGTGCCAAAGCTCCATTCCGAACTGTGCCATTTGCATCCTAACGCTTTCTGTTGGAGATGCCATGGAGCAATCGACGCAGTCTGTGTAGTACTCAAGAAAAATCAAGAGATCGAAACCAGCCGCACATTTTTATGATCTTTGGACAGAAAAAGTCCGCGCTCTGACACAGTAATGGATCCGATCGCGTTCGCGCCTCAGAAGCCGATAAAAACTTTACCGAGTTCGATCTTGCTTTTAAAATGATCAAGGAACTTTTGAAAAAAAGTTCAGTCCAAGCTCCCCATATGCAGCACGGAGAACAAAAGCGCCAAATACCGCACTGGCCTCGCTTGCACGCAGTCCCCTTGCTCCGGGGGAGAAGCCAAAGAGCCGGTTGCTTTTTCCTTGTCTTGTAATATGCAACATTTTCTTTCGAACGCTCGGCTGCACCGGAAAAAAATGCGTCGTGTAGTCGCAGATCTTTGTGCCTCCTCTATTTGACCTCCGTCGTGTCGGTCCTTGTAATCTTCAAGTCCACGACCGTGGAAGGATCACCTCATACGGATGCCTTTGTCGACTCCGCCACATCCACAGCCTGCGACTTCGTGCGAGCGCGAACAACGACCACGACGGTGACTAGAACACACCAAATAACATGTAATACGCAGCGTTGGATTTTTCCGTCGTAAACGTGACTACCAACTTGCCGCCCCCCACGTCAATGGCCTGCAGCTCCTTCATCCTGCCGTCTACGCCGGGAACCGGCTTTTCGCGGCACTGCGCCACGTCCACACTACCGCTTGTGAGGTCGATCGGACAGAACTCGACGAAGCTCTGCTCCTCCCCCTCCGGCGCGTAGAACGCCATGAGAAGCGGCTCGTCCTGCTTCGAGTTCACCAGCGAAACGAATGGAACCTGGCCGGGTCGCTGTAACTGCTTCGTCGAAATCCACTTCAACTTCGGCTCGGTTTTCGCCTTCGGGTTTACCTCGAGAGTCTTAAAGACACTTACGCCTGAGGAAGACACGCCTAGCCCGAGGCAAGCGATCTTACCTGACAACGAAGCTAGATCCCGCGTCCTGTCGTGTTCCGGGAGTCAATGTTGATGCAATCAAAACGGGCGGACATTCGAGAAGGTAGAAACGGAGGACTCTTTCAAAACCTAAGCATCTACACTTCTACACCACTCCTTTTCCGCGGAAAAAAATTATCAATCCTCAAAAAATTTATTGTACAAAATTTTTTTCATGTCTTTCGGAAAGGCTGAAATAGCTGCAGGCAGGAAAGTCAGCGCTCCTTCTTCAACCATGCCATACGTCACGACCGCGTCTTGCTGCACCGTGCCGCCGTTTTCTTCGTCCTCTCGCGGTGCTCGCGAAAACTCCAGGAGAAAACCGGTCGATGACATCTGCAATTTTTGGTGCGCAATCACCCTACTCGTGTGCTGCCGTAGCGATTTGGAATCGCATAGAGTGAGGATATGCAGTCGCGCTTTAGCAAAGACAGAGTGGCAAAGGATGAGCCCGGAAAGTTCCAAGCAAAAACACACGCTCTCGTCGCCCGTGGTGCGCAGCAGCAGCACGCAATGACATTTGTTATCCTCGAAAAGTGAAAAATCTACTATCCAACCCGCGCTACTAACTTACCCTGGCAGTCCTCAAATCGCTAACTGCGGTATCGGAGAACTGCACGGGATCGGCTGTGGACGGGGTCATCTTGAATCGCTCGAGGTCAAACGTCAACGCAGCCCCGGAAAATGTCCCTTCCGCAGCGGACCTTCTGTTGAACATCGCAATGTAGGAATTCTCTTCTGGAAATAACTGCCCGACAATCCGGCTGTTCGCTTGCTGCTCGCAAAACTTCACTGTCGGACTCCCTGTTTAAATTTTCATCAGACTTTTCAATTGAAATCAAGCAAGAGCAAAGATCTCGTACGGGCCACTACAACTTTTAGGAGAGGATTATCGTCTGTCAGTCGCAGTTTGTGGTTCTGCAGATTGATGATCTTGTTCAAATACACTGACTCCTACCCGTTGGGCAATTTTTGTGCATCAAAATGAGAACGCAACGCAATCACACAGGAAAAACCACATGAAATATTTTGGCATAAACACGAGTACATTCCATGAATCCACGGCCCATGGAATCATCGATATCAGCGGACACGGCGAGGCAGTCTCCGTCGGCTTGGGCAGACCTGAAGGCAATGACGATTTTTCCGTTGGTCCCGTCAGCGCCAGGCGCAGCGACGACGGAAGGGTCCCACGCTTGCACCTTCTCCTTCTTGTCGTTCACGGAGAACATCTCCGGGGTGCCCCACTCGAGGATGGTGCCCCTGATGGTGCCCAGCAGCAGGTACCCGCGATTGTTGCGGTCTGCGTTGCGATACACGACGAGAATCCGGTCGGCCCCAAGCGGAATCATGGAAAGGTCGAGGACCCGCTCGTCCAAGCCATTTAAACCGTCGGTGAGCAATTTTTTCGGAAGATACGTCGGCGGCTCGCTGCACTTCAATCCGTCGCCGAAGTATCCGGGCTGGCACAAGCACTGAGCTCCCTGCGTCGTTTGGGTACAAACGGCGTGAAGTCCGCATTTTACGTTGCCGCATTGCTGCCCATTTCCGTTCACGCCAACCACCTTCAGGAGGGCGTCCGTCACTTGCAGCAACTCTTGCATCGCAACAACCAGTTCTATCAGCGCCAATTTACTTTCTGGAACCGCTTGCGCTTTTGCTCGTGCCAGCTCGGGCTAACTAGCACCACCTTGCAGCAGTTCGCGTAGCCGCGGCTACCTCTCTTCGCATGCAATGTCAAGAATGCTAATGGTAATGGTAATACTTCTGAATCTGCATCCGTGTTCTGCTGCCGCGGATAATAAAAAAAAAGCAAGCGAGTGCCGAGACGCGGGAAATGCGTTCGTTCTATTTCAACTTTTTCTACTCCAAAGGTATATGGAAGCTGTACACGATCGCTCGCGTTGTGCCTCGCATTCATTGCTACCAGAAAGAGTTTTCCGATTGCTTACTGATTGTGCCTGGAGCTGCTTGGTGATATCGTAGAATTTGGCAGCTTGTGTCATCGTGTACTCGGTGTCAGCATTTTCGTCTGCCGCTGTGGCTTCTTGCGCGATCACGGGCTGCTGTGCCTGCGCTTCACTCAGCTGGCTCTCGAACGCCCCGCGGTGCTCCGACAAGTACTTCGTCAAATACTGCATCCGCGTACCAGCTCCTTTGAAGCCACCATCCTGTCTTCGCAGCACTACCGAAGCTGTGCTGCGAGCAAGAAGCAGCGAGGCCCATAGAACAAAGGCAGCGCCTTGGAGAACGCATGCCTTCGCTAGGGACATTGTTGTACGCATACTGCTACCAACGACACAAGCGCTACGTTGTTCAGCACCTCACGGCGTGCGCTCCGACAGCAGACGCCTAGCCCACTGCCCTCCTAGTACCGGCCTTCTAGTCATTATCATGTTGCTTCATGCCTGTCCCGCCTTCACCTATCATTGCGCTTGTTTTTACCAACACGTGATGAAACAGGAGAGCTTCACTACTTGCAGATTTCTACGGACTCATCAGAGAGGCAGTTTGCCCACGATTTTTTGCTGTCTCACTTCCTCTTCGCGCATGGATCACTGTCCTTCGCTTCATCTCTCAGAAGAGGTTCTCATGGCTCAACCGCACAGGCGCACCTGCATGCCCTACAATAGCATTCGCAACTCTTCATTTCCGTGCGCACGGCCAGATATTTTCTGTGATAAATAAAAACGAATCAAGGAAGCAGAATGTAGAACCTATCTTTGTGGAAAGGCATTGCCGAACGCACTCAGACTACTGTCGTCGGACGCGAGCGCGACGTTCTCAGGTTTGTATGCTGCAACATCTCGCCAAGACGCAGGTCGCAGTGCCTCACTGCATGTAACCAACGCTGTTTGCATGTCTGCAAGTTCGGAGAAGTTCAGCGCAAAAGCTGCATAAATCTCTTGAATTTCGTCCTGTTCATCGCGAGAGAAAAAGACCACTTTCAAAAGCACTTCTTTTTTCAATCGCTCGAGAAGCTCCACGGCACGCACTTTCTTCGCTCGCAAGTCCCGCAAGATTTGAAGTACTGAACCACTCGAAAGCCCCACCTTGTCCGCCTCTTCAATAATGCGCTGCGCAGCGTTTTGGTTCCAGTGTCGGGGGCATATCTGCGATGCGGCAACTCGTACAAATGGCTCCTTTTTCTCGAAGAGTGCGCGTGTCGAGCCCGCTCCCTCTGCGTATGCTCCGCCATCGCTGAAAACCGAAGATGCTCTCGCCTTTCCTTCACTTGTACTACTCGCATCCACTCCACGCATGGGTTGATCTCCTTCTGGGGGCCACAAGAAACTCTTTCTGCCCGGCGTTGCATTCCAGGACATTCGCGCGACTGCATCTGCCGCCTCGAATTGCTCACGAACCCAATCTTCCTGAAACCGCACAGGGCGGCCTGAAAGCTGCGACAGCTCCTCCTGCTCTGCTTCGGGATCCGCCTCCCTGCCACATCTCGGTGTTGCACCAACGTCCTCCCGAAACCAACCTGCGTCGTGCAAATTATGACATTTCGACCGCGAAAATAGCGGTTCGTCACGCCGATTGTTTCCTGCAAGGGTGCGTAGCCCTTTCCGACTTCGCTTTTCTCGCGTCGAACGTTCATTGTTAGCCATGCAGTACGAGTTTGGGTCTTTGGCAGGCTCGGGTTGTGGGTCTGCAAAAAGATTGACATGATCACACCCAGGCGAAGGCTTTGCGGAGGGCGCTCGCAATTTCCTATCCATGCCGCGGTAAGCAAACACAGCACCATGCTCGGACATTGCGGAGCTCATTTCGCGCCTCTGGTGCTGGGAAATAGTCCAGAAGCTCGGTAGAGACGTAGGTGCTTTTGACGACGGAACCTGCCTGGCTAATTTGGTAAAGCGGCAGCCAAAATCCACCCATCGCAGGCGCTGCGTGCCTTCGTTCATCGTGCAGGCCAAGACCGGTCAGACCAAGCGAGAAAACCCACAGCCACCTTGTATTTACTCGGAGACCAAAAGCGCACACGAAACCGGGGCTATGCGGCCCACAATAACTTTCTTGGGGGGCACGACATACTTGTATTCGCTTCTGTTTTTTTGTCACACACCTCGCATAGACTGGGGGAGAATACAACCTAGAATGACACAAGAAGAGCAACGATTCATTTGATATCGCAAAAATTAGACATGACGAACCCTGTGAAACCGCTTTACGACACACAAGCGAGCCCGCCTTGTCGTTGGCGCCACAAAAACATCAGCAGGAAACAATTACCACCAGAAGGAAACGTGTATAGTTCTATGACTTCTATTCGGAGAAATGACCGGACGGTAAAAATAGCAAAACGCGCAAAAACACTGCGAACGTGACTGTACGGAGGGCATCAGGTGGGGCCGCCCAACTGCGAGTTGTTCATCAGAACGAAAACGAAGAATCTACTCACGACAATTAGAATTATTGGCCGAGGCACACATACCCCATAATTATTTCGTTCCTCCAGATGTCGTCCTCGTTGTTCTTAAAAATCATCCCGCGCACACTTGTCGCAGAGCTCTCCATGAGAGTAGGTGCAATGTCAATACGACGGAGAACACTACCAACTCTGCAAACGCAGCCGCAGGAGAGCTCGCTTTCGTCGGCTCTGCCGCGGGCTCCGAAGCACTTATCTGGGGCCCTCGCGCATTCGCAGAAGACACGTCAACCACAGGTTGTCGCCCGGCCGCGCCGGAGCTGCTCACCGAGTTCATCGCTTTGGAGACGGCGGCTGCAGCGCTTTGCACCACCGCAGATGTTGACCCCACGCCGGGAGCCGGAAGTTGTACACTGCCACTCGTGCTCGGGTCCACAATGGTGCGGTCCCCAAACCGCAACAGCCCGCCCTGGAGGTAACACGCAGACCGCGGCGCCTCCGCGCAGATCGTCTCGTCTACTTGCCGCGAAGCCGCTGCGACTTGCTGCCCGGTGGAACCGCTGAGACGCGCGGTGGAATTCGCTTTCGCCCGGCCGCTCCTGTCTGTCCCACAGAGGTCCTCGGCGGATTTGAGCTCCAGCACGTAGATCTTGTTCCAGAGCTTGCCGGCCATGAGAAGTTTCAGGGCGCCGTACTCCCAGTTGTACGCTATCCCATTCGGAGTGCTGTCACCGAACCATTTGTGGACGCGAAGGTCGATGTACCGATCGATGCGTCCGGTCCAGGGGTTCAGCCGCCCCACGCGGTTGGTGAGCCAGATGTTCACCCAGATCGTGCTTGGGGCCACGAACTCGATCTCGTTCAACATTTTCACGGGCTTCCTTGTCGTCGCGTCTACGACCCGCACTTTCCGGAGCAGTTTTCCCTCTGCGTCCAGATGGTAAAGGTGCGCGTCCCCGGTGGTAGCGAACAGACGACAACCGTCTGTGGTCAGCCCCCAGCCCTGGCCGTGCGGAAAAGGCACCGCTCTCTGGAACCGCCACGTCTTCTTGTCGTAGATGTGCATTTCCCGCTGCTGGTAGGTCAGGGAGTAGGTGCGGTTGCCCAGGTCCACCGTCCCTTCGGAAAACACGCGGGGGACGCGGATGGACTTGCTTACCTTCAACTGCGAGGGGGCCTGGAAATTCAGCTCCTTCAGCTCGGACCGACCGGTCAACCCACAGGACTCAACCAAAGTACCCGCATCGCGAAAATACAGCCCCTCCAAAAAGCAGTCCGAGTCGGGCTTCTTGATCTCGGTCTGGGATGCGATTTGTAAAACTTTGGTTCTTGCAGAACTTGCTAACCTAGTCGTCGAACTGGCTGCGAATCGCTCCGCTTGTTGCGTGGGCGAAGAGGCGGGAGATCTTTCTTCTCGGCTTCTCTTGTCCCAAACCTCTGACGTCGATACGGGCAGAGTCCTTCGAATCACGTTGCTGCTGCGACTGGTGCGCGAATAGAAGTTGTCATTCTGTTGTTCTGGTACGGCGGGTCCACCGCAACACAGCAAAACAATCACGGATGCTGTACCCCCACCGCACAACAGATAGGCAGAGGCTTTTTTCCCGCACCAAAGAGAAACCGACCTGCTGTCGGGAGCCATTTCCAACTGTTGGGGACCACGTGCGGATAGGCCCACCGGTGCCATCTCGAGTATGCAAGAACCAACTTCCTGCTAACGCTGAGAGCGCGACACGGGGTAGCGCACAAGTAGAACGAGCATGAGCTAACCAGAGGTCGAAGTCCGCAGACCATTTGCAACTTTTGGACTCTGCCTAATACGGCTTCGAGTTCGATGAACGCAGAGGCAGACCACCGCCACCATTAAGAGCATTTATACTTATTCTCGGGGAGAAAACAAAGGCATGAGCCTGAACTAGAACTCCCGATCAAAAACATAAACATTGACATTCAGGATCTTCTTTATTCTTCTTGACGCAGCTTCACGATAAAGTTTTTCAAACCGAGACCAACCGATCGACAAACGATCTTGCTTTCGTGTTCCGTCGCATGAAAGGCACATGGCCGACAACCAAGTCGATGCACGCTTGCGAGATGGCGATGTCGAAATGCCATGGCAGCTGTATGTTGCATCGCCGAACCTTCCGTTCGCCCATGTCAAAATTGTTACATAAAACTCCTTGGTGTCCAACAAGACTGCTGGTGGAGCAGTTGTACAACAGACGGCACACAGCAGTCGCGCTCGCGATCGTTTTTCACTATATCGCCAAGGAAGAGGGACGGCTTTGGTGTTATCAACACGATTCTCGCAGTGCTTTCCCGGCACAAGGAAAGCTTTGACTATGGTGTGAAAAAATCTTACTGGTGATGCTTCTACATTGATGTCTCATTTCAGTTTACTCAGATCGGCGGCACAGTCAGCGGGCGGTGTACCGGAAAACGAAGGCTCTTTCTGCAGGAAGACGTCACAAGAATCAGCCCACACGAGCCCCATGCAATTGGAAATCCACCAGCTGGGGCCCCACATGGAAAAGTAACTGCTTTTTAGCGGGCGAACGATCAAGTCCAACATCAGCAACCCCGTAAGTCCCCCGAATGCAAAAAGCCGCACCGCATCGCACTGGTACTTGAACTCCACATACCTAGGCAGTGGAATAGACAAGTTCCCCTATGATTGAGAATCCGAAAAACGCGGTTGCTCAACGAAATTAATCTAACTAAACAAACGAAGATGCAGGCATCGCAATTTCACCTCGCGCCGAATCAACAAGCAATTTGGAGGTAGGTACGTCATTGCCGGATGCGTGAAAAATCTCTGGGCGGCTTGCATGGAACTTGTGACATCGAGAATGTCCTTACCCCGCTTCGCAGTACCTGGACGGAGGAACAATTGTAGGTATACTTCATACATCCAAATAAATCGTCCCTCTTTTTCATTGCTGTGAGGTACTTACACTTCTAGTTCTGGCTTTCTTTGCTGAGATCCGCTATTGTAAGCAGGTATTACCCAGCGCTCGCGACTGGACTCGGGTGGCCTGCAGGGTTCTTCTTGTGAACGTCGAGAACATCCTTTCGAATGCTATTCTTCTTATTCGCTAAAGGCTGTACAGGTTGACAAGCAAAAACAAAAACGATTGCATCGCTTTACTTCCTCAGCTTTAGCTGGAAAAATCATTTCATTCGCGAAAAAAAACAATCCTTTTTCGGTAAAATAGCACAACAACAGCCTCCTAAAAACTCGGACTTCCAACCTCACTCGCTCCAGACAGTGACAGTCCCTCCCCTCCACTTCCCCTCTTTGAACACATCCTCGCTGCCTCTGTAGAAAAATCGCTTTACAATGGCGCAGCAACGCCCTGTTCATCAAAGATGCATGCTGCGGTGCCACTGTGCATTATCTCGAGTTCATTTCGTGATTTCTTGGTTGTACTTGTAGTCAGCAGGGTTTTTCATTTGCACGGAGGGACGAAAAGGGCCTACCGTGTATTCACATGCCGTTCCGTCACATGGACATGAAGACAAGCGAGCACTGTATTCTCACACGTAGACAGGAATGCGCTGAAAAGGCGCTCCCGCAAATCAAAGCAAATCACCATCCACCTACAGACGGTAGTGGTCTTCTATGTATGAAGTAGGTCGTCACACACCCCGCCCTCGCCTTAGAGCGGAGCGCCTGCAGGGGACGACGCACTGGCCTCATCCAGACCACTTGCAGACGTGCCTAAAGGCCGGACCTCGCGACGTTCGGTGGCTATGCGATCGCCAGTGAGAAGAGGAAACTGTCCGTCCTCGGGCCGCGCCAACGTCTCTCTGCACACGGGGCAGTTTGATCCCCCGAAAGATGCCCACTTCTCCAGGCATTCGCGGTGGAAGACGTGCGTACATGGCGCTTCGCCAACCTCGTGTCCCGCCTCAAGTTCCTGCAAGCAAATGCTGCAGTTCTCACCGTGCGCAGGGTCGGACTCACTCAGCTTGTAGGTCACACACCGACTCAAAGTTTGGGCCACGCTCCGGGCGCTCCTTCCCCGCGTGTCGCCCCGGAGTATTTGTCGCCGAAAGACGTGCAGCACAACTGATTTGATTGTATCTTGGTTAGATATTACGCACTGGCAGGTACAAAACCACAGAAACGTAAACCTCGTGATGTTGCATTGTTCATCTACGAAAAAAAGACAATGTGAGGCGAGTTTCTTCGACAGTCTAAAAAAATGGAAGACAAAAAGTACACGGCGCACAACACGGGAGACAGGGAAGGCAACCGCAAATCGCAATGAGCAGAAGGGCGGGCACGAGGATTTGGAGGACGACGAGACCGGACACGATGTAGAATAGTAGCCAGGGCACAACGCCACGTCCTGGCAGCTCGTCGTCGTAGACTTGCCACGGCATCCACCTCGAAAAGACCACTGCAGTCGCCACGTACGCCACAAAAAAAAACCAACTTAGGCTGCAGAAACTGAGGAGGTTCACACGGTTAATGTTGTGCAAAAGCCTTGCTTTGCAGAGAGACACCAGTCCCATAAAGGCCGACAAGAAGAACACGAGGAGCACGTGCCGGAGGTAGAAGTTCTGCAGGGGCCCGAGAAGTAAGTAGGCGGGCCCAGTCACGGGCGTTTCAGGCCGAATCAGGTGGAGATAACAAACGTCTCTTGTGCTTTGCTTCAGCGTAGTAGGAGCTGTCCGTGCTTTCGCAGCTGATAGCAGGGCGTCAGACTCTTCTTTCGAGAGACTGCGGGGCGGCTCCGCAATCAGCTGCGGCTTGCCGTGACTGAAAGCTGTACTTCCTGGTGGTGCGGCTCCCAAGGTGGCCGAGGAAGCATATTCCCACATGCTCTCTGCATGTGGGACATCACCACCATCGTCCTGGCGAAGGCGCGCTGGTGCAGCGGAAAGACGGCGAGAGGAAGCGTCTGCACGGTCAGGCTTCGTCCGCTCTTCCGCTGTCGTAATCCCAAGTTTCCGCCACACATCACCTACTCCACCTCTCTGCGACGAGGTGGATGCGGGTGGGCGAGCATCATTTACGCCCTGGCCTTGCAACTGAAATACGGCTGGATTCAGGGGTATGCGTCCAATCGCATAAAAGTCCGCGAGGCTGCTCGCAGATCTAGATCCGGCAGCTGCTCGACGCAGGTTCGCACTGGTGCCGCCGCCTGCTTCGACCTGGTTCTCTACCGCAGCTGCCGCCTTTTGCAGGGACAACAGGCCCTGCGCTGCGGAAGCTGGCAACGGGGGCGGCGTCGTGTTGGGATCGAACGGCACCAAGCATTTGTCCGCCGGAAATTCCCACCAGAGGATGAAACACCAGACAAAAAAGAAGCTGTACGTCAGGGCACCCATGTTATCAAGTGTAAAAATGTCTGGGTCTGGAAGAGTGCGAACTTGTCATGCAGATTTTACATGGCCCGTGACGTCTGCGATGTATTCCCTGGCATCACAGATTTTCTGGGTGCTTCTTGATGCCTATTCCGCATGACAAATGGCCTCCCCGCGTAGCAGAAACTGGGCTCCTCTTGCTGGTCATGCAATACAGATTTTTCTAGAGTCCAAAATTAGCATGACAAACTTGCATTCTTCCAGACCCAGACATTTTTACATTTGATACATGTGCTGCGGCTGCAACTCGCATATCTGTTCTGGCTGATTCAATGGTGGCAGAGGTTCCGCCCTCCTCAAACCGGAAGACCAAGAGGACATCGTGGCCCCTTGCACTAGACCCAGACAGATCTACCGGTGGCGATGCTCCAGGCCCAGTCAGCTATCTGGCTGTCCACAGAATTCAGCGGAGGTTGCGCACCGAAAGAATTTTCACACGTCGTGGCCCTTCCTGTCGCCTATCCCGATGGTACCCGTACCTCTCCAAACATCGATCACTGACGAAATAAGCACTTCCAGAAGACTGGCCGACCAAAACTACACCACAAAGCCATAATGTAAGCCACACTGGTGAATGAGATAACAACACGCATGAATGTTCTATACTAAGTGTCGGTATGTGTAGCCTATCCGTATGCTTGGCTAATCTGTGCAGGCAAAATCGCCCCTAAAAAGCTACTAAAAATCTAACGCGCCTGCTAGGTGAAATTCGAATTGAATGAGCCGGCTGGAGCGTTCAGTATGTGTATGGAAACACTAATGATCGGGGGAAGAAGTACTTTGCTTCGCGGTAGAGTCACCTGCTATTTTGTACTTTCAAAAAACATTTGGTGTTTACTACGTCGATTGGCACAACGTACTACTCATTATACCCTCATTTGTATTCTGCTCATTCATTGACCGGCTCGCTCGTAGAATCCCTCAAAAGACAAGAAAACGTGTCTGAGCAAGTGGTTACCGATGCCGATGCGTCCAAGGTTGCCCTGCAAGCGCAGCTCGCTTTTTACCAGGGACACGAACACACTAAATCCTAACGTATAGAAAAAATGTTGTTCGTACCACAAACAACTACTCACGCCACTCACAAAGTTCCAAAATCAGCTTTATTCTCGAAGAAGACCGTCTGTTTCTGTGCGGTCTGCATCTACTTGAGTAGTTTGTCTCTTTGTTTTTGCTGAGCATCAAATATCAACATGCTTTGTTTGCAACCTCCGCCAATCTGACCCACTTCAGCTATTTACTGTGCACAAGCTTCCAGGTCCACCGGAAGTGCCTGTTCGGCTGCCTCCAGAAAATCCAGCATGCTCTTCTTCGCTTGCGCCAACTCCCGCTCCCCTTGCTCCATCCGGTGATGCAGCATTGCGAGCTTCTCGCTCGGCGTCTCATCCTGTTTTCGCCTTGAGGCGACAGACACGTTTTGCGCGCGCGCCTGCGCCCTGACCGCAGCAAGCGCACGGCGCTCATGCGGTTCGAACAGGTCCGAAACCCGTTGCAATCGCTTCCGCAGGTCATCGGTCCAAACCTGGATGTTCCGTCTGGCGGACCCCTTAACATTGAGGTCCGGGAACGACTCTTCACCTGCTAATGCTGCGCCGGACCTCGACGACCGCGAGGAGGAAAGAAACTTCTTCGACGGCGAAATACTAGGAACTTGCGATTGCCGTCGCAAATTAGACGAGGGACGTTGCCTGCCTGACGAAGCACTTCCGTCCCTCCTGGAAGCAAGAGCACGATTCTCCAAGCGAGAACCACGACCTGACGCCGGCTCCGCAGGCTGTAACCGGCTAGTTGATGACGTTCGACGCTGCATCGCCAGGTGCCTCCTACGGACAGGGGTGCAGTAAAGTGCCGGTCTGCAGCTTTAGCAAAAGCGAAAGGTTTCTCGATTCAGGTAGCGATTGTCATGGAAATCTTGCTTGGTCTTCTCGAAAGTCTGCCGGGCGCGGCTGCCGTCGTACTCAACTTTCTCTGGTGGGGGCGCCTCCTGCTCAGCTTGATCGTGGATCGCACGCGCGATGGCGAGCTTCCGCTGCCACTCGCCGAACATTATCCCAGCGGCACACAAAATTTTGCAAAGTGGAGGGAATTTCAAGTGCGCAAACGCGGCGGCCGCAGAAGCGTACTTAACTGATTCCAGGAAATGAAGGTGCTACGCAGAAGCTGCTTTGACTTCTCATCGCGCGCGCGAACAAAATTGATTTTCAATGACTATGCATCTGCTGGGCTTTCTGCATTATTGATTTGCCCCTGCTTGTTTTTCGCGCATCGAAACAAATCAACCATTCACGTCGTGTGCAATTCACACTCAGCTCGCTGCACCGGTTCTGCTGCAGATTGTTTGATACAACAGATTTCGCGCACGAAAAAAATACGCCCTTCCACTTTGAAAAACTCCGTCTGTTCGCCGACATACATTCGCCACCGAGCCGCTTGAAGGAACAGCTGTGGTCCAATTGCGTCAAGCTTTCCTCGTTTAAATTCGACTTCAGATTGGACTGATTATGGAACGGTCACCAGCTGTGACACTCTCTAGAAAGACCTTGAAATCAACCTTTCTCGCGACGCGCAAGAAAGAGCACATCGTGTGTGGTGGAAATGCGGTTGATGCAGCGGATGAAAATGTGTTTGTATGCGGTACAGCACTTGTCAATGCTTAACATGCAAATGGTACTACAACTCCTGAAAACAATGTGGATGCAGCTTGTTTTTTGTTACACTTCCTAAATTTATCACAGATTAGCGGGCCATATTGAATCCAGCGAATTTCTGCTTCGCACTGCTTTCTTCGACGTCTTTCCCGGGCGTACTCCTTCTTCAAAGCTTCGATTTTTGCCTCCATGGTATGTGTCTTACCCTCATCAAAGTCAACAGCAACACAGTAGAGTTTCGCAGATACTAAACATGGCTTCTATTTCGAAAAACCTAGACTACTTGTTTCGTGATGCTACCGGTCCCACAAGCACAAATAGCGCGGTGGATGAGGTTTGCCTTTGGTGATGAGGACCGCATGGAAGCGAGGATAAAGATGATATTTGTATTTCCTCAAGGTGGCATATATCACGATTATCCGGATTTGACCAAAAACGACAAAGAGCCCGTCCGCAGGGGCTTCATCAAGTCAGGAGAAAATCCCCCTTCCCTCTTGCTCATTTATCACCGTCCTGCTTTGCTGCAGGCGCTTTTGCTCGAGGTGCTGCTCTAGAGCGAAAATTAACGATCAGCGTGGACGAAATTTTCTCGGAACGAAGCTGCAATTGTAAATGACGAATGAACAGTTCAACATCACTTGATTCGTGACAGATATGTAAAAAAATCCGAAGCCCAGGCAGTTTGATCCCGCCCGTCACCACTTTTTTCTGCTGAGTGTTATCTCAAAAATTCCATAGATGGAGAGCCTGACAATGGAGACGCCGCGCGGCCGTTTTGCTTTTCGCGGAGGTGCGCCAAAAAAGGCTCTTCCGACGCACTCACAAGCTCGTAATTTCTGCCGTGGCGCGGAGGCGGCTGGCCCGGGGTACCCCGTGCTAGGTGCTCCAAGGCCTCCTCCTCCCGACGCTCCGTCTCACGCCGAACGCGCAACTTCTGCACGGGACACGTGGCAAACTCGAGTTCCGCCGTTTCCAGGGAATACAGCAGCTTCAGGTCCTGTTCGCGCAGGCCTCCCGGTGACGCAGGCCCCAGCTGCTTCCCGCGCACGCCGCCGCGCAGCTGTTCGCGCTCCCGCGTGCGAAATTTCCGATCCACATGCTCGAGTCCTCCGCCACGAGGGGAGGTCGGACTGCCCCGGGAACCGCCCCGCGTGCCCTGCTTGTCGCGACCGCCCGCTTGGCTTGCGCTGCTCGTGGACGCTGTTCCCGCTCGTCCAGCTGTTATAAACAAGTCGCACCGGCCTCGAAGAAGTTAACTTCACAACAAAAAAGTAACAATGTCGTGTTATAATCTCGGAAACAAAAACTACCTCGAACATAAACAAAAAAAAAAAAGGAATGCCTCAAGTACACTTGTTTTCAAGCATCCGATTGGCCTCTTGAATCTCAGGTAGCTTCTGGTGTCGGTGGCTTTTTCGCAGCCGGTCCAGCAAATCCCGTAAGCGTTGGACCTGCAGTTGGAATAAAAGAACGCATGTGATGCTGGTAGTAGTTGGCATAAAAGAACGCACCTCCTTCCAGTAAATGAAACTACTATCATGTCGACGATATGCGCAGCGAAGACCAAAAATTTCATATCACCTCCTCTTCCGCGAGGACACGCAGCTTGGTTTCGGTGCTGAGGTTTCGCGTCAGCAGCGCCTTTGCCTTGTCCAGGGATTGCAGTTTCCTCACAATTTTCTCGACGCGGCGCTGCCGACCCTGTGTGCTGGGATCCCCGGCCGCCGCATCCTTCCGCTGGTCCTCCGCCACTGCGTTGACGTCTCGACTGATGTCTTCTTCACTGCCGTCACTCTTGCCGCGTCCCCCGGTCCGATCCGCATCGATTCGCTTCTTCAGAGCGTAGTTGTCCGTTTCGAACTTCTTCGCTTTCTCCTTGAGCTTCTCCTTCTTGCGAAGAACCACGGCAAGCCTCAACTTGTGGGCCGCGACTTCCACTAGTAGCTGCTTCACGCGGAGCTCGTTCTCGCGCTTCTGCTGTTCCGTGAAAGATACTGCGGTGCCGTAAAAGATGCTCTCCTCCAACAGATCCGCGGCGCCCTCCTCTAACCCGCCGGTCCGGTAGCCAGCGCCACCGCCGCCGCCCCGCTGCGAGGTCCCGCGCGGTCCGTTCCCTGACGCTAAGTTCTGACCCTGTGTTGTTTTTTACCCGAGGGAATAAACTGTGTGACTCTACTGGCTAAGTACTCCCACGAGAACGAGGGGGACCGTATGTGTTTTTTAGTTTTGAGGCTTATTAATTGTTCAGAAAAGTCTTGCGCACAAAACTTGCTCTCGCAGCTACCCCCGAGAACCTGAAGATGTTGAGGCATCGATGTTGAGTACGTCATTTTGGAACGCCGCGCCGGCGGTCGAAGAAGAGCTTCCACCTGCTGCTCCTGCTGTCCCGTCGCGCGCCTGCGCCGTAGGTGGTGGGGCGGAGTCACCACCCGCAGGCTTTACTTCCGCCAAAATGCCCTTCATTGCAAGTTCCCAGTGCTCGGAAGTCAGGTGTAGACCTCGAACGCAGGTGCTTATGTCATCTGCGGTACAAAGCCGAAACTGCAGCAGGCGTATGAACATCGTCGACAGTTCCTCTTTCAGCTTTGCTTCCCGGTCCTGCGACTTCCGGAGCCCGTGCGTGAGGTGTTCGATATTCGTGTTCAAGGTCTTTACCTCCTTTGCATGCTCCTTCTCCTTTATCAAAGGGAAAAATCCCCCCTCCCCATATCGAAACGAAGTTTCTGATGCTGGATTTGCGTACACAAATCAGGTCTGTCTTGCTGGAGAGGACTGCAGGCATATGCTAGCCTGGGTCGAGAGGTTTTGACGTAGGGGACTAGCATGACAGATGTCGGCTCTGTAAGCCCAACAGCATCACAAACCGCCGGCATAGTGCGGCCTGACTCTCTGGCTCTGCCTTCTTGCAAGACAGACAGGATTTGTGACCTCAAATCTGCATCACAAATTTTCAGACGAGTGCGTTTTCAATATGGGGAGGGGAAACTTTTCCTCTCAATATCCTTCTGAGAATCCACACTGCCCGCAAGTGCCGACCCAGCGGCGTTACTTCTTGTCTTATCCACCCCTGCCGACCCAGCAGACCCAGAAGCCCGCCCGGGCGCAGCTGCGGCTACACTTCGCATACTCAGTTCTTTCCCTCACGGGAGGTACAGGCTGTGAATCGCGCACATGCAGGCTTCAACTACAACGTAAGCAAGAGTATACTAAAAAAGTAAAAAAAGAAAAACCAGTGCCGATAGGAAGGTCCCTTTTCCTTCTACCGCCCATTAGATGAAACCTTATTCATTGACATTGGCAGCATTTTCCTCACTTCTTACCCTCGAAAATCCCGCAAACCAATTATACAACCAACAACTCTGTGGCAAGTACTTCCTTTCATCAGGTTGCTTTTACGCTCCACGTCGGCTTTCTCATTGAAAGAATGCGAACAACGACATGTGCATGCATAAGTATTTCCACTTGTTGTGCCCTGCACAGTCTTGGTCCGACCCACATATCGAAGTCACCTCACAAAATTCACGACAAATTTCGAATCGAATATGAAACGACTCAAACAAACGACTGCACGATAGGCGGCTAAAAAGACCGCATGACTATATGAGCGACCGATTATTTCAAGAGACCCTGACGCCCTGAGACCTAAACCAACGAATCACGACGGCAGCGCGGTTTTCTTGTGTTTAGAATGAGGGGAAAAAAATACGCATAGCGTCGCGATTTCGCTTTGTGGATTTTTTTGGGGGATCCGCCCGCCCCCCGGGGATCCGCCTTCGCCCAGGGGATCCGCCCGTTGCCCGGGGATCCGCCCGCTCCCCGAGGATCCGCCCGCTTCCCGGGGATCCGCCTTCCCGCAGGGGATCCGCCCGCTCCCCGAGGATCCGCCCGCTCCCCGGGGATCCGCCTTCGCCCAGGGGATCCGCCCGCTGCCCGGGGATCCGCCCG